TACCTTAGTGGATGCATTTCCACTGGATTGTATTATGCCAAGAACTCTTCCTTTGAACTAAAGGCCTATAGTGATACAGATTATGGGAGCTGCAAGTCTTCTAGGCACTCAGTTACAGGATATTGCATCTTCCTGGGGAGTAGTTTGATATCTTGGAAAGCTAAGAAGCAATCCACAATCTCTTGTTCTTCAGCTGAAGCTGAGTACAGAGCTATGGCTTCTACTGTCAGAGAACTTCAATGGATCACATATTTACTTCAAGATTTCAAAGTCTGCTTGACACTACTAATTCCTTTCTTCTGTGACAATCAGGCAGCCCTCTACATCACTGCGAATCCTGTTTTTCATGAAAGGACCAAACATTTAGAGATTGATTGTCATGTGGTTCGTGACAAGTTCAAGAAAGGGTTCATTCTGCCACAACACATTGCTTCCTCTTCTCAACTTGCAGACATATTTACCAAGTCACTTGGACCATCACAGTTTCATTTTATCCTATCCAAGATGAGCTTGTTACATGCTCATCTTGCAAGGGGGATGCTACAATATCAAGAAAATGGAGTTGAGGATGCGGCCACACATCAGGTGCAGGCACAGGAGCATCAACGTGAACATGAATGCGCACGATTGGGACTGCCAACCTCAACTGATCAGCAGCAGCTTCTGGAAGCTCCTCTAGCTGAATGTGTCCCGAAGCTTGGAAGCTCTTTGACACTGCCAACTGTAACAGACCACAGAGAGAATGTTACTGGAAACTTAATCATTCCAGCTCACCAATCCGAGTCGATTCAGGTTGTACATACTCTACAGCCGTCAATATATGAAGAACATTTTGTAATTAGTTAGATTTTGGCCGTTAGATTAAGATGTGTTAGTTGTGAGTCTGTAAATTGCTATGTTTAGATGCTAAGTAGATTTAGTGTTCTGTATATATATAGATGAGGTAGCAACAGATTCATTTGTACAAAATATACCAACTCATCGTTTATGAAAAAGGAAGAGTTCTTCCCAAAATCGTGAGCCCTAGCATTTATTACGTGTTTGATCAGATTGCTTGTTCCACAATTAAGATTCCATACGTTGATATCTTACCTATTCTCTGATGGTAGTTCATGATTTCTTTGAAATTAGTACTAGTTTTAATAGGATTATTTTCTTGTATAGGAGTAAACATTTTACTAACGTAGTCCAAATTGTTTGCCAGGAGGTCTAAATCTTTCCTTCCTTGAATGTAACGTCTGTTGTCAATTGTCACTTAAAGGGGTTGCATCTTTGCATGTAACCGTCGATGGAGTGATCGACAGTAAGCAAAAGAAAAGATTCCACCCGTTTCAATTATTTTCCTTGTCCTTTCTCTTCCCTGTTTTGGGACCAGAATTCAAGAAATCGACAAATGGCAACTTATAATCTCGACGACCTCTTTCTTGCTGCTCTATATAGCTTGGATTTCCATATCAAAGAAAAGGCGAGGGGCTGCCTGGTTTTGAACATCTTAGTTCAATTCCATATTTCCATTCCATGCATATGTAGCAGGGAGAGTCAAATCTAATGGCAGAATACTTATGGTACAATATTATACCTGTAATAATCATTAATATATGAATTATTTTTTTCAGACGGAGAAATAAATTTGTTATTGGAGTCTCATATGGCTGAAATATCTTATCTCTGAGATGTATTGATTAATTTGATACGTTAAATTTTGTCTTCTCGCCAAAAAGGAAAGGAAAAAAAATAAAAAATAAAAACTGAGGGAGGAAAAGTGTAGAAAGTTGGCCTGCCTGCATGAAATTATGAAATTAGAAGTTGGAAGCATGCAGATGACTACAACGGTCCCCTTTCCGATCAGTGTCATATATATTGCGAACATACTTTAATTTATTTGTTATGTTTGGTACGAAAATGCTAGAAGAAATTATTGTCTTGCTAGAGTTTAAGAAAAAAAAAAACATATATTGATATGTATCCAAAAAGAAAAAAAAAGAAGAAGAAGAAGAAGATAGAAATACGTAGTCCTTTTGATTATGCAACAACACAGTGTTGTGTTGTCACGTAATGGAGTTTGCCATAGACTTCTCAATTCCTCACCTGGCGACACCCCAAAGCCAAAGGTGGGTTTGTTGCGTTTTTTTTTTCTGGACTTATTATTTTGAAGTAAAGACAACAAAACCTCAGCCGATAACTGAAATCCTTCCATCTAACCTGCGGCTGCGCGCACACACGCACACACACACACACACACAGTAATCTTACCACCATTTTCTCTGTTTTCTTTCGATTGTACACATCGTACAAATTTTTTTTTCTTTTAATTTTCTTTTTATGCTTCTTGCAAGGATTCAGATGTTTATTGTTTCTTCTTTTTTTTCCCCCTTGGTCGTACTAGTTAAAACTTTATATCAAGACTCGTTAATTCGACCTAAATAAAACACCTTCGGGAGTCAAAACCAAATGTACACATTTTCATGGTACTATTCAAGAGAAACTTCCAACGTATGTATATATACTTCTTTTTTAACTCGACAAAGAATTATTGAAGACGAATCAGTATATAGAAGAGTAACTGTAAATTTTTGGGAAATTTTCAAGGAGAGGATTAATTAATGACTTCAAATTAATTAGTAATAAATACTTAATTCGAAAAGTTTTTTACCAAAACGATATTCTTTTGTCAGTTAAGCTGTCATTGTTTCTTTCAAATGAGCAATATATGTTTAAACATTTGGAGTAAAAAAAAATAAAAAAATTAAAAGCTGTAATGCATAATGAATGGCACCAATCAATGAGAAGTTCACAGTCCACATCAAACCCAGAGATTCAAGTACTACACACAATCAATTTCAAGATTTCCGATAAGTTTTCTATACTACTAATAAATAACTATAATTGTGTAATGATATAAAGTTATAAACAATGAATTTGGATCTTATAATGAAGTAGCCATAGTTATATATGGTATTATTTACTTACTCATTTCACATTATATATATATAACATCTCTATCGGTATTGCTCTCTCGTTCGATGATCAATGTCCATTTCCTTTCCCTAGTTGATCACATAAGTTCATGGACACGAATTTTTTTTGTCATTATCTACCGAAAATTGGAAAACTTTTTTCGTCACCCTAACTTTGACAGCAATTTTTTTTTAATTTTAAATTTTTTAGTGTGTATCAAATTCTGTGTAAAATATACTTTATCCCTAGTGGTTGGATTAGGTCTTTTCGTGGGTCATCATGATTGTGAGCCAATTTTCTGCTACAATATAAGCTTTGATGTGACCACCTCATGTTAGAGAAAGAGATGCTAACTGCTTTTTGTTATAATAATGCCCATTTTATGCTGCCCCGTGACTGATGTGTTTGTGCCCCCTATTTATATATCATCAACCCCCAGGACCTCTTTTTTCAAAATTTCAAAAAAAAAAAAAAGGTTCTAAATTTTTAAATGATGAGAGCAGTTAAGATCTGATTCATTATCAACAATCAGGGCTTACAGGCTATTTTTCGATCGAAATACATTGTCCTTCTCTAGATGCTTATGAAATAATTTAGGGTACAACACTTTGGGACCAAAGGGATCATTTTTATTAGTTGATTAAACAGTGTATTTTTTCGCCTTCTCCATCTTGTTCGTTATGGATGCTCTTAGAATGGTTAACAATACCCTTTGTCAAGACTCAAGACTATTGATTGAATATGCATGTGTATACATTAATTAATTGGGTTTGAAATAATCTTTATCGATTGGTATTCAATAATCGTTTTCAAAGATGATTCTGTTGTACGAGGTCGTTGCTTCTGACCAAGTATGTCTTTTGTTCTACGCTCTTCCCAGAAACACATAATTTGACTGCAAAAAATATATAATACACAGTGACGTAGTTTTCAAGTACATATATGAATAATGAAACAAATTAATGCGTAATATTATAGGAGTACATCTAGTATATATACACATTTGAATGTAAATGCAAATTAAATAGATCATGGTAGCTATGTACCTAATTTTACTACTAAATTTGTGTAGCAAACTATAATTTCATTGCTCATAATGCAATTTCGGACATTACTATGTTAAGATATTTTATCCGTCCCAAAATGCTTTATGGTCACTCTTTGGTTAGAGAGATGAGATGAAAATCTAGCGAAAGGATGTGTAATAAATTCACACTCCAAATTAGATTCACAACATCCGTAATGATAATAATGAAGTGTGCAACAATATTATTAATAACACTCAATAGCACACTAGCGTATCACACTAATTAATGCAAACAAAATTCAGTTAATTTGGAGTCATAGATTAAATAAGCTCCCTTGTCATTTTCCTACCTCTGAACTGAACGTTTTTGAGGAATCTAGCCAGCTTACATATTTATATATACCCGTTACCGCTACAGCTTAAAAAAAGAATCATCATATTATATGTAATTATATAGTGTTTGCCGAATAAATCCAGGGTACTAGATACCATCATTTTCCATGGTTTGAGTCAATACTCTCAAATACCGATCTTGTTTGATCTTTAGGCAGCAAACTTCCATAATGCCTTACTCAAAATACGCTCATGTGGTCGTGTTCTAATAATATTCTTATTGTTTATTCATATATGCGTCGGACAAATTTCATTACGATACAATATCATTGATACTGATAAATCGCGACGTATATAGTAAACCAGTTTAGTAACTTACATATCACATATAAAAAATGTAAGAAATATCAATTTTTACTAAAATTAATCAAGTATTCTTGTAAATTTAATCTTTTGAATTGCGGTCCTTAGAAAGCAGAACTTAATATAGAAAACCAGAATCCTTTTGTATGCGTGACACGTTAGTCACTACCTATATGAATTGACCGTTTTTATCATTTACTCGGTGTCTGAATCCTATGTACAAATACGACGCGCGTACGTACACCTATTTTGACAACAAACAACTAGGTAAGTCATGTATTCCATAAATGTATTTGTATAATAATTCTCTAAAATACGAAATTGAGCTCAGCTAGGCAGCTGAGAGAGAGGATGGGGTGACGAAGGGAAGGTGGAGTAGGAGAAAGATGCGAAATAGGAAGAGCTGAGGGCTAAAGAAAAGAGGCTAATATTGTGAGGTCGGTGGACCCAATCCATCCAAAACGCCGAATATGGACACATTAGAGGGGCGTGGGCTCTCACACTGCACATTTTAACCTTTCTTCCCTTCTTTCTTCTTCTTTTCTTCCCCCCTTCTTTAGCTAACTCTACTATTATTATTAAGCTCCTCTCTTCTTCTCTATCCAAATTCTTCTCCTCTTTCTTTTTTTTTTTTAATCATTTTCGGGGTGGACAAATTTATAATTTTGAGGGAAAATGATACCTTGATTGATTTGCTTGTTAGCTTGTATATATGCAGAGACACCAAAATTTATAAATACTGTATACTAGTATTTTTATTGAGGGGGAGTTTATAATTCAGGAAGAGCCATGGATGGTTTTTTGAGTTGTCTCTTGTTTTTGATTTTCACCAAAAACCCTTTTCATCATCGTTTCTGTTTGTTCTTGTCTTAAGGATTTCAAACCGGGTTAATTTGGGTTTTGCTTTGTCGAGGTTTCAATTCGCTAGGTGGTATAGCTAGCTAGTTAGTACTATATATCTCGGAAGAATCGAGTCTGTAAAATTAAGGTTTCTTTCTCTTTTTTTTTTTCTTTGGTTTTCGTTTTCGGAGATTCCTAAGGTGTAATTTCAGAAGAGTGACCAATTCGGAAATTGCATGTCGTGCTGGTAATTTGTTTTGCAGCTTACTAATTTGTCGTGCTAGTACTAATTGAAGGATTCTCAATCAATCCATATATGGCGGCATCATCATCATCATCTTCAATTTTCCTAGCAATGAGAGAATCAGAGAATCTTAATCAACATCCTCTTCAGATGAAAGACCAGCATTGCTTAACCCCATCTTCCTCCTCTGGTCCACCACCTCCTCCACCTCCTCCACCCAATCCCAATAATAATAACAAGCGCAAAAGAAACCAGCCTGGAAATCCAAGCAAGTACCCTCTTCCCAATTTTAACCATTCATTCCATCAATAATATCAGGATTCTTTTTTTCTAATTGTTTTTAACTTGTTTTTTTGGTGGGTACATGCATATTATAAGCAGATCCAGATGCAGAGATAATAGCGCTGTCACCAAAGACCCTAATGGCAACCAACAGGTTTGTGTGTGAAGTCTGCGGGAAAGGGTTTCAGAGGGAACAAAACCTCCAACTCCATCGCCGAGGCCATAACTTGCCTTGGAAACTTCGGCAGAAAACCAACAAAGACCAAGTCAAGCGCAAAGTCTACCTTTGCCCCGAACCAAGTTGTGTTCATCACGAGCCGTCCAGAGCCCTCGGCGACCTCACCGGAATCAAGAAACATTACTCGAGAAAACACGGCGAGAAGAAGTATAAATGCGGGAAATGCTCCAAGAAATATGCGGTTCAATCCGACTGGAAAGCCCATTCTAAAACTTGTGGTACCCGGGAGTACCGATGCGACTGTGGAACCCTTTTCTCCAGGTACTATTATCAATATCATTATTATTATTATTATTATTATTATTATTCCGTTCTCTTCAAATTCCTCAATCTGGAATAATTAAGCTGAATTTGGGGATTCTCACAATCTATTTGCTTTATTTTTTTGTTTCATCCAGTTCTCTCTTTTATCACTCCCACACGCACAGATTTGATGAATTTGAAAACTACTGTCTGAAATTCTTGAGAGTTTTTTGTTTTACTAATAGAGTTTTTTGTTTGTTTGTCTGCTTGGATTTTTGGTCGTACTTGAGTGACAAAAGAATTCAGGAAAAAAAAATGCCTGCACGTGAATTTTCTCTGCAAGTGAGAGTTATACCACCATGAAGCTCGTCATTGATTTTTCTTTCTTTTCCTTCTTCTCCTTCACAAACACACAAACACACACACACACACACACACACACTTGCTCTGAAATAATTAAACAACCGTTTTTTTTTTTTACCCGTCAAGAATTACTTCTGATCTTTCAGTATTTACTTTTCCTTCTTCCCTTCCTTCATTCACGTGCTGCATTTTATTCCCAGCTGTTGATCGTTACTGCTTTGTTCTCTTCTGTGTTGGCTTCATATCATCAGTAGTTTCTGTACTACTCGTATCCTATTTCAAATTTGAAACCACCCCCTTTTTTTTCTTATTACATTTTCCATTTTTACGTACCCTTTTCCCCGGTCGACTGATTGTTCATCATAATTTTCTCAAATTCATTTGAACACCTGAGGAATTACATAGAAAGTTGTTGCGGAGGACTCTTGTTCTGGGACGGAGGGAGAATATTTTTATGATTAATTTATTGAATGAAATTAGGCACATGACTAATCTATAAAATGAAAATGAGACATTGTCTAATAATCTAGCTATTGGGTAGATCAATTATCATATGGAGCTATTATGTTAATTCCTTTTGTTGGGTATTAAGGTCGATGACAACTAGCTGGCTGGGCTTTCTCTATAGTCAGTGCTGCAAAAAATGGTTATTTTTTGTTGATTGATGATCAGACATTCTCGATTTTAGTACTTTCTGTTCACCTAACATCCTAAATAATCCCCCTGTGTCTTTTTCCTACAATTTTTTTTTTAACTAGTTTTAGTAATACTGTTGTATTTTGGAAAATTCTCATTTATTGTTATTCTACCAACTATAGATTCTTCAAAACCATTCTCTTCTCTGCCATATTCTGCATTTGCCTGCCCATTTCATTATTTGATAATAATGATAATATTCCTTTCACACCTCTTATACAGTCCACACAACCAGTAACAGTAACTTTTAGATCCTTACACCTAGCTAGTCAAAATACTCGCTCGTAGTTCTTTAATTACCTCCACCAAAAGACCTACCCGACTTGAATCCAGATTAGTCGGGTATAGATTTTAGAGACATCGGGTACTGTACATGTAACTGATATACCAAAAAAAGTCGTTACTTCAGGCAGCACTTTCACACTATAACAGTAAATCATGTAGCTATAAGAAAGAAAAGAAACACTTGACTGGAGTCCCCTTAATACCCCCACTTTTCAAACTTTGAAGACCTAGGGTTTTTTTTTTTAACTCATTGATACAATTAGGTAGTAGTATTATTCAACGTGATTCTTGATTTTTATCGTAATATTTTCTTTTTCAGGCGTGACAGTTTCATAACGCACAGAGCATTCTGTGATGCACTAGCACAAGAAAGTGCGAGAAATCCAGTGCCGTTGGGGAGCATAAGCAGCCATTTATTCGGAGGAAGCAGCAACATAAACTTGGGATTATCATCACAACTAAGTACAGCCACCCAACAAGATCACCAAACCGATATACTCCGCCTAGGAAGCACCACCGCAAGGAGTAGAAGTAGTACTACTACTACAACTGGACAACCATTTCTAGATCATCATCACAGTCTCATTGGAAACTCAATTGGATCCGCATTTCGTCCATCTCATCATCCTCATCCTCATCATCAAACCATGGGTTCATCTTCTTATTTCATGCCATCAGAACCCGACCCGCAGCAGGACTATCGCCACCACGAAAACAACACTAGCTCCTCACCACATGGGCTGCTGTCAAACAAGCCACTCCGTGGCCTAATGCAACTCGCCGACCTCGAAAACAACTCCTCCTCGTCATCGGCCGGGCCAGGTTTATTCAACCTCGCCTTCTTCCCCAACAACAACAACAACACCAATGATAATCACGAGGCCGCCGGAGGCAGCAACGCGAGCAATCTCTTGTTTTCAAGTCCGTTCAACAACAACGCTAACAATGGGAATGAAGGTGGTGGATCGAGCTTGTTTTCGGATAGTTTCGGGGGGCATTTGGCAACAGCCGGAGGACTTTACAGTGCATCACTTCAGAATCCAAGTTCCAGCGCACATTTATCAGCAACAGCACTGCTTCAAAAGGCAGCTCAACTGGGTTCCACCACAAGCAACTCAAGCGCTTCCTTAATGCTCAAAACAACAGCTTTCGGAAACAACAACAACCCAAAATCAGATCAACAATTTGGTGGTGGTGGTGGTGGGATATTTGGAAACAACAATAACAACCAACACAGGAGCCATATTGAGGAGATGGTGATGACATCAATGACAGGTTCGTTAGAAACCAGTTATGCAAGACCTCCTCAAGAAAACCTAAGCGACTATGGATATAGCAATAACAACAACGTAAAAGTACTGGGCAGCTTTGGGGATCAGCTTCACAGAAGCACGAGCTTTGGAGGAGGGCAGGAAGGTTTGACGCGGGATTTTCTTGGAATGAGACCAGCTGGAGGAGAGTTTGGGGAGATTAGGGCTTTGGATTCTGACAGAAGTAACAGTCCGGCGGGTGCAGCGGCGGCGGCGAGAAGCCCGTCTTTTGGCGGGGGAGGAGGAGTGAATTACCAGTGAAGCCCATCATCGGAAGATGGGAAGCAAAAAACAAAGTAATGCGCGCGAAAAGGTATGTGAAAAAAACAGCTGACATCAATGAATGAATCTCTTTGTTAATGTAACTGTACTACGTGCTGGTGTATATGTATATATATACTACTAGTACTACTTGTTCTACTTTTGAGTGTGTGAGTGTGTGTTCTTGCAAAAAATTGGGTTTTTTGTTTTTCCTCAGAGTGTGTGACCACATCCACATGTGCATTTTCGATGCACCCTCTCTTCTTTCTTAGTGATTAGTCAATATTACGTATCTTATCCCTCAATTTCTGCTCTATGGTTCTTTTGACCCATCAATATTTTTATCAAAAATTTAGATACATAAACTATTAATCTTAGTTTGTGTCAGAAAATTTAGATTTAAGTGAATAACAAATTACGTATTTTCTTCTATATTTTTTAAAAAAATACAATTAAAAGCGAAATAATTGCTCATGTTAGCGCTTAACTAGTTTGTATGCTACATCTAAACGTTAAATGCTATTAATTGGGATATTTGGCGTTATTAATTGGGCCGTAGTAGGTAGAAGTTTTTATGTGGGGGGTGTGGTACTCTTTTTGTTAATGCTATTAATAAGGAGGATGTATGTGCAATTTCTAAAAGACTCTAAAGCTGGCTGGCGTTAAACATCATTTTCATCCATGCATCCCTAGTGTCACGTCCCATTCTCTATAGCTAGCTTTGTTTGTTGGCCTCTGTCTTATTTGTTTCTTCTGAATATGTGTATATGTACCCATGGTCACGGGCTCTGACTTCTTTACAAGTATTAATATTACTGTAGGACATATGTTCCACTGTTGGATCTTGGGACGTTTGGTTTAATCCTAAATTCATCATTAATGAATTCATAGGGAGAATTCATAAACCAAGTGAAGTCAGATATGGATGACCCCCTTTTAACGTTTTCCATATGTGAATTTTTCATTGTTCGACCACTGGTCTGTGTAACGCCATTACCTCAACTCCATTATTAATATTCCTGTTATGTTACAGATTCGAAACTTCCCATAGAAAAGTTGAAATAATCAAGCGAAAGCTTACCATATTGTTAAGTTCAAAACATGTCATAAAGTAGACTACCATTTCACCTGATTCTTTATTTAAACCTGGAAAACCTGCCTGTAATTGCTAAAAAATGTTTCTTATCCTTGGTTTTTTTTTTTTTTTTTTGGGTGAATTGGCAGGAATCTAGGGAACGGTTGAAAATCTAAAGAGAAATTTAAAGTTTCCCAACCAGAGCCCGGTCCAAGGATGTTCATCAGATGCTTGAAGAATTGAAGACTTGGACGGTCGAGAAAAGATGGTTTCATGTTTAATTTTGTAGTTCGGCATTTTCTTACTTTCCTGTTTTTTTTTTTCTCCCTTTCTGTAGAGACTTGTTTTCTTGGGTTAAGAATCAAATAGTTGAAACCGTTTTACATTCACCAAAGAAAAGAAAGGAAAAGAAAAGATTACAACCTTTTGAGTTAAAGAGTCAGCCTAACTGTTGTTTGCCTTGCTCAACGCCCAGAAAAAAAAGAGAGGAAAATTTTAACATGTTTCCCTCCGGTTCAGCATTTGTATTTGGCTGTCTTAAAAACACAAATTCCTAAGTTCTAACTAAAGGAAGGGCTGAGCTACAACGTCACATTATGCAACTCAATCATGAGCAAATTTTTTCTGTTAAACAATAACCAATATTTGGGTTCCTCGCCCCTGATACATCTTACAATTCTATTCCCTGTCTATAGGGCTTTCTCGAATGCTAATATGCGGAAAGCAAGAACTGTGCTTACTCCTAAATCCTTTATTTTCTAAGGTGGTGTTTTAGCCAAGCAATAACGATGATAATATCTCCCCCATTGTCTTATCAGATACTATACCTTCATCATTTTCGACTTCTACTCCCGACTGTAATACGGCAGCATCCAGTGTTAACTTCCTCTTTGCAATCTCAAAGACGTTTTCATCAACTGTATCCTTAGTCACTAACCTACAGTGAAAACAAAATGATGCAGAATGAATGCATCATATCAAGCAGAGTTGAAACTTACTTGGACACGGAATAAATTTTGCATAGAGGATTGGTACCTGTAAATTGTCACCGGTTTGGTTTGTCCAATTCGATGACAACGATCTTCAGCTTGTCGATCAATCTGTGGATTAAAATCCATGTCGTGTATTATGACAGTGTCTGCTCCGGTCAAGTTCAAACCCTGTCCTCCTGCTCTTGTAGAAAGCAAGCATGCAAATATTGAAGAGTCCTTATTGAAATTATCAACAATTGTTTGTCGATCTGACACCTGGGTACTGCAATCAAATATTTAAAGTTAAATATCAAGAAAAATGGCAAGTTGATTAGGCTGTCTATGAACAAACTAAGAACATCAGGGAACATATATATTCAACTAATTTGTATCAATTGTAGACAAATCAAAACAGTAGTACTCAGATACCAAACACAGCTAACCGAAGAGATTAGTAAGAGCAATTCCTTATAAAAACATATTATAGACCGTGGTGCTAATTAGGAAAGAAGAACAAGAAGTACACATCTACCTTCCATCTAGACGACTATAAGTGACTCCGATCACATCCAAGGCCCATTCCAGAATATCAAGCATTGAAGTCCATTGACTGAAAATAAGTACTCGATGCCCTTCATGTTTTAGAGCAGGGAGAAGTTCATTTAATACCTGGAACACGATTATAAGTTAGCCATTGGAAGCATTATATGAGTACTAACTTTCTATAAGAGGCAAGCTATTAATCATCTAACCACTTCAGTCCAGGAAACACATACCTGGCATTTTCCAGAGGCCATAACATGCCGATCTGACAGAGTTCCCTTTGTATCTCTGTCACCATAAGAAAGTAAAAGCTGCAAGAGAGGAAGCAGATAGATTGCATCAAAAGATAGAGAAAGCACAGCAGATATAAAGTTTAAGCAATATTTTTCAAAACAGTACAAAGTATCATTTAGGCGGTGCATATTTTGCAATCACAAACTACCAGTTACATATTAGAGCCCAGAGAAACAGAAAAGGTCAGATGAAAAAGCAGGTAAACTACGCCACATACAACTACATCAAAAAGTTCAAACGAAAATTAAACAGTAATAGGAAATTGTTTTGCAGCAAATAACATCCTTATATTTTGGCTTGCAGTCTAGATTTCTCCACTATACAACTCCGTAAATTTTGTATAGACAACAGATTTCCTGCAACTATTCATTATAAGCCATGCTTTACAGTTAGATCAACAAAACTGAAGATGGTTAAGCAAAAGAAGCACTTCCGAACTATTTTGATCTTTTTATTTGTTCTTCTTTATTCTCTACCCATGTTTTTATTTAGCAATCAAAAAGTGTAGTCAGATAACTCAAAATTAAGTTGAAAAGAAATAAAAAACCAAGTTCAGAAGGCACGAATGTTATTTACTACCCCAAAAATCCAACGATGGCTTAAAAAACAATACACAACTTCTAAGCAATTTGAGTCCAGAGTTCTCCTTGAGGAGATGCAATGTCAGAGTCCTCCCTATACAAAGGGTTTCAGGAAGATCATTCAGAAGATATATTGCTACGCAAAGTTCTTGCATGGGTATTTAGATAAGAGTAAAACAAAGTAGGATGCACGCAAATAAAAGGGTGGCATTCACAAAGAAATAAATATTCACATCCAGCATTCAACCTTTCTACGAAAGCAGCAAATTCAGAAATATTATCACAATTTTATAACCCAAAAGGTGACTGCGGCAACTATATATAAAATATAGGAACGGGAAAGAGTACCCGATGAATTGAGAAATCACTGTAATTCTTAAGTTCGTCAATCACGCGTTCCATGCCACACTCAAAACCGAAAGCACCTTTTGAACGCAAAATTTTAGCGAATCGAATGATGTCATCGTCTCTGTATATGCGTCTCACAAGTAGAGGATGATTCGCAATCTGACAAGGAAAAAAGAAGGTAAACTCTAATCAACAACAAAAATTTTACCATGTACAAAGACATTTGAGCTATAGCACTAAATTTTTATCACCTTGCGAAACTCGTGGAAATAATTAGAAATCTGTCTGCGAGGCAAAATTCCAGCCATATTCTTCACACCACCATCTGGTAGCTTTGACATACGAGCTTGACAAGTTGCACGGTAATTATCAATTGCTTCTCTGTAAGCATCGGCTTGCTGTTTTTCCATTCTCACATACTCAACCTGCAAAAACAATAGACGATCAGAAATTGCACCACCAGGAATCCTACAAACATGGATCCAAGATGTTTAAAACTCAACAAAAACAACTGACAACAAGAGATTGCACCACCAGCGGAATTATACAAAACGTGCATCCATTTGAAAAAAATTTCAGGCAAAATATCTAATAGGTTGAAAAACAAAGATGCCTGCAGCACCTTCTGGATTTTCTGGACAAGCTGCTGCATCACGTCTGATTTTAATCTCCTCAATATGAAAGGCCCAAGGATAGACTTTATTCGAGTAATCAAGTCTCGATCTTCTGCATTGAGAAGCTTCCTCAAATCAACATCCCCAGTTTCAAATAGATCAGGCAACATAAACTCCAGCATAGACCACAACTCCTATACACGGAAACACCAGATTAGAGAATCACCCAAATGTAACACATGAATACCAGCCAGAGTTACTTCAACAGTATAGTTCTTCCAAAATTTTGCAGTTGGCATTGTCATCAGAAATGAGATACTATTCTGGTGTTAAGAAGTTACATTAGCTCTCTGTGAAGCATGTTTTGCTGTATTTCCACATGTTTCTACATGATCAGATTTTGTAATGATTACTCCATATCACCGTCTGTATTTATATCCAACAGATAGTGGTTAAACAACAGTACAACATTAGTTTCACATTCCAGCAAGATGTCCTTACTCTTGACAATTGACAGTCAACAGTGATACATTAATTTACCCACGTCTTTTATATCTAGCAGCACAAAACACCCATTGCAGTCAACATCACAAAAAAAAACCCGGATCAATTAACATACATGCAGATCATTTTGAAGTGGTGTCCCAGTAAGCATTAGACGCTGCTTCGCTTTTCGGGCAACAGACTTTAGATTTTTCCACCTATAGCTACTTTTATCCTTCAGGGCATGAGCTTCATCCATCAGAACACAGCTCCATTCAAAATGTTTCAAAACCTTGCGCTCATCTTTCTGTTGTGCACTGTAAAATTAGAGCCAGACATGAGTATTCACATGATATTCAGGACGATAAATGAAGTTCCTTGTCTCATTGTAGGGAGCAGAGATAAAACAGTAGATCTTACCTTCGACGTTCAAAAAGTGAGTAACACACAAGAATAACATTGAAAGGAGGAGGTAATCCTGCTTTCATAACAGTGCTCAATTGTTTAGAATAAGCTGATCGAGCTGGACCGTGATACTGGAGAACAGTAAGAGAGGGGCACCATTTCTTTAGCTCGCGTTCCCAATTCTCCAGAACAGATGCAGGGCAAACAATCAAATGAGGACCACAATCATTGTGCAAATGATCCAGCATCGTTAAATATGTTATCGCCTGAAAAATATGATGTGTGCCATTAATAACCACTAAAGTAAAAGAAAGTTCAACCATATTAACAGGCTTTCCAAAAAGAAAAACAATATTAACAGAACCATCATGCCAAAATGTATCCTTGATAATCAATCATATGTTCACAAAATTATTTAAGCCTTTAACATAATCAGCTAGGAAGGAAATGAGTCACAAAAAGGAACATAAACAAAGTCAGCTCACCTGAATGGTCTTACCAAGACCCATTTCATCTGCCAATATTGCTGCATGAGACAAACCGGAACACGTCAGCATCTAAATTGTTTTTTTATTATCAATTAGCTAGCTAAAAATTCAAGCTTGCACGAAAAGAAGTGTCAGACTTTCTTTAGCTAAATGTCTGCACATCGGTCGTTACCATTCATCAAGTATAGCAATCAAACACCAACGAGATAGTCTTAATACATATTTTTAAAAGACACAAAATGCCGAAACCACGCTAAGAGCTCTTGGTTCAAAAAATATTGGGTACTTGTTTTGATCAGGGAAGTAAACATTCCGTTATTACCTCCACCGATTTTCTTCCTATACAAGAGCAGAAGGAAATTGACGCCAACCAATTGGTAAGGTTTTAGCACGGGCTGAAATTCAGAGTCGGATCCACCACATGCATCATTCACATCATCCTAAAACCAAAATTGGAAAAGCAAATAAGCACCGAGAAAAACAGAAAGCAGAAAAGCTTAAAGCCTAAAACTGCTGAGTGCAGACTCTTATAAAATTAATCAATAACATATTTTTTCCTCTTTAACAACAAATGTAATCCAACCAAAGTGGCACCTACATAGCTGATCAGAAAAACATCAACACATGAAGCTGGCCAAAATGCACCACAATCTAAGCATCTCAACAGAAGGTTAAGCCAGAAAGTAAAAGAATACAACAGAGCTGCACCTAATGTTGATTTCTTGGTTGTTTAGTACGATGCAACAACAATGCCTGCTTTGGGATTATTAGCTCTTAAGAGATTTTCGCTCTAGCAACGAAGAAAGGTTACGCACCTGGGTGACGATTCTAACTGCAGAATTTACGTCGACTTCCGAATACGTATCACACGCAGCTCCCGCAGCACCATACAACTCTCCCTTCAGCTCAGCCGAGATTCTCCCACATTTCTGCAACGCCTTCTTGATTAAGCCTTCCTCCTCCTCAAACTCATCAAATTCGTCTCCGACTCCGATATCTTCCTCCTCTTCTTCATCTTCATCATCGATCACAAACCGGCGGCCACGGCTACTTGCCAAAGTTGCCTTACTGTTTCGATTGCTCGCCTCGATGTCAACATCATCATCCTCCAAATTCTCAAACTTTTCCTCCGAGGAAGACTCCAGAATTTCAATCGGAGTGAATTCGGAACGATTCGACGCCTGACCATTCGAGTAATTCCTAGAAGTATTATTATCCGAGTAAGAGAACGACTCAATCGGCGGCGGCATTGACCGTGGCCGCGACTTTGTAGCCTCGTCTTTGTTGGCGAAACGGGAGAAGTTGAAGGAGTGTTTGCTCCAAACGTCCTCGTCGGAGCTAAGCTCCAAATCGTCGATGCTTCGCTTCATCTGCCCTAGAATCTATAGAAAAGAGGAAGAGGAAGAATTACTAATTTTCCTCTCCTCTTGATTCCTTTGCCCTATCGCTTTCGAAGAATTTCCTTTCCCAAATTTTACAAAAACACACACACACACACACACACTGAAGCTTTGAGGTTTCCCTCTTCAATGCTTTCGTTTCTGCTATTATAATTATTTTTTTCAATTTTAATTTTAGTTTTTCTAGTTTTCCCTTTCCTCTTTTTCGGAGGGAATGGAAAATGAGGGATGCCGCCTTTTTCCGAGGCAAAAATTTTTATTTTCAATCCCGTAATAATTACGGCTAGAATCACCACCGCTCCACTAGATTCAAACACAATTAATACGTGTTTTTTTTTTTTTGACATTAAACACATTTATATAATTCACCAAAACTTAATTTTTATGACACAATTATTTTAATATAAAAATAAATTAACCCGTTAATATTTGAAATCAACCTTTGTTTTTCTTTTTATTTTATTTTATAGGTAGTTAATGCAGCTATATGTATTGAATTGCTCCGGCATTTTTTTTATACCATACACTAAAATACTAGTATAAAATTTTAAGAATTTATTCATAATTATTACCCCAACAACAAAAAATTAGGCGAAAAATCCTTAAATATATATATATATTTATAAAAAAATAAAATCGTACACCTCGTATCAACTTTGACATCAACTTTTAAGTCGACAAAATTGACGATGAGAGAATTTTATTAAGGAACTAAATCCATATTTTGTAACTCTATACGGTTTTTAAAAAATAAAGATATAAAAAATTGGTAATATCGGAAACCCTACTTATTGAAATAGTCTGCAAATGATCACCCTAAACAAAGTTAAAAGTGACAAGTTCGGATTTGAAATCAAGTTCGTGTAAGATTTCACTATAACTATCTTTCGAGAAGTTTCAATTGTTGGAGTGAAGATTAAACTCACAATCTCCTCTATATGATTCAATGTCAATGTGATTTTACCAGTGAACCAACACCTTATTCCCAACTCTTTACACTTTTCAGTTTACTAAAACACAAGAAGATTGTGTTGATTATTTTGTTGATTTTGTCAACACATGCAGTTTTATTTTTTCAGTTAACACTTTTGTTTTCCATTAATTGGACCGTAACTATGTATTGCAAATATGGGGCATATCTTGGGCAAAACTGCACCTTAAATATTAGAAAATATTTTGAAATATAATTACTGCTGTATTAAAATTAAAAATAAGGGAAAAAAAATAAAGCATACCATTCATTGTCTATGACTTTTGTCATTTCGAAATTTGCATTTAAATCAAATTGAAAACATATTAGTTTATCCTAATCAAGCGATTTTAATTATATATGGGAAATATATTGCCAAAACTTTTTACAAATACAACTAAAATACTATAAAATATTTCGAAATATTATATCGTTCTCTAAAAATTAAAAATAATGTACATATGAGCTAAGGCATATCATTCATTGTTCCAAATAACTGGTTTTAATTATACGAACTAGTTGGGGATATATGTATTGGATTGCTTCAACATTGTTTTTTTTACACAATTCACTGCAATATTATAAAATTTTAAGAAATTTACAATTATTCCCCCACCCCCTCCCAACAAAATAAAAAATAGGGGGAACATTAAAAATAAAAAACTCTTATTTCTAATGTTCCCATGTAGTTTGTCATCGATTTTTGCATCTTGTCGACTTTGTCATCAATTTTTAAAAGCCGACGAAACAGTTGACGCAAGAAATTTTGTTGAAAGTTCGCATGTAACTTATGCAAACTCTTTATACTTTTCAATTTACCAAAAACAAAAAGATTGCGTCGATTATTTCGTCGAACTTTACCAAATCGACGATAAAATGGATACAATCAGTTTTACGTTTTCAATTGTCATTTTTTATTTCTATTAGAGGGGCCACAATTATGTATTGGGACACGTTATTGTTCAATTTGTTTTTACAAATTACACATAAAATATTAGAAAAATATTTTGAATGTCATTTCTGCTTCTATCAAAATCAAGCTTTTAAACCAAACAATTCTTTGCTACTACCATTAAAGGGTATGAAATGCTAGAAGTGTGCTAGGGTTCTAGATTATTATATTTGTATTAAACTTCGTAGTGAATTATGATTAGTTAGTTATTTAGAAATTGAATGTCCAAAAATCCAAATTGAGAACTAAGTTCACAATCTCTATTTTTGTTTTCTTGGGTGCCGTCCTTAGAAAATGTTTTTAAGATATTATTCCTACAATATTATGTAATGGAATTGGATGAACTTACAATTTACAGATAATTTTCTGTTCACATAACAGTCTAATTTTTTTTATCACCATTAAATACCTTCCTCTTTGTTTAACGGTCTCAAAATATCCAAGCATGCCATAAAATATCCAAAATTCAAAATTAGAGATCCAAACTTTGGGGATATAATCTATTATTTGATCAAAATTTGGGGAGTCCCTTTTTATTTGATGAGAATGTAGGGTCTAAATGTGGTAATTAAGCGCCACACATTATAACATACTACCAGCTTCACGGGACGAACTTCGTCCCAGAGTGGAATTCTCAGTTATGGCGATTTTTATAAGCTCTTAATACAAAGTTTTGATTCTTCCTCTTCAAGATTCCTGCATTGGCCTCCATAATCAGACTTTTGGTGTGCCAAAATTGTTATCACCGAACTTGTTCTACCGTTTGAAGACAAGCCCTCTTGTAGGCGTTTGTAAGAAAAGTTGGGAACTTTTAATTTATTGAAGAATTAGAAAAAAAGAAGGAGAAATGGACGGAGCTTCATCTCCGGCCGAAGAGCAGGCGTTGGTCACTTCTTTTCTGGAAATCGCCGCCGGTCAAAGCCCCGGTACTGCCCGTCAGTTTCTTCAGGTATAGTGGCGATATTTGTGATTTGGGGTTTTTATCACCGATCTGTAACTTCTGTTTTGATCAATCCAACCCCCACCTTTTTGTACTTTGTTTGAGAAATTATACCGTCTTGTGCTTAAAATGTGGTTTTTTTCATGACTGCTGTGTAAAAACCTAGCCTATTGATGATATGGATGGTGAAAAAGTTCCGGGTCTAGAATGTTCCGGGTAGGAATGTGTGTAGCATTTGTACACATCTAGAATGTTTTGCATTTTCCTGGGAGGCTTTCCTGAATTATATTCTAGCAAAGTCTCTTTTCTACTTTAGTTTAGGGTTCCGTGAAAATGAAGGGCAGGTTTTGTAAGTGTTTGGGTAATTTTACATGAAATTTACTCGAGAATTCCTTCATTTGCTTTTATTTCCACGTTTCAGGGTTTCCCGAGGATCTTGCGGTAGATATTGGATTTAGGGGTTTGTGGTGTTAGTGAAAACTGTGTTTTAGTGTTTATTTTGTGAAAACTGAATTGGGGCAATTATATAGTCCAGAAATTATCAAATTTAAGCTTGTCAGATGTGTAGTAGGTTTTATAATGTGGAGCTGATGAGAAACACAGCATAACTGATGTAAGTGCTAGTCCCCTTTGTCCCAAAATGATTGTTGTCGCTCTTGTGCGCTGTTCATCTGCTAACTAGTTACATTCGCATAGTGATATTAGACTTCACACCTTAATGAATTACCCAGACCATTTATCAGCAGCACTGGAGTCTACTAATTCTCTCACAGTGGAATTGTCCTTGGACCACTGTCCCTAACCTTCTGCTCGCAATTTAAATCTATGTACATGGTCTGTAGAAATTGAATTTAAAGTTTACTTGTAAAAAGAAACTTAGCTGTTATGGTTGTTAGCTCTTGAGATTCTTTATGTCGAAGTGTACAGTTGAATACTTTTCTGTCTCGAGGTTTTTTGTCGACTTCAATTCTTGGATCTATGAAATCTCCTTACAAATTTCCATGGGGTCAGGCCACAAATTGGAACCTGGAGGAAGCTATTCAGCTTTTTTACGTTGGAAATGATGCCGGAGCTGCAGTTGTATCTTCACCACCTCGCCAGTTGCAAAGTGACATTCCTTCACCCAATCCAGTCTTCAGGCAAGTTGAAGATGACTTCCTATATGCTAAATGATCCGAGATCCTGCTTTTTCTTTTTCTTTTTTTAATTTATTTTATTTGAAGTTTTATTTTCCCAGGCACAGGCAGTTAGACTGGAATAAAAATGTTGTCTTACTACAATTGGAAAAAGTATTTTTGATTTTTACGTCACAGAATCTGCCCTTTGCCTGTCTTTTATGCTTTTGCCTTTTGATGCAGCGGGCCAGTAAATGACATAGAAGATGAAAATGCTCAGGGAGGTGACGTTTCTGATGTCCGGCCTCCTTTACCTGTGAAAAGGGATGTTCTCTATGATAATGCAATGTTTTATGGGTATGTTTTACATTCCTTTAATTTCCATTTAACTTTAAGGATAGCTTTATTTTAGAATTTTCTTGTATGTACATCATTTTCATACTCTCCATGCTTTTTAATCAACAAACCAGGTATCTCGTGTTTTGTGGATGAACATGACTGTAAGATATGATTTCTTTAGCTGACTAAATATTAAGCATTGGTGAGAAATTGATTTATCTTTCTTGTCTGTGGACTTCTCCATATTGAAGATTCAATTGGAGTTACCGAAAAAAAGTAAACTTTTTTGAACCGGCTGTTGACTGGTATTTCAGCTATCCTGGAACTTTAGCACTTCAACTAGCAAGAAAATGTCAAAGTTGGCTGGATTAGTTTGGCACTTGTGTTGAGTGTCTTTTGTTTCCCTTTCTTGGCTTCGATTTATTGAAGACTTATGTTGAATGAAGCATTTTCTGTTTGTCTTTCCCCCACATCCCTCTTTAAGTGGATTGAGAATGGGAGGTTCATCTCAAGCAGCTCGTCCAGTGGTACCCTTCCGCAATTTCGAGGAGGAAATGAGACGCCCTGGTGTATGGGAAGCAGAGAATGGTTCTGCCCCTGTCATTGACAGTTCTCGAGATAATCTTGCTTCTTTATATCGTCCTCCATTTGGGTTGATGTTCCACGGACCATTTGAAAAGGTAAATTGAATTTCTTTGCAGTTTTTAGCCCTTGGAAATTTTCTTTTGATATCTCTCTTGAGGCCTTGTCATTCACTTTCGAACTGCAGAAATTCTTTTTGAGGTATCAGTTTTTGTAATATGTCATGAGTATTTTGTAACTGGATTCATTTATATTTTAGAACTTTGATGATAAAAGTATGTTATGTGCCCTTCATACACTTGCCACCTTCTTCGACAAGGGAATGCCTGAATGTATAAAAAGGCACTGTTAAATCTGGGCTTATACCGAGACTTTGTCTTTTCATTGTTGTAGATGGTGACACTATGTTGACATGCCATCCTTAAATGAGTGCCGTCAGACTCTGAGCTTGATTGAGTATTTTCATTTTCTGTGGTATTATCTGCACAAAGTTCTCACTTGGACGCGCAGAGTTGTTTTATGTTAGAATTGCCTTTCTTTACTAATTTGTGTGTTGTCTCTTATTTCTCTATTTGCAAATTCTACCTTTAGAGCTCATGTAATCTTCCTAGATTTTCAATGATTTACTAGTTGCTTTTTTGTTGCTTCCGTAGTTTATTTGATTTGAGTTAGTCTGATTTTTGGGGATCGTGTAAGTCTGATTATTGCGTTTGTCACAGTTGTAACATTGTTTCTACCTTCTGTAGGCAAAAGATACTGCAAACTCGCAGAACAAGTGGCTTTTGGTAAACTTGCAGTCCACGACAGAATTTAGCTCCCACATGGTAGGAATTATCCTCTCTATGTTCTGTTTCCTCTGTTACATGTTTGATGATGTACTTATACCTTTCTTTTATCATGTCTTTGACTTCTTCTGAAGCTTAATCGTGATACATGGGCCAATGAGACTGTTGCTCACACTATCAAAAACAATTTCATCTTTTGGCAGGTTAGTTTAACTTCTTTATTTTAAGTTAAGATGGCTTGGGGTTAATTATTGCTGCTATTGGCTTATTCTTAGAGTCATACTAAGTCAATTAGTGAATGCCTCATTTTTATTTTTTCTTCTGAATCTCTTTATTTCTGTGTGTACTCTATTTATGCAGAGGTAAGACAAATGTGATATTTTGTACCTTTGCATGAACAATGTGGTGCGCTTACCTCTATGAATTTGTGCATGTAGGTGTATGATGATACAGAAGAGGGGAGAAAGGTTTGTACCTATTACAAACTAGAATCTATCCCTGTTGTTATGCTTGTTGATCCTGTCACTGGCCAAAAAATGCGCTCTTGGCGTGGAATGGTTCAACCAGAAACTTTGTTGGAGGTACACAGTTTCTAGTTCTTGTGGTGGTGTATTCAGTGTTACATTTTTTCTTTCCCAACGCTCACTTTATTGCTGATTCTTAGTTATTTAGTTTATTTGAAGTTTTTTGTATTTTGTTGTAGGATCTTTTACCGTACATGGATGATAGCCCAAAAGATCATTTCGCTAACATGTCTCATAAACGTCCCAGAGAGAGTTCTAAAGTCCCTCAGCGAGTTAAAGGTGCTGCGAAATCGATTATTTTTTATTTGTCTACTATTGCAGCAAAGCTTTCTCTACTATTTGCAATGATAAATTGTTTATGCATTAGAGATGGGCCGTAAGACGTTCTGCATCCTTTTGACAAAGTGAAGTCATTGTTTTTGTTACCTTCTTGTTTAAATCAGTTTTGAATCGTTGAAATTTACCATTTAGTTTGATGCCACTTTTGTGGTGTTTTTCTTGAATTACCTGGGTTTGCATACATGTGTTTGCTTGGTAAGTGATGATTGAAAACTGATACTTACTGCACTTGGCTGGGAGGTCAGATGAAAATGAAGATCAGGAATTATTACGGGCATTGGCTGTTTCAATGGAAGGTGTAGAAGATGTTGGTAATCATGATGAAAAGGATGCTGACATTGATGAGAAAACAGAAATATGCCCAGCTAAGACGCCTACTTACCCATCTCTTCCAGAAGAGCCAAAGCCTGACAGGATTCGTGTTTGTAAGGTTGGTGTAAGGCTCCCTGATGGGCGCAGAATTCAGAGGAACTTTTTCCTCTCTGATCCTATCCAGGTACAAGCTTAATGCATCTTGATGGATATCAATGTACTTCTGCTTTAGATAGGCTTTAATTATGTCCAAAACGAAAGGCATGCTCATTGTTCCATGATCAAACAACAAATTTTATATGCAAAGTTTGGGAAAATTTTGGTAAAATTTAATGATTATGTATATTAGTACCAAAAATAAAACACAAAACCCTTTTCATCTTCAATTGTTACTTTTTGGTGCCCTCTGAGGTACTATCCCTCCTGGAAAAGAGTGTTGGATAACCTGGAACAACTGACTTAACCTTGGTTTCATAATTTGGTGCTTTCAGTTGCTATGGTCTTTCTGCTGTTCTGAGCTCGAAGAAGCAAAACAGCGTCCGTTTCGCTTGACTCATGCTATCCCAGGTTCCAGCAGGAGTCTGGATTATGAAGGGAATTTAACTTTTGAGGAGATGGGTCTTGCCAATTCTATGCTATCGTTTACATGGGAATGAAGATGAGCTTGTAGTAATTTATGGTTGAAGATCATGGTTGGGAATTCCGTTTTCTAATAGCTCTATCTCATCTTGGCCCTTTTGTCATGCTATATTTTGTATAGTCTTGTTACTGTTTTAAACTAAACAACAAACTGCTATGATGCGCTCCAAATTTATTTACGATGAATTTTGAGTTGCAGATTATGAAATAGATAATTGGTTCTGACATCGGAATTGGTTTTCAGATACTATTAGCTGCTCTGACTGGTTAATTTTATTACAACAGTAAGCTTAAAATCCTCGCAGGTAGCCGTTAACTTAATATATTCATTGTCTTAAATTTGAAGCTTATTGTGCTTTCACTAAATTGCTCCCTGAGATTGGGGGCGATGACAATCCTTTTTGGCCTCCCCAGAAAAGGTTTTGAGATCAAATGTAGAAACTCGCGATGATCGTTTTTGGGTAGACCAAAAAAGATTATGAATGCGGTATGTGCGTTTGGCCTTGAAGGATGATCGTTTTGCTTTCGAAATCGAGCTAAGATGTTAACATTAGGCTAGGATACTGTGTCAACTAGTAACTTTACATGAAGCATCCCACATTTGGCTTGTTGGGAACGATCATGAAGCACGCAGTTTCCTCCTCCAAAAGAGAATGAGACAGAAAATGGAAAAGGTAAAAAAGAAGCAGCTTGGTGACAAAAACACGAGAAAACTCAACAGTGGAACTCGAAATGATTATATTTACAGTGAAGGAAAGTGATGGATCGTGCGCCTTATTCTATCTTTCTTTTTTTTTAGTTTTCACCTAAAAGAAAAGCTGCCGGAAAAGCTAAAACTAAATCATGTTTTACTTTGTGGTTCACCCCTCGTTAAAATTAAAAAGCAGCTGGCTGCTTTTGTACGCTTTTCTTTTCTTTTCTTTTGGTCAATGCAACTCATTTTTTATCACTTCAACTTTGCACCCTTTTTTCAATAGTGTGTGTGTGTGTGTGTGTGACAGATAGAGGGGGCTGTAAAAAGGGAGAGATCATCAAAGGGGGTCACATGAGGGATGATGCGAAGTCACGTGTTCTTAAAGGCTTAAAGCTCAACAGGGCTGCATTTATTCATTGGAATTACATTAATTGGTGGTGGTAATGAAATGAATAGTGTCTGTTTGTTGTTATGTATAGACTATATAGAGGGTAAAGAGGATGTTTTTTCCTGGATTCTGTACACATTATGTTTCTGATGGCTTTGGTGGGGCTCAAACTTTGAAGCTTTGTTGGGCCAGGAAACTCAGAAGTACTCATAACTCCATTAGTCTTGCTGTAAAGGTAAAAAATTACAAGATCTTTTCTCTGTCCCAAACAAAATAACTTCGGTTATTATACGTATTACTCCTATTTTAATTGTAAAATTTTAAAATGGATTATTTAAAATAGATTTAATAGAGTGATTTGGATTTTGGAATTGGACTTTAGACTTCTAATAAACAATTTACATTCAACTGATCCAAATTTTTTGGGCTTGAATTACGTGGACTTCTAACTCAAAACCATTTGACTTAAGGTACAGAGATTAAGGCCTAATATCTTGTATAATTAGTTAGGGTTTTAATCTTTTCCTTTCCACCCTCTCTCACACACATACACACAAACGCGCAGATCATCAGAACAAGAAGACGACGACGACCATGACCAAAACTCTCTCTTAGAAGGGTGAATGACAGAAAAGTAAGAAAGTTCATAGGAAAAAGTTAAAAAAATTTAAACAAAGAGCTGATTTCGACAAAAAGCAACTTGCTTTGCTCTCTCTAAACTGATTTCTTTTCGCTTATAAGTCCTTTTTCTCCTGTCTTTCTCTCTGAGAAAAAATCATTGTACCCCACCATCACAACCCCATATACAACAAACCAATATTCCCCCTTGTAATATGAGCAGTAAAGCCAGCAAGAAAGAAACAACTCCCCACTCCCTCCTCCAGTCACTACTAGCAGAAGAAGAAGAAAAGATAAAGTCTTTGTTCAATTTCATGCTTCATCATTAAGATTTCAAACCCATCAAAAACTCAGCATCAGCATCTATGGTGGAAAATAACGACAACAACAACAATACTGGTCCATCTTCTTCCTCTGACGCCTTCACTTCCTCAGAAAATGCATTAACCATTTCAAACAAACGAAAAAGAAGACCCGCTGGCACCCCAGGTATTAAATTCTTATTAAAAAAAATTTCTTTTTTACTTATATCATGCATCATTTGAGGTTTATAACCATTTTTAATTTATGGGTTTCAATCTGTTTTTGATATATTTCATGCATTTGTCAAAATAAAATTGGTGGGCTAGAATTGTATGATTTTACTTCTTTTTTTTTTAGATCCAGATGCTGAGGTTGTTTCGCTATCTCCAAAGACGTTACTGGAATCGGATAAATACATATGTGAGATCTGCAACCAAGGATTCCAAAGGGATCAAAACTTGCAGATGCACAGAAGGCGGCATAAGGTGCCATGGAAGTTGCTAAAGAGGGAAAATCCTGAGGTCAAGAAAAGGGTTTATGTGTGCCCAGAACCATCTTGCTTGCATCATGATCCGTGCCACGCACTTGGGGATCTTGTGGGCATAAAGAAGCATTTCAGGAGGAAACACAGCAACAACAAACAATGGGTCTGTGAGAAATGCTCCAAAGGTTATGCTGTTCAATCTGATTACAAAGCTCATCTCAAAACTTGTGGTACCCGAGGCCATTCCTGTGATTGTGGCCGTGTGTTTTCCAGGTTTGTTTGTCCCATTCATTTCCCTTTATTTTTAAAGTTTCCACCTTTCTTACTTCTTCTTCTTCTTCTTTTAAGATATTCCCTCTTCCTTCACTAAATTCTATGAATGTACTGTAGTTACTACAACAATATGGTCTATATCTTACAATATTAGTATTAATGTACTTGTTTAATTCATCTCTCTCTCTCTCTCTCCTGGCATGCTTTTTTGTTTTTTCCATCAGCACTACAAATGTAGAAATACTCCTCTTTTGTTAATTGAGGCATTGACAAATTCTTTATAGGCAATGGCATAAATTTATGCCAATTGCTTTGACTAGAAGTTTTGAGTTTTTAGGTCAAAAAGGGTGGACTGATTAGGAACCCTTTTCTACCTGCTGATTGTTTAAACTAATGCTGTTACAATGTGCTTAAGTACCACTGTGTAATGTAGCGTTTCATATTGGTAAAAGTAACATCTTTCCATGGCATTAGCCCATTTTGAGTTTTTTCATAAGTTTATAAAGTTCTTTCATCAACCTGAAGAGTAAAAGTAATATTATTTGTATACTTGTGGCACTTTTAGAGTGGAGACCTTCATTGAGCATCAAGACAGTTGCGCGATTCGTCGACTCCAGCCAGACATGAAGGCTATGCAGCAGCCAGATAGCTCTTGCTGTGTTGGTTCCAGCACTAGCCCATCTAGTCATGATACAAATTTCAGTATGGTTGCCCCCAAGCAGGCAACGATGTTAATGATGCCTGCTGCAAATTTGGAAACTCACTCATTTATGGGTTCTGACTGTAACAACAATTCTACTAATACTCCTGGAGCTGTTCAAGAGCAACACAATTTGGAGCTTCAGCTGTTACCATCTTCCTACAGTGATGAGGATATTCAAGCAACAAGCTTGAGACTATCTATAGGAAGTTCTCCAAACCGTGATGTAGATGAAAGAAACCAAACCAAATCTTTGAATGTGTATAAAGGGTTGCTTGGAGGAGATCAAGGATCATCAGCAAGGTTGAATCAATCAGAAGCAGATGAGCAACTGCAGGTTGCGATGGCTGAGAGGGCATTTGCGGAGAAGGCAAGACAGCAAGCTACGAGGCAGCTGGAGTTGGCTGAAATGGAATTCGCCAATGCCAAGAGGATTAGGCAACAAGCACAAGCTGAGCTCGAGAAGGCGAAGGAATTGAAAGAGCAAGCAACCGAAATGATTAGCGAAACCATCACGGAGATCACTTGTCATGCGTGCAGGCAAAGGTTTCAAGCAACAGCAGCTCATCAAAACAATGTCTTGGCTGATGATGAGACTTCGCGGGCTTTGAGTTACATGTCTTCAGCTACTGATGCTGAGGGAGATTAGTTAAGGAAAAAGTCCCTCCACATCATAGAAAGCTATATAGATAGAGTTCTTACTTCTTACTTTCTTTTTGGAGGGGAATCATTTTACCTTTTGTTGACTTATCTAGTGGTTTTCTCTCTATAGTCTATATCCATCCTCTGGAGTTTTTTTCTTGGAAAAAAAAGTTGGTTCATTGAGTTTCAGTTTTATGAAGAGCTCAATGGAGGATGTGTTCCCCTGAATAGTTAAAAAGAGAAATGAAATTAATTTGGATCAGATAGCATGGTAAGAGGGCATTTATTGTGTTCCTTCTCTGTGGGCTTAAACTCTTCTCTCTAATGATGATCCCTGTCGATTTCTGGGAGAGACCCAGTTTTACGTAATTTGTCAGTCAGGCATGTTTTCTTTGTAACCAGATTTGATTCTTACCGTTCGCCCTTTTTCTCTTTGAGTTGCTTTTGATGTCCAAAAGAAGAAAAAAGGTCCAGTAACGAACTTAATGAGCCTTTGGATTCCTTTTTTTTTCCTTTTCTTCTTGCATGCAGGAGCCTATTCGACGTGGTCAACAATGATTAATATCAATTTATGGGTATTCATTTGTCCATGCACCCAACTTTCCGGCTAAGTCCGGTTGGAAACAATTCAATGCTTAAATTTTCAGATGTTTTGCAGGAAAAAAAAAAAGGGTTAAGGTTTAGGGACTTTAGGCAATATCTTTAATGTTTTCATTACGGTTTTTAATATTTTTTTTGAGATGAAATGTATAAATTATTCTGGAAAAGGGAAAAAAAAAAAAAAGCACTTGAAAAATAAAGAAAGTCTAAATAGGGAAAAGAGAGAGAGAGGAAGAAAAGAGGTAGATTTGGGAGAATTGAATGCAAGCATGTTTTTCAGTGCCACAGTTTGAATGGTTTGGATTCAGGCATCAGTCTTTTTCTCAAAGAAAACTACAACACACTCCCACAAAATTACAAAATCACTTTTTCACACACACACACACACAGTCACAGAGGTTAGGTTACTTTTTAAATTTTTTTTTATCAGAATCTCTGCAAAGCAGGAAGCCAAGCCTAGCCCCAAGCTGTCCAACTAGACATCTCCATATTTTTACCCCTTTTTTCTTGGGTTCTTTTTTGGAGCTTCGTCAACGTTGTCGACTTCCCCATACAACCAAATCCTACATCGGCCCATATGCTTTTAACCGTTTGGTTTTTTTGGGTAAAGTTTATAGGAGAAGAAATGGTTGTGGTTTGGTTGGTGAAATGGTTCCTTTTGTCAAATAAGTCATTTTTATGGATATTTGAAGATTCCTTCAAATTACTGGTAAGTGGGAATATCTTCAACGCAACACCGTATGGCCCATATCTCATATAGAACTCGATTGGGTCTTTTAAAATGTCATAGCTCTGGGCTAATTTTATTTCGAGCCCAGAATAGATACAACCATTTTGATCTCTTTCTTGCAGATTTTAGCTGTTCTCGTGATAATCATACTATGTTAAATGTTTGTGTCTTCAAAGCATAAAGTTCTTTACTTTGACCATTTTCTAAAAAACCTGCAGATTCTAACTTGTTGGAGTTACTCATCCATGTTAAGTATCACAAACCTGCTTGTCTATGTATGTTTTCTCTTACATGAATTAGGTGCTTAAATGAGCTTGATAGGTTAGATATGTTTCTAGAAGACTAATGAATCCTTTTGTGTACACACTAGAGAGCACAGCTACTTGAAAAATTGGCTGGAAGGACTGAAAAGAGCATAACTGAAATGTCAAAAGTACCTTCTACATTCCTCAAAGTGCAACATTGTCCACAGATTAGTGGTTTTGGTTAAAACAAGGTGTTGCCTCTGCTTATATTTGGTCTCATGATAATAATTGTAGAAATAAACTCACACAAAAAAACTGGAGATTTCCATTAAATACAATGAAATTTAAACATCCTGAACAGCCATTTTTTCTTTTCCTTTTTGGCACAAAAAAAAAAAAAGAAGATATTGTTACAAATTCAGGAACTGTTGCTTGTGTTGGCACTTCCGGGCGTAATTAGCTCTCTCAACATGGCCACAACCTGAAGCATGTTTGGTCTTTTTGATGGGAAATCATCAACACACTGAAGTGTTATCTCTAAATACCTCACCATCTCTTTCACTTCTTCTGCTTCTGCTAATTCATCTGCAACAACAACTCCTTTAGTAGTACTCGTCGTCCCCGAATGCAACTCTGGATCAATCACTTCCATACCTTTCCCTTCTCTCACCTTCATTTTCACCCAACCTACCAAATTTGTGTCACCAAAATCTTCCTTATCTGTTGGCCTTTTCCCTGTCAGAAGTTCCAGGAGCACAACCCCGAACGAATAAACATCGCCTTTCGCAGTGCACCTGAAGCTCTGATAGTACTCAGGTGGTACATAACCAGGTGTTCCAGCCAATGTACTAACACTCAAATGTGTGTCCAATGCACTTATTAGTCTTGCCATTCCGAAATCCGAAACTCTGGCTTCCATTTCATGGTCTAATAGGACATTGCTCGACTTCATGTCCCGGTGTATAATGTGTGGAATGCAATTGTGGTGCAGGAAACATAGTCCTTTTGCTGCTCCCCTGGCGATTTTCTTCCTTTCTTCCCACGTTAAGATTCGCCTGTCGCGTGTTTTGGATCGCCCGTGCAGCATTTCTTCAAGACTTCCATATTCCATGTACTCATAGACCAACAGCCTTTCTTCACCAATTTTACAGTATCCTAGCAGAGGGACAAGGTTTCTGTGCTTTATCTTTCCTAAAGTTTCCATTTCAGCCATGAATTCGCGATCGCCTTGACAGCTCAAGCGTATAAGTTTCTTGATTGCTACACTTGACCCGTCTTTTAAAGTCGCCTTGAACACTTCACCAAATCCTCCTGAACCAATCAGGCTTGCTGCTGAGAAACCATTGGTAGCCTCAATCAATTGCGAAAACTTCAGCTTCCTGAGCTGTCGTTGGAAAGTTGCAACATTGATGCTCAATGGCTCTTTCTCCTTTTCGATTTTCCATGTTGTGGCTGCATGAGTTGCTTGCAGACTAGTGAGCATTTTCACTCCTTTTGCTTCCCTGTGCCTAGCGCGCATCGCGATAGCCCAAACGATCAAAATGCAGATGGAGGCAACCGAGATCAGGACCCCCATCACGATGCTATTAGCCCACGATGTCGCTGGAGTGCCTCGGCCGCCTCTCTCGCCATCTGCAGCTGGATTTGCTGTTGGCTGCTGGTAATTTTTCGGGCATTCAGGCAAAGGAACGCCACAAAGCCCGGGGTTATTGGCATATTGGCTGGCAGGAAGAGTACTTAACTGGCCCCTCTGTGGAATTTGCCCTGTTAACTCATTGTTGGACAGATCAATCTGCACCAGAAAAGATAGATTTGCAAATGTGTCCGGAATAGGACCCTGTAACCTATTATGCGATGCATCGAAAACTCCCAGGTTCTTCAACTGGCCAAATGTTGAAGGAATTTCCCCTGAAAGCATATTATGTGATATAACCAAAACTTGCAAAGCTATCATTTCACCAAACTCATCAGGGATTTTCCCTTGAAGCTCATTGTAGGAAAGATCCAGGTATTCCAGCGTCTCATATTGAGTGAATCGACTCAGGACAGGACCTGAATACATTCTTGTGAAATCACAACTTTTCAGGGACGGGACCTGGAGTAGCCTCTCTGGACGTATTCCTGCAAATTCCAGCAAACCTCCAACTCCTCTGCAAGAATTCCCAATGTTTCGAACGAAAACCATTGTATTCCCTGAGAGAATTCCACTCAGGGCTTTAGCTCCCTGTTGCCTACCAAGGCGAGGTGGGATCAGGCCGGTGAGCCGGTTGGTATTCAAGTCGAGCCAAACCAAACTAGTACAATTTGCCAGCTCCTTTGGGATCTCGCCGCTCAAACTGTTGTTCGCGAGTTGCAAAACAGCTAACCTGGTGAGAAGCCCGAATTCGGCTGGGATCTTCCCAGTAAGCATATTGCTGGTGAGGGATATCCATTCCAGGTTGCCACAATTGAACAACTCAACTGGAATTGTGCCACTTAAGTAGTTGTTGTTCAGAATGAGATCCTTGAGTTTCTTGGCTTTTCCCAATTCTGGAGGTATATTTCCTTGCAAGCTGTTGTACCAGGCAATGAGCTGCTCCAGGTTTTCAAGATCTCCAAGTTCTGCCGGGATTGAACCATTCAGGTAATTTATGCTGAAATCAATGGTTTTCAGCTGTGAACATTTGGACAACTGAGCTGGAATAGCCCCAAACAGTGAATTATCTGGTGCTCTCAACTCCTCAAGTGACGACGCGCCTGGACATATATCGGGTGGTATGGTTCCCGACAACATGTTCGAGCTAAAATCCGCCACGCGCAGTTTCTTGCAATAAGAAATGGAAACTGGAAATGGCCCAGAAATCCTGTTACTACTGAGTAACAATGTTTCAAGAGATCCCAGATTCTGAAGGATGGAATCAGGAAAAGGACCAGTCAAGTTGTTATTGGACAAATCAAATGTTTGGAGCCAGGAGCATGATGAAAAAGTAGTTGGAATTGATCCAGTAATATTGTTGTTGGATAGCTTAAGCTCCAACAGGGAATTACAAATGCTTCCAAATTCAGGAGGGATCCAACCAGAAATGTGATTTTGTGAAAGATCTAACCTTTGCATGTTCTTGAGTTCCCCAAAAGAGACTGGCAGTTCACCAGTGAAAAAATTGATGGCAAAATTCAGTTCTTGAAGAGCTGTGCAGTTGGACAAAGAAAAAGGGAGGGAACCCGTGATCTGGTTCCCGGACATATCAAGATACAACAAGGAATTGCAGGTCTCAATTTTGAGGTTAGAAATTGAGCCTGTAATGTTATTGTAAGAAAGATCAAGAAACTGCAATTTATCAGTATATAACAGGAAATTCTCAGGCAGAGAACCAGTAATCTTGTTGAAGGCAAGATTCACATACATGAGATTCGGATGCTTCGCCAAGAACGCCTCAGGAACTTGCCCTGTAACCCCAGACAAAGACATTTGAAGCTGCTCCAATCCAAACGGAAGCTGCATCAAAGATGTTGCATTGATCAAGAAAGAGTTTCCAGACAAATTGAGGGCTGTCAGTTTGTCCATGGTTGAAAAAGGTGACAGAGTGATTTGGCCTACAAGGCCTGCTTGAGTAAGATCCAGCTGAGTCACTCTTCCAAGATTGCATGAAACTCCATTCCATGTACATGGATCTTTACTGAGTTGCCAATTGGATAATGATTTGTTCGGGTCATCTTGAATCATCTTCTTGAACAATATAAGCGCTTCGGCATCAGTTTTGGCCGAAAACAATCTGCCTTGTAGCTGTCCAGCCGCTGAAACTGAAACTAGCATCAGCATTGCACAAAGAAGCTGTATTGGAATGGCCTTCTCCATTGAAAGACCATAGGAAAACCAGAGAAAAAAGGAACAGGATTGAAGAAATGAACTGAGAGAGAAAGAACAAGTACTTTGTGAGAAGAATAGAAAGAGAGAGAGGGAGAGAATGTGGGAAGAATGATGAAGAATTTTCCTGAGTGAAAGCAGCAGGAAGAGTGAGCAAGTCTCAACCTTTACAAAAAGTTCTTTTCTAGTGTTTATTCAAACAAACCAAAAAAGAAAAGGGCTCTCTTTTGGTGTATTTTGTAAATGGAAAAGGAGGGAACGTGGGAAGGAATAATAAAAGGAAGGATTGTCATTGGAGCTTCTTAATACTACAACTTAATGCCATAATTTTCTTTTTTATTATACACACACACACACACACACTCTTATTACAGTAGTGCATGATTAAGCTACAAACTAAAGTAGAGAGACAAGAAGAAGAGAAAGTATGCAATTTAAATGAACTTTTGGTCAAAGGGGAAGCGTACTTAGGACCCACACCAGACAAGGTATATCCAGAAATGGATCTTAATAGGAGAAAAAACAAACCTCAAAATTTCAACCAATGTTTGATCCCAAATGTTGTTAGTTGTATTCTTTGTGTCAGTGGCGTGAGAATGTTCCCTCTCAGAAGATCTTGGATTGTTACTGTTAAGCCTCAGACTGTAAGTAGGGTTGGTCATTTTGAACCGCGGTTCATGTCGAACTGATGACCTAAACCGAACTGATATGAAACCGAACCGAAATTTTAGTTTCAGTTTGGATCGGTTCGGATCAAGGATTATAGAAAGTGGAATGGTTTGGTTAGGTTTGGTAAAAAAAATCTAAATTGAACCAAATTAATCCGAAACCAAAAATAAATAATTAAATTTTAATAAATGTCATTGTTGATCGCCGGCGGCAACCTTTGACCACCGGCTCTGGCGACCGCCGGCAATATTTTCCGGTACGAATTCCAGCGAAGTGGCCGGAAAAATAATTTTCCCAGCGGGCGGTCACCGGCTCCAGTATGATGACATCATTCGTACTTTTTTTTGATGATGTTAGCGAGGTCTAAATGGTTCGTTTCAGGTTAATTCAGTTCAGACCCAAAACTTAACCCGATCCGGGCTCGAACCGAACCATTGATGATCCGAAAGAAAATTGCCCTGTTTCCGAGCTGAATCAAAATAATGGTTCGGGTCGGTTTTCTCCAAAAGAACAGTCCTAACTGTAAGGGCTGTCTTTATTTGAATTTGAGATAATTATTCGAGTCCATACTTCTTTGCCAGCATTCTCGTGAGATCGAAGTGTCACGTCGATTTTGATTTATATCACTCTTAATGTTAGAATACACACGTAATTTGGAATATGGAGAACCAAAAGTTTATAGAATGATACACACGTATAATTTCTCTCAAATAACTATCTCGACGTATATGGTATTTCCTCCGTCCCATAATTATTATCCAGTTTGGATTTCCATTTCTAGTTCAAATTATACTAAAAGTGAAATATTAAACTGGATAATAATTATAGGAAAGATGGAGTATATAAATTTTGGTGCTCGTATTAAAGAAAAAAAAAGGAGAAGAAAGAAAACAGTGATCCCAAGATTGAATCTCGAAATGGTAGCAATTATGTTCTCTATAGTGAGTTAATTGGAGTGTAGGACCCAAAACATCAAAGCGTGAATCAGCTTAGAGATGGCAATCATAATTAGGGGGAGCATAGGGATGATGTGATTACTGTTTCCTATTTGATAGAAAAAAAAAAAGGATAGATTAGGGTTACAGAAATTTGCAGTAAGGTCCACCACCAAAAATAATAATAATATCAAACCGAAAAGGAAATCAATCCCCATTACATTTATCCCTCTCCTTTTTTCTTTTTTTCTTTCTTTTTTTTTTTTTTCCTTTTTTTAACATTTTGACGCATGATATGTGATGATTCCCCCATTGAGGTGTGCTGCTTTCCCCCCTTTTTCTTCCTCACAAAGCACATCATACCTCATTGTAACCTTTTGTATATTATTGTCATGTTTTTATTTTTACAGTTATGTTTTTTATTAAAAAAAATAAAAAATCTCCTTTTATCCAAATCAATGATACATTTGGGTAAAAACGTTTGGTGGTTTATCAAATTTGTTTAACTTACACAGATAGTGAAATAAACGTTAATTAGCTTAAACCATAAACTAATTTTTTTAAAAAAAAAATTCACCCAAATGTACCCCACTTAAATGAGTAAAACCTCCCCTTACAATCCTTTGTGGGAATCGAACTATAGTCCATTACCAGTAAAGACAGCAACCTAACCACTAGACTGTCATTCAATTCTCAACTTAAACTATAAACTAGTTCATACACATAAACTAAAAAAGTGGCCCATTAATAGAATAAATATATTAGATATTAGTATTTTATAAAATTTTTTCCTACAACATTTAATGTACGGCCCTCTCCTCTTATTTTTTGTTTATATTCATATATTTTCTCTTCATAAATTTTTGGTCACATTGAGATTTTTACCCGTTTACGTAGTAACGGTGAGCCACTCTTCACCATAAACTTCCTCATGAACAACCATTGAGGATGCCCTAAGTACCAGATCGTGAACTGTTAGTTTGGAAACAAATGAGAATATGTAACATTGTAAGCCTATAAACTTATTTTTTTCAGAAAAAAGAAAAAAATAAAAAAATAAAAAACAATAACAAGTTTTTTTTTCCATGAGGTGCAATCAGTTCTATGAATTATATGTCGTTATCATGTTTGATCGTTACATAAATAAAAAAAAATTATTGTTAGCAAATTCAAGTATTCAACGTTAAATCATGATTTGCATTCAGATGAGTTAATCGCCGAAAAATTACTACGAAATGATTAGTAATATGGGACAACCAAAAAAGGAAAGGCCCATGACATGATAAAGACCCATCATTCAAGACCTCAAGTGTGCTTCTAAACAGTGGAGTGTAAAAAGGAAAATTGACCAAGCTAGAGTCACAGTATTTTTGTATAAAAGCAAAAGTGTAAAAAATGATCAAAATGGTGATTACAATTTGACCCTAGGGAAAAAAAGTCTGGACTTTGTTATGATTGAGTTTAGATTTTAATGTTGAATTTGGAGGGGCCATTCACACATTATTGTGTGACTTTTTTTTCCTATTTTTTAAAATATTTTTTTTAAAAAAATTATTTTTTCATTTGACTGATTACATGAACTTAAATTGCATCAAGAAATTAGAAGAACTTAATCCCAGAACTCCCACAAACCCCACATGGGATTTCTTTAAAAAAAAATAAAAATTCTTTTAATATGTTTTCCAGTAAATATAGTTTCAGGTCCACAGTACTATAGTAGTCTGTTAAAGTATGGCCCAAGAACAATTGGGCTATCTTCTGCAACTTTTGGCCCATAAGTAAATTAAAAACGACAGCGTTCTGTTCGTCTGCCCTAGTCTTCAATATCTTTCAGCTTCCACAGTTCCATTGAACTCAGAATTCAGAACAATCGACTGAGCTTGCCGCCGATTAACGGGCTTCAGCTCTGCTCTCAGAAAGTAAGTCGGGATTTTATTGTTTCAGGTTTCTATTTTTTTTTTTGGTAAAATTTTTAAGTCTCAGTTGTGAAATTGATTGTCCCACCTGTGTGAATGAACGGACGTTTCTTTCTGAGGATTTGGATGGTTTATTAGGATGTGTTTGTGGTTTAGAGTTCAGTATGGTTTTCGATTTTCTCTTCATTTTGACGAATTACATTTCCAGTATGAAATTAGTGATGAACATTTGCAAAAAAATTTATGGCAGAAGAGAGTTATTTTAAGAAAGGGGGGTTTTATCAATAGCTTTGTTGATTGAGACGGGATTGCGATATCATGCTGAAGCAGTTGTGCAATAGGGGTTCTGCCACCGGGATTGATAAACTCCGACCTTTATTAGCTGCACAAAAAGCCAGCTTTCATGGTGGGAAGGTACAATTTTCGAAATTTACAGCTTCAATCAGTTGAACATTCGTGGTTTCTGAACGTTGTTTTCGTCCTGTTTCTATGAGTATGTGTGCTGGTGATTTGCTGTTTGTACTCTCCTGATTGAACTTTGTGCATTTGTGGTGAAAGTGAAGATTACTTGAATATGTGCCTTAATGTTTGGAATATCATTGGAAAGTTGAGGAATTCAAAATTATTTGAAAAAGTTAACACCTTTTTGCAAAAGAGAAACAAAGTGTTTTACTTAGAACCAATAGAAGATCAAGTGAACTTTTGTGCTTGCAGCCTCTTCCCACATGTTATATAGACAACTACCTCTTTTGGCGAGCTATAGGTTTGTTAATATTTCATCGACCATGCATCGTTCTTCCTCACATGGCTTAGAGTTGCCTTTATCGTATTGAAGTTTGTACTCTTCTTCTCTTGAATTTGAAAGATGGTCAACCCTCGTTGCTACTTGCTATAAAGACATCATCCATCATTCGTTTCACATGGGGCTCGTGCCAGACTCGCTTCACCAGGGGCTCAAGTGGGACTTGCAGCCAACTAAGAGCTACAATATTAGATTTTTACACTTCATTGACACTAATTTCCGATTCTTAAGACTTCAACATGGGCATTCCTACCCTTCTGCGAGTGTTGAGCAAATGTGCTCAAAGGCTGCTGTGAAGGACTAGAGGAAGCTCGAAGTGCTCATTTATTGGTATAAATGTGCTCTTCTCATGCTTTGTCTTGCATGGCACTCTTCTGGTACTTTTGACCAGGCTTAAAATGCCGATGCTTAAGTGATGCAAAACATTTAGGGAGATGTGTGACATGATTTAATTTCTTTTGCTGTCCAAATCTTGGGATTATTACTGCTTTTTTGAGCTTCCCTTTTGTATTTAGAAACTGCAGTTGCAAACTTTGTTATGATCAAATCATTTCTGTAAAATGATAGTAGTTTTATCCAGAAGTCCTTTTTGCGAAGATTCCTTCTGAAGCATATGTTTTTGTTGTCACATTGCCGCTGTTCTCCCTGGTGTTTAGTTGAAACTAACTGAAATTTTACAGTTGCTTTTTTGGCTGGAGACTTCTAGATATGGAAAAGTTTCTCATAGTTTGATATCAAATTTTCACAACTGTCATATATTGGAATTCTCTGAGCTGTCTTTTATGTTTACAGGCATATTCTGCACCACGGAGCTTTTTTGGAGTGGAAGATTACGTTGATGATGATAATAGCCGGCCATACACTTATCAGAAGGAAAAGAGGTCCAAGAATCCCAACAAGCATGTATCTTTCAAGCAACGGACTATAGCATACATGGAACCCTTTACACTTGATGTTTTCATCTCAAAGCGATTTGTTTCAGCCTCAATAACTCACAGAGTGACAAGCAAGCAAGTTGCAGTTGCGGGTACGAATTCCAAAGACATCAAAGCGGTTCTTAAATCAAGATCCGATATACCTGCATGTATGGCTATCGGACGTATCTTGGCAGAGAGGGCAAGAGAAGCAGATGTTTACACTGCTTCTTACACGCCCCGAGACAGAGACAAGTTTGAAGGAAAGATTAGAGCAGTTGTACAATCCCTTATTGACAGTGGAATTGATGTAAAAATATACCTTGATTGATGTCAATTCAATAAATCATCCCTTTGTTTCTTTTTGTTTTCTGCCAGCAGGACCCATTGCATCCTCTTCTTTAACACCATTGCAATTTCAGTGATCAATGTTACAACTTACGGAGGCTTTTTGTCTTTACATTGTAGCACTACTTTTTTAAGCCCTTAACCACATAGTTTACAACCATGTTTTCCGGCAGATTAACTTGGATTTTGAGTCTAATTCCTTCTCCCTCCTTTCCCTTTTTGGATTAAATTCCACATCATTTTGCAGTAACATAAGCATTGAAACGATGCTAAAGTAACCAAACCATATATACGTTCCAGCGCTATTCATAAGTTTTTTTTTTTTTGTTTTTACAACAATGTTGATTAACGATAGTGCTCTGAAAGACATTCTAAACATTCAAATCCAATCACTCGACTATTAACCGAAGAACAAAAAAAATGTGTGTAATAACAATAATAATAAAATTTATACAATTTGGACTCCATTGATTTCATGGGTCACTGAATTAAAAAATCCGAAATCCTAACTAAAACCTTCTTCACTTGCAATCACAATCAACCTTAAAAACCTGTATAGGCTGCAACATAATATATTTCCTCATCTCACGAACAATCACAAAACTTGGTCAGCCTTATCATAGTACCTGTTGATACCTCTGCACTTCAGTAACTGAGGACCATCTGAAGGCATCACAGGATAGAACTTATAAAGCTTCATATTCCGATAATCATCCTTCTCTTCCTCACTCATCTCTTCCAGTTTTTCACCCTTTTCTTTCTTGGCATCAGCTTGCTTTTTCTTTGCCTCTGCAACCTTCTCATTCACAAAGGCGATAAATTTATCTTTCTCATCACCACCCAAAGCTTCATTCTGAATCAAATCCGAGGTGAACTCCTCCAAATCATCCATCTCCCAATCGAACGAGAATGGTAATGGGGGCAAAGGCGGCGATCTCTCAAAGATGCCATTCACGTCGGTGCTGTTTTCGAATTCGTCTTCTTTCAAAGGGTTGTTGTAATAAGGCATGCAATAATTGTACAACGAAAGACGGTCGAAATTCAGGTGCTTCAAACCGACTTTCCTCTGCTTACACTTCAAAACAAAAATCCTGGATTTCACAGCTTCGATCCTCCGCCCTTTGTCCTGCGCCGGAATATATGGAACCCAATCCATCTTCAATTTGCGCATTGGCATCACGTCTTGTTTCCTCTGGACGGATGCAATTCCGATGTCGGTGGAAGGCGGGGAACGGCGGACGACGGCGACGATGATCGGAACCAGAGAAGCATCGGCGATGCCTAACGTCTCAGTGCAGCCGAAGAGATAAACGTTTTTTTCTTTTTGGTACAATTCTCCGCCTTCTTCGAAAGCTTTCTCCAGATTGGAGAAATCCCAAGTCTTTTTATCGTAGACTCCTTCCATGGCTTCCCATTCAGTGCCTACAGAGAACACTTCCCTCCACAAATCTTCCATGGTGGGCTTTCTGCAGAACTTCGGAAATTGATGAAAAAAGCAAAACAGGGGATTCGAAGTTAAAGAAGATTGATGATGATGATGGTGCTTACAAATCCGGAACAAGGTGTATATATGTAGACAAGGAAATTAACTTAAAACTCAGGCTCAATTAATCCGTTTCAAACCGGAGGCAAAAATAAAATCCGTGTATGAAAGGAGTAGTTGTTTGATGGAGTTTTTGCGCGCAATAAATATATATATATATATATATATATATATATATATAAATTGCAGGATCGCTGATCAGCTTCTTTTTCTTATGTTTTGGTTGTCGAGTTTTTGATCCGGCTCGGCCGCCTGCGGCGGCGGACTTGGCATGGGCTTTGTGTTTCCGTTTCTGTCCGGCGGCCTTTGTTGTGGTGGTCGAATCTCCCGATGAGAGACTAGAAGTTTCGCCGCCGTGATTCTGATCGGAGGAAATTTGAGTTTCGACTGAGATGAGAATTCCAGTAATTCTTAATTTTCAATCTCACGCAATTTATAGAAAATTAGGCGTAAATTTTCTTTTCTTTTTTGTTTTCTCAAATAATAAATATATAGTAATTAATACCTGCGTAATTTATAAGCCTGGTTAAAATACGTATTTTTGGTAGTAGTAATCGTCCCACCTTTGTTCAAACGGCAGATACATCAATTACACGCAATTTATTCTCAGAGGATATGAAATCTATGACAATTTCTTTTTGTTGTATATATGTATTGGAATAAAATGTAAATTATCAGACATGAATTAAACCTCAGCATCCAACTGAAGCACAAGATCATGGGGCCCTAAAATGGAAGCCAATGTGACGCCTTTCCGTTGCGGGAGTTGACTTATCTTCTCCAACTCTTCCTCAGACAAAGACCACCCAAAGATATCAAGGTTTTGTTGCATTCTTTCCTTGCTAAAGCTTTTCGTTACCAAACTCACTCCTTGTTCATATACCCATCTCAGTGCAACCTGCACATATATGGATTTTTTCCCAATTCCCATCATTCATTCATTCATCTAATCCAATTAATACTCCTTCCGTCCCGGAAAAAAAAATTAAAAAAATAGTTCACAGAGTTTGCAAATTTGTACTGTAACGTGGACTATTTTTTTTGGGACAGAAGGTGTACGTTTTTTTATGAATACTCAAAAAAAAAAAAAAAAAAGAAGTTTAGGATTTGAAATGGAAAAAAATGAGTTTAACCTGAGCTGTTGATTTGCCTCTAGCATTGGCGATTTCGCGTAAGACATCAGAATCCAGGACTCTGTTGTCTCCCCATTTAGTATTGTTAGCACCCAGTGGAGAATATGCTGTGATATGAATACCCTTTGCTTTACAGAACTCCACTAATCTCTTCTGCTGCCAAACTGGATTCAGTTCCACCTTTTTCAATTTTTTTCATCAAAACCAAAAATTGATTAATCCAACACTAATCTTCCCTTTGATTTGTTTTTTGATGGGATCATAACAGTCAAAATGGTGGTGGCTATACTAATTACTACTCACTTGATTTACTGCTGGGGGAATTGTTGCCACACACAGGACTTCTTGAAGCTTCTCACAAGAGAAATTGCTTACACCAATTCCTTTTGTTAGGCCAAGCTTTATGCATTCTTCCATTCCTTCCCAAACTCCCTTCAAATCAATTGGCCTAATGATCTCTACTTCCACTGGTGTCTTTCTGATCACTTCAGTCAGCCTAATTGGATGATGAATTAGGTACATATCCACATACTCCAGCTGCAGATTCCTGGCCGGATCACAACATTAAAGCTTAATAATTTATTAGAAAGATGGGACTGACAAAAAAAAAAAAAAACTTACTGGAGGCTCATTTTACAGGCGGGTACAATTTGGTCAGGGTGAGCGAAGCTGCACCAAAGTTTGGTGGTGATAAAAAGTTCGTCCCTTGACTTGATTAGCCCTGTTTGTAACGCTTCCACAATGGCTTCCCCGAGAGGCTTCTCCGATCCATAGGCGAACGCCGTGTCGAAATGGCGGTAACCGACTTTGATGGCTTCAAGAACCGCCGACTTGACGGTGGCATGATCCGCCGGCGGGTACGAGCAAGTACCCATTCCAATCACCGGCATAAGCTGCTTCTCAACATTGGAGCTTATGGTTACCTCCGGAACTTTAGCCATATTTCTTTTGTGTAATAATGAAAAACAGTTGATCAGTTGGATGTGGTATTTCCTAGTGTCTAATGAGGCTTTTATATCAGAAGAACTCTTTAACTTCTTTTTTGGTTCAAAACGGCATCTAGTTTAAGACTTTTAGTGTCTTTTGTTTGATTGATTCAGACTGCAAAAGTCTTAGGTTGTGGACTTCCCATCTATCAAGAAAACGTCAAATTTAGTGCGCTTATTATCATAGTTTATAAGCTAAAAAGAATCCAGGTATTCATAATTTGAAAAATGTTGGATACAATTAGCATTTTGAATAAGGACTCAGTCAGCATGATTCCACTTGAATTAATTAATAAAGCCGGGTTAGTCTTATTTGATTTTCGGTTGAAATTTGGTACCGTCAAAGAAAGACAACAGTAGAAGCAGTTGTGTTGTTTTCGCCTTTTCCGAGTCTAGAAGCCTTTGTGTTTTACACCTGAAACTTTTTGGCACATCCACCATTCCCAGTATCATTATTATATATATGTTGATGATGGACAAAAGATGGGGTGTGATGTTTTGGCGTTATATTTTCTCTAACATTCATCTTTGTTGAATCGTTTGTTGTTAGGATTCACTTAATTATTTATTATAAGTATAAATTCAAATTAAACTATGGTCCTTTTCAAAAAATAAAAAAAAAATTAAACTATGATGAGTGTAAAAACTAAATGGATCTTACATAAAGCCACGGAATTGAGGATACATCAGCAATTCCGTCAAATTATCACTCGAAGGACGGAAGGATCATCCGGCTTTAAAAAGCAAGTAAGGTCAGTGTACATTCCCTCCCCTTCCTTTAAGAAATATAAACTCGACCATGTGCATAAGTGTATTGCATCCAGTTGGCCGGCCATTCGGGATCTATTGAAGAGGTCAGGTTCTGTTAAATTGAGTCACATATATGGAAAGTTTAAATTTTGCCGCTCATTCACTAGCAACTCTAGCATCTACAAGCTCTGGGGGATTCTTGTAAGTAGATGATCCGCGGTGAAGTCCTGGTTATAACATTGATATAAATGGTGTTTCATACCAACGTTTGGTATTATTTTAAATTTCAGGTTTTCTTTCATTGTACCAAATATATATATATATATATACTCTCTCCCGTCATTCTTATAAAATATTTTAATTTTTCTTAAGTTTCATTTATCGTGTTCTTTTAATTAAAATTAAATCTTTAACCATGTTTTACAATAATTAAGAGCACAAAATAAATAAGAAAATATATTTTTAAGATTTTAATTGAAAAAAATACTCTAAATAAAATAGTAAAAACTAAAGACGGGTGATATTGCCGGCGCAACAATTAGCATCCAGAGCAAGTTTATTGCCGAGCTCGGGACGTTCATTGCCGAGCTCGGGACGGGCAATGAACCCGTTCGGGCAAACAAGAGGGGTGGCAATTCACTCGTCCCGGGTTAACTCGGGATGGATTCATTGCATGTTCGGTTTCGGTTCGGTCCAATATGGTGAAGCGGTTCGGTCAGGCTCTTTTTTTTAAAAAATTTTTAGATTTTTTGTTTTTTTTTTGTAATTAAAAAAATAACATTATTTGTTATTTAAAAAATATAAAAATTAAAAGAAATAATAATCGGATTCATTGCTATTTTTTTTAATTTTTAGATTTTTTTGTTATTTTTTGTTTTTTTAATTAAAAAATAGCAATATTTGTTATTTAAAAAAATCTAAAAATTAAAAAAATAAAAATTAATTAGTTAATCTAGTTTTTAGGTTATTAAAATCTTGCCCGGTTGACTTGCCCGGTTCGGTGCGAGTGGCTTATTCACTCTCTCTTCCCTCCTCCCCCTTCTCTCTCTCTCTCCTTCAATTTGGTTTAGTCAAATGGCATAGACGAAATGGTCAAAATTAAAAATTTATGGCTGAAAGAACTAAAGGTTGTGGCTGGAAAAATTCTCCCCCTAAATAAAAACACTTTTGACCAAGATTGAAATTTTCATAGATATTGAAATACAGCGTGTAGTTTTTCTAAACTTAAGGGAGGTCGCAGCAAATTCCCTTTCATGCGTAAGCATAACCTTTTCCCTTTTGGTATTCGAAGTTTCTCGTTATTACAATTATATGTCTCTAGCTTATTAGCCGCCGTTCCCATCTCGGCGGTCGTGATTCTTTTACCTCGGGGTCAAAATTCCTCATTCAAATTCGTCTTTTGGGAAATTAGGGTTCTTCTGTCCAATTCGATTCGAAATCCCTGTGAAGCTCCTTGCTTTGGTCGGCTCGTGAAAATCGATTGCGCTTTTCTTGGAAATTAGCAATGGGGAAGAATGAGTTCTTGACGCCAAAGGCAATCGCGAACAGAATCAAGGCCAAGGGATTGCAGAAGCTCCGGTGGTACTGTCAGATGTGCCAGAAGCAGTGCCGGGACGAGAATGGCTTCAAATGTCATTGTATGAGCGAATCCCACCAGCGCCAAATGGAAGTCTTTGGGCAAAACCCTCACCGGATAGTCGAGGGTTACTCGGAGGAATTTGAATCGGCCTTCCTTGAGCACATGAAGCGGAGCCACCGTTCCAGTCGTGTCGCCGCCACCGTGGTTTACAACGAGTATATTAATGACCGGCATCACGTCCATATGAATTCGACTCAGTGGGCCACTTTGACGGAGTTTGTCAAGTATTTAGGGCGGACTGGAAAGTGTAAAGTTGATGAGACTCCGAAAGGTTGGTTTATTACCTACATTGATCGTGAATCCGAGACGCTGTTTAAGGAGAAAATGAAGAATAAAAGGATTAGATCCGATTTAGCGGATGAGGAAAGGCAGGAGAGGGAGATTAAGAAGCAGATTGAGCGCGCTGAGCAGTTCATGCCTGCTATTAGTAACGAGGATGAGGCGCTTCAGGAGAAAAAGTTGTTTGAGAAGTCGGAGAATGAGAAAATTAAACTGAGTTTGGGAACCTCGTCTCTGGCGAAGACTAGCAATTCTAAGGATAGGCCGCCCGAGAGCTCGAGAGCTGTTGTGTTTAAGGATGATGATGAGGATAAAAGTGAGGGAATAAAGGGCAATGGGAAGAGCAGTCTTGGGAAGTCAGCATTAGCTGAATTGATGAAGGAAGAGGAGAGGGCGAAGGAACGAAGTAATAGGAAGGACTATTGGTTGTGTGAGGGAATCATTGTGAAGGTTATGAGTAAGCCATTGGCGGAAAAGGGTTATTATAAGCAGAAGGGTGTCGTGAGGAAGGTTATTGATAAGTATGTTGGGGAGATTGAGATGCTTGAAAGTAAACATGTGTTAAGGGTTGATCAAGAAGAGCTGGAGACTGTGATTCCTCAAATTGGAGGAGTTGTGAGAATAGTAAATGGAGCCTACCGCGGATCAAATGCCAGGTTGCTTGCGATCGATACTGAGAAATTCTGCGCCAAGGTGCAGATTGAGAAGGGCATATATGATGGTCGGGTTTTGAAGGCAATTGAATATGAAGATATTTGTAAGCTGGCTTGACGAATTCATTGATCAGGATATCTTAAACATCACTTTAAAAGGTCTGGAAAACTTGTTGGTTTCTGTTTGATTGTATAACTTGAGACCCTGTTTTCATTATCTAGACTTTGTTGTACCAACATAGTTCTGTTTCTGTTGTTTCATACCCAATATATTATGAACTTCTTTAAACTTCCTGCCGAATATGCAGTTATTTCCTGTTATCATTGTTATTGGTTCGAAAGTAAGTAAAATGTTGGGAAGAAAATTAAGAAACATATGATGCTATGTATTGGTTACAAGGTGTATTTTTTTATCTTAGACTTTCTTCCTCTTAGTTAGTTTTTCTCTTGTTCTAAAGACTCTTTACACATGCTTTGTTATATACTTGAGTGTTACCTGCTTAAAATGAGTAGCGAAGCTGCTGGAGTTTCGACTAGCCTGTTTTGGTATATAATCAAATAATAGTAAAGTTATTTCCTCCTTGTAGTTTGGTTACTCATTGACTGGAGTTTGAAGATGGAATCATTTTTTCTTTTCCTCGTGTCCAAGGATTTTAGACTGGTTGAAGCTCTAGGAAATGCTAAGATTCTTTTGGAGAATAAAGCCTTAAAGATGGTGGAGAACAAAGTTGCTGCAGGTCCAATGATGTCAAATTGCATGATGAAGCAAATTTTAGATACATATAGAGAAAGAGAGGCATTAAGTTCGAGCAAGAAAAGCCAGTGGAAGTTGTATCTGGTTCAATAGTAGCATCATGGAAGATGTAGCCATCAAGGAAACAAGAATATGCTCCGGGGATGGATTAGTCCTGAAGTTAATGCCTCCAGAATTTGTCAGAATATCCTGTAGTCAAAAGAAGCATCAAGCTTCCTTCTTGAAAAGCTCAGTAAAGAAGATAGGCAGCCAGATTCTTGATAAGAATTTTGCTTAGCCCATAGATCAAACGGGTGAGTTCCTTCCCAAGGCTGACAAGTTTCCTTAGAGAACACTAGAATTTGCACCAATCAGACTACAGGGTGGAAGCTTTGCTTACAAAATAGGGAACGGAAGGTTTGAACTTGTTGATGTCTCTGATATGACATATTATGTGGAGATTCAGACTACAGGGTGGAAAGCTTTGCTTAGGGTTGACGGAAAGTTTGAAGCTGTTGATGTCTTGGAATAACATGACGATTCATGTGGAGAGTCCTATATGTTCCTGAACCTGAATCAAATGGAATCGTCGTCTTTCAGGAAGAATTGCTTTTCCAGTTTCTATCAGTTGTGGGCATAATTGATGTTTAAGGGCATGTTAGAGAAAGCATCACTTACTTTGAGACTGATTGAGATGATGAAGTTGAGATTGATTTGGGCAATGGGAGGCTTACCGGATGTAGCAATTAACGTGGATAGTAGAGATGAAAGTTGAAACAATCTGTGTATTCCCTCATTAACTAGGTTCCTGAGAAGGGTAAGCTGAGTGACTCTTTTGCTGGAGAAAGAGAGTTCCTCATGGGAGTCGTTGTTAGATGTAGCACTTACCCAGACAATCACATGCAATGTAAAGTAGTATAAAATAGGTCGAGGTTATCATCACGTTACCAAAAGGTGCTGTTGTCGAAGAAGGAACTGTGTATTTTGCCAGGAAAGACCAGGAAGGCACTGATTAAAATTTGCTACCACCACCTGAAAAATTTTATTTTCAGATTAGAATCTTTTGAACTCTATCCGTCCAATTCATTGAGAACCATGTAACTGCCACTCCTGAAAACAATCTACCCATTTTGTCAATTTCCTGTTCATAAGGAGTCGAGCGATCCTGTTACAAGGATAAATTTTGATATATGGCAAGATTTGTGGTTTATGATCTTACAAAGTTCAAAAGATCTGCCTAATGGGAAGACATGAGATAACATGAAAACCCCGCAATTATCTCTACTCCAACTTAATAGATAAGAAAATGTGGCAGACGAAATACAAAGCCGAAAGGAAACCTAAAGTTCCGAGCATAAGAAAGAATCCGTAGCAGATGCAAGCCATGTAGCCCAGGAAGAATGAAGTTTGGATGAAGCTAAACATCTCAGATTGACAGTAGAACAAGCAGTAGATAAAGATGAAGATGCCAGTTGATCCACCACAGAGAAACGACCTGTGAAAAGTTTAAAGCATATTTGTCATAGATTAGTGTACAAAGTTGCAAACTTGGTTTTCAAATATGAAAAGTAATGTGAAGGTTTGAGTGAAAACGTTATCTGTCTACTTGTATTTCATGGTCAACAAAATAAACTTTGAGAGACATTCAAACAAAACGGAAAAAGCAACTGTAGCACATACTAGAAGATAATGAATAGAATTTTACCTCCACCACCATTGATGATCTTCAGCTGCAAGCTGAAAATATGTCAGTGCCACGGTGACAAAGGCAGTCACAATGAGTAGAATAATGAAGACAACAAACAGGATGCTGAATATAGTGTCGATTTTGTGACCCCGGACACTTTGAAGTACATGGTAAAGCTCGATATATATTGCACTAAATGAGAAAAATCCTGCCATTGCCATCTGAGAAATGGTGCAGCGGTACCAAGGTTGCCCTGGTATTTCCCTAGGATACTTGGAGTTATGGCATGGAACTTGAAACTCCCTCCTTCTATTCTTTCCCATAATTCCACCCAAAAGAACCGATGATGCTGTTACTAATGTCCATAGGAGGATTATGTTCATAACTGTTCCAAACGGAAGAGCAGCACTTGGACTGAATGCTACAGCGATGGAATTGAGGGGACAAAATGTGAGGAATAGAGGTACATTGAGAAGACTCCATGTCAACAGCAAGTTTTGTACCTGCCATGATAATGAATCAAGTGAGGGATTGAAATAGTTTCACATGGAGGATTCGCGTTGATGTAATTGTAGTAAGCAGCTAAACCAAAAAAAAAAAAACAAAAGAGGGAAAGACGTCTCTAGTGAAATATTTAGTAGGTACCCAATCAGTTCCTTCAAGCTGACGGTAGAAAGAAGATGCCGTGTAACCAGCGATTCCAGACGTAACAGCATTTACCCCCAACAATGCCATAAGTAGATCTCCTTGATTTTGTGGGTGGAAATAGCCAACAAACCGAAGTAGAAAGATGAACACTGTACTGTATTTATGTTAAATGATTGGAAAATTAATTATAGAAATGTTTCCCTAATTTACAAAATGAAAGCACAGCAACTGGATGGTGTGAAATAGTTTACCTTGCAAACAATTGTGTGCCACAACCAATAGCAGCGGCAAAAACTGACTTGTATTTTGGGAAGCGAAAGACATCACCATGAATGTACTTCCACCCTCTTTCTTCTTGATCATTCATTGAATTCTCATCATATCTGTACCTGCATTTTTCAATGACTGTGAAAACTCTCGAGCTCGTGATACCTGTAGATCACATTCAAGCAACATTCTGCATACCTGATAAAATCATTCCTAATGATTCGCGTGAGCATTGCTCCGAGAAAACCAGTTAACAGTAGCACTATGGTGCAGGAGTTTATAATTGAAAACCAATGAATTTCTAGATGACGTGGTAAAGAAGGTTGCAAGAATTTATCCAACCTATTTTCAAAGGGAATATTTGTTCTCATCCACTTTACAGAATAGGTAAATTCAGCTTCAACTTCCTTATCCTCGCTCAGGTCTAAAACAGAATCAAGATCCATCAATGTGTAAATCTCAATCACTCTGTCCTTGTTGTATTTAACGTCGAAATAGATATGCATAGTTGCTTTCATCTCTTCCTTCTCTATCTACCCTTCCAATAAGTCCCCAAATGGGCAAGTCATCATAGTACATTTCGAAGTAGTAGTCTTTGCCAACAGCTTTCCGAAACTGAACAACTTCATTGATTGTTAAGGTCTTTTTGCAGAGGATAACAGACTCTTTGTTAACCAAGAAATCCAGGTCATATGGACCATGAATGATAGGATCTCCATTTGTATCGTTATGTGCAGCTTCATTCTTCTTTCTCACATGATCTGCCATCTTAATTCAAGTTGGAACGCAGAACATAATTCAAAGCACAGAGATAGAGGATATCACACCACAAAACAGATGTTCTTTCAAAGACATATTTCCAAATAAAATGCCATAGTTTGGAAGTGAAACTATGATGATTTCATAAACTTATCCATTAGTGCAATCCCTTTCACAATTATAACATCATTAACAGCAGAAGTCCAGATCTTAGTGCATATAAACTTCATTTGCCTGATCATCATTTTATCTCTGAAAGAGCCATTTTCTTGAGTAAAGAATTGAAAACAGTCACTTCATTGCAGTTGCGACCTAATATATCGGTAGAGTACCAATGCATGCCTTAATTTGATCATAAACACTACATTTTAGCCCCCAACAATTTCTTGTTTATTTGGAAAGTTTGCTCTAAAATTTGGAAGGATCTCTGGTTAGAAGAAGAGTCAATGAGAAGGAGAGATAATAGCACCTGGTAAACAAAAAGGAAGGTCGTAATATTGGTAAGATTCACTGCAAAATTAACACATAAGAAATTAGAACAACCCAAAATGAACGATTTCACATACATGTTTGATGATACGGCAATGAACCTAACCTGGGATTGTGAAAAGGGCCAATCTTTATGGCATAGAGGGGAACAGGGTCTCCAGGTTTGTAACGTTGATCAGAGGCGTCTGATCTAACTGGGTTGACTAGGTGATAACACCAGAGGATGCTGAAGATGAAAATGGTCATGGATTTGTTCATCGTGTGGGAAATGATAATGTAAGAACTAAACAAGGAAAATGATCAAAGATGTAGTAAGCTAGTTGGGGCTGATGAAGATGTTGTAAAGAATCCGATGGAAACCAAATATTGCTGGTAAATTCGGAAATCGCGTATGTGCTTGGTCCAAACCTCGTTCAATGCTAGATTCCAAGGGAAAAATCTGAAATTAATTTTCTTTTTGGGGGCGGGGGAAGAAATCACCCCAACAATTTCAATCTTCTATTTCGAAGGTCAGAAATTTAAGATTCATTTGATAAAAACTTTTTTGTATGATTTTTTTATTTTTTGTCATAGCTGAAACTCTCACGTATGAATGTATTATAGTTATACGCTGCTAAAATTGCTGCCTTAAGATGAACAATGCGATGACAGTGTTGATTTTCCGCAGATTTCCATTTATAAGGTCGGATGTAAACGAGCTCCTGTATCAGCAACAGACTCTGCAACCGTATTAGTGTTCCATGCGGATTTATAAACCGACATAAATTGATGATCGCGTATAGTGTTACTGCACTCAACAAGTTTTGGATGTTAGGATGGAGATTAATCGAATGAAAAAATATATAATAAATCCTATACAACATTTCTTCTTTTGATAAAGTATATACAACAATTCTTGATTCTTCAAGAATCCTAAAGTCTTAGAATGAGTGAGCTGGAGTGAATCATTAGCCTGGTCATGCTCATGTCTGAACTAAAAACAGGTATGAGCTAAAAACCAGTCCATAAACATGAAAAGATTTGAACGAAAAGCAAACATAATCTTAAGATGTCCTGGAACCAACACTCTAAATGAAAAGGAACGTTAGGATTCATCGAATTATCCTTAATTGTCTACCTTCATTATTCATTGCACTTTCATCCAGCCAAAAGAAATTCGAAACGAACAATCAATGTAAAGGACCTTGCACATCTTTTAAGTTCTTCTCAAAGATTCAAACAATGAGGGAAATGGGAAGGAGAAAATGCTAGATCTGATGGAGAGTCAGTCTGTCACAATAGGAGAACTATTTCCGTATGCTTGCATACACTCTGTATGGTTAGAAAACACACCGCAGATGGACTATGAGAATAGTAATCCAGTGCCAAGCGTTATCAAAGAAAATACTCGATACATTAGTTCCTTTTGCATGACTGACAAAGTGAACCAAAAAACACCCAACAACTTAATGACCCCTAATCCACACTGAACATTAATAACAGAAAGAATATAGCCAGTGTGAAACAAGACATTTGCTTAAGCATCACACCATATTCTCAGAGCAATAACACAAGCAGCCCACAAATGAACCATGAGACAAGTTTAAACTGTTACATCCATATCTACTTTAAATAGAAGAAGCTACAAATCTATTGATGTTGCATAAAAAATGAACATTACAAAAATATTAATGGTAAATAAACTGCACATTGTTATTGAGGAAAATAAAATGACTTTGGCATGTCCATTAAAGCAAATAACAGCAACCTGTCAACTATTGTAATCATCCAGCCAAAACCAAAAGCATGTAATAATATCTCAATAGAACTAAGATTTAAAGGGGGAAAAAAAGGCAAAATTTTCTATAACCATCATATATAATTTCAGTTTAATATTGTCTCCAGTACAAATCAATAACGCACAATGCTATGGGAGAGTATCGAAAGCTATTATCTCACAAGCAATGGAACCACTTTGAACAAACATTAGACCACCCACTTGATTATCATATACCTGGTAAAATGGAAGTCCACAGACACAATTTTCATCACCCTACATACTGTGATATCCTAGAAGCCATATTACTAACTTGGGCATGCATTTGAGCGTTTCTGATCTTCGATGATGTTGCCCGGTGAATAAACTGATCACGTGACAATAGCCTCACATGCCTCAAGTATTGATCAAAGGGTATCGCCCCTTCCTGGACTGCCTTATCCAAGGCATATAGAACATCCTCAGCAGCTAGATCCAATGCTGTACACTCAATCAGTTGCTTAGATAAGGCATCACATGGCTCAAATGCCTGATCCACATCAACATTACCTCCCAATTTTCCCAATTTCTCACCATTCTCCTTCAACCACGTTTCCATCACGTCGGCATTCATCAACACCATTTGTAACTGCTGTTCCAGTATTTCCTTCTCATCCTGCATCTCCTTCAACCCATTTGCCAGCTGATTCTCACGTTGCCTTAAGGCTGCTTGCACACTTATTAATCCTTCAACTTCTGCCTCCCTAGATTTCCTCAGCCCGACCATATCACTGTAAACAGTCTCCACCAACTTATTCATGGCATTCCTCTTATAAACCTCACTAGGGTCATCCATTATCCTTCCCGACATGTTCCCTCCACCAGCAGTATACGGCGACGGAGGGTACGGTGGAGTCACCCTAGGCGGTATCGCAGGTTTTGGGCCCAACCCCGGATTGGGAGTATTAACAGCAACAGTATTTGGATTGGGAAAACTAGGGTTTGGGTTTGGGTTCGGATTAGGGCGGCGCTGGGAATATACAGGTGGCTCACGGCCGAAAAAATGGGACAAATTCCGAGCTAATTCAACTAAACTAGAACTAGGATAAACCCAATTTTGCAAATAAGGAATAGAAACGACACCGTCAGGGCTAACAAAAGGATGGCCACGTTTGATAATCATATCAGGAGTTGGAGTAACATATACCAGTGGAGCGTGGCGAGGATAAGATTCCATGAGCCAGATTTGGATCGGGATGTTGTAAGTCACGTTCTGGAACACCATCGGAACGGTCCCTTCCGCTTGGAGAAGGTTGACGGAGCGGCCATCGTTGTGGGTAAACGACGACGTCTTGATTTGAAGAGAAGGATACGCCTCGGAGAGAGCTAGAAGATGTTGCCGGATGAGCCATTTGACGTCTTCTACGTACGGTAAGGCGCGTGTTGAGAGGACGTTGTTGAGGAATTGCTGGTTGTACTGAGCATTCACGGCCGGAGGAGGCGGTTGCGGAACCATGGCGACAGGACGGCGGTGGGTATTATTTCCGGCGAGAATTTCCGATCGTTTCTTACTTTTTTTCGCGATTGGGAAGTCAGTTAAGCAATGATATTTGGAATCCAGAAGGAATTTCTCCGTGTCCTTCTTTATTTTACTATTTATTTTTTTTATTTCCTTTTGCTTTCCTGGGCCGCGTTTTAGTTGACTTTCTGGGTCAACGAAATGTAAAATATTTATACTGGGCCTAAGCCCAACAAGTACTTTGCTCATCTTTGTAAGTTTTGCTCCAATAACTATGCTATACAAGGTCTGACCCATTAACCTTACGACCCAAAAATAGTTTTCAGTATTAGGGTTTTTATATAAAGTAGGCAGTATAAACCCTAGATTGCTTAAACAGCGTCTGCCCACCTGCACGTTTCTCCTCAGGCAAAGGACTCATCTACTGGTAAGTCACTCTCTGTCCGAGTTCCGATTTAGATTTAGCTTTAGAACTGATTAAAGTATGGAGGGTTTGATGGGTTTTTGAAATCTCAATCTTTGCATTTGTATCGACATCCCATTTCTTTGTTAAGGAGGTCCTGATATCTTGGCTTGTTTGCTTCAAAAATGGTGCTATTCGTTTGATCGTTGCACTCTAACTTGTTGTGGGTTCTCATTTCATTGTGGGTTTAGTGGGTTCTCTTTGATTTATTTGGTTTTGATTGAATGAGGCGGAGTGATATTTGAGCTTATACCTGTTTGTACGCGTAGAATGTAATCATTGGGTGGATTTGGTGGCTTTTGGTTTTGATTTCCTTGAGGATCTTTTGGAAGGGGATGTCTCTATCATGTGGTTAAATTGGGTTTTTCTTTGCTTCGAATTGTTTCAATTTTTGTTTGACATTTCTTGTTGTAACTGACTGACAGAGATGGCGGACGCCAAGGTTATTGTCCCGGAATCTGTTCTGAAGAAGCAGAAGAGGAACGAAGAGTGGGATTCGGCTAAAAAGCAGCAGCTTGTTGCTGCAAAGAAGAAGAATGCTGCCAACAGGAAGCTCATTTACAGCAGAGCTAAGCAGTATGCTCAGGAATATGAGGAGCAGGTACTACTAATTCTTGTTATTTATTAGATTATATGAGCAAAGAAAATTGCAAAGTTATGGGTCCTGATTGTACTCTGTTTTGCTGTTGTAGCAAAAGGAGCTCATTAGGTTGAAGCGTGAAGCAAGGTTGAAAGGAGGTTTTTATGTCAACCCAGAGGCAAAGTTGCTTTTCATCATCCGTATCAGAGGGTATGTGTCAATAACTTGTATATTGAAACTCCTGTAGGAGTTTAATCTCTAGGGTCTCACATCTCTGCACTTGGATTTTTACAGTATCAATGCAATGCACCCAAGGACGAAGAAGATCTTGCAGCTTCTTCGTTTGAGACAGGTAATTTTTGTTTGTGACATTTTCCTGGGGTGTATTTGGCAAATTATCTTGATTTTTTTCTTATTCATCTGACCACCATATACTTAATAGGGGTTTGTTTGATTTTCGCATCTTTTTCGCCTTGAAGTGAGATGAATTTGGTTTTTGAGTAGTGGCAATTCTAATTGTATCAAGTGGCCCTGTCGTATGATTGAATTGAATACCAAATTTGATTCGACTAATATCATCATTCAATCTCTACCCACTTATGGTACATTCATGCTATTTGAAGATGAAAGGATGCTAATCAACTTGACTGTCAGCACTTTTATATTGTAAATTGTAATTATCCATCTTTTCTGTAAATGTTTTGGTTATGCACTTGTCATTATTTTGTAAAGTTCTCAGGTTTTATTTTGTTGAGGCTAAAATGTTAAATATCAGTCACAAAGCAACCATTGGGAGAAACATATAAGATAGGGCTTGGGACTTCTATATTGTATTTCGATAGATTTTTGTTTAGTGGTTTTTCCTTCTTTAATCTGGTTGTCGTGTTGCTTGTTTTCATTTCCTCATTTTTCTGATGCACTACCCATTGGTTTGCAGATCTTCAATGGTGTGTTCTTGAAGGTTAACAAGGCAACCTTGAACATGCTTCACCGTGTCGAACCTTATGTGGCCTATGGGTGGGTTTCTGAATACTTAAATTTCTATTGATATCTTTCCTGTTGATGGTTGAAGTTTGAATCATCCTACTTGTTCCCCAGGTATCCTAACTTGAAGAGTGTCAAGGAACTGATTTACAAGAGAGGATATGGCAAGGTAGACAAGCAGAGGATTCCTTTGACCGACAACTCAGTCATTGAACAGGTACTGTTTATTTTATGCATGACAATGTTTACCTCCGAGAGTTTGCTACTATTTTAAGCATAATATTATTTTCCTGTGTGATTTGTGACTAATGCTAGCTCTTGTGCATAACCAACAGGTCCTTGGCAAACATGGAATTATCTGCATTGAAGACCTTGTTCATGAGATCCTGACCGTTGGACCTCATTTCAAGGAGGCCAACAACTTCCTCTGGCCATTCAAACTCAAGGCACCTCTTGGTGGACTGGAGAAGAAGAGGAATCACTATGTTGAAGGAGGAGATGCTGGAAACCGGGAAGAGTACATCAATGAACTTATCAGGAGAATGAACTAGATTTGTAGTGTTCCCAGATAGTACTCTTTTTTGGCAAGGAAGTTTTGAGTGAGATCGTTTTCCAGATATTGTTAAAAACATGTTGATGAGAACAAAGTTTACTTTTCTTTCTTATTTAGGAAATCGACTTGGCTTTCGTCTTTTGTGTTTCAAGTACAACTTAAATATGTATTCTCTAAGCCTAAAGTTTTCTTGAGCTTTCTTTGTTCACTCTCGTTTACGAGTCTTTTGGGTGATTTCTTTTTCTGAATAAAAGTATTACGTGTCTATGTATATGATAAGTATATAACTCAATTTGAAGCCTCATATCATGAATGCTCAAAAGATTTCGACTCAAAATTGTCTTTTTACTAGCACTTCATAATAAACAGTATCCAAATTTCCTAAAGTCAAAAAATCAAGCAAACAATGATATTAATGTCACTAGTACTTTTGTAGCTGACAATGCTACTTCTATGTCAATAGATTCAAATGGTTGCTTCGATTTACATTGATTACCGTGAAACTTGTCTCAGAAAATACTGACTGCCATGAAATTTGCCTCAAGCCATTGAGACTAATGGACTAATGGTTGCTTCAAGCCATGAAAAGAATTTGGGAATTCGAACTATACCAATGGCCAAAACACTGAACTACGAAATCTTTACATAAAACAAACAAAAAGTAGGGCGGGCACTAAAAGAGTTTCATAAATGAAACTAAAACTTCGCGTAAACTTTGGGACGGAGGCAATATACTCTTACATAGGGCTACACATAAATTCAAGCAGCTACTCAGGCCAATATTTCTGGATTTCTCCCGGTGGGATTGAAGACTAAAAAACCACATACCCATCTCTGTACAATCAACAGGAAACACAATTATGAATCATTGGGAAATGATTTAATTCATAATCTCAAAAAAGAAAGGGAAAAAAAAAAAACAAAAAGGATAACTCATCAAAGCTTCAAATTAAGATCCGGTATTGATGAGTCTGTTCTAGGAGGTGGTGGTTGCATTTCTACATAATTTATGTTTGACCTCTCCCCTGTATTGTAGGTTACAGTGCCACCAACTCCTTCAACTTGTCGAAAACTACCAGGCCAGTACATTTCCACTTCATCATCTTCCATATATATTGGCATACCAAAGTAACCATGTTCAAATCTTGCTCCTCCTCTTATCACATTGAGAGGCCTGTCCGAGGGCATGATTGGCTGGTGTGCTGAAGCATGAGCTTCAATTCCAAGAGACCGGAATGCTGAGCCATGAAGAGGGAGGGATGCCAAGCTTGCATATCTATCAGACAACATGTTCATACGCATAGCTCTTTTTGCCAAGGTCCGCTCCCTCTTGTGTGCATTTTGGTGACCTCCTAAAGCTTGGGAGCTGTAGAATTTGCGCCTACAGTAGTTGCAAGAGAAAACCCGGGTTCCTCCTGGTGCTGGAGGATGGGGGAAAGCATCACCATTATTTTCAGTAGCATCTTGGAGCTCAATATCATCATTATTGTTGAAGCCAAGAGTCAAGTCCAAAGTGACTGGCCTTGCATCTCTTTGGAGATCAAAGGAGTTGGTCTTGGATGGCGAATTAGTAGTGCTTTCTTTCGATGGACCAGGTGAGACTTCTTGGGTGGATATGTTGGAGGCGAGTTGACTGCTCACTTCAGACTCTTCTTCAGATTCGAAGTTAATTTTTGGTGACTTCATTGTGAGAAATACTAAAGTTCAACAAAATCCTCTGAAAAGGAACAGAAGAGATATATCAATAAAGAACAGCTCTTGATATGTACCTGCTAGTATGAGTGTCCAACATATTCACGTGGTAGTGAAGTTTATCTAGTCAAGTAGAAACAAAAGAGAGGGCAACAGAAGAATGTATATGCTACAGATACTAAAATGCAACAGATCTGTGCTGGAAAGATGGTACAGCCACTTTCCATGTAACTAAGGCTAGTGTCATTCTCCAAATGTGGGAACAAAAGTTTCCACAAACACTGGCAGTTACTATTTAGTTTTGGAGAAAGACGGGTTTCTTGGCAAAGCATGCTGTTGGCTTCAAGAAAATTCCACAATGTTTGCTTCAGTAAGATGGAAGTCATGGAAGCCATGATGATCAGAGCTATTATTGACATCTAAAACAGTATAACATGTTCTGGGATAAATATCGTCCAAAGCAAATCAAACATGGACGATATTGATTCTGACCGGATCCACAGAAAGTCAATTAATCATGAAAAAATGATTAAAAAATGATAAAATATGCGATGTTAATGAAGCACAAACCTGATGGAAATATGGCCACAAAATTTAGAACCAGCATACGAAGGACAAATCTTCCAGCAACAATGTACCTGATTTGAGGTGACTAATCATCAGTACAAAAATAGATTCATAACAGCAGTAAGAACTAATGAAAGCATGCTAAAAGTCATAGAGGACGAAAGTTGTTCCTTTTTTTCTGCTAATGTAATAGAAGTAAGATGATATGAAGCGTCAAGAACCAAAGAGCCTTCTCAATCAGTTGGTATGAGCCAACCAAAACTGAGGGCGCATACACATCAGTTGTCAGTTTTTTCTCAATTTCAAAACAAATTATCAACAAATAGGCTTTTTGGCGTTTCAGGAGCATGTACAGAGTGAATGAACTGCAGCTCATAATTTATCAACTATCTAAAAAGGTTCCAGTTGGTTTGTTTTTCTGATGGTTTTTTCACAATTTTTAATTAATTGTATGTCCCACCCCAGCATACTTTTTTACATTTCCAATGCGCCTTTTTACAATCCCAATAGAAAAAACACCTAAAACACACGCACTAAAAAAACAATCCAAACAGAGAATTCGACGAAACCCAATTAAGCAGGATAATCATTGCTTTAAGAAGTAGAATGATAACTTCATATTCAAGCTAAGAAAAAAAGCTTTGCTAAAACAAACATGCTGCAACTTGACCCATCACATGCAAGAACTGCCGCATTCTAGAACAATTCAAGTGAATTGTTTTAAAAGGGATCATAAAAGAAATACTACATGCACAAAGGCATCAAAATATGGTTGACTGCATCGAAATAGCAATGCGTTAGAAAATTGATCCTGAAATGTGAGTCAAACTGCACAGCATAGAGAAGAAATGAACAAGATAAATTTATGGAAAAGTCAACCTGGTAGGTTACTGATAGTATATCATGACTTCTTTTACGAAATCCCAAAGTGGACGACAGCGAATTTCCACATCAGACCTTACTACTTACTAGTATTCTTACAGAAGAAGAGAAATGACTAGACACCTACTTTTTGCATCCATCTTTACAATACACTGTACATTCTGAAGAAAAGTGATAACACAGATAATCCCTTTCTTCCAGCAGATGATTCATAAGAATTCAGTAAACATCAGAAAGGAGCATCAAAGCTGTAAAATACTTCAGGTTACAAGCAAAATAGTCGAAGATCTAATTATGAACAAATTAAGATGTTTCAGTATTTATAGAGGAATAAGTATCTTCAGTTCATATAAAGAAACAGAAGCTAAACCCCACCATTAGACCACAGCTATCTAGTGGCAGAATTATATAAATAACAATAGACAATCCAGCAGGCCAGATAAATCCATTAGGAATGGTTCAACTGAGCTATTCCAAAACAGGTGTTTATCTGTAATCCGAAAGGAAAGGGTGACTAGAGGAACCAAAATAGTGTAGCCAAGATACAATTTACAAGCTTGAGACTCTGAAGGAATCCTTTCATTTAGAAGAGTCTCAGTTCTCAGGTTCAGAAAATGGAAGTTCAAATTTTGTTCCAAACAAAATATGTGTTGAATAAGGGACTGATGAAAACATTGTTAAGTATTCACTGCAACTACTACCCACTCATAAAAGTAGAAATTGAAGCACATCTCATAGCAAGACGGAAGACAGGCTGAGACTAATTTCCTCACTAAACCTATAGAAATCAATGTTCAAAATCGAGCCTGCAAGGCAAGTGAAGACGGAAAAAGAAGCTTCTTTTGACATCCAGGCTAACTTTCAGGCCTGAATTTAACGAATAATTATACAGGCTAATCTCAGAAAAATAATCCCATGTCAGAGCTATCAAAGTACCAAACTTTAAAGAGAACAGAAAAACGACAAATCTAGTACCTAATTTACAGCCTTATGAACAAAGACCAAATCCTTTACAAGTTAAAAGCAGCTTCAAAAAAAGTAATATGAACACTAAAATCAAGCATGCAAGATGAACAAAGAAGGGTAAACAGCATACTTCTACATACAAAAAGCTGCTGGAAATCAGCTCAGCTCACTGGTGACGAGACTGGCACAAACTTCTTTCAGTTCTAGTTTTTACCAAATATGGTGAGAACTAAAAAGAAGAAGAGATAGGGGATAAGATCATGAATGAGAGAGAAAAGAAATGAGAAATCAACAAAGAAAGAAATTAAGAGAGAGAGAGAGAAAGGAGATGGTGGGACGTCAGACAAGTCAGAAGAGGGGGGAGAAAAAAAAAAAAAGCAGGAAAGAAACAGACTTGACACTAATTTTGTTGGTTCTTCTTTAACTACTGTGACTGGTGAGCAGTGATGAAGTGAATACGCTACAAGACAGGATGAAAAATAATATAGGCAGATGACACCCTTTTATATTGTACTAGCTAAGACCCACAAACACAGATGCACAATGTCTTTTTCTGAATTCTTAAAATCTTCCTAATCTGCATAACTGTATTACACTATTACTAATTTTTGATTGTGAACATTATTTTCCTCGCATTCATCATCTTTCATAGTCCACAACTCATAAACGCTACATCCAAATTAGATATGGTTCCACTCACATTATTGCGGATCTCAACTTGGTACATAGCCTCACTCGTGTGAGTGTTCGACTCTGTATCCAAACGAGATACAGTTCTGCTCACACGAGTGAGTCTTGAACAAGCAAGTGACCATTTGGGTTTGGGAACACTCACCCACAAGACTTCATGGTAACATTCCATTAGGAAGCACACATTCTGTGTGTTCAGTGACATTGGCAAATCTGGGTCTCTTTTTCTTTCTCTTTCTGATCAAATGGACACCCATAACCATTCCCATCCCTCCCAAACTCATTTTTTGCCCACCTCCGATGCAAATTGACCTCTGCCGTATGCATGAGTTCACATGGGACACCAAACCCCTTTGGTGCACCTTACGAAACATGCCACATTTTCAGCATCCAGTCATGCCATTAAGCAAACAGACAATGGGCATGGTCCACTGCCACTTACTTAAAAAGATGTATGGCCCTCCTGAGAAAAGTTTATGCCAAAAAATCAAATCTTTCAATAGATTCAGTTTTTATTAAAAGTTTAACTAACCAACCAGTGTCACAGAAACAGATCCCAGATGGTTCCTTTTTTTTCATTAAATAAGCAATGATTTCATTAGATGTTATTACAACTGCACCAACCAAGTCCTTTCAATAATTTTTGGGCTTTGGTTGCAGCAATAGTTTACATGAATTTATGTTAGCCCAGTTGAAATTTTGAATTCATTCACAACGTGGGTCCATACATCATCACAGTGGTCGTTGAAAAATTTTGCAGGCAATTAATTGGAACAATCAGAGATATTCTGCTCGGTTCCATTTATTTTGAGTATTGCTAAATGCAGCTTGATTTTATTTCGCGCAACTTCATATAAAATCAAGCTGTATTTTGTATTTAGCAATAATCATTTTTTCAGACTTCAATATTCAAAATTCCAAGTTCATTATCTCGTTGCTCCAAACCGAATAACAAAACAGGTATCACACTTGTAGTAAAAAATCCATCCATGGGGATTTCTGAGACAAAAATCCAATGAATCCTTGCGTTAGATATTCACAGGAGAGGAAATTTAAACATTCTGTTCTCTATAACAGCAAAGCTGCCGATCACATCAAAAAAAAAAAAAGAGAAGGGAAAAGAAAAAAGATTGCATCAAAAGGAAAAACAATCATCCAAAAAAAAAAAAATTGGTGATCAACGATCATACCAAAAGCAAAAATTTATCCCACAATATTTCTCCAAAAAAAAATTACAAAAAAAAGAGCCCATAACTCCAAAGCTGATTACACAAAAAAAAAAAACGAAAAAAATTCGCCTAAAAATCACCTCATTTCTTCTTTTTCACGTGTTTTTCGTGTCTCTGACATTAAAACTGTCAACAATTGGTGAATTTTGTTTGTCTCTTGAAAGAATATGTGTGAAATTGTAAAAAGAGATGATCTTAAAAAGGATTTCGGAAAGTTTTTAGTTTAGGGGTATTTTAGTTTATTTTACAAGGTTCGCAAAGTAAAATTAAGTTGTGTTTATCAATCCACTTTATTTTTCTAGATGTAGTTCTTCATATTAAAAAAAAAAAAAAAGTAGTTCTGTGAAATTTTTTTTTTTTTTTAAATCACCAAATCAAAACTTCTTGATAACGGCTAAGGAGCTTGTTAGTTATAGAGTAAATACCTAAAATTAGTAAACAACTAATGGATAAACTCTTACTGCACGAGTATTTTATATTGTTGGAGTCGGTGATTATGTCATTCAAAGGGATCCAGGGTAGTCGTAATTCGTAAAAGATTATGGTCGTACTAGTAGACCGAATTATTTTTTTTTTCCTATGCATATATCCAATTAAAATGGTACTTGGGTCTCAATTGGTTCTTTTCTGCTTCGAGGCGTTCGTCCCGTTATTAATTTTCCCTTTAATTTGTTTCACATTTGAGATTGTATGATGAAATGATCATTTTGAGGCGAGAAATGCGATAAACAATTACCACTTATTCATAAGGCGAATGTAATAAAATACTGGGAAAGAAACATATTACTACGACTAATAAAATATTCTAAACTACTTCACAGTTTCGTATGGTACGATAATTAACACCAATCGAAGCCGTAGTCCCATTCAGAGCCGACAGCTTCATGTTCTTCACTAATAATAATAGATTAAAACTGGTGCAAAGTTAAAACTTAAAAGTAATGATAAGAACGGTTACATGTAACCATCTAAACTTTACATTATTAATGGCTGACCAAATCAGATTTGGTGAGAAGCAAAATCTTTTTGCTTTTGTCTTTTAGCTCTTTTTTAATACCCCCCAATTGGCATTTTTTCCTTTTCATTAATATATTTTCTTCTACCTTTCTTTAGTGGAGTGTACACACAGAAATATATATATATATATATATATTATTTTTCCTCTTGTCACATCTTTGCCAAATTAAATAAACTAACTTGTTGCGGGAAGAATGTTCATCCTGCTTCGAGCCCCTAAACCTTTTTTAATCTTAAAAAAATCACATGATTAAACTACTATTATGTCCTTCTATTGATTACTTCGATTTGTCTTCATTGTTATTGTTATTATCATTTTGACCCCTTCGTTTCTTTGAACTTAGCCAAAATGTCTTCACTAACTAGCATTTTGTTTAATTATTTTAGCTTTGGATTGATCACAACTCACAAGGAAGATAGCAGACAGCATTATATTATACTAATGGGATGTGTGAATACAAAGAATAAAGGAGTGGATCATCCATAATCTTTAAAACACATAGATTACATTCGATACAAAATTGACAAGAAAAACAAAATTACACGAGTTAGCCATAATAACATAAATGGAAACTAAACCACCAAGGCATAGTTGCACTTGATCAATACTAGGCAATTTTTGTATACGTATCACTTTTATGTCATATCTATGAACGTATTAGATAACTGTATTTAAAATCGCGTAAATTAAAATTAATTTTATACTTATATATAACTTATTGCAAACCGTGTAACTTCGTCAGAGCGTGCGTGTGAGTTTATACATTTCAACCTCAACCTTTTAATCTTCAACTACAGGTTTCTTACTTGCCCTTTTTTTTTTTTTGGGGCCTTTGCTTTCGAATCTCCGCCAAACCGAAGCAAGAACAAGGAACTTGGAGCTTCTTCTAGCCTGTCAGTTGCCGAATCAATTAAAAAAGTTGAAAGGGGTTTAACTTCTTTCAACTACCATTACCAAAACTGTTCTCCATCTGAAGTGTATATTTACAGATAAAATAGGGTCAAACCTGCTCCATTTGATGATCATCTTCCGTAAACAAACGTTTATCGAGTAAATTACAACCCTGCCCCCTTAACAATATCAATTCAATTGAAGAGTTGAGAACAAAAATGCAACACGTCTCTGGGTTAATTTAGTCTTTTTAATTAGTACTCAACCAATTTGATAGTAGATTTTTGGTGTATGCCTGACTAAACATATTTTACATGGTTAGGTCAGCTAATCATATATGAAAGGACTTTTTTGTGCATATATAAACCTGCAAAATGCTTGAATGAGATTAATGCAGATCATCATGGAGAAGAAAGCATTCCTTATTCTTGTGCTCCTAGGTTTTGCATTACAATTATGTTCAGCCACTCTGTATACTGTGGGTGATAGTTCTGGTTGGGACATCAGTACTGACCTCGATTCTTGGCAAGAGTCCAAGACATTTCTTGTTGGCGATGTTCTTTGTAAGTAAAACAAAACTTATCTCGCTTTTCGTTAAAAATTAGTGCTTAATTGATTATGTGACGCATTTATTTTTTTTGCTTTTTTGATTAGTGTTTCAATATTCGTCTTACCATAGTGTGAGCGAAGTGACAGAGCCAAATTACATGGCGTGCAATGCGACCGATGTACTACAAACTAGTAGTAATGGGAACACATCGTTCACTTTGACCAATCCGGGCGACAGATATTTCATATGCGGCAATCGGTTACATTGTTTAGGAGGGATGAAACTTCACGTACACGTTGTGAATAAAGAAGATCAAATCGCCTCTTCGCCGGCTTATGCACCCGAGGCCGAGTCCGGCGGTTCCCTGCCTCCCGGTTCGACAAAGAGCAACACACCTCTTTCAAATTCAGCAATGTCAATAATGTTCAATCCTGTTGGAATTGATTTTGTGACTTTGACATTACTCTTTGGGTTGTTTTCTTCCTTTTTTAATGTTGCTGTTTTTTGATCAAAGGAAGTAGGAGTATGTATTTTTTGTTTTTTTCCCTCTAGTGCTTCTGCTTTGGTTTGAAACATTGAGTGTTGTTTCTTGGGCCCAAATGGGGATGAAATTCGGTTATGATTTTCATTGGACCTTGATCTATAAAAATAATACTTTGGGCTGTTAAAATATTATACTTTGGGCTACTGAAAGGAGTTGAGGGCTTGGCCCAAATTAAAGAGGATAATTAACAAGCGGAGGTTACAATGGTAACTGTGTCAAAACTCGTAATTTGGTGGAATAAAATCTTCCTCTTGTCCGCGCAGTCATTTTCAGCAAGATTTGTGAAAGCAATTTCTACTACTTGTTATTATCGTTAAATTACCATTACATCCTCGTTTCCCCTCAATGGAAATTCTTTTTTCCCAGTAAAAATTACGTAAACACTCTTCAAAAAGTCAACAAAAAAACTCATCATGCCTATTTTATAAGGATTTTTTGCAATGATATTAACGGCTACAATGATCTTACATGAATGCTAATTCTCCTAATCTCGCGATCTTTAACTAAACCATTTCATCTTCTGTATTATACTTCCTCCGTCCCAAAAAAATAGTCCATATTTAATTTTGAATTTCGAGTTTCGTGCTGTTTTTAGTACAAATTTGAAAACTCAATGTGAACTATTTTTTTTAGGACGGAGGTAGTATTTCTTAAAGGATTTTTTTTTAGTTTTGGAATAATTTAAGTCACAATGTGAAATACTAATGAATAAAAATGTGGAAGTAAAAATGTCCGAATTCCAAAAGGTCGGCCAGAAAACTAAGGGAGAAAAAAAAAAAAAAAGAAGCCGTTTTACACTGTATAAAATCGACTGTGTTGTTTGGAGTCAAATAAACGAAAATAAAAAATGGTCAAGCAAGAAAAGATGAAGGGGAAATGGCCAAACTGTGGGGGCTAAGGGCTAAAAGAAAATTTATTTACTTTTTTTTTTCTTGTTTGTCAGAGAAAACAAGGCTCTCTCCATAGAGGGAGAAAACAGAGGAAAAAGACAATAATTTATTGGATTTGGGGGACAAGAGCGTATCTGTAAAAAATCTTCAAAATTCGATTCAGTTTGCTTTAAAAAGTAAGCTAAAGAAGATATCTTTAACAATTATAAATAAAATAAATATATGCATCATCTCAGCGTAAACTGCTGTGTTTCAGACTATACAGTGTCTACATTAGAAAAAAAATTGGAACTTTAAGAAACTGTATTTTGACTGCATTTATATACATTCATCATTATGGTAGTACACATTTAGAAAAAAAAGCATCTTTGCTTTTCTCTCTTTCCCATTTTTCCTTTTTTTTTTTGGTGGATTTATTGTTCCACTAAGTAGAAGTGGCATTAATCCGAGAATTTTGCCTGTAGAGATATTATTCTTCTTTTCATAAGTTCTGCGTGTTTGTCTGTGTGTTAGTACTGTTTTTTTAATCTTAAGCAAGACACAAACACAATGACAATGTTGTGATAAGCTGTTGATTTGTTTGAGGTTAGGGAAGAATGTAATGCTATTTTAGTATTTTTTTAGTGCAAATTAGCAGAGGGAACAGTGAACGTGCTCTGCCGTTGTCTGAACTCTAAATATTTGTTTAACTTATCGAGTTCACGCTTGCTGAGATATTGAGGGAATAAAAGATGATAGTACATGATTATTAGAAGGAGCTTGTTTTTAATTTAAGTAATTCAGGGTCTTCACTCATCATTGTTCAGAACAGGGTATTTGAGAGTGTACAGAGAAGTTTTTCCATTTTTTTATTTTCTGGGTGCCCTCCCTTTTTCCTCCTTTTTGGGAATCTGGGCTCTGTCCATCTTTTGAGGGCAGGAGGAAGCCATGCTTGGTCCATGAGAGGAGGAATTGATGGGTAAGCTTTGAAAGAAGACAAAAAGAAAGAGAAATTACTTTTTTATTTTTTTTTCCGCTTCGAGCTTTGTTTTAGAACAAGAGGAGGAGGAGGAAGGAGCTGAGGGATTCATGTGTTCATAACATTGTGGGTTTTGGGGTACAATCATTGCTGCACACAAAACATGGCTGTAATGATTTTTTAACTTTGAGGCCAGAAAGACCCCTTTCCTTGTGTTGCATAAAAAAAGTTACTCTAAAAAGACTGCTAGTCCTCTGAAGAAAGTCATGATTCTGCCTCATTTGTGTTTAGAAATATAAATAAAGATCCGTTCTTGGCTCTTCTTCGTTGTCTTTAGCTAAGGAGTTGAAGTTGGGGCTTTAAAGGGCTCAAAGTAAGTTGAGAGCACAGAAGAACTGAAGTAATACTGTTTTTTTGATGGGGCTGAAAAGGCAGAGCCACCACATGGTGGCTTTGATGTTGAATGAGCAAATGGTCATCAGGAGGAAGTGCACATTCTTGGGCGTCCCAAGAGGTTATTTTGGGAGGGCGCTGGTGTTATGGACCATAATTGCCTTATTTTTGTGTATGGGAGAGTATAAATACCAAGATGGTGATATCCAGCAAAGGAGGGAGGAAGTTCTTGCTAATGGCTGTAACCAAAGGGCGAGGATGCTTCAAGATCAGTTCAATGTCAGTGTCAACCATGTCCACGCACTTGCAGTACTTGTTTCCACTTTTCATTATCTCAAGAGTCCATCTGCAATAGATCAGGTTGTTAGTTATTCCTCTAATTTCATCTTGGTTTATAGAAGTTCTACTTATAGATTATTGACAACCCTGGGTTTTATTAATCTTTGGAAGCTTTTCTTCTTTTAAAGCGAAGATGTAGAATTTTGAAGGCATTTGCCTTTGCAGAATTTAATTCGGTACTTTGACGGTTCTAGTTCAGTTTTGTTTGTGTAATTTGATGAAGCTTCTCGGAAGAACTGTGTTAATTCTTTGCCAATGTTTGCATGCTACTAAGCTCAAATGTTAGTTTCTTTTCTCTGTGTGTATATCTTTAAAAGGTTCTTCTTATATTCATTATTGAGAAGTTTGGGATGTGTATGCCTTCAGTTGTTAGATAGGTTCTGTGCAAACTATTATCTGCTGACTCTACTTCCCTATCATTGGATGTTGATAATGTGAATATTGTTCAGACGACCTTTGCTGAGTATACTGCCAGTACTGCTTTTGAGAGGCCATTGTTGAGTGGGGTAGCGTATGCCCAAAAGGTTTTGAGTTCTGAAAGGGAAGAATTTGAGAGGCAACATGGGTGGACTATAAAAACAATGCAAGGAGACCCTTCACCTGTTAAAGATGAATACGCCCCCGTGATATTTTCACAAGAAACTTTGTCATACCTTCGAGCGTTGGATATGATGTCCGGGGAGGTAATACATAGTTTGTCCATAATCTGCATCATGATGCTCCAGTTGAGCAATGATTGCATCATGGAAATATTTGTACTAAAGATTACTGATTAGAGAACCCTATGCAGGAAGACCGCGAAAATATCTTGAAGGCTAAGGCAACTGGGAAGGCTGTTCTCACAAAACCCTTCAGGCTGTTGAGCTCTCATCACCTTGGAGTTGTTTTGACGATTCCTGTTTTTAAATCCTTGCTACCCCCAAACCCTACAGTTCAAGAACGCTTAAAAGCAACTGCAGGGTAGGCCTTTTAGATTTGTCTCTGTTCAGAATAGATCATTGTTGCAGTTTTCACTTTTGTCTTGCATTACATGTTTCTTGCGCAAATTGACATGCAGTTGAACATGCAATTTCAGGATTTCAAATTTGTGGTTATAGTTGAGGGAATGATGTTTGCAAATAAATAATGTCTTGTTGCTCCTTTCCTAAGTTGTAGCTCACAATGGCTTCGAAAACAACCTACTTTAGCCTATAAAACTTGTCCAAATAGTTTATTTGTTTTCTGGATATCTTTTTTTCGGAAATTGGCTATGTTTATTAGCCAATGGTGTTCCATAATTTCTCCTAGAAGTTCACTTGATCATTTTTTTTATTCTGTTCAAGTTTTCACCTGAACGTTCATTATCTCTGGAACTGGAGCATGTGTGCGCGTTTGCACCCAAAATTCACAAAATTCATGAACTCTATCTAAACTTGCCAGCTGGAGTAAAGCCTTTTTCTTGATTCATACATAACAACCTCGATAGTGCATGGTGCCTTTTCTAATAAGGGTTAGCTTGGATAAAACCATGAATGAAATTGCATGCTGCGAACTATTAGCTGTTGGAGGATATGGCTTTCTACCATAATTAGATACAGTATCATTGTAATGTTGTTTGTTTTCGTCAAATAAACAATCAGGATATAAATCAATTAACCATCTTTTCCTTGTCGCTTCAATATAAACTATTTCTTCCTTGCCTATGAATATTGTCTGTATCTTTGTAAATTGGCCTATTAGATAAGATCAAGTTTTACTCCCTGTAGGTAGAGAGGATGAAAGTAGTCGGGTATTCTTCTACTTACGAAAAGGGCATTCTTTACTCTTTTGTGCTTTGCATCTTCCTTTTGATGTTTCATGAGGCAAATCTGATCCCCCTATTAATTTTTTCATTTCTTATCTGGGAATCATGTCAAACAGTTACTGATTTGGATCTTAGATGTGGATGAATCATCTATAAACGCTATAAAATGCCCGAGCTTTCCTGACTTTTGTAATATCTTCTTATAAAATTCATATGGTCTCTGCAAATGCAGTTCTTTTCGTGGATTATTTTGTGGCTGAATGACACTTTCTGTGACTAGGTACCTTGGCGGAGCCTTTGATGTTGAATCCCTTGTCGAAAATCTATTAGGTCAACTTGCCGAACGAGAGGCAATAGTGGTGAAGGTGTATGATATTACTAACTCTTCTGATCCTCTAGTCATGTATGGTAACAATTCCCAAGTTGGTGATTTATCCCTTAAGCATGTTAGCAAGCTTGATTTTGGGGATCCATTTCGTAAGCATGAGATGGTCTGTAGGTAAATCCAGTACGCTTTATGCACTTTCCCAAGTATCAACCAGTTAGATGGATGCTAATGTATTTAATTGGACTTGTACAGATATCTTGAGAAAGCTCCTGTGTCATATTCTAATGTGATCATTGCTTCTATGATCTTTGTGATTGCAATGTTGGTCGGATATATCCTGTACAATGCAGCAAATCATGTTGTCAAAGTGAATGATGGCTACTTTAAAATGGAGGAACTGAAAGTTCAAGCTGAAGCCGCTGATGTTGCCAAATCTCAGGTTTTACTTTCAACTTTTTCCAAATTAGACATCTTATAAATTTTTCTAGAACTTCATAATTCTAACTGTTTTCATTTTTTTCTGCCGATTACCAGTTTTTGGCTACCGTTTCTCATGAAATCAGGACTCCAATGAATGGAATTCTTGGTACGTTTAAGATAAGATTTTGTGATTCCGCTGCAGTCCACTGTAAATACAAGGTTTCATATATTTGATAAATTTATGCATCTTTAGTGACAATGCAGGAATGCTTGCTCTACTTTTAGACACAGATTTGAGTTCAACTCAAAGGGATTATGCTCAAACTGCTCAAGCCTGTGGAAGGGCACTGATAACAATAATAAATGAAGTGCTTGACAGGGCAAAAATAGAAGCTGGCAAGTTGGAGCTCGATAAGGTTCCTTTTAATCTTCGCCCAATACTTGATGATGTTGTTTCGCTATTTTCTGAGAAGTCTAGGCGCAAAGGAATTGAGGTAATGTTGCCAGCGTAAAATGATGAAACTGATGTAAATGGTGGTTTATCTTTTTAAAATTGTTACGAACTTTTATACTCTGCATCATGCTTGACTCTAATAATTTTGTTCTTGTCATTCTTTTCTTTCCCGCTACCACCATCATCGGGTCCAAATTGATTGCTCTGCACAACTTTAACAAACATTATCAACAATATGTGAATTGCCAAGTTCAGTTGGCCGTCTTTGTGTCCGACAAAGTACCTGAAGTTCTTTTGGGGGATCCAGGAAGACTCAGGCAAGTGATCACAAATCTTGTGGGGAACTCTGTCAAAGTAAGTGAAGAATAAAGTCTCTCTTATGCCAAGAATTCCAGTTCTCACATATTGAAACAAGACTTTTACCTTTTGGAAAGTCACGTATCCTAGCAACAGTGGTCGTGAAAGATAAAATTGTTATTCATTGCGATGCTTTTGTTCCCCCTTTCTGTTATGTTAAATCTCATCATTTCCTTAGCAAGCAAAATTATAGGAAAGAACAGATTGTTTTTCAGCTCTGACTCTTTCTGTAAATTTATTGACAGTTTACTGATCATGGACATGTCTTCATCAAAGTTCATCTCGCTGAAGAAGCAAAAGCTGCAGTAGACGCAGAAGTCAACTACTGCTTGATAGGAGGGTCTGAAAGTGTTGTAGCTGGTGGCCATCAGTTTAAAACTTTAAGTGGATACGAAGTTGCAGATGAACATACCAATTGGCATAATCTTGCGCATTTGATTTCAGACGAAGATAGTTACAATACTTCCAGTAAAGTGAAGGTTGATGATGCATCTCAAAATGTCAGTCTTTTGGTATCTGTTGAGGATACAGGAATTGGGATTGCTTTACATGCGCAAGATCGGATTTTCACACCATTTATGCAGGCTGACAGTTCAACTTCCAGAAATTATGGAGGTACAGGAATTGGCTTGAGCATTAGTAAGTGCTTGGTTGAGCTAATGGGTGGTTCAATCAGCTTTGTCAGCCGTCCAAAAATTGGAAGTACATTTTCATTTACAGCCAACTTTCGAAGATGTGAGCAATCTTCTGTGAGCGATCCAGTAAAGTCTATCTCTGCTGATATACTTTTGGCATTCAGAGGACTTAATGCCATTGTTGTCGATGGCAGACCAGTTAGAGCAGCTATCACTAGATATCATCTCAAGAGGCTTGGTATCCAAGTTCAAATTGTGAGTAGCGTCAGAATGGCTGCGGATATTCTCTGGAAAAATGGTTCCCATACTTCTGTGTAAGCTACTTTCTTAACACTGTAAAAGTTCATGCTTTCGATTGCTTGATTTGAGGTCAAAAGTTTTTCCCCACTAAAATAAATACACTGCTTTCTATAGTGCTGAACTAGCTCGTGTCTGGACAAGAAAGCCATTGATGAACTAGCTCGTAAAGTTTCACATTCTCTGAGAGATGTGGAAATGATTCCTGTTTGAGGAGATCTGGTTTTGCTCAAGTGATATTAGTAGTAACTTATTGGTACATAAGCACAATACCCTAAAGGTGCCTCAGATTGGCAAAAACGATTAGCTCATTAATGAATCAGGTCAATATACAGCTACTAATAACCTAAGTCTCGCCATGTGTCATATATTCAGTTTGTTTGCATCTGAAGCATTCTTCTCATCTCCATTTGATATTTATCAGAACTCCATTATGAGTTAAAACTGCTCCGTTTAAACAAAAAAAATTATTGACTTGTGTCTTTGTTTGGCTCACAACGACTGGTTATTTTACATGATAAGTGTTCTTCTCTTATCATACCCTTGTTTAGATTTAATTAGTGCGACTCTTCCAACTGTTGTTTCCACAAATAGAAACATTGTGAGTGCTTATTTATTTTTTAAGATTCAAAACACAATGCTGTTGGAACTAGTCTGAGAACTGGAGCTGCGGAACAGCAAGCGGTTATAACCATATAAATATATATATATATTTGTGTATTTACATAAATTAATGCCCGTGTGTGAAAAGTGCGAGAGTGTGTGTTTTTTGGTGTGTGTGTGTCTCTGTGTGTTTGTGTTCTTTATCTCTTTTCCTTTTCTTTTTGGCCTTCGGTGTGGTTTTCTCTGTTTGAATATTTGTTGCCAATGTAATCCGTGCTTGAACTCTATTCAAATAAGCAATGTCTTCTACAACAATGATTTGATTCATGAAATCAATCACATGTCACTAAAGTATAGCATTGTTCAGTATTTGTTTTATTCTTCTTCTGTTATATTGCACTCATGTATTGATAAACTCATTTTCATCGTGGCAGAAGTGAAGCGCAGCCGTTCATAATTCTAGTTGAAAAGGAATCATGGATGTCTGGTGAGGATGATTGTTCTTGTTTGTCAATGAACTGGAAGCAGAATGGCCATGCACATAAAGTGCCAAAATTGATCCTTTTGGCTACCAATATTACTAGCAGTGAGGTTGAGAAGGCTAAAAAAGTAGGTTTTGTTGACACAGTGATCGTGAAACCTTTGAGAGCAAGTTTGCTGGTTGCTTGCCTACAACAGGTTTTGGGATTTGGTAAGAGGACTCAAGAGATATGCAAGGGTTCTGCTTCCCTTCATGGTTTGCTTAGTGGCAAAAAAATTTTGGTGGTTGATGATAACATGGTCAACCGCAGAGTTGCTGCTGGCGCCCTAAAGAAATATGGTGCTCTTGTTGAGTGTGTCGAGAGTGGAAAAGCTGCTCTCCAGAAGCTTGAGCTGCCACATACTTTTGATGCTTGTTTCATGGATATTCAGATGCCGGAAATGGATGGGTATGTCTTTCAAGTTCTTTATTATCATTATTTTCCACTTTTATATCTGAGCCGGAAACAGTTAAACTAGGTGATCATTTTAACATTTAAGCAAAGTGCCAATATACGTGGTGTGAGTATTTGTGTATTGGATACATACCATACGAACAAGTAAACCTTTATCCCACTTCCAGGAATTGCTGCTTAACTAAGGAATTCCGCATCACATGATGGCCAAGATATAGTTTTGGTAGGACCAAAACTTAAAATTTTAAGTTGTTCGATTTGGCATTTAGTTTGTAGAGTTTACCTGTATTAGTATACATATAGGCACAAATGTTTCTGTTGAACTTATTGGACCTCCTTTGATCTGTTACAAATGCCATATACTAGTTCACTCTAGCAGGACGAATAGAAAGTCAAAGAACATGTCTAACTTCACCTTTTTGGTCCTGTTAGTTTTGAAGCAACTCGCCTTATTCGCAAGATGGAGTGGAGTGCCAATAACCAGTTGAGCCGAGGATGCACAATGCACGACGGAACCCCGAAAAAGCGTGAATGGCATCTGCCAGTTTTAGCCATGACAGCTGATGTGATCCATGCAACGTTAGACAAATGCTTGGAGTGTGGGATGGATGGTTATGTCTCAAAGCCATTCGACGAAGAAAATCTGTATCAAGCCGTGTCAGCATTCTTCCAATCCAAACCTCACCCCGATGACCAAGTAGTATGACTTCCCTGATTCGTGTCCTGCTAATGTGATAGAAATCCATGTTCGATCCAGCGATTTTCCACCCGCTGTCGATTCCACTATGGTTTAAGCAAAGCCGATGAATATCTCCTGATATTGAAGCTTGTATGACCAGCACAAGTTTAACAGGTTTGGATACTGACTTTGACTTGATCACTTGATTGTAGCTTCTATAAGTATAATCTGAAGAGAGCTATATAGTTCCATTAATTCCCCATCTGTAATTATGTTGGAATGGGGAAGAGGGCCAGTAGTCAATGACCTTCTATTCTTGTTGTATTTCAACATTTGAAACTTTCGACGAGAAAGCTCTATTCCAGTTCATTTAGCTTCCAAAGGTTATTAGTCATCTGCAATTCTTGAGGTTGCTTATTGTGTATGTTTTAACAAAGAGTAAAATGTCCAAATGGTCCCTTATATTTGGGCTTACTCGAATTTCCATCCCTAACATTAACATTTCAATATCGTAGTCTCAAACAATATGTTTTCAAACTTTTTTGGTCTCATTTCACTGTTTTCGGCTGTTGACATGTTGGAATCAGGGATATTTATGTCTTTGAACTTATATTAAAATTTAAATCATTAAAAATATTTAAAAATTCATATTTCATTATTTGATTGTTAAAATATTATTTATTTAAATATTATAAAATTTTAAAATTTACATTATTTTCAAATTACTTTTTTCGTTTATCATTTAGTTTAAGTACATAGTAAATAGTAATTATATTGTACTTTTAACTTTGGACATACTGTAACTTAAAAATTTTACCAAATTTTAATAAATAATTCAAAATTCAATTTTATTTTTTTAAAAAAAATAAAAAACAAAACCAAGATTTTTTTTAAAAAAAACTTTGACTGTTATAGTAAATCTTAAATGGTAATTATGTTGCACTTATAACCTAGGACCCACTGTAATTTAATAACTTTACCGAATTACAGTAAATAATTCAAAATTTAATTTAATTTTTTTAAAAAAAAAGTAAAATCAAGATTTTTTTACTTTTGTAACTCGGTAAATGTTGAATTTTAAATTATTTACTATAACTCGATAAATTTTTTAAATTATTGCGGGCCCAAAGTTAAAAGTGCAATATAATTACCATTTAGAGTTTACTGTAGCGGTCAAAGTAAAATAAATCCTTGTTTTGTTGTTTATTTTTTAAAAAATAATTGAATTTTAAATTATTTACTATAACCCGGTAAATTTTTTAAGTTACAGTGGGCCTAAAGTTAAAAGTGTAACATAATTACCATTTACGGTTTACTGTAACAGTCAAAGTAAAAAAAATCCTAATTTTTTTTAAAAAAAATTGAATTTTGAATTATTTACTGTAACTCGGTAAATTTTTTAAATTAAAATGGGCCCAAGATTAATAGTGCAACATAATTACTATTTAGGGTTTACTGCAGCAGTCAAATTAAAAAATATCTTGATTTTTCTTTTTCGTTTTTTATAAAAAAAAAATTGAATTTTGAATTATTTACTGTAACTCGGTAAATTTTGTAAGTTACAGTGAGCCTAAAGTTAAAAGTGCAATATAATACCATTTACTGTGTACTTAAGGTAAATGGTAAATTAAAAAAGTAATTTTGAAAATAATGTAAATTATAAAATTTTATAATTATATTTTAATAAATAATATTTTAAATAATAATGAATTGAAATTTTAAATATTTTTAAGGATTTAAATTTTAATAGAAATTTAAATTAAATAAAAAGACAAAAACCCCTGATTCCGATATGAAACAGTGAAGTGAGACCAAAAAAGTTTAAAAACATAATATTTGAGATTACGATATTAAAATAATATTAGGGATATAAATTCAAGTAGACTCAAATGTAAAGGACTATTTGAACATTTTACTCTTTAACAAATTAGTTGGGAACTCATCGTCTTGATTCTTGACTGGTGGAACCAGATTTGGATCACAGTAAGTTGGCAACCTATGACATTCTCAAAACTTGTAGGCCTGTCTCATACATTACATTATATTACATTATAGTATGACTCTTTCGTTGGGACGAAGGAAGTATTTGATACGTTTATTTTAAATAATAATAATAATAAATTGAAAATCCTACTGGCATTTTGGTAGGACTGATTCTTGAACCGCTATAAGGTTTAAAGAAGTGGTCCATTTTTCTTCAATTATGCTTAGGTGCTCCTTTCCTTCCTACCTACAAAGCGACGACCACAGCCAAATGTATGCATATTTGAAGTCCCGGGCCGATTACTACGAAAACGACAACTACTACGTACAGTTGGGTAGATAGGGGCAGACACTACCTTCTGAATAATATAAAGAATTAAAGTAGAACAAGACAGACAATGAAACAGAAATTTATGCAATTTTGCATCCTACCATTAATTACGTTATTAAAGATTTTGACCAAATTTTTATAAATCTCGCGCATCTTATGAAGCAACATATGTTAGTAGTACTGCAAAAATCCAGTCGTTGGCATACAATAGTTTTCAACACTTGTTTTTGGGGACAGCTAAAAATGTCTGGTCGGGCTTAATCCTCAATCTCTGACGGGAGGGAGTCAAAATTCTAAGGAGAGATTTGATATTACTCACTCCATTTCAAAATAAGTGTTACTATTAAATAATTTTCATACAGTTTAACAAATAATTATATAATATAACTAAGTTATATGAATATTGTCAAGCTACATATCAAAACAAATGTTTGTCATTAGTATTATTTTTTTAAGGATAATTTTGGACAAAAGACCATTAAAATCAGAGAAAGATACTTATTTTGAGATTTTTCTATTTTTCTAAAATAATACTTATTTTAGAATTAAATTTTATAGTAGTACAATTCAGAGTGTTTGATGACTTTATTACTCCGCTAAAAATAAGTGGAAAAAAAGATGTACTCCAATATACATACACTCTCCGTCCCATAATTATTATCTAGTTTGAGTTTTTATTTCTAGTTCAAATTGTACTAAATGTGAAATAATTTTGGGACAGAGAGGAAGTATTTCTTACAGAAGGAGGTTTATTCCACAAAGTGTAGATTACATGTATCATCAAACCAAACAAACACACCAACTACCGGTACTAGTAGGGAATATATATAAGACAAAACACTACTAAAAATCCAAATTGTTTTTAAGGATTAAGAGAGAGGATCCCACGTAGTACTAATTAAAGTCAATTTTGAAGCGGCACGAAACCAATAAAGTTTTATAAGTAATTGTCAAAATGTGTGGTTGGCACGCACATCAAACAAACCATAGTAGTACTTCGTCTTACACGTACCAAATCGAGTGGATTAATTAAATTTTGTTAATTAACTATGATATCACAACAGCAGATTACCCCCCTGGCCCCAGTCAACGTTCTGACATCATTCCTTGTCTTTATTATTAATAAATCCACTTAATTACTAGGAATCATGATGCATGTTTTACTACTACTCATCACCATCCTGCCGGTCAATAATTATAAATAATGCATCATTGTTATTTAATTAAGCATTGTTGGGCCTACTATCACACTCACCTTCATTGTCTCATGTAAGATGGATTTTGAATCAAAAAAGTTTTAATGTATGTAATTTTAAATAAATGTTACTCTTTTAATAAAAAAAAAAAAAAAAAAACTCGAGTGTAAGTTTGAGCTGAGATGAAACCAATTGGAGTGATTCCGCTCATTTGTTTGGCCTCATTTTGCTTGCCCCGGGGGTTGCAAACTCGCAATGTGTTTGCATAACCAAATATGACGTTCGTTTCAGACAACAACTATTTTGTAGGATTCAGGTTCGGGTATGGCAAAAACAAAATGCTGGTTTAAGACGATACTTTGTAGCAGAAAATGATATTTTTGCAACAGAGAATTGATGGCTGGCGGTACTTAGTAGCATTTACAAAAATTGTTATGAAGCTATTTGCATCATCACTGCTACTTAAGAAGAGAAATGGACTACCGTCTACAAACGAACTCATCCAAACTACAAACAGATTATCCTCTGGACATCAGTGTAAAGAAGATTTAAGGACATTAAAACAGCTACAACAGACCAGAGAAATGAAGAGTCAGGGAATGAGGGGGGGGAAAGGGGCAGAAGGAATGAACAAACCAAATCTCCACTCAGGCCACCAAAATAGGGGGCCTAAATCTCATCGCTGATTTCTGATATTTGGTAATTCTGATAAATCACCTTCCATCAGACGATGTGAAAGAATCTGCAAATCCAGAAGGCCGAGTCGGTATGCTGGTTTGAGTGTTGTCATTGCTGCCAAAGTAAGATGAGCTCTCCATACTGTTGGTTCCTTCCAGCGCTTGCCACTTCTTAACAGCCTGAGGCAAAGTCATATCATAGTCGATTCCATAGAGGTCATCGGGATCAGCTTCTGTTGGTTTCCACATCTCTGTAAGGGATGAAAGAACATTGACTGCGTGACTCATGTCAGGCCTTTGATGTGGTTCTCTAGCACAGCAATGACCAGCCAACTCGGCAACAGTGGTTATGCTTGCAAGAGTTTCTTCATTGAGCTCGATCGTAGGGTCAATAGCTTTCTGGAGCTCTTTGCTGATAAGGGTTCTGCGGAACCATGAAACCAAATGAGCACTTTCCTCTGGACGGGATTCATCTAGAGCCTTCCTTCCAGTAATCAACTCCATCAAAATTACCCCAAAGCTGAAAACATCGAGTTTGGTTGTCACTCGGCCCATCACTGTCATTTCAAGAACTTTTGTTTTAGAGTGATCCTTCGATATATTTTAACAGCTAAAAGAATCGGTATAGAAAAACACTTATCAACCACAACATCTGATCCAGCACAAAACAAATAAATAGTGGCATAACCTAAAGAAAACATTGTAAAGCCAATGCACAAGACTTCCAAAATATAAATGCACTATGAATCACGGTTAACTAGTAACTTTTTGCAAGTAAACATGCATATGACGTAATCCTAAGTCATTCTTGCTTTATTCCTATCGACTGTGGAACAGAACTCAAAAAGCAGAAACCAGATATTATTAAAAAAAATCATAAGACAGGGCAATTATTTTCCATATTACAGAGCGTTTTAATCACCACAGAACTAGAATGTCCCAGCAGTTCTGAAAGTATCAATACAATAAAGAACTACTACAGGAGAAATGAGAACATACCTGCGTATTCAGGGGCAAGGTAGCCAAAAGTTCCAGCCAATCTAGTGACAACGGTTCCTTTCCCCTCAGGAACAAGTCGAACAAGTCCAAAATCAGCTACTTTAGCTCGCATATCATCTCCCAATAGGATATTTGAGGGCTTAAGATCCCTGTGAATAAAACTTTGTTGAGCTAAACTATGTAAATATTCAACACCCCTGGCCACATCCAATGCAATGGTCAGCCTTTTCATCCAATCTAAAGGCTTCAATTGTTCCTCCTTCCAATCAAACAAATGCCTGCTGAGGGCTCCCTGAGGCATATATTCATAAACAAGTATCCTCTCAGCGGCATCCAAGCAAAATCCAAGAAGAGCAACCAAATGTCTATGTCGGACCTTTGTCACAATTGCAATTTCAGACTGGAACTCCTCCAAACCCTTATCAGTCATCACTCCTGATTCCATTCTCTTGACTGCAATCATAGTACCGTCATCCAACTCCCCTTTGTATACAGTTCCAAATCCACCCTTGCCCAAAATATTGTCCTCACTGAAATTGTTAGTTACTTTCTTTAAGACCTCAATTTGAATCTTCAAGCCGTTACTCTCCACAATGTGAATATCTCTAGGGTCATTACTACTGTGGCTGTAATTTTGACTTGTGCCACCAACACTGGAACCTGCAATAGTGATCTTAACAGTGTCTTGATCAGAACCAGAATGACGAGGATGGATAACCACATTGCTTGGAGCCTGCACTCGGTTAGATCCCTTGCGTTTTGTCTTCTTGATAAAGAAAACCAACAAACAGGCAAAAACAATAACTGCACCAACACCAACCACTGAACCCACAATCACCCCGGTAGAGGACTTTTTGCCACCACCAGTAACACCACTGCCACTATCACCAGGAGATCCATCCGGAGTTGCTCCTGGTGTCCCAGGGGGTGGACCATCCTTTCCGATGTTCACATTTCCACCAGTTTTCACTTCCACTCTATTAGCTGCAAATGCAGGAACTTTGCCATAAAGTTGATTGTTAGACACGTCCAATAGTTGAAGGTTAGGTAAAGTAGTAAGCTGGTTTGGTATTGTCCCCGTAAGGTTATTGTTTGCCAAGATAAGCTTCTGCAATGTGGGAATGGATGAAAAATTTGGTGATATTGTACCACTAAGTTTCATATTCTGAAAATTAATCACCACAATATTCCCATTCAAACAAGTAATTCCCACCCATGGGCCAGCACATGGATCATTTCCTTTCCAATTTGATGCAAATTGGGCTGGATACCCCAGATCTTGAGCCACCGCAAGCAAACTATTAACCCTAGGATCGCACGTAGCTCCAGGAGTACTAGTACAGAAACTATTCTGACCCGCCATATCAACACTTACAGAGCCACCGAACTTTGGCATCGGTCCTTGTAACAAGTTATTAGTTAAATTCACCACAACCAAAGAAGGCAGACCGATTAATGACTCCGGAACAGGGCCAGTAAACTGATTATCCCTCAAACTAACATTCTGCAACTGTTTAAGCCCAGAAAAATCCGGCAATTGCCCAGTGAACAAATTGCCATGTAGCCAAATTTCAGTTAAACTGGTCAAATTCTGAATAACATCAATGCTTCCATTTAAATTTTGCCCGTTTAGCCACAGAGTTTGCAAAGACGAACCTGAAAAACTAGGAGGAAGGCCGCCCTCCAGTTTATTGAAAGACAATTGAAGTGTTGTCAACCCAGGAAATGCAGTCCCGAAGAATCCCGGAATAGTGCCGACGATATTGGCGGATGTAGCAGTAAAAAGAGTCAATGGAGAAGCGGCCTGGATACCATCAGGAATTACCCACGCAGAGAATGGATTCTTATCCAAAACAACAGTTTGCAAAGAGGTTAAGCCATCGAAGAAATCATGGGGAATGGAACTAAAATTGTTGTCCCTGACCATAATCCGCTGGAGGGAGCTCAAACCAGAAAGACTGGGCAGCGGCCCAGAGAGTGAATTCAGGTAAACTTCAAAAATCTCCAATGATGTGAGGCTGTTGAGGTTCTCCGGGAGAGACCCCGAAAGTTGCTTGTCTCCAATTTGGATCCGGGTCACACGTTTGTTAACGCACTGGACATGGTTCCAGTTACAGGGGTCCGGGTCATCCCACCCCAGTGAACTTGGCGGGTTCAGATTCTTCCTCAGCTGAATCATCACCGCAGCATCGTTACCACTGCTGGGCTGCGACTGAACCACAGCCAAAAGGGTCACATAATTCACCGAAATCATCAACAGAAACACCTTCCATGACAACAATCCCAAATGGGTTTCTCTCATTTCCTTTCAAAAATCAAAATACCTTCCCCTTATGCCTTTATATCACTCGGAAACCAAAAAAAAAAAGCTGAATAAACTAGCAGAGATTAAGAAGCGGCAAAGAGGAGAGAAAAGGTGGAGATTAGGGTTTTTGCAAGCCTTTTGTGAGTGGGCATGGTGGGTGATAAAGAGAGGAAAACGAAAAAGCGGTGAGTTTTTTTTTGTTTAGAGTGAGAAAGGGAGTGGTGAAAAGGAAGCTTCTTTATATATATCACGATGAACGTAGCACACACAGTCACACAGTGTAACAAACATTCTAAAGCATGCTAATGTGAGAGTAAATTAATAAAATAATTGAAAAGAAAAGGGAAGGGAAAATAAAGGGGGGAAGAAATAAACAAAATCTGTTTGGAAGAAGCGGCAGAAGAAACGGCGGGGATGGAGGAAGAAGACGAAGAAGAATTAGAAAAAGGGAAGGTTTTGGATTTGGACTGGAAATGAAAGGGAAAGTGAATATTTGGATACAGTTGTCACATGCGTGTTGGGCCCCACCCCTCTTATTTATTACTACTCTCTACTAGCAGCAGTAGTAGGAGTAGCATATTTTAATTAATTCATTATTTTCTAGGGATTTTTTTTTTCTTTTTTTTCCGATTTGGAGAATTTTTGTGTAATCAATTTGAAATGATGCTGTCCTTCTTCTAGGAATTTCGTGTGGGCAAAGGATTATTTGTTTCCTTTTTTAAAAAATTATCATTAATTGATTTGGATTGGGACAAATGTGAGGAAGAAATTTGGTTGTTCCTTTCCTATTCATCCTTAGGCGGCGATTAGTAAACTGTGTAATCCAAACTGTCACTAAATATATGATTATTATTACATCTGATCAGTTTTATAGTCATTCCTTGTTAACTTTAAACTCAAAATACAATATGTATGTAGGAGTATATATTTGGAGGGAGAGGTCGTTGAACAATTGGTGATAACTGATAACTGATAAGGATGTACATCCAAAGGCATGTTCTGATCATAAAAACTTGCAACGTGTATCTACACCGAAAAGACGTATGAAGATATATGTAAATGGGTGGTGGACTTGTGGTTGAGTGAAATAAATTCCCTAACCTTCAATTATAGTGAATTGAAACTCGTCCTAAATATAGAGTAATCTTAAATCGTTTAAATAATTGTTTCACTTTCTGATATTTTATATATAATTTAGTGAACAAGCGTAATATTGTGTTGGATTTTTCTCTTTACAAAACGAAATGAACTCTAATTTATGTTTCCCATTTGTGTATGATTGCTCAAGTGCATCTAATCTAATGCAATGCCATCCATCGCTTGGTGATTGTCAAGTGCATGCTATTTTGCATTAGTGGTGAACTTGGAGTTAGTCACTGGGTAGGGGTAAAAAATAATATTATTTTAATTAAAATACTATTCAAACAACTTTTAAAATTTGTTCTTAAAAAATATTTTAAATTACATCTCAAACTCAAATAAAAAATTAAACCAAAAACTAAATAAATCATCATCCATACAAGCTTTATAATTCCTCAATCACTACACTACACAATGGCTTAATCTTTTAGCCCAAACAGGAGTTTAAAAGGTGAAGCCCAAACAAGGTTTTCATAACTAATCAAAGTCCAAATTCATTAGGCCAAATTTCATAAATAAAAAGTCTAGAGGCCCAAGGTAGAAAAGAAACCCTCTCATAGCAGTTTTTTTATCGGTGCTTTTTACTTCCACCGAGGGGCCAACACGACAAGAAATAGAGCTATTGGGCGTCTGAAACCATCTACTTATGAGTTTTCCGACTCGCAAGGGGTCGATCAACCTCTATGACACGGCCCAAATATTAAGTAAATTTGGCTCAATAACTTTAGTGAACTTGGGCCTATTTAAAAGTATTTGGTCAAGTTCAATAACCAAAAAATTCTAAAATGTCCCAAAACTTTAGAGGTTTGTAGAATATTAGAAGAATTGAGTAGAATCGTGTAGTGTTGTCCGAAATATTGTAGAAAATTCTAGAACATATTAGAAGAGAGTGTATTAATGTAGAAATGTGTAGAAGTCTTTAAAATAGTTTGGGATATTGTAGCATTAATTAGAAAATCTGATGTTTTTCTAGAATGATGTAGGTTTAGAAATATATAGAACTTTGAAAGTTTAGGGTTGCCAACAATAATACCCAAGGCCCCCCTATTGTAAGGCATGAAGAATTCAAGGTGTTGAATTCAAGTTCTTAAGTTCTCCTAAGTTTCCTTTGAGTCCTCTTACTTTCTTCCTTTCTTTCCTCTGAGCCTTCAACTTTACTACTTAGTTTTTTTCAAGAATTTTGAGAGTTTTAAGGGTCAAGCTGAGCTAGCATTCTTCATTAGGGGTCTAGAGTGCTAGTGCCGCACGGTTTTAACTTATAAAATAGCTAGTCCGTGACAGTTGGTATCAGAGCATCGGCTCGATACGTACGTTTCCTCTCGTTATTAAATTTTGTGCATGATGTCTAGTCCATTGGAGGTTGTTCAAGGTGTGGAGGTTAAGGGTGGTGATCACATTTCTCGTGAGCAAGAGAGGACTTATTCTCGAAGGGGAACTCATAAGAGAAGTTCGTTGCTCGTGAGCCGATGGTCGACTTTGAGAAACGGCTTGCCAAGGTGGAGTTGGCCGTGGCCGACCATTGTAATCGCTGGGAAAAGCATGCTTCCACGGTGGAAGTTAACTCTAAGGAAAGCATGGAGCCATTCAAGGGTGAATTGCAAGAGACATGCAACAAATGCGTGAAGAGATGCTTGGGGCACTCAACAAGATGTTTGAGAGAGTCACTAAGGTTTGTGAGGAAAATTCAGACAAGGTCACCACGCTCCAAGGTGATGTGCTCAAACTCAGGGGTGAGTTTAAGACTTATCGTGCACAACCGGAGCAGCTCAAAGTACGAGTAGATGCTTTATGTGCACAGGAGATGACTAGAGTTGGAGCAGAAACTCCAATGGTCGATGCACGAAAACCAGATATTTATGCTGGTAGCCGCAAGGTTAGGGATGTTGAGAATTTTCTCTACGGACTTGAAAGGTACTTTATCGCTATGGGCTTAATGGACGATTCGGTAAGACTCTATCAAGCCTCTTGTTATTTAAAAAATAGTGATCTATCTTGGTGGAAATGTATGATGAAACCAGTTGGAGAAGGAGGACCGGTCTTCACCACTTGGGAAGGATTTAAAGAGGAATTTAAGAAACAATTCCTCCCGACTGATACTAAAAATGAAGCTCGAGCTAAACTTTGCCGCTTACACCACAATGAGGGCCATATCAGGGAATACGTGCTGGAGTTCTTTGATCTTATGCTTGAAATTCTTGATCTCTCATCCAAAGAAACTTTATTTACGTTTATGGACGGCCTTAATCGTTGGGCTAAATTAGAGCTCCAACGGAGGGATATTCGAGATGTTCAACAAGCTATGTGAGTCGCATATTCTCTTGTGGAGTTTCAGAACAATAATATCCATAAAGGCACGGGTAAGAAACTTTTGAGTGATACAGGTGGAGAAAATGACATGACGTCATATTCAAAATCATTTGAAGGAGCAAATATCGCCTCCAACATAGAAAAGTCAAAAGTGGAGAAATCAAAAGATTTAAGGGTTGCTTTTTGTGTGGAGGATCTCACTTGGTTCGCGATTGCCCTCTCGCAGTAAACTTGCTGCCATAGCTCAAAGTTTTCGTGAAGATGACGAGTTGGGACACAGGGCATCAAGAACAATGCCCCATTCAAGTGGGGGAGAGTGACACGGCCAAATATTAAGTAAATTTGGCCCAATAACTTTGGTGGACCCATTTGGAAGTATTGGGTGAAGCCCAATAACTGAAAAATTCTAGAATGTCCCAAAACTTTATAGAGGTTTGTAGAATATTAAAAGAATTGAGTAGAATCATATAGTGTTGTCCGGAATGTTGTGGAGAATTCTAGAATATATTAGAAGTGTGTGAATTAATGTAGAAATGTGTAAAAATCTTTAGAATAGTTTCGAATATTGTAGAATTAATTAGAAATTGTGATGTTTTTCTAGAATGATGTAGGTTTAAAAACGTCTAGAACTTTAAGGGCTTAGGGTTGCCAACAATAAATACACAATGTGTCTAGAACTTTAAGGGCTTAGTGAATTAATGTAAGGCACGGAGAATTCAATGTGTTGAATTCAAGTTCTTAAGTTCTCCTAAGTTTCCTTTGAGTCCTCTTATTTTCTTCCCTTCTTTCCTCTAAGCTTTCAACTTTCATACTTAGTTCTTTTTAAAAATTTTGAGAGTTTTAAGGGTCAGGCTGAACTAGCATTCTTCATTAGGAGTTTAGAGTACTAGTGCTGCACGGTTTAAGTTATAAAATAGTTAGCCCGTGACTTCTAGATCCCCTTAGTTCGTAGTTGTTTTGCGTGCATTGGTGTTAAGTTAAATCTTCAACTCAACGGTTGTGACAGTACCATACTAATTATTATGACATAATTCGGTCACTACATTAACATATCCATTATTCTTGTTGTCCTTAAAACAAAGTCTACATTGAACTTGGATGTTCAATCGAACAAGTTTGATTAGACTTTAGAGTTTAGAGTAAGGATTAGTTATAAGTGATTAACTTTATCGTGTAAGTAACACCCATTCAAGTAAGGTCAATTTTGGATGCATCCACTTCAATTATAGGCCCAACGAGTTTTTAGATTTTACATTAAAGCCCGGATCTAATCCCCAATTTTTCACTCTCATCCAAAATAGACCTACTAAATGTGTTCAAATGTTTCCCATTGATGGATCCAGTTTTATCCACATCAGAAACCAACCGGCGTTTTCTTATTCTTAGGAAATGAAAACATATCATTTTAAAACATAATAATGTTGAATAACTATTTCAAAAAACAACGCTACATTAATTATTATTACAAATGAGTAAAATTTTAGCAGACGTCCAGTCATGATGGTTTTTATTTTTATATTTCGTAGATTTTGTTTCGATAATAAATTATTTGTTGATTTAATCCACACTTATAAGTTTTAATTCACAATATTATTATATTCACAATAATCAAGGCATCAAACTTCATAAATATATAAAAGAATTTCTCATTAGTATTTATTACAATTTTTGCAGATGAATTGAATAATTACCAGTGAACCTTTTACTATTATTATATTAGGACTATTCTATCTGAAATGAAATAAGAATAATTTTTATTAACTAAAATAATTAGTATTGTTTTTATTTTGTGAGGAAAGAATAATACAGTAATATTTTTTTCAAGTATCAATATCTTGTAATCTTCTTCCACTCTCTGCAAATAAAAATAAATTCAGATATTAGAAATTAATAATACGAAATAATGGAAATATCCTCTGTGGCTTTGTTGATACAGTATTTTTTTTCCCTCCTGAATATGACGATGTAAATAAAAGAAAGGCATTATGTTAATAGAGAAAATAGTATTAGTACTTAAAATAATTGGAAAAGCCAGGAGCAAACTTCATCTTCTTCTTCATTAGTGAAAACCCCTCCAATACTAGAATTAAAATCTCGTGAAACCCTAGAATCAAAGAATTCTCTGAAACTCCCCAACCTCTGCCCCTGCTCGAGGGGACGCGAACTCAGCTCGCTTCAATGAGTTTTGGCCGACAAGTTTAATCGATCCATCTCAATTCAAATACACAATGTCTTCCCTGATTAACTGTGAATTCTTCACAGAGGAGGCGGTGAAAGAATTGAAAGATGGAAATCCCAATTTTAAGTTTCCCACTTCCGCCCCTCTTCTCCGTTTTCTGTACGAACTCACTTGGGTTATGGTAAAATTTGGATACCGTTTCTTGTTTTTTCTCGAGATTTTCCTTTTTTCTTTTTTCCTTTTTTTTCTTGTTGTTGTTGTTGTTGTTGTAATTTATTCGTTGCAACTTTCTTTGTTTTGCTTTCTTCGCAGGTTCGAGGGGAGTTACCGTTCCCGAAGTCTAAAGCAGCACTGGAGGCTGTGGAGTTCAAGGATTGTGGGTTGGAGGAAGAAGTTGGTTCAGTTTTTGCTGATATTGTCACCCAAATGGCGCAAGATGTGAGTTCTTTACAATTTTGTGTTTGCATTCAACATAATATTAGGTTATCTTCCATTAATTTGTGTGCTTGTCCGTGACTTGATTTCTTAACTTTGACATGCTATGTATATACTCCTGTTTCTATGTTTGAGTAATTAGAAGACTTAGTTGAGTGAGAAAGAGGACCGGAATCATGCATAGGGCTGATGTCTGTCTAGTAGGTGTAGATTGCTAGCTACAGAGTTTGGGGTTGAGGAATAGTGGTCTGTCTTGGTGCGTTGAGTTTCTGTAGTCGTGCATTTTGGATCTACAGTAAAACATGGGAGCTATGGTGTATGTGTATTGTTTTTTGTTTTTGTTTTTGTTCCTTGAAAAGAGAACTTGCAGTGTATTGCACTATATACTTGTATGTGATCCACATGAAATAGTAATGAGGTCCCTGGCATATTTCAGAATTAAAGAGTCTGCAGTATTACAAGAAGTGAAGTGTTAACTCATTTGGTTGTTGTATGTATTGATTTATCTCTGACACCCTTTCTCATAATTATCTTCTTGCATGTTGATCTCCTATGCAGCTTACTATGCCGGGTGAATGTCGTCTTCGGCTTATAAAACTGGTTAGTATGGCTGCATCCTAATTTTATTTTCTTGATTGTATTCTTAGTAAATTGTTTAAAGCCGTTTGTTTCCCCTATTAATTTTTTGGCGCCTCTATGCATTCTCACTTTGCTGATTGAGTTTAGTTCTGTTGATTGACGCAGTAGTTCAAATAATTTGAACCTTGTTATTAATAATTCAATTAAGCAACTGGGAGCTTAATGAGTCGAAAAAATATATAGAAATTTCGCCCTTGTTCTGCATGACTACTTACACCTTTCATGGATTTAGAAGATTGTTCTCCGTCAGGTTCCTTTTGTGTCAATGAGGTAGTTTAGCTACATACAAGTAATATTGTAAATATTAGCATTTCTTGAACTCAGACAGGGTACTAAGAAAACTGTAATGTGCACACTTGATTTTGAGTTTGTGCAGCTTAACTTTTGAATTGACAAGACCATTAGAAACTGTAAAATCACTAGCTCAAAGTAAAAGGGAAAGAGGAAAATCCAAAAGTGGGATTTAAAATTAAATAAAAATGTGTCGACGATCACGATGTTGGCATATGATTCAAATAGCCAACCCTACCTTGGGGTAAAGGCTTGTTGATGATGCTGTCTAACTTTTATGTTTTTCCTTCCTTTTTTTTTTTTTTGAGTTTGTTGTGAAATCTATAAATCTGTTGCTTTGGTTTCACCTTAGGCAAAATGGCTTGTGGAATCTGCTCTTGTGCCACTAAGATTTTTCCAGGAACGCTGTGAGGTACCTCTAAATGCTCTTTGTGGTGATTACTTATTGCTAATTATTAATTAAATTTTGTACTAAGGAAACAATTCTATACTTTTGTTCAAATGTTTTAGGAGGAATTTTTGTGGGAATCTGAAATGATCAAGATAAAGGCTGCAGATTTGAAATCTAAAGAGGTAACTGGGTGTTTTTCTTTCTGCTGTCTGTGATATGAATTTATTGGCTGCTCTTTTGTAATTGTTGTGGTCAGATTCTAAGTTTTTCCTTTTATACTTTGACTAATTTCATGCAACTAGAACCTTCTTAGCTTTGAACCTTGTGTTTGCTGTTTGCTTCAAGCTTTTTCATTGATACTCTGTTCTGTCAATTTAGGTCAGAGTAAACACTAGACTTCTTTACCAGCAAACAAAGTTCAATCTCCTTCGAGAGGAGAGCGAGGGATATGCTAAACTGGTATTCTTCTGATTCCTTTTTCTGCATTCTGTTCGGTTTTCTTGTATTACAGTTTGTGTAATTTATTAGCCGCTTCATGCTTATATTTTGTGGGTTCTCTAAAACCTTTCCTTCAGTATCTTTGACTGATACTTTAAATTTTATGCCATACATTACGGTTCGCGAATCGTCTTTGGGTTGTCCAGTCCTTTTAATGACTCAATTGCAGAAAATAATGGTACACAATAAAAAAGACAATCACATGGTATTTTCAATTTTGACAGTCAAACTTTTTGTGAGCCATTTTGATGCTTGTTTGACGTTTCCGAACTATAGTTTGTAAATTAGAAAAGGAGTGTATCAGGAAGAAAGTGGGGGTTAGCACCAATGGATGAGAAACTGAGAGAATCATGCTTAAGATGGTCCGGGCATGTGTGTAGGAGACCGTGATGGGGAACAGGAGCTGAACTGAAAATAGACGGAGTAGGCAAACCCTAGTTATAAGGATTTTAGAAAGACAGAGTCTTTGAAAGCTTGAAAGCTTAAAGTTTATAAATCAGATAAAAGAAGGTGAAAACAAAGGCTGCGGAAATTGCAGAAATTCTCTATTTATAGAGAGATTCTGGGAGTAATCCTAACCCTAATAGGCTTACTAATTTCCTGAAACTTAGGACTAAAAACTGATGCCAAATAAAACTCTTAAATAAAAGGAAACTACTTTAGCTAAATTTAAAATTAAAACTATTTCCTGAATCTTCCTGCATCAGACCGGTAGATGCCTTTTTAGAAAATCAAAGAATCACTAACTCAAATTAACAAGGGTAGCAATAGACCTAAAAAATTTGGGGAGAAAATTCTTAAAATGACTACGTATTTAAATTTGAAAGAAGATATGTTTGTTGTCTGTGCAAGATGGTAGTACACGATCTATATAGGTGACCCCAGTTAGTGGGAAAAAGGCTTGTCATGTTGTTTGCATGTTGTACATCATGGTTTGTGATCCTGCACATGCTTAATCTATAAGTTTCATATCCATAAACAAATATTAGATGTGTTTTGTTTTTTTTTTTTTTTTTGAAATGGTGGATGTGTTTTGTAGGTTACTCTCCTTTGTCAGGTTCCTCAATCTTCAACAAATAATGGATCATCTGCCATAGTGGGCATTATTAAGGTTTAAAGCCACATTTTAAGTACATTCAAGTCTACCATTTTTTAAAAACTTTTAAGTTCTATTGTTTTATATATATTTTTGACTGAGTATCGAATCTCATGCAGTCGCTGATTGGACACTTTGATCTGGATCCAAACCGTGTCTTTGACATTGTACGTTTTTCACCGAGATTCTTCCATATTCTATTATTATTGTTTAATATGTACATGTTTTTTTTAATGCTTTCAGCATTGGTAATAACCGTAGGTCTTAGAGTGCTTTGAACTTCAGCCTGATAACAATGTTTTCTTGGAGTTGATTCCAATGTTTCCCAAGGTGAGAGTCACTTGCCTTTATTTTGATTTTCAGATTGCTTTCGTCCTTGGGATTTCTTTGTTTACTCTTCATGGAATGTTATTTGTTGTCGTATAGAAGTTTCTCTAAGCGTTTCTCTTATGATGCTTTCCAGTCTCATGCCTCGCAAATTCTTGGCTTTAAGTTCCAATATTACCAGCGCATGGAAATAACGCATTCAACACCAGAAGGGCTTTTTCATCTAACTGCCTTGTTGATTAAACAGGATTTAATCGATATTGACAGCATGTAAGTTCCAAAAAATGGTTCTCTAGTTTTTGGTTTATGTGGCCATGTCTGCCATCACATTTTCAATTCATGTAGCCATGTTTACTCTAGCTGCCGTGCTAAGATTAACAGCTGTTCAAAATGACCTGACTGACCATCACATTCTGAATATTGTCAGTTTTCATTTCTCTTTGTAGTTCTCTCTCTTGTTACTCATGACTATGTACTATTGACATTCTTCCTTCACTTGTAACCTTTTCCTATTGAATGTTATACCTTCTATTTTTATTCTTAGAATCTTGCCAATGTCAGTTTTTTAAACCTTTTTCTATTGAATGTTATACCTTCTATTTTTATTCTTAGAATCTTGCCAATTGGTGTACCTCTGCAGATATTGCCATTTGCTTCCGAAGGATGAAGAGGCTTTTGACAGTTATAATGCTTTCTCTGCCCGGAGACTTGATGAGGTAGTTTTATTGATGTCCCTTGCGAATCATTTATACTTATTGGGAGGACTTTAAAGACGTGCGCTGAAATATAGTTTCTGAGGAATGATCTACCCCCATTTGTTATTTTTAACAAACTAATGGGAGGTCTGCTTTGCCACAGGCTAATAAAATTGGAAAGATAAATCTTGCTGCCACTGGAAAGGATCTGATGGACGACGATAAACAAGGTGGTGATGTCACAGTGGATCTTTTTGCTGCGTTAGACATGGAAACTGAAGCAATTGCTGAGCGTTTGTCGGAACTCGAAAACAATCAGACTTTGGGTTTGCTGATGGGATTTCTTGCAGTTGATGACTGGTAATCTGATTATCAAAATCAATTTTCTACATTTCTGATGAGTATCATTTTAGATACATGTTCTCAGGAAATTCAATATTGTTTGCTGTTTGGCCCTAGCTAGAGCCATTTTCTTTGGTTTGTCTGATTGGGTCGATGATAATTTCGGTGAATATTATTGTACATATTTAGTTAAGAATCTTCTTCACTCACTTTTATTTTTAAATAAATGGTAATTTTTTTATTTCTAAAACAGAACTTCACTTGGTGAGACTATGGATAACCATCATTTTCCTTGTCATTATGCAAGTGGCTGAGATATACCTAAAAGAATGCTGAAATAAAATTGAGGGCTACAGAAGGTGCTTGCTCAGAGACTTTTGACAACAACTTAGTTTTTCCCCCACTTTGTGAGGTTGGCTATATGGATCACGTGTAGCCTTTATGCCAATCCAAAACATATCAATAATGAGATCTTTCTTAGTCATTTCTTTTCAATCCTTCTGGGTTGTTTGACCTTCATTTTTCTTTTTCTTTTTCTTTTTTATTTGAGCTAATGATTTTGTGGCACTTATCATTCTGGGTCATTTAAATGTTTTAGAATCATATGCGTAAACCATCTGAAGCGATTCTCTTATTTTCCCTTCTCTTAGTGCTATCTCACTCTCTATGTAATGCAGTCATCACGTATCCTATCTAATCTGGTGTACCTGCTAATTAATTTCAAGATTCTGATTTCGACTACGATCATTTTTTGTTCATTTTCCTGTTTAGTGGTGAATCCCTCTGATAAGTAAACAATTGTTGGTCATAGGACATGTCTATCATTATGCTATATTCATTGTGCTATATTCATTCACAGGTATCATGCACGGATATTATTTGAGAGACTTTCAAGACTTAACCCAGTGGAGCATGTTCAAATTTGTGATGGTTTGTTCAGGTAGATTTCATATCTTTGTAGGTTGTAGTTTGCAGTTTTCTTCTTTTCAATCTCCCTGTTTCTGTAATCTATACTACTTACTGGGAGTGCATTCTTCTATTCTAAGCCCATGTTCTTTTAATGTCATCCTTTAGACAGACATTTGCACATTTTTAAAGGTTCGTTATGTAACTTTAATCTTGGTTTTGCTTCTTTAGGCTTATTGAGAAGTCCATCTCTTCAGGTTATGAGATAGTCCGTCAAACACAGTTTTTCAGTTATAATACCTCCTCTGGTGCTGGTTTTGACACTCTGGAGAGTGCAAATTTCTCCGCAACTAGGCCCTTTATTGATCTTCCCACAGAGCTTTTTGAGATGCTTGCGTCAGTGGGACCTTATATGTACCGAGACACTTTGTTGCTGCAGAAAGTATGTTTTCTCTTATGTTAGCATTTTTGCTATCTCATAAGAGGTGGTTTCACTGATCGCTAGATGCTTTGGGCTTCTCTGATAAGCAGGTCTGCAGGGTGCTGAGAGGTTATTATCTTTCCGCCTTAGAGCTGTCCACCAATGGTGATGGTGCTGTCAGCTCTAACATTGTTCATGTTGGTGGTAACCGCAATCCTCGTCTCTACTTAAAGGATGCTAGGTTACGGATTGAGGGTGCCCTTGGAGCATGTCTACTTCCTTCCTTACAGCTGATACCTGCAAATCCTGCTGTTGGACAAGAGATATGGGAACTTCTGAATCTTCTGCCTTATGAGGTGATCTGTGCCAGATACCTTAGCTGTGAACATTTTTAAGTGTTAAGCTGAGTCATGGATTGATAAACTTTGTTTGTGCAGGTGCGATATCGCTTATATGGTGAATGGGAGAGAGATGAAGAGCAACTTCCAATGATCTTGGCAGCCAGGCAAACAGCAAAGGTGTGATATTTTTCAGACATTATATCGATATGTACTCCCTCCATTCCAAAATATATGTCGTTGGGGAAGTTTCACAAAGTTTAAGGAGACAATAAATATTTGGTTAAAATACTAAACTACCCTCATTTTTTTTCAATACAATTCTATTTTCAAAATCATTTAGTTCCATTATACTTCTACTTTAAATACAATTACAATTTCCCATGTAGGGGCAATGTTGGAATTAGTTGAACAAAATATGCCTAGATATGCGAAAACGACATCTATTTTGAAAAAAGTTGGTTTTCCTCTAACGACATATATTTTGGAATGGAGGGAGTACAGTACTTTTGCCTATCATATGCTATAATTTGTTTGTATGTTTTGTGTTCTGTTGATCTTTTAGTTGGACACTCGGAGGATCTTAAAGCGACTTGCAAAAGAAAACTTAAAGCAGCTTGGAAGAATGGTTGCAAAATTGGCTCATGCCAACCCAATGACAGTTTTGCGCACTATAGTTAATCAGGTCCTGGGTTTTAATCTAATACTTTATTGCTTCTCTATTTTTTGGATGGAGTTTTGAAGATTCATGTGGTATTCTCTTCATCTTTGCAGATAGAGGCTTATAGGGATATGATTACTCCTGTGGTAGATGCGTTTAAATATTTGACGCAGGTAAAACTTGAAGTAGATACTCTTGTTTCATGCCTTGAGACAGTCTTCTTTCTTCAATTGCTTCCTTACAACTCGAAATGATTTCTACTTGTGGGGTTAAAGCATTGCTTGTGTTTACTCCATGTTTAGTAGTAGTAGCAGCAAGAATTTGGTTGTAGAATTTTATCGATCTCTTCTTAGCTTACTTTCTTTTTTTTTTCCCCCAAAGTTTGGTGATGCTAAGAATATTGAGAAAGCCTCTTATAATATTGAAGCTCTGCATTGCTTGAAACACTATGAAAATGACAAGACCTCGTGATAATGGAATTCAATGGCTGCTTTTCGAGATCTGTGCATAATATGTGATAGTATTTGGAGATGAGAAGCTAAGAGACGTGAGATGGATGGGGTCCACTAGATTAGATAGGACTAGAGAAGGATGTATTAGACGGTCGGATTAGCATCAATAGATGAGAAAATGAGATAGTTACGCTTAAGATGTACAGACATGTAGTTACCCAGTTAGACAAGTAAATAGTATAAAAGCCCCAACTCGAATTAAAAGGGTAGGGGAAGCTATTAAAAGTAAAAATGACATGAAAGGTTTTAAATTTAATTATGTGTGTAGGGACATGTGAACTGTATATCTGACCCCCGTAATGGGATAAAGACTTGTTGAGGTTATGTAAAGCATATAATTATAAGACCTCTGATGCCATGTGAAAACAAAAAGGCCAGCTGGTGATTAGTTTCATTTGAAATTAAGCCACTCAAAAGAATCTGGACAGTGTGCATTATAGAAGTTAAAGTGGATATTATGGTACTGAAGATTATCTGAAGTCCTTATGTAACTCTCAAGTTCTTTTTATGTTAGGTTGATCTTGTTTTTCCATAATTTGGTTAAGTTTCACACCTGATGTCTGCACAGATTGTAGTAAATTTTGTGTTTTTTTGTATGGCGATAAACAATTTTTTTGTTGTTGACTTTAAAATGCCAGGGATTTTAATTATTATTTCTCGTAAACTATAAAGCTCTGTGATGTAATTTCTTTCTGTTTTGTTAATGCTCAACCATCTGCTGTAACAGCTTGAGTATGATATCTTGGAATACGTGGTGATTGAACGTTTGGCATTAGCTGGCCGTGATAAGCTAAAAGATGATGGCCTTAATCTATCGGACTGGCTTCAGTCGTTGGCATCCTTTTGGGGGCACTTGTAAGATTCCTTCTTCTCCTTGTATTACATACGTTAGTTACTTGAGAATTATGTTTGTTGTGGGAAAATATCTTCCTTCTTTCTTTTTTCAACTTGATTGAACAATGAGACTTTTCCTTTCAGTCTTTATCTTTGTTTATTTTATTGTTTCCTGCACTTGTAACGCAGTCCTTGCATCGCTTTTAGGTGTAAAAAGTATCCGTCCATGGAACTCAGAGGCCTTTTTCAGTATCTAATTAATCAATTGAAACGGGGAAATGGGATTGAGCTTGTTCTTCTACAGGTACTCCCCGATCATCATTATGCTTCCCTCTCTCGCATCTATCTCTCTGTGCGTTTCTTTCTTAGGTTTTACCAATATGGAGTTTCTTCACTGCTGTGCAGGAGCTTATACAGCAAATGGCTAATGTTCAATATACTGAGAACATGACTGAGGATCAGTTGGATGCCATGGCTGGAAGTGACACTCTTCGGTACCAGGCGACAGCTTTTGGAGTCACCAGGAATAACAAGGTATTTATTGCATCATGAGTTTTGTGACTTTTCAGATTTATATGTCCATGACTGATCACTTGGTGAATTTACATGTCACCTGTTATATGTAAATTTTACTTGAGAAGCATGATTGCATCTCAAATTATCAAACTAACTTTCTGATTCTTAATATTTAATTGTAATGCATATTTTCACTAGTAGAGTTGGTTAATTATGATGGGTTCTTGACTTTGATTTCAAAACCTTGCATTTTTATTTGTCTCGAAGTTTAGAAGCTTGGGGATTATTTTTACGTAAAGTTCCCTAGATGTTAACTTACGGATTAAAGCTTGGATAATATTGGTTTCCCCTCTCCAGTTCATTGTTTTTTGCTCTTGCAAATAAATTTGGGACACACTATTCTTCATCGGGCACTTTCTTGTAGCTATATGTTTGAATCTTCCTTCAATTTCTGGACTCATGCTTCAAATTGGTATAACATGTAGAGAAAAAGGGATAGTTCTCTGTAAAAAGTGTTGGAGAAGTTTTACTTGATCTGCTTTAAACGGCTAGAAATTTGATCTGCCAGGTTTAAAAAATCTTCTATTTTCCTTGTTATTTTTCCTTGCTGTATTTGCATACTATATACATTGTCAAAGTAGGAAATTAGCTCTCTTTTACTAGCTGTTTATTGGTTGTACTGGATCCTGTGGGCATAACTGATTTTCTTTGTTTCACTTAAGATTCTGTATTCTTTTAATAAAAACAGAGACTGGTTCTTTTAGTTTATGTTTTTTATAATGCACATAGTTGATCTGATTCTAAACTCTGGCGTGGTAAAACTCTGTTGCAGGCATTACTCAAGTCTACTAATAGATTGAGAGATGCATTGCTTCCAAGGGAAGACCCGAAACTGGCTGTTCCTCTGTTGCTACTTGTCGCCCAACATAGATCCACGTAAGCTTGTAGATTATGTTTATAACATCTTCAATAGTTCAATGTTGTCGCGGTCTTCTGTTAAGCTCATATCTGTTGAATCTCTTTTCTTGAATTTATCTGGAAATGAAGTCCCTGGCACTTGTAGTCCAGTTTTCCTTCCTTTCCCATTTTATTCTGTTTCCAACAAGTACTGTGTTCAATCACTAGATTTAGGGGATTGGTCTGTTGAATCCCAGCAAGAATTACAGAACTGAGACTATAGTGCTATGCCATTAGTTTCACTTGTCTTTTACGTTACGGGGTCCATACTGTTCATAAACATTGCTGAATAGTGACTGTTGCCCGTCCATACGATCTTCTTTGCATTGATCGCTGAATACCAGTTACGGTGTGCAGGGTTGTCATAAATGCCAATGTGCCTCATATTAAAATGGTCAGTGAGCAGTTTGATAGGTGCCATGGAACCCTTTTACAGTATGTGGAATTTCTGTCAAGTTCTGTGACTCCTGCATCATCTTATGCTCTTCTGATTCCCCCTCTTGATGAGCTTGTGCACCAGTACCATCTTGATCCAGAGGTATGATGGGAGCTCCACATGTTTTGTTAATTCTCACTTGTTCCTTTTCCTTCTATACCTTATCCTTACCTATAATTGCTCTGTCTTCAAGGTTCTTATACCGTTTGTTGCTGTGATTAGGTGGCCTTTTTAATTTATCGCCCTGTGATGAGGCTGTTCAGGTATCAGAACCACTTGGAATCTTTCTGGCCACTGGATTGCAATGAAGTAGATAATGGTAGCTCCGGTAATGAGGAGTCTGGAACTGTTGAGTCTTCTTCGACATTGGTTCTGGATCTTGGTTCCTCTCGCAAGCCTACTTCGTAATTCTCTTCACATTTTTCTCGCTCCCTTTCTCCATTGTCTTGGTGGAATTTGAGAACCTTGTATTCATGCAGAGGCATCCAAGATATGTCACATTGATTTTGAATTTTGAAGTGCTTGTAACTTGATTATGAAGGTTTGCTGAAAGAAACAAAAGTATCTGAGGATGAGATAATCATGTAGTACAGACTAATGAGGATCGTGTTAGGCCCTTCTAGCTCTAAATTGGCATTTCACATTTCCTTGTCTAATTTATCAAGGGCTATATTGTCTGTATAGAACAAATATTCAGGGACGGCTTTTCTGTGTTTGCTTAGTAATATATCAACTAATTAGGGCAATGAGATGGGGATTAAAGCTGATTGTAGTGCCGATCTTTTGTTGGTTTTGTTCAAGCATTTCAGTGTAGTGCCTAAATTTTTTGTTCATCTAGTTCAATTAATATATTTTCAACTTCAAACTTTTAAATGTATATGTCATTCTAACAAACTACCTTTTAATGCAGCTGGTCTGATCTTCTTGACACGATTAGGACCATGTTACCTTCCAGAGCTTGGAATAGCTTATCTCCTGACCTTTATGCGGCTTTCTGGGGTCTCACACTCTATGATCTTCACGTCCCTAGAAACCGTTATGAGTCTGAAATTGCTAAGCAGCATGCAGCTTTGAAAGCTCTGGAAGAACTTTCTGACAATTCTAGTTCTGCAATCACAAAGCGAAAAAAAGATAAAGAAAGAATCCAGGAGTCTTTAGATCGCTTAACAGCAGAATTGCAGAAGCATGAAGATCATGTTGCATCTGTTCGTAGGCATCTAGCACGAGAAAAGGATAGGTGGCTGAGTTCTTGCCCAGATACCTTGAAGATAAACATAGAGTTTCTTCAGCGCTGTATATTTCCCCGTTGTACATTTAGTATGCCTGATGCTGTCTATTGTTCCATGTTTGTAAATACTCTACATTCGCTCAGAACACCATTTTTTAACACTGTTAATCATATGGACGTTCTGATATGTAAAACATTACAACCAATGATTTGTTGCTGCACCGAGTATGAAGTTGGTCGGCTAGGGAAGTTTCTATTTGAGACATTGAAAACAGCCTATTACTGGAAGGTAACTTATTCTATTTACTGCATGTCTGACAAGTCATATATATTCACATAAGTTTTGCTCATTTGTTAATATTAAATGTCACAAGTACATTGCTAATTTTTTTGTTCTTTTATGGTTGAACTTTTTTTCTTTTCTAGAGTGATGAACAAATATATGAACGTGAGTGTGGAAATATGCCGGGATTTGCTGTCTATTACAGATATCCAGAGAGTCAACGTGTTAAGTACGGCCAATTTATCAAGGTTGGATCGCGTTTTACTTTCTTTGATGCCTTTGTCAGAATTTCAATTTCTCTACTATTTCTGCTTTGTATTCATACCTTGTTTTGAGCAATGTATGAATTCTTATAGTTTGAAATGCCTTATAATATTTTTGGTCAGCGGTGACTGGGGCAAATCAGACATTTTTCCATGGTTGTGTTGGTTGAACTTCATCTCTGATGGATTGATTCATGTATGCTTGTTTGCTAATACTACTTTAAGAGCAGTTTTGTAGTTCAGCTCTTTTATTTATTAGTACGTTTATCATTTTACTTTAATACACTGAAATGAGTGGGTGCTTGTTTACCATACAATACTCATGCCTTATACTGTTTAAAGAACCTACTAAATTATAAGTGGCTCATAAAGGTACACTATAAATGGAGTCAGAGGATTACAAAAATACTGATCCAGTGCTTGGAATCGGCGGAGTACATGGAAATTCGAAATGCTCTTATTTTGTTGACCAAAATCTCAAGCGTCTTCCCTGTGACGAAAAAAAGTGGAATTCTCCTTGAGAAACGGGTAACAATATAGTCATTTGTAAATGTTACATTGTGGGCGCCTTACTGCTTATCTGATACACTTCAATTGCTTTTCATTTGATTGATTGCCTCCATGTAGGTGGCTAAAATCAGAAGCGATGAAAGAGAGGATCTTAAAGTGCTTGCCACTGGTGTTGGTGCTGCTTTAGCAGCTAGAAAGGTAAATGTTGTTATAGGCGCTCATAAATATTTTCTGTCTTTACCCTTTTCTCAGGAGTCTCTTGATGGCCGTTTTCTGCATTTTCTTCAAAGATTTCCAGTCTTTAGTCTATTCTCTTGCAAGTTGGTAGCGTAAGAAGATAAAGCAATTAACTTCTTTCCTTGGCCTCAATTTGCCGGCCTAATTTATCTGTTCTTTGTTTTCCAATGTACAGCCGTCATGGGTCACAGATGAGGAATTCAGCATGGGTTTTGATTTGAAACCCACTACAGTTTCTGCCACAAAATCTATGGGCGGAAATTCTCTTTCTGTACAAAATGGTACGGGTACTAATGTTTTGCTGGGTGAATCTGCTGGAGGACGAACAGGGGTTCCACATTCTGATTCTAATAATTCCAACAAAGACCTTAGAGCAAGATCTGAGAGTGCTACTGTGAAATCCGAGCTGGGATCTGCAAAAACAAAAAGTGGATCATTAGTTAACGGCTCTGAACTTCAATCATTACCATCAGTGTCTGTTCCTTCTGGTACATTGAGGTCAGCAGAAAATTCAAGACAAATCAATGAATCTGTGAATAGGTCTGCTGAAGATAACACAAAAATGGCTGGAAAAGTAACTGCTGATTCTGAGGTATGCCATGATATATGATAGTGAACTTCATTGCATTTCGGGCCTGACTAGAATTGATTTCTGATACTTCATAAATAATACAAATCTGTATATCTCAATGCGCGAGCCTTAATGTGTACGACAATTTCTGCATTTGGCTTCATGAAGCTGTGCATCCTTTCCTTATCTTCGTGGTGAAGTAGACAATCCTTATGGTGCTCTTTCTCTTTTCACTCCATTTTCTCTAAATTGTTAATTCCTTATCTCAGGGGAGAGCTTCAGTTAAACGGTCTGCCAATCCTGGGCCTCTCTTGAAACAATCAAAGCAGGATGCTTCCAAGGATGATAGTAAATCCATGAAACATGCAGGCAGAACTTCAAATCTTTCGGGTGATAAAGATCTTTCACTGCATTTGCCAGAGGCGAAGCACAGTGGGGCCACTTCTACGGTTCCTAGTAGTAGTAACATGGTTTCTGCTTCAAGTCGAGGGACTACATCAACAAGGTCAGCAGACTACGCTGTGGAACCTAAGACCGAGATAGCTGATGCTAAGTCATCTGATTTGAGAGCTTCCACTGTGAAAGATGATCTGTCTGATACTTCAGATGTGAAATCTTCTAGGTCTATTCATTCTCCCAGACGAGAAAGTACTGTCACTACCCCAAAATCTAGTGATAAACCTCAAAAGAGAGCCAGTCCTGCAGAAGAGGTCGATAGAGTCAACAAGCGTCGGAAAGCAGATACTGATTTGAGGGAACCAGAGGGCAGCGAAATTCGAGTTACTGAAAGAGAGAGGTTAAGTGATACCCGAGCAACCGATAGGATGCACTTGCTGGATCTAGACAAAGCAGGAAATGATGAGCAGATGACAAATCGGTCCATTGGTAAGTCTGTTGATCGGTTGAAGGACAAAAGCAGTGAAAGGTATGATAGGGACAACCGGGAGCGTTTGGAGCGTTCAGAGAAGCCCCGCGGAGATGACGCTACATCTGATAAAAGAGATAGATTAACTGGATATGGACGGGAACGGTCTGTTGAAAGAGGTCAAGATAGAGTTGTTTCTGATAGGATTTCTGATAGATTGACTAAAGATGATAGAAGCAAATCAAGATATGGTGAATCATCTGTAGATAAAACTTACACAGAAGATCGCTTTCATGGGCAAAGCTTACCCCCACCTCCACCTCTGCCTCCTCATGTGGTTCCCCAGTCACTCAATGCAAACAGACGAGAGGATGATTCTGATAGACGGTTTGGAACTGTCAGGCATGCTCAGAGACTTTCTCCAAGGCATGATGACAGAGAGCGGAGGCGGTCAGAAGAGACTGTATTAGCTATGCAGGATGATGGAAAGCGTAGAAGGGAAGATGAAGGTCGAGATAGGAAAAGAGAAGAACGAGATACTGCCATGACGAAGGTACTTGCCATTTCACTAATTATTCTTGTCAACTGCTTCAGAGTATGCAAAGTACAGGTTAATAGGGCCATCATTTTGTGAATCGCTGACTGTCTGAAGATTACTTGGCCATTCTGCTCAAATAGCTTCGATTTTTCTTTTTTAAATTCTTGTTTTTGTTCATAGGTGGATGAGCGGGATCGGGAGAGAGAGAGAGATAGGGAGAGGGAAAAATTTCTTCTGAAGGAGGATGCTGATTCAAATGCTGCATCTAAAAGACGAAAACTGAAAAGGGATCAGGTGTCTACGGAGCCTGGCGAATATTCTCCAGCTGGACCACCCCCACCTCCCCCATCAACGAACTTATCACAAACCTATGATGGAAGGGATAGGGGAGATCGCAAGGGGGCTTTGGGTCAGCGTCCAGTATACATGGAGGATCCAGGTTTACGGAATCATAGCAAAGATGCAGCTACAAAGACAGCACATCGTGATAATGACTCGTATCCTTAAAATTTTGGGTATGGGGTTACATAATTTATTTTTAGTAACTAAACTTTGTTTTCTTACTGTGAATTAGTATGATAAAGGGCATTTTTTATGTCATGGGAAGGGTTTATTATAATCCCTTTTTAAATGTTAAAAACAAGCAGGCCTAGCATTGTTTTGGTTCCTTGTTAATAATGGTGATATTTCATCTCTATTGAGCCTCAAGCAGGCCTAGCATACTGGTCTTAGTTTTTTGGGGTAAGAATGCCTCTGTTGAATTCCTTGACCATGCTTCAGGATGCATGACAGGGATTGGGATGATGACAAAAGACTGCGAGCTGAACAAAAAAGGCGACACAGGAAGTAATTTGAGGATGGCTGATTCTTCTGTGGTCTTGAAATATTCTGGGCTGTCAACATTCCCTTTTGGAGCTTTATTCTTTTCTAGGGCTACATTTTTGCTGCAGTAGCGTGCTATTGATGGGGTTCGCCCTTTTTACAAAATTAGTTTGACTTTTGCTGAGTTATTAGGATGTGTAAATCATCTTTCACACAAAGAAGTTGGCAAAGATCTTGCGGGATTTAGGTTCTCTTAACCATTCAATTGGCATTCGATAGATGCCACCTGTTGTAAAGTTTAAGATGTGAAATTTTGTATTTTAATATAGAAAATAGATACCCGTTTGTTTAGTTATTAATGAAGATCCAATTAGCGAATAGGTAAACATGTAAACTAGTTTTGTTGTCATTCCTATGACCGCCCAGGTAACTCTTGCGAAAGAATTGTGGAGGGAGATACTTAGAAAGGTACGAGATTACCCATTGGAATACGGAAAATGGAGGACATTGTCAATTACTCTTTAGATACTCTGTTCAGCCCTCTTGTAAATATTAGTAATCACAGCGGTGGCGTATTTATCAAAATGGCTCAATGATTGATGCGGCACTCATTGTTATATGATTTTACTCCAAACTTGACGAATAATACATATTTGTTGATCTAAGAAAAAACATTGGAGAAACTTCAATTGGTCACCAGAGATTTAGCAGTGGTAGAATGGCATGTAATCTGGACAATGGAAGGGGTTTGTGGAAGATTGTACTGTATGTTGCGTACTAGATACTTGCATTTGCCTGCTGGTGAACAAATTATTTGCGGAGCCATTCCCATACTGATCTCTGTAATCACACCCATTTGGGAGGGAAAGGAAACTATTTCTTGACACAATGCAAGGAGGCATCGGAAGTGAAGCTTCCAAAAGGGCCTCCCAACTGGAATTGTTGTCACCTTCCAACTGAATCAATGGCTCCATCCACGCATCTTTCTGCCTTTCCTGCTTGATATTTGCTTCATTATATCTGACTTGGCCATCATCTCTAGTTGCAGGAACAACATCCATCATCTTCATCAGTTTATCGCTTTCATCGTCTGATATAGTTGTGGGAGACTGCAAATTTGAAGCTGAGTTGGACATTGTTGGAGAAGAGGACGACTCAGTTAACTGCCACATTCCAGTCAAGAAGGCTCCGAGAGCACGAATCTGAATCAAAGGGATACGCTCCACAAAGGGGTATTCATATGCTCCGCACAACCCAATAGATTTGCTCCAACTGTAGAATGCACATACTTCATTGGCTTGAATTGCTGCTTTTTTGTAGATGTCGAAAGCCGCAGAACACTCCTGGTGTGGTAACTGAATGAGATTGTCCAACATCACAACAATCTCTTTCCTGATAGTCGTGTAACACGCGAAGCTATCACGAATGATATGTTTCATAGTGGATTGAACAATATAATTTCTCTCAGCTGCACCCGTTGGCCGGCAGTCCATGACACGATCTATGAGACTTTGGAGCTTAGGCAGGACTTGAATCATTCTCCCAAGTCGTTTCATCCTCTCAGGGAACTCTTCATGTATCATATCTTGATCTGATTCGAACCCTTCAATTGATGGACAATCGATTGCTTCATCCAGAAGATGCGCATATGATCGTACCAGAGTAGTGTAATCTTCAGCTGATGAGGAGGAATAGTCCTGGAAATCACAGGGGTAAAGAGTGATGTATCTGTTTGATATGGCCCATGAGAGTTCTGTTCGAAATGGGATGTCTTCAGGCAAAGATCTAAGCAGTCTGTGGAGCAGCAGGAGGGATTTAAGCGCAACTCTCCAGCATTCTGTCTTGCTGAATCGCCTTGCGAATAACAATGCAAAATCTCGCAATGAAGCTGGGGAAACCGCGAAAATCTTCATTATCTCATGAACGTATTTCTCATCAAATGGCAAGTCGTCTGGGGACGTTGCTTTGATGAACACTCGATCAAGATCGCAAAACCCACCAACTGTTGCAATCTTTGCACAACTTACGCTAGTGTGTTCCTTCAGGGAGCAGAAGGCTCGCCGGATTCGCCGGTGCATCTTCAATAGAATGTGTGAAAAAAGGTGGATGGAAAATGGAGAAGAAAATTGGATGTATAATTGTGCAAGCTTCCTTGGTTTTTCGTTTTGAATAAGTTGGAATTATCAGCAGGTTGAACATAAGGAATAACGACTTGATTTGGATTATTGGGGTGTATTTCTGTCGTATCAGTTGTTTACATTTGGAGCTCGGTTACTACTAGGACCTAAAAGCAAATGCTTGCGGACAAGCACTTTGTGTTGATGACCCTTCTGGGGGGTTTCCCCCGAACCTATTAATAAGGCATCACTTGAAGTACATTTAGTTTTAATATTTGTCTTATAAGAACAGTTAGATTATTGTACTTTGAGGTTTTTAAGAAATAAAACTACAATAAAACAAAAAAGTTTAAGACATATACATGATAACATGAAACACAGCCTGACTTTTATCTATGCCGGCTGTTCTTAGTAATGGTGACATAGGCCGCCTCAAAATCCTGCACTGAAATAGTACTACCAGTTATGATGAAAGTTAAATTTCCATCACTGTTTGAAGTCGTTGAGCTTAAATTACGAGGTAGTTCTTTTTGTATTCTGCATGGAAGACGGAATTCACAGTTGATTTCTCTTGTCACCCATTGAAATAATTAATAATTGGCTATGAAGATAAAATGAATTTGGATGAATCTAAAGGGTTAGGCAATTGGACTAATTTTACATTTTGAGGTCCTCACAGCAATTGAAAAACTTAGAATCTGATACAGCTATGCCAAGGGAGAAAGTAAAGACACAAGAGAATCTCAACCGGACAGACTGCCATTATTTTTTTGCCAATTGAGAATTAGAAATGTATTCAGAACGCTTTTTATAAACCTATAACTAATACTCCATCCCTCCCATTTCAATAGTCCACTTACTTATAAAATGGACGGATGGAGTATTTGATTGGACTGTAACAGTATCATTTGATTATAAACTAGGGATGACAAGAATTTTTAGAAAGTATGCACCATGGAGTTATCTTGTCTTGTGGACAAAACCGGCTGAACCAACTCCAGGGAATTAGTTCAAATGAGGTTTGTGCGCAAGTCATTGCAGAACTGCGGCATTTTGTCATAAGATAAATTTGTAGGAAGCAAAACAGGTAAGACAAACCAGCAATCAGGGAGACAAAAAGAAACACCAAACATATCATTGCATAATAAGGCTTCAACGAAACCAGGCACGAGATTATTTCCACGTTAAACAACACACCAGCAATACTTATATTTTGTATGAAGCTAATAAGAGCAGAATGTAAACATCAAAAAAGGGGCCAGCTTCTCCTCCAGCATTCTCAGGTGGGCTCATGAGGAATGTGGTCAAAATATTAGCCCCTCCCGAAATGCCTCAAAGCGATCCGTTATTGGGGTTGGAAGATCCTCGAGTAGCAAATCACAAAGGTTGGTAACCATTTCAATGATCAGAAATTTGGCATGCTGTGATGACTTTGAAGGAAGCAAGACCCCAAAGTACAATTCTACGACTGTCGGATTATTGAAAGGTTTTATTTTGCTTAGTAGAACAGCTAGCAAAGAATCCATTCTCGCAGCCTGATTTTCATCCTTTCAGTCCGCCCAATACAGAACTGAGATACAAGCAGCGTAATTCATCACATCCTGCATAAAAACCCAGAATGCTTCCAATTTCTGTTGATCAGAACAACCTTTTGCGGTGAAATCAAAAATATTTCCGACGAAACAGAGTTTCTCCTCGAGAACCCTAATTTGCTTCTTCAAATCAGCGGTTAAATCATCCTTCAAATTCACAAAATCCCTCAAATTCCAAAGAATCAAGTCCAAGAATTTCTCGAACCTCAGTGAGCCATCCCACAAATCCTCGCAAACTGGTTATCTTCGACTTCAGACTCTCAAGCTTTTGAAGCGCGTCACCAGGAAAAGCTTCCCATTCTTGGTATGATTTTTCTTCTACATCCAACAGAGCTTCCATGTCGATCCTAACAGAATCCAAGCAGGCATCTTGGTCAGTTCCCCCGGCACAGTTTACATTTAACTCGGAAAACAACTTCAGAAATCTGAAATCCAATTGAAAGTTAAGGATTTGATCCTTCACTGATAAAGGCAAACTGAGTGGCAATGGAAATTGTTCGAGGTTTTTGCTTTTGGGTGAATGAAACAGTGGAAGTTAGTCAATATTGGAAGCTCTTTAGTCAACTTTCCAAGTCAACTTCCTTCTCTCCCAAAACAAGAAATAAAAAATAAAAATAGTCCCACCAAATTATAAGTACCAAAAAAAAAAATAAAAATTAATATATGTAATTTGTTTTTTCTTTTTTTTGGACGGAAGGATACCACAATTAATATTGAGCTTATTCAATATCCAGAACTACTATACACAATTTACCTTTTTCAAGACCATTTACATTATATTTTATAAGACAAAACTCTTCCAACAAATAATATAACACACGTTATAGTAATTCTTTTTACTCGATTTTAACTCGAACTTAACTACTCGAATCCAGCCAAAAATTGAATTCATCTGACTTGGCTGGATTTTGTACTAGACTTGAGATATGCAAATTGATCAAAATGTCATCCATAACTACTCAGGCTTGGTTTTGGTTGTTGATTTTATACAAAGGAGAGAAAATGGCTAAAGCGATTATTACAACTTGTCAATTGGAGTATTGGACTTACTATACTACTACTAGTCTTACGCTTGCGATGATTATCAACTTTGGAGATCGATTATTCCTTTCATTACCATCAAATGGTTGCCTGTTTGAAGTAGCATTGGACCAGCTTCGAGAAACCTTCAATTTCTTCCACAAGGTGTCTCACATTAAGATCAAATCCAAGAGTAGCCACAAACCAATGTCTCACTAACTCTTTTTCCTTCTGTTATAGGAAAAGAAAAGATTACTACAATGACACTCTGCATGACCCCAATTAATTAATAGTGGTTAAAGAACATATCAGCAAAAGCTTCTCTTTTTCCTTAATTTTGGGACGCGGGTTGTTTTTGTCGGAAGATCTTGAAATGCTTTTGTTAATACAATATACTACATCGGTTGATTGAAACATAAAAGTATTTCTTACTGAATCATCATAATGAAATACTAGTACAGAAACTACAAACTCCAACCAAATCAGTTCGAGTCTGATTCTATCAACAATAGTTAGTACTTCTACTTTAAAGTGGATCCTGAATCTCGCAAGCCAAAACGTGTCCTTCTCCACAGCCGTAATCACCAATCTCAGCCCGAAATATCTGCGCCGCATCAGAATCCCTGGCTTCGAAGAAGAGAGAATAATATCGGACACCATGGGAATCATAAGTGGAGGAGGCAACACTCCTGAGCTTCTGGAATTTGAAGTGGGTGCCCTGGTTCGCGTTGTAGCCCTTCACAACCTTAATTCCCATCTTGATGAATCTCTCTTCAATCCGTTCCAATGTGTACACAAGCCCGGCTCTATGTCCAACAACATCATATGAACCGAAACCATTGTCCACCAGCGAAGAAGTCGGCTCTGATTCATCGTCCGACGACCCGAAATCATTATCTTCTTCCGGCATCGAATCTGAGAAAACCGGCGACAACTCAATGTAATCGTCCTCTGACCCGGAACCGGAGGAATCCAGCAGAGACCCAATCAGGGTGTTGAGGTTTTGTTGCTCCTGAATCAGTTGATTCAGTATCTCAGAGTGTTGTTTCTGGGTTCTTTTCATTCTCTTCATTGACTTCATCATCTTTTTGGTCTTGCTCTGCCTTCTCTGTTTCGACAAGGAGGAAGGTTGCAGAAGAAGATCGCCTTTAGCCATCAATTATTGCCAAATAAGAATTGGAGAGATTAATAAACTAATGATGAAGAACTTCCTCATGGATGGATGATAAAGAAGAAGGAGGAGCAATGATGTTTGAATCGGGGTGATTGATGAGTATATATAGAAGAAGGTTTAGGGGTTTTCGGTTTCCTAAATCCATGTTGGATTCGGATTTGGTTTGCCGCTGCCTCTGCTACATAGGAGTAATTTTATTTTCTGAACTAAAACCCTCGTTGTTTTAGGAAACTTGCTAGGGATAGGACTACTCATTTTTTAGGTAATAACCTAATTAATTAATGAAATTCAACACAACAACGCAGTAATAATTCTTATTACAATTTCATCAAAGACTAATACTCGCTCCTTCCTTCCGAGAAACAATATTCAGTAAATAATCCAACAAAAAAAAAAGTAGGCCATAGAAGTGAAAGGAAAGGAGTAATATACAATTGATGATTTCATGAATTGGTGGTTGATTTTATTCATTTTTTTTAATTTAAAATTTATGTACTATAAAGTAATTTTTTTCATCTCATTTTATTAACTTGTTTACATTAACAGTATAACAAAGTGAAACATTAGAATGAAAACTCTGGAGTGTGTATCGACAAATATTGCCATATCAATTTCTTCGTATATATTTTGGTTACAATTTCATCTTTGTGTATTTTGATTACTAGCTATTTACAAGGGGAAAAAAAAAAAGGAGAAAAAGTTACACAAATTACTGCCGGGTAGAGGTGTATTGGGTACCATTTCCACCATCTACTCCCAAGTAAAAAATGGTGGGCCTTTTGGGCTCAGTGATCTCCACAGTCCCTTCCAACATCTTGGCCACTTTTCCCATGGACGGCCTATCATCGGCTCTGTCTTGGACACACCACATGGCTGTCTTAACCATCCGATCCACCATATCCATATGGGCTCGGCTGTCCGAATGCTCCCTGATTCTTGGGTCCAAAATGTCATCCACATTCATTTCCTTAAACACTTTATCAAAAGCCCACATTGGAAGATACCACTGATCACTCTCCATGTTTGAATTCTGTTGCTCCAAGTTTCTCACACCAGTTACAAGCTCTAGTAGCACCATTCCAAAGCTGTAGACATCGGATTTCGATGTGATTTGTCGATCGCCACGGACCCATTCCGGTGCTAGATAGCCCCGGGTGCCCCGTATACCCGACATGCTCACCCGATCCTCTCGCGTCCTCAGCTTGGCTAACCCGAAATCTGATACTTTGGGACAGAAGTCTTCCCCTAAGAGTATGTTTTCTGGCTTTATGTCACAATGTAGCACCCATTCCAAGCATTCCTCATGCAGGTACGCGATTGCCCTCGCCACGCCAACTGCTATCCGATAACGGATATTTAACTCAAGTACAGGTTTTCGACCCGAAGTTGAATCTTGTTCATGGCCTAATGCTTGATCACGGCTTGAAACCACCTCATTCTTTTGAAAAAGAAACTTGTCCAGGGAACCATTGGCGACGTATTCGTACACAAGGATTCGCTTGCCTTTCTCAGTGCAAAATCCCCACAATGTGACCAAATTGAGATGGTGCATCCGGGCAATAATTGTGACCTCAGCCCAAAAATCAGCATCACCTCCTGTGACATTCTTAAGGTACTTCACAGCAACAACCCTTCCATCCCTTAAATTTCCTTTGTACACAATACCAAATGAGCCTCTCCCAATAATGTGTGAGAAATTGTCTGTAGCATCTCTAATCTCAGAATAACTGAACCTTTTAGGTCCACCAGCAGGCATAGTTTCAAGACCAAATATCCTAGCCATATCCCTATACTTCGTGTACTTTTTCAGAAATGCCCAGAAGAAGTAAACACCACTAATCAGTTCAGCTGCAAAGAAAATGGATATAATCACTATGTTTCTGGTTCTAGCAGAGGACTCTTCAGGTGGAAATGGAAGCCTAATAGTAACAGGACAAGATGTTTCCATCACAGAAGTTAACCCAGTGAATATTGGCTCAGTAGCAGTCTCAGAGTTATCAACCCTCAAAAATGTAGCACCCTTAACTCCAGTAGCCCAGAATCCATAAAAAAGACCATCAAGATGCAAAATACAGGAATTATTTCCATCAAATCTAAACAAGAATGCCAAACAATTTTGCATCCCTAAGCATTCAGCCTGGCATGTGGTTAAATTTGAAACGGTAGAAATGATTTGCTTTGGTTGCCCTCCTCCAGAAAAGTTCACATAATCCAGGCGTAAAAATTTTGTCTTTGCCATGTCTTTCATGGGAATTATCCGATCACAAGAATTGGGATCATCCAAATTTTGCCTAAATCCAGGAGGACAGATGCAAGACACAGAAATAGCCAAAGGGTCATAAACACAAACAGAATTAAGCCCACAAATACCTGGAATTCTGCAAAGATTGTAAACAGCCCTCCAAACATCCATCCACTGGCCTGAATTTGGGTCAAAACTATAAAGCCTGAGGTTCCCATCTTCATCAAGAGTCAATCTTCTCAACTTCTGATCACCATAATCCGATGAAATGTATGAAAGGTTATTTGCCATAGAAATCTTTCCCAAATCATCAATGCCCAGAAAGGCATTAACATTGCTCCAGTAATTGAATGGATAGTCTCTGAGAATGAGTTGGTTAGAGTCCAAAAACTTGAACTTTCCATTTTTTGAACTCAAAGTTGTTCCAGTGATGTTTTGACCAGGAAGAATCGAGTTTGTAGGAATCCCAAAACTCTGCCACGTCCCAAAAACCAAGTTCCCATTCTCTTGGAGTATCAATTCAGATGTATTTGTGTTGCTGGCAGGATTCAAAGGCCATAGATTTTGACCAGAAGAAGTATCATTGACCAAAGTTAGTACCTTTGCCGGTGAAATGAACAAGGAAGCTGAGGTAGAAACAGGGGAATTTTCATTTGCAGACCAAACTATGGTCTTGTTTGAGATACTAAAGTACCAAACTGAGAATGTGAAGAGATTTGGGGAAGTGGGAAGAGACGAAAACCCTGCAGCAAAGGTGGAGTTGGGAGAAACAAGGATTTTGTGCTGATTGGGAGTCCATGGAGAATCTGAACTGGAGAAAGATGTGATGATGGTTTGGTGTTCTTGGGAGATGGAAAAATGGAGACTTGAGATTGAGAAGATGGAGAAGATAAGCAACAATAACATTCTGAATTACAGAAGAATATGGTGGTGATGAACATATGGAATTCAAACAATTTGATGAATATGGGGAGCAATGGGGATGTGACATTGTACCATTCCCATCATCTCCATTTATTTGTTGTATTCTTCTCCACTTCAATTATCATAATATGCTTGATTTGGTGGTGTGACTTTCTGTCAATTTTGTTCTTCAGTCCAAACTCCAATCACATGAGGCGGCTTTTGGACTTTTTGGTGGCTTGACTTTCTGCATCTACAAAATATAATAGCCGGAAGCTACATAAATTCCAATTTAATACTAGCATGTATTATTGTTTTTCCATCACAAAGAATTATTGAACAAATTTTTTATCCATTGCCAATGGTAAATATTGGTGAATCCATCACGTAAAACATGTTTTAGTTTATCAAAATGAACTTTTTTAAAATTTCTTTTATATTACCAACAGTTTGCTAAGATGAATAAAGTTTCCTGTGCCACTGAAAATGCCCAAACATACACGCAAGAAGCCAATAACTTGATTGAAATTGAAAAGTCATTAACCTTGTCAATATTCAAAGTCAACTCGACCCATAAAACACTCCTCAGGTCTTCCACTTTGCCAAATTCCCCACCAATCCATATGCATACATACATTTTTACTCAAAAACAAAATAAAATGGAATAAAAAATATACATACATAAGTACATAGTTCTACATTATTAAAGAGCTCCAACATCATCTATGATATTTTCATTTCACAGCTCATCATCAGAGGCTCCAATTATGTCTTTCTTGCTCATCTTCTTCCTCCTGCAATTGTTCTCAAATCTTCACTTATCCAAATCCCAGCTTCAGAACCCACAAATCATTTCAAATTTTTCTGTTTCAGATTCACCATGGACTCCAGACAAGAACCAAATCCTCCTTTCACCCAACTCTACTTTTGCTGCAGGCTTTCTGCCATTGCCATCTAATCTCTACACATTCTCAGTTTGGTACTATGCAATCTCAAAAAAATTCAATCTTGAAACTGTAGTTTGGTCTGCAAATGATAATTCCCCAGTCAACAACTCTGCTTCATTGATCATCACATCATCAGGGGAGCTAAGCTTGAGCAACCCTGGTGGCAGAAATCTTTGGCCAGCAAAAACACCACCTGTGAGGAGTGGGAGAGATCTTGTGTTGCTGGAAAGTGGTAATTTAACTTTTGGTGATTGGGGAAGTTTTGCTCATCCCACAAACACAATCTTGCCAAACCAGATTATAAAAGGCACGACTTTGTCTACAAGGAATGGGAAATATCAGTTTCTTGATACTAATAAACTCGTCTATAAAGATGCAGCTGATACTTACTGGGGTCCTGTAAATGCTTTTCTGAATCTGGATGATCAGGGAACCATATCACAGGAGGGTTCAACCATCATTTCATCAGATTTTGGTGACCTAAAGACAAGAAGGTTGACTCTGGATGAAGATGGAAATCTCAGGCATTACAGCTTTGATACTGATTTGGGTAATTGGACAGTTGTTTGGAAGGCTGTGGGCAATCTTTGTAGGATTAAAGCTACATGTGGTGCTTATGCTATATGTAGTTATGAACCTTCAAAGACTTCTACTTCTTGCAAATGCCTACCTGGGTTCAGGGAAATGAAATCATCAAGTGATGATTTCGTGTGCCAAAGGAAAACTCCCATCAGGAATTCTGCAAATACCAGCAAGTTTATGAGTCTGGATTACGTGAGCTTCACAGCTTCCTATTCAGGAACTCAACATTTCGATTTTCCTGTTTCAACTCTATCTGAATGTCAAGTTAGATGCTTGGGTAATCAGACTTGTGAAGGGTTTCAGTTCAAATATGATGGGAGTAATACCTGTGTGATGCTGAATGGAACTCTGGAAGATGGGTTATGGTCTCCGGAATCCGGTAATGACAATGCCTTGTTTTTGAGGCTAGATGAATCTGAAAATGACAACACAGAGTATATTGGCATGACAGATCTGATGGAATTGGCGTGTCCTGTTACAATCAAGCTCCCTTCACCACCGGAGGAATCCAATGCAACCACTAGGAACATTGTGATCATATCAACCCTTTTTGCAGCTGAGCTTCTTAGTGGTGCATTTTTCTTTTGGGCGTTTCTCAAGAAGTACATCAAGTATAGGGATATGGCCAGAACATTTGGCCTTGAAGTTCTACCTTCAGGCGGACCTAAAAGGTTTGGTTATGTGGAGCTTAGAGATGCCACCAAGAATTTTTCTGACATTATAGGAAAAGGTGGTTTTGGCGTGGTGTATAAAGGGACTTTGAGTGATGGCAGGGTGGTTGCTGTTAAATCCTTGAAGAATGTAGCTGGTGGTGATCCTGATTTTTGGGCAGAGGTGACAATCATTGCCAGGATGCACCATCTCAACCTGGTTAGATTATGGGGCTTCTGTACTGAGAAAGGAACAAGGCTGTTGGTGTATGAGTACGTGCCGAATGGCTCATTAGACAAGTTTCTTTTTCAAAATCCGGTTAACTCAGATCTTGTCCAATCCCATGGTATGAACTCGGAAATGTTAGATCAGAAACCCATCCTTGATTGGAATATCCGGTACAGGATTGCCCTTGGGGTGGCGAGAGCAATTGCCTACCTGCATGAGGAATGCTTGGAATGGGTGCTCCACTGTGACATCAAGCCTGAGAACATTCTTCTGGGAGAAGACTTCTGCCCAAAAGTATCAGATTTTGGACTGGCTAAGTTGAAGAAAAAGGAGGATCTCATCAGCAAGACGCGATTCCGGGGCACACCTGGATATGTGGCGCCTGAGTGGCTAAGGCCGGAACCCATCACATCAAAATCTGATGTATACAGCTTTGGGTTGGTGCTGCTGGAAATGGTGACAGGTACCAGGAATCACGAACAGCAGAATCAGATTTCAATTGCAGAGAGCACTGACTGGTATTTTCCTTGTTGGGCATTTGATCAAGTTTTCAAAGAGACGAACATTGATGACATCTTGGACCCAAGGATCAAGCATTCTTATGATAGCCGTGCTCATTTTGATATGGTGAATCGTATGTTGATGACTGCGATGTGGTGCATTCAAGACCGAGCTGAAAACAGGCCAACAATGGGGAAGGTAGCCAAGATGTTAGAAGGAACTGTGGAAATCGGTCTGCCGAAAAAGCCAACACTTTACTATGCAGAACAAGATGAGGAATAACTCATGATATATAGTATAAAATCTAGTATGAATAAGATTGTGTCATTTTACTAATAAAACACTGCCGACACACAGTATGCTGAATAGAAGATCTCATGGATGATCCCTAATGATTGATTTACTAACTGTGTTTCTCCAATTCACATTTGTATTGCTTTGCTTCATCAGAAAACTGTACATTCTATTTCAGTATAATGCTGTTGTACATGTGAAAGTTTGTTTACAGATCAACCATACTCATAATGTGTACCCAGATTCTCTACAACAAAATTTATGGGTACATCGAGCTACAAAAAGTTGATAAGTTATTAACTTCCCAGGACATGTACCTATCAACTTTCCAATACAGAGTATATCATGTGCAGTCTTGACATGCCATTTCACACAGAATGAGGATCTTCCTCAGCACAAATTTCCTGGCACGAGTGAAACCCAATACCCTTGTTCACTGATCTGATCTCTCCAGCAGCAAGCCTGAAACTCAGTCTTTGTGTAGTTTCTTTCTAAGGCGCCTCTTAATATACCATCCAGCATACTTCTGGAGGCCCATGCCGATCAACAACTTCAGGCTAGAGAGCATCACGAATGTCATGGCAGAGAGAAGAAAGATCCAAAGGAATCTCCATACAAGAGGATTTGACGGTAGATGAGCCGCATAAACAGGGCGCAACACTCGGATAACCTGATTACACTAAAGTGTATCAATATCTGTGAAAATTCATGAATACACACAAAGAGTTTCTCCCCATCAAAGTCCCCTCCCTCCTCGGCCCATACCAGCTCATCACAGAACAGCAAAAATGACAAGAATATCATAAAAAACTGTCTGTCTCAGGATCTAATCCCACCAAACTTAGAGCATCACATATAACTTCAATCAGAAGGGAAGGACCAAAGCCTTGGGGAAGCCAAGGAATCCACCAGATTCAGGCTATGATCTAAAAGCAACAAACAGCATTAACCATGCTTACCAAACAAGCTGGGGCAAGAGGAACAAAGACTAGAGTTCTCTTTCCAGGCTCTGTAGGAATCTTTAGTGTCTGGAGAATATGAAAACCAATAGGATAGCAGAATGCCAGTAATGAACAAAACATTGATAGGAAAGGAAAGATTAGGCAAAATGGGATGCAAACCGATGACAATCAGAGAAATAGAAAAAAGATACCTGATTGCATAGATCTTCTAAAAATTCTGAGAAAGTATCAGGCTTATGATCATTGAATTTCGCAATGAATGAAAGCTTGATAACATCAATCAACACTTCACAAAAGAGAACTAGAAAAGCATTCTGCAAGATTTAACAAGCAATCGTGATCAACGGAAAGCGTCAAAAGTATCTGAAATTGGAAAGCATGCAATGAATTCCATCAAGAGAATGCATACAGAGACACTTACCAAGAGGAAGTTTTCAAACCAAGAACCCTCTGCTTCTAGTATGTTTTGAGCCAAAACAAACAAAAGAAATGCCGAAACATGGAACCGCTCCACAGCATCTGTTTGGACAAAATTAGTGAGTTTAAATTACGGGCAAACAATATGAGTTATTTACGGGCAATTTAGCTTACTTATCAACTAAAACAAATACAACTTACCAAAATGCGCCAAACTGTGAACGTTATCCTTGTTATATCGCTTAAACACATTGCTTTTTATCTCTCCAAAATTGTTGGATATAAGAAGAGCCCATAACGCATTATTGTGAGCAACTATACAAGTGGACAGAGTAACACCTTGAGCTAACAAAACAAAGGAATGCACAAGTATTTATAGTTAAGGAAGCAACTATGTAGAGGACAAACTGGTCACAGAATTAACATGGATGGTATCATAGTAAGTTCTCTTAGTTAACTTGATAAGGATATTAGATGAAGCCACAGCTAATGACTCGTCTTTGATGAATCTCCATAATGACAGCTGAAAGCTTTCTGCTGAACAGCTTGCAAGATCATCTGCTGAATTAAACATCGTTTGCATTACATCTCCACCAAAACTTTGACATAGTTTATCAAATATCTGCAATCCAGAGGCAGTTGTCCGCAAGTCATACACCCCAAAGACTATCAATGAGAATAGGAATGAACTGGAGCTGCTAATGATTTAAAAGCAAGAGTTACAAGCAGCAGGTGTCTAAATGAAACGAGGTAACATATTTTTAAGGTTTCAAAAAAATATAGAAATACAGGATAAAAGAGGAGGATCTGGTCTGCACAAGGGGGAATCCCAAAGCAGACAGATAAACTTCCGTACGTTCAATAATCCCAAGTAAACATGATACATCGCACCGTAAAATCCATAGAGAAGTTTACAAAAACATACATGTATGCACATAATGAGCAAGTAAGGCTTTGAAAAAACCAACACCAAACTAGAGACACAAGAAATATCTGAAAGGCTTTGAACCCATTGAGCATCAGGGTAAACAAACACTCCCTCTGTCCCAAAAAAATAGTCCACATTGAGCATCTCATCTTCCCTTCAAGACAACAAGTCATTGAAAAACTACATTCAGCAGTAGCCGTGGATTCACAGAACCCAATTTCAACATCATTACAAATTGCACATTACAAAATATTGCACACAACTAGCACCCAATTTCAACTTCATTCCCAACCCCTTAAATTAAAAACTAACCTCCAGCACATTGTAGAGAACATAAAGCTTGATTGTCCCTTGCCCGCGAATCATGTGGTATATCCAGCTAATATCTTCAAACCAACCAAACATCAAGAACAAAGATAATAACATTAAGCGAATATCCCTGAACAAGCTGAAAACTAATGGAAGAAAGAACTGAAGACAACAAATGGACAAAACCCCTTGCTACACCTGCTTGCTGTAGTAGGGCCACTCCACAAAGCAGAACAATGAGACATCCAAAATCAGATAGTTCAGCTGAAGAAGGTCTCTTGAACTGCCTGCCAAACATATGGTTAACAGATATATTCGTTTTCGACAGGCATGATGAAGGTAATGTGTCTGTGTGTGTGTGTGTGTGTGTGTGAGAGAGAGAGAGAGAGAGAGAGAGAGAGAGAGAGAGAGAGAGAGAGAGAGAGAGAGAGAGAGAGAGAGAGAGAGAGAGAAAGAGACTTGGGAGCATTCAAAACACTAGGAAGTAAACCAAAAGGTTCCACACTAAAAATTATTTGACAAAACATTCCAGCTTCCAATATGTCAGGAAACAACTATAAAAAAGAAATCCACGGTTGACTTCTATGAGAAACTATCAGTCATAATTGCTTGCAGGCTTACAAGTTTACAACATCCAGATTCCTTCAACTTCATCTTTTTCCCACATTAATTTAGTGATTTCTCTAGTTGAACATAAAAATCATAGACTACCCTGCTTAAAGATGAGCGTATTCTTCTACCATTCAGGATGAAAAAGATGGACATTCAGATTTTAAAATTTTAGGAGGCAGGGTAACAAAAGGAGAAAAGGTAATAATGTCCTCTTCGAACCTATCCCATTTCCACAGTCTCAAGTGTCAATCAACACAACACATTCAAAACTCTTAAGTCTGAAACCAAACAACACAATATACTCCACATAAATAGCACACTCATTTGATGGTCATCAATCCATTAAGCATATCAAACCTAAAAGGGACAATCTCAAGCTAATCATAGAAGCCATCAAGGGAAATCCCACAACCACTAAAAGATGACAAGGCTTTAATTAACCTGCTGAAATTTATAACAAATTACTGTAGAAGGACATTACACTGACCTTGTCTTCAGTAGCCTCCATAACATTATAGAAATTCTTGCTGGCATGATGGTTAACAACGAAAGAAATGAATCCAAGCAGACGAAAAATCCAACATTAATAAGCTGCAGTGCAGAAGCATCTTTTAGCACTGGTAACAGTTCATCAACCACCATCCGTAAAAGGGAAAAACAAAGGAAAGGAAAAACATAGAGAAGAAGAAGAAGAATTGCAAATGCCCCTAACACCTGGTGGCCTCAAGCTAGTTATGTGTTATGTAACTATGTGAATCTTCCAATATAACTATCAGAGCAAGAGGGCACCAGATGCAATCCTACATCAAAAGAAGGAAACCAAAGGCAATACTAAAATTGATGTTTAAACCCAAGCAGCGGAATTCCAATACTAAACTGACCAAGCAACATTCTGAATTTTGTTTTAGCAGCATATGATCTTCAATTCAGTCTTAGACTATCATAGTGTCACCTTTATAGTGCAAAATTTTGCTTTTTCCACATACACATCCATGGTGAATCACAAGTACAAAGATCATCCTCACATATTCTAAGGTAGGCCCTCTCATCCCCAACCAACACCCCCCAAAAAAAAAAAAAGGGAAAAACCCCGCTTTTGACAGGCACAGCATTTTTCTGTAAGCAAGATACATCACATAAATGATCAAACAAATTATTTATACATTTTATCCCAGTTACACCCATCATGGTAAATCAACTTATTGAAAGGTGTGGAGCCCAATATGCAGGAATGTAACTTTATTTATTGCTATGCTTTATGGAAAAGGTAGTACATACACAATGCATGCAGTAAAAATCTTTACCAACCACAATGCATGTATGCTATACATAAATACCATCCACCTGAACGAGTCTATAATTATCAATAAACTATTAAACGAGAAAAAGTAGAAAGATGGAAAACTTTACCAGTTCAATTCGCCATGGCAACTGGAATATGATGTTATAAACTCTCTCACGTTCTTTCTCATTTCCAAGAGTAACAGTTCTCTGCAATGAGTTTCCAGAATGCATTTCATCCAAGAAATATTTAAGAGGTGACTTCTCCACAGGATAAGCATCTACAGAATAACAATTTAGTAAATACAATGAGAAAAGCAGAACCTTAGTAGTTTACATATGAACTATCAACAAACTTTATTCATCTTTAAGGATTCATCATCACGAAAAGACAACGATGCATGTTCCCATATGTGTTATGAACTAAACACTACCCAACTCTCAAATCATCGAAGAAACTTTGTGAGCATTGATTCTAGAATCAAGCAAAAACTAAACCATTATTATGATCAATGGAAAAAGAATATTATCAAATATCACAAAGCGTAAAACCACTTTACAAGGATACCTACTCAAAGGTGTTTGACCCATACTGCTCCTTCCATACAATAAGCTACGGATCAGCCAAGGACATTCTAACGGAATCAATCTTCCAAACTGAGGTATACTAAAACAGCATAAATTTAGATGTCAAGCCACTTCTGGCCTGTGAATCCCCAAGTCACATTGATGCACAAAACCTCCTTGGTGAAAACCAACGGTATTGTACAATTCTCACAAGCTTTTTTCTATTGGCCTGATGCTTAATAGCTCCTAAAACTACCAGCATTGTCTCCCCAACATATACATAATATTGCATTGCATTGGGGATTTTTTTTAAAAAAATGTTTTTTTGAATGCAATTTATAGCTTGCTGATTAAAAAACAAATCAAGCATAAAACCAATATTACACAGAAGAAAAAGAACCAAAAGGAGGATCTTGGCTTACAATGGGGATCTTCCGCCATTACTTTCTTCCAATCCAAAGACTCCTCTTTCTCCAACGTTCTCCCATTCATCTCAAATGTCCGCTGTGGAATCAAATCCGCTTCATTCCCTCTCTCAATCTCTTTTTCCACAATCTCACCACCAGCATTAGTACTATTCTTGCACTCCACACTCCCCAGAGAAGTCACAGACGATGCAGCAGGCTCCGATTCATTAATCCCATTCACAGCTAAATTCACACTCCTCTGTCTCAAATGCGGACTACGCGTGATCGACGTCCGTACAGAATAACCGTCTCCCCTCCTCTCCAACACTTCCGGAACCACAATCGTCGGCGTGGTTTCAACGAAGGTATAGCTGTAATTATTAAGGCTAAATCCGTCCGTGGGGGAACAGCGGTCAATTGCTTCCCCGTTGCTCTCTGTAACTCTATCAACTTTGGGCGGCAACGAGAGGGAATCATTCTCGATTAGTGATTTCTTCGTTTTCTTTTTCTTTTTCCTCTTCTTTGGGCTGTGGTGAGTCGAGGCGCCGGCGGGCGGGAGAACGGAAGAAGGATCGGAGGCAGAACGACGTATCAAAAACTCGTCGGAATCGGCGTCGTAGGTAGCGAGGGTGCTGAAAGAGAGCTTCCGATCAGCAATTCGGAGAGGCATCTTTTGGGGGGTTTTACAGAAGAGAAGAGAAAAAGGAAATCAAATTACAACAAAAGGGAGATGAAATCTCACACTCTTCTTATAAAAAGGTTTTGACGTTTAAATGGGTATGAGTATGATCTGGATTCCGGATATCTGGATTTGGCTTAATGTTACACACTTTTTTATTTTCAAAAATCTGATTTTTATACTTTTAATATTCCTCTTTTAATTCTTATAATTATTGTAACTTTATTAAGATTTTTGTTATACTCCCTGTGTCTCAAAATTATTGTCCAATTTGAGATTTCATTTCTAGTACAATTTGAACTAGAAATGAAAACTCAAACTGGACAATAATTATGGGACGGAGGGATTACCTTATTACAAAATTCTTTCAAAATGTGAACAAAGAAATGAATTTTTTTTTTTTTTTTTTGCTGGCAGCAATTTGAGAGGTGATATAGAAGGAAGAAACATTATATGGAATGTTACAACTAGCCAAATAATGTAGCTAGTAGCACTAGAAAATTTACTTTACTGAGGTGCTCACTATAAACAAACCATGTGCATCATCATTCATACTTAAATGTGACCATGAGATGGATTTCATTCTTCCCACATAAGAAATGTGTCAATGAGTTACTAATTGGTGTTTCTCCAATTCACAGTTGTAATGCTTGCCTACATGGAGCAAAATGTTGAAAAAATTATTGAGTAACTTGTACTGATCAACTTGTCATTATAGAGATGCCATTTCACCCAGAATGAGGATCGTCCTCGGTGCAAATTTCCTACTACAAGTATAACCAAGTCCCCTTGTTCACTGATCTGACCTCTCCAACTGCAACTCAGTCTTTTGTGTAGTTTCTTCCTAACGCGCCTCTTAATCTATAGTTCGGCATATTTTCCAAGGCCATTGTGGATCAACAACTTCAGGATAGAGAGCATCATGAAGGTCATGGCAGAGAGAAGAAAGATCCAAAGGAATCTCCATACAAGAAGATTTGACAGTAGGCGAGCCGTATAACTAGGGCGCAACACTCGGATAACCTGATTACACTCAAGTGTATCAATGTCTAATGAAAAAATTCATGATTACACAAAAAGAGTTTCACCCATCAATGTCCCCTCCCTCCTCGGCCCATAACAGTAACAGCACTCTCATTACAGAACCACCAAAATGATGAGAAAGTATATTGTAATGAACTGTTTGTGTCCCAGGGTCTAATCCCACCAAACTTAGAAGGGCAAGACCAAAGCTTTGGGGAAGCCAAGGAATCCCCCAGATTCAGGGCTATGATCTAAAAGCAAAAAGCAGCTTTAAACATGCTTACCAAACAAGCTGTGGCAAGAGGAACAAAGACAGAGCTCTCTTTCCAGGCTCTGTAGGAATCTTTAGTTGTCTGGAGAATATGAAAACCAATTAGGATTGCGAAACACCAGTAATGAACAAAACATCGATAGAGAAAAACAAAATACTAGGCAAAATAGGATGTGAATCGATGACAGTAGAGAAATAGAAAAAAGATACCTGATTGCATAGATCTACTAAAAATGCTGAGAAAGTATCAGACTTATGGTCATTGAATTTGACAATGAATGAAAGCTTGATAACATCAATCAACACTTAACAAAAGAGAACTAGAAAAGCATTGCGCAAGGTTTGAAGAGCAATCATGATCAATGGAAAGCGTCCAAAAGTGTCTGAAATTAGAAAGCTTTTATTGATTTCCATCAAGAGAATGCATACAGAGACTATTTAACAAGAGGAAATTTTCAAATCAAGAACCCGCAGCTTCTAGTATGTTTGAGCTAAAACAAACAAAATAAATGCTGAAACATGGAAGCGCTCCACAGCATCTGGTCGGACATATGAGTTATTTACTGGCAATTTAGCTAACTTATCAACTACAACAAATACAACTTACCAAAATGTTTCCAAACTGTAAGCGTTATCCTTGTTATATTTTGCTTGAACCTATTGCTTTTTACGTCTCCAAAATTGCTGGATATAAGAAGAGCCCATAATGCATTATTACGAGCAAATATACAAGTGGACGGAGTAACACCTTGAGCTAACAACACAGATGAGAGCACGTGTAACAGTTAAGGAAGCAACTATGTATGGAACAAACTGATCACAGAAATAACATGGATTGTAAGTTCTGTAAGTAGATAAGTGATACAGATACAGATGAAGCCACAGCTAATGACTCTCCACAGTGACAGTTGCAAGCTTTCTGCTGAACAAATTGCAGTATCATCTACTGATTCATCTCCTCCAAAACTTTGACATAGTTTATCAAATATCTGCAATCGATAGGTAGTTTGGCGTGAGTCATACACCTCAAAGACCACCTGTGAGAAGAGGAATGAACTTGGGCTGCTAATAAAATAAAGCAACACATTGCAAAAATAAGTAACATTCAGCAGTTGTCTAAATGAAACAAGATTCAATGTTGTTAGTCTTTAAAAATGAAAAATAAAATAGAAATAGAGGATAAAAGAACTGGATTAGGTCTGCACAAAGTGGAATTGAATAGCAGACATATGCTGTCGTACTTCCAATAATCCCATGTAAACATTTCATTTCCAAATGTGAAATCCACAGAGAAATATATACATATATATGCACATAATGAACAAGTAGTGCTTTGCGAAATCCAACACCGAACTGAACAAACAATAAATATTTGAAAGGCTATGAACTCATTCATAATGCTCCAGGGTAAACAAACAGTATGTCAGTATCCTAGAATCTCTCTTGCTGTCAAAATAATGTTTCACTGAAAACCTACAAGCAGCAGTGGTCAACGATGCATAGAACCCAAGTTCAACTCACTACAATAAAAATGAGTAGTTTAGACACTTTTTTGTGTCTCAATAAGTGGTGTAATAGGACACATGTGATTCACATTGCGTTGGATACTACTAAATAGTGTCTCCTATAGTCGAGTCACAATAAGTCATAAAACATTTGAAAGTCTATTATTAGATTGTCACTTATTAAGACACTTTAAAGTGACCCATTAAGTAGGATAATAGTTCACAAGCAACCCCACATAGTACACTTATGATAGTGTTTCATAATATGCATACACTTTTTCATTTTTAATAAGACACTTTTTAGCAAATGTCCTAATACACATATAATGAAACACATTTTAGAAAAAATGTCCCACTATAAAGGTATTAATTGCCCATTTTTGTTGTAGTGACTTCAAACCAAACTGAAGACACAGTAAATATATGAAAGGCTTTATACTCCTTATCCAAGTGTCTCATCTTGCTGTCAAGACAATGTTTTACTGGAAATCTACATGCAGCAGTAGTATACACAGAACCCAAATTCACCTTTTATTACAAATAAGTAGATCACACAACATTGCACAAAATTAGCACCCCACAGCTTAAATTAAAAACTTATCTCCAGCACATTGTAGAGAACATAAAGGTTGATCGTCCCTTGCATGCGAATCATGTGGTATATCCAACTAATATATTCAAACCAATTAATGATCAAGTACAAAGATAAGATTAAGCTAATATCCTCAAGCAGAAAAGTAATGGAAGAAAGAACTGAAGATGATAAATGGGCCAAAAACCCTAGCTAAACCGGCTTGCTGTAGTAGGGCACTCTGCAAACGATAACAATGAGACATCTGAAATCAAATAGTCAGTTAAGCTGATGGTGGTCTCTTGAACTTCCTGCCAAAAATATGGTCAAGTGTTGCCAAAGTAAAGTAAAAATTAAGAAAAATGCGAGAAAGAACATCTTCCTTTTTTTTGACAGCAAAAGTGAGGAAATATCCATTTTACAACTAACCGAATGGTTAGAGTACTAAAGATATATGCTAAGGTGAAATAGACTAAGCTAGATAACAAAGTTAAGAATCATCTTCTTCAAATGAGCTTTCGCCCCCAAAATAAGACGATGGACCTGCCATACTGTTTCCAGATTCCCACTTCTTCACAAGTTCTCCTAAGTCATCTCAATTTTACTTCCATGGGAGTCGTCATGATCAGATTCGGCTGGTTTCCAGGTTTCAGTGAAGGATGTGAGCACGTTAACTGTGAAGCTCATGTCAGGTCTTTGGGAAGGTTCATTACGGCAGCAATTACGAGCCAACTTAGCAACTTCAGTTATGCTTCGTTCAATTTCTTCATTTTTTTTTATAAAAGTACCTGTTATATTATGTTAAAGGTACTAATCTATTACATTGCATATGATTGAAAACTAAATTATGCATATCTCGTACATCCCATCTAATTACTTTGGTGATCGTACAAAAAGTAAATGAAAAAATTAAGGTATTTAATAGTGAAAAGATTTCTCAGGAATCAGATGGCATGGAAGGGGATTGCAAGTCTTGCGATAGCACTTCACAATCCGTGAAAACCTGAATTTGAGTGAGACCAAGATTTGGCGCCTGTTGTAAAGCTAGAAGACATGTTGTAGCTTCAGTTTGGAGCGGTGTAAGGGCATTAATCCCTGTGGTTGAGACTTGCATGACTATTCCATTTGGGGATATAATTTTCCATGCTCCAGTTGCCTAGTGTGTTTGATGACTAAATGAACCATCAAAAATAATCAAAGCAGTATTGGGCATCCGAAATGATGATCCCTGAGTGGGCAACTGATTAGGAGAAGAAGATGTTGGATTGAGCCTTCTTTGGAATTTAAGTAGGGAACGGAAGTCCGATTGAATTAGATTCCAAGAAGTGATGGGATCCTGAACTGGTTTCTCCAGATTTTATCATTGCAGTCAAGCCAAATTCGCCACATAATGAGGAGTAGGAGATCCACATCCTGTTTAGAGGGCTGTGTGCGACACCACGCAGTGAATCATTGGAACAGGGAGTGATAGGATGAATTGAAGATGGAGGTGAAGCGAGGGAAAGCAAGTGCCCAAAGTGCTTGTGACATTTCACACTTAAGGAATAAGTGTGTGCTATCTTCTTCTACTGTAAAGTATCGTGGGCAACTGGTTGTTATGGGAACTCCTCTTTTGTGAAGTTCAGAGCGAGTAGCCAGAGCATTTAAACAAGCCCTCCAGAAAAGGAATTTTTGCTTGGGTTGGACTTTGGAGTTCCATAATTTCCCCCATGCAAGCTTCTCGGATTGGAAAATTGCCGGATCCGGTGTAGGCTGTGGGATTATGGAATTTATTGCCACTTGATAACCAGTTTTGACTATATACCGGCCATGGTCCGTGTGGATCCACTCTAAACAGTCCTGTTCGCCGTGTCTTGCTGGATCAATAAAAATGCCATTGATGATTGAGATGATATGATTCGGGAAAAAGTTCCTAAGAGCATTGACACGCCATTGACCTGCTGGAGTAATAAACCTGTTGACCCGGATGTTTGCAGTTGTTAGAACAGATTGGCTGCTAATCGGATTAGTAACTCCAGGAATCCAATTTGAACATAGTAGAGTATCCTTACCAGATATAATCTTCCACCTCAAATTGCCTTGTAATAATTCTGCTTCCCAAAGAATGCTGCGAAAGCCCCAATACTTTACAGTGAAGAATCTAGCTAATAGTGAATTTGGTTCCATCATCATTTTCCGGGCATGTTTAGCTAACAAAGCCTGGTTGAACTCCTTGGTAGCCTTCAGACCCAAACCACCATGAAATTGGGATTTGGTGATCTTGTTCCAGGCACGCCAGTGAATCTTCTGTTCATTTGTATCACCTTTCCAGATAAAATTAGTAATAATCTTATCCGCTTTTGTAAGAGTGTGCTGTGGAAGTCGAAAAACGCCCATGGGGTACACCAGCATGGATGAAAGTGTAGATTTAGCAAGCGTAACCCGTCCTGATAAGGAGAGTAACTTGGTCTTCCAAGACGCAAATTTGTTGCTAAGCCTGATAGTAAAATCCTGAAAAATAGTGGTCTTATGCTGTGAGAAATCCAAAGACATACCAAGATATTTACTGTGAAAAGATCCCCGGGGGATATTGAGTGTCTCATGAATCAAATCCTGCATCGCCGATGGAGTATTTGCACTTATTAAAATTGAAGATTTCTGAAGATTTATCTTCTGACCCGAGTAAGTGGTATAATTTTCCAACAGACCGGCAAGTGCTTGAATCGCCGAAGTAGTACACTCAATGAAAAAGAGACTATCATCAGCATACATAAGATGGCTTAATCGTGGAGCTTCACGGCTGATCTTGACACCCAAACCAGGAAATGATTGAATTTTAGCACGAAGAGCGGAGGAAAAAACTTGTTGACACAGGATGAAAAGATACGGGGATAGGGGGCACCCTTGTCTTAGCCCCTTGTTCGGTTGAAAGGGAGGAAGATTTTCACCATTAAAAAGAATGAAGTAAGAGACCGAAGTAACACAATGCATGATCATAGTCAATAGTCTTGGGGGAGGGGGGGAACACCAGCTTTTGTAAGAACCACTTCAAGGAATGGCAAGGCAACACGGTTATACGCCTTGCTCATGTCCAGCTTAATGGCAGCTAAACCAGAGTCATCTTTTTTGTGACGTATCGTCTCAAGAACTTCGTGGGCCATCAAAATATTCTCACTGATATTCCAGCCAGGACCAAACCCGTTCTGATGATCATCAATGAGGGAATGCAGTACCTGTTTCAATCGGTTAGTGATCATTTTGGTAATGATTTTATATTTGACATTATAAACGCTGATGGGGCGAAAATCATTTGGGGTCAAGGGAGAAGCATGTTTAGGTATCAAAGCTAAGTTTGTATGATTCCACTCCTGAGGAAAGGTGCCCGTATTAAAAGCCTGCAGTGTGGAGGATTCCACCGCTTGGCCAATGATTGGTTTATAATGTTGGTAGAATCCAGCCGGTATACCATCAGAGCCTGGAGATTTCCACGGTGCCATCTGACGGATTGCCTGCCAGACTTTATCAGGTGTAAACGGAGCATCCAAAAGGCCAACTTGATCAGAGGTAAGGGATTCCTCAACATCACTTAAGAAAGAAATAAAGAAAGAGGAGTCCAGAGAGGATTGGGAAGTTGAAGACTGTGACATATAAATAGCTGAGAAGTGTGCTTGAAGTAGAGTAGCAAGTTGTCCAGAATCTTGAAACCAAGTCCCTTGGTCATCACACAGAGCCGTGATCCATTTGTTACCTTTTTGTCTAGCCGCCCAATTGTGGAAAAACTTTGTGTTTTTATCTCCCAGTTATGACCAGTTAATTTTGGCCCTCTGTTACCGGAATTGTTGTTGGAGGAAGAGCACTTCCTCAAGAGCAATCCGTTTGGTGTCTAAAACCATTAGCAGATTTGAGTTAGTTTTGTCTGCCTCCCACTGTGTTTGAGCTTGACTAAGCTGTCCAGTTAATTTATGAACTAAGGAGTCCAGATGGCCAAACTTGGATTTGCTCCACTGTTGAAGTTGGGTTAGGGTTTTATGGAGTTTATAAGAAAGGGTGTCTAGGGAGTCAAGAATAGAAAGAGGGAGTGAGGACCAAGCTTGCGTGACTTGTGGAATTGAACTAGGGCAAGCTGTCTAGAATTGTTCAAATTTGGATTTTCTGCGTGGCCTATGTTTCTGGCGAATATCTACCAATATAGGGCCATGGTCAGAGCTTACAATAGGAAGGTTTCAGATAATGGCTTGCCTAAAAGTTTGAAGCCACAGTTTGTTAACAAAAGCTCTATCCAAACGTTCAAAAATAGTATCCGAACCTTGGCGTTTGTTTTTCCAAGTGTACCAGCAACCGAGATGCCTGAGCTCTTCCAAATCATTCGCAGAAAGGAAGTTTTGAATGGGTCTGGTTTCTTGCATGCTGACAGGACGACCTCCATGTTTGTCCTCCTGTTCAGTGACCTGATTAAAATCACCTAATATAACACTAGGATAACAATAACCTTGGATGATTCTATTCAGGCTAGACCAAAATGATGTTCTCTCCTGCCTAGCAGGAGGACCATACATAAAAATGGCCATCCAGATTAAACCATTTGCCTCAGTGACCTTTGTAACAATCACATTAGCATCCTGGTAGACTACTGCTAGAGTAAGATTAGCTATCCGAAAGAGACCCAAGCCCCTACTACTGCCAATTGGGTCTACTATGCAACAATTCTGAAAAACAGTGGACTGAAACCAAGCTAACATAGTAGAGTTTGTAGCTTTAGTCTCCATGAAAAACAAAATACTTGGTTTATAGTTTTTACTAAGCCTACTTAACATAGTTTTGGACGAGACATATTCATGCCTCTACAATTTCAACATAAGATACTCATTGAAACAGAGGGGATTGATCTGGTTCAATCCCCGCAAAACCATTCAGTTGAGTTGAGGTGGTTGCTTGCTGCTTGCCTTCCTCCCAGGCCATTTCCAAATCGCGGAAGAGACTTTGCACCTCTTCATGTATCTCAGTGTTGAACCTTCGCTTCTCTGGGCGGTCGAGATCAAGAAGATAATCTTCCGAGTGTCTTTTCCTGCTATCTGAGGAGTTGGATGAGGTGTCAGAATCCACAGAGTCATCAAAATCCTCATCTACAATCTTTATACACCATCCATGAGAAGCAGGCTGGGTGTGGGAGCTTTGCTGAGTGTTGTGTCTGGAATCTGGTAGGACTGATTCAGAAACCACCATCCGAGCTTGCATGAAAAATTCGTCAAAGTCACTGTCAGTCTGGGAGCTTGCATCCAACAAAGATGGTGGAGCCGAATCAGAGGAGGAACTGCCACGGAAGCCTTTCTTCTTAAAATGTGCTCGCCCCTTAGGGTTAATAGGGATTTTTCTACCTTGTGGCAGTTCTCCACCCCCAGCAGAGGACCTGGTGCTAAGTCTTTGCAACAGCCCAACTCCAGAAGGCACAAAAACAAAATTACTAGTAACTTCATCAGCTATGGCAACATGAGAATCATCACTAGGTTGAGAACCCGGAAAACCACAATCCGGGGAGATGTCTCGAAGAGGGGGATAATCAGATATATGTGGAATGATAAAATCCGGGACATAAGAAGGATTATCCAGCATAGCATTAGACGGAGGAACCTCCGGAATTTCATAAAATGAATGCGGCATATAAAATTCACTAGCATCATCAGGGAAGGAATGTACAGAACCTTGATAAAACTCAAAAGAGTGGGAGGAGAGTGAGTGAAGACTGTCACCTGGTTCAGCAGAAAAGGAAGAATCTGTGTCTTCCCCAGCAGCAGGAGCTGCATGCCGTGAGTAATCAACCGCTACCCCTGCATAAAGGCTGGATCTGCCATCCACCGGGGCTGGTGGGCCATCTTCCTCAACAAAATTTTCAGCATTAACTGCAGCCATAAACTGATCAGAGCCCCCAGAAGAGGAATCATCATCATCATGAGAGTCACTGTCATCCTGATCCGAATCCTCCGATTGATTATCATCCTCCTCCTCACTCTCAGCATCCGACTGGTGATCATCAGGGTTGTGTGGGGACCAAGGGTACCAAGGAACCAGAGTTTGCTCTTCAGTCTCAGAGATGGTGAAACCATCCTGGATGTAATTATCCGGCACAAAGTCATAGAAATCAAGCATTGCCGCCATTTTGTATTCAGGCAGTCGAGTACTATGCTTCTTTTTGTGAGCGTGAGCACGAAGTGTTCCAGAATACAGCGGCTGATTTTACATCTATTAACAAAGGGGAATCAAACTGAGCTGCTCTGGCAGCGAAAAAGTTATTAAGAAAAGTGGTTAGAGCATCATCCTCCATAAAATAGCATTGGGTGAGTGGGTAACCCAATCTACCACATCGTTGACAAAACTTATGCATCTGTTCATACTTGCATCGGATCTTGGCCATTTTACCATTCCTTTTTGTGAAATAAAAAGAAGGAACCGAAGGGTCACCGGGTTTTATCCATACCTTTGCCTGGACATAGGTGATTTTGCACAGAGATACACAATCTTGTTTGATGGTTTCAATATCACCAACCCTTCTAGCCAGGGCCTCCAAGGAGCGGTAATTCATGGAAGTGATAGGCACCCCATGCAGGCGGACCCAGATGCTCATCTTCTCGATCTTGAGACTTTCCAGGACCAGATCTTCATGATCATAGCATCGATGCAGTATTAGTAAACCACCATTGACAGCATATGGGCCATTATCCAGAATAGCCAGCATTTCATCACGATTCATAAACTTCAAGATGAAGAAGTTACGGTCATAGTGCATGACACGAACTGTGACTGGCCAATTTGCTACCATATAGTCTTGCATGACTCTGTCATCGACCTCATAGTCTTCAATCAGATAACGTAATAGGGATAACTGCAAATTGTCTCGAGAGAGCAGGGTATGGTAATCCGTCAGTTGCATGTTGCTCGATCGGAGGAAAGGCCGAGAGATTTGCCTTGGATCTGGATCAATATGAGTTCTAAGGTCTTGCCTTTCCTCTAAAAAGTTGGATCCCTGAATTGACATAGCAGTGACTGAATTTTCATCCATTGCATGTCTGTAATTCATAGTGAATAGGTCAGTAGTTGACAGCAGCTGACCTCGGCAGGAAATCCGGATTGAGAGTGGAGTAAAGAAGAAAGAACAAAAGGAGAACACAACAAAAGGAAGATAATGTGGGAATAAAGAATGTCTGTGGTGTGAAATTAATGGACAAGAATCCGAAGGTACTGTTCAGCAATGATTTCGCACTGTAGTAGGAATAGAAAAGAAAAGGGAAAACCAAAAAGGCGGAAGCCTTTATGACTTAGATCTGGTAAATCAAAGCTTAGAGAAGTGAAAAGGATGGGAAGGGCTCAATAAAGGTACAAAGGCTGAGAAACACCTGGACTTGTAAAGACTAAAACCACTTTGGTAAATGAAGTGAATGGGGAACCTGTTCAGATTTAAAAAATTGGATGACAAGACTGGTAAATGCATGGCATCCAAATGGCAATTAATGGCCGAGTAAAGGCATCGGTGTAGAAGGGAAAGATTTTTATATTATTAGAGAACCAAGGATAGTGGGATTAAGGTTGGATTCCAGAACCACAATTAGGTAAGAACTGCATATAATCTAGCAAGGAAGAATAAAGGGTGAATTTGAAGGGAAGTTGTCGTCAAGAAGTTTTTCTCATAGAGAGAAAACAGGACATTTTCTCACTAGAATTTTTAGAGAGAAGGACGACCGACATTCTCTCAATTTCTTCATCGAACTCAATAACAGAATCAATGGCTTCGGGGATTTCCTTCTTCTTGAAGCATGAAAGCAAATTTACAAATTCCCTTCCACTTATAAGTTCAATCAAAATAATCCCAAAGCTGTAGACGTCGAGTTTAGTGGTAACCTGGCCCATCCCTATCATATCAAGAAAATAAACGATATCATCGATATAGAATACAACAGCATACAAAGGCAGGAAGACACCAGGTTCAAAGTAAAGTAATTTTGAATACAATTGAAAGACACCAAGTACTTATCCATTATCCTCACAGTAAACCATACTTATCCATTATCCTCACAATACACAATACTTATCCTTTTTCGCAGCTATTGAAGTATTAACAGAGTCACATAAACAATACTTATACCTTTTCATGCACTAAAGTTTTTTTTTTTTGAAACATGCATTAAAGTTATGAACAAAGAGTAAAATACCTGAGTATTCAGGAGCACAATAACCAATGGTACCGGCAAAGGTACTCGTTTGAACTTCTTTCACTTCATCTATACAACGTAAAAGTCCAAAATCACAAACTTTCCCTCTCAGATTATCCCCCAACAAAATATTTGAAGGTTTGAGATCTCTGTGAATAATCGGTTGTTCAATAGAAGTGTGTAAATAGTCTACCCCTCTTGCCACATCCAATGCTATGTTCAGCCGTTGCATCCAATCAAGAGGAGACAAATGCTTGTCTCTCCAATAAAACAAACGTGTAGCAAGATCGCCTTGAGACACAAACTCGTAAACAATAATTTTTTCAGCTGCGTCAAAGCAATATCCCACCAAAGAAACCAGATTCCGGGGCCGAATTTTCCTAACAATCTTGATTTCATCCTGAAACTCAACCAAACGCTTATCACTCATTTGCGTAGCATCCATCCTCTTTACAGCAATCAAAAACCCATCATCCAAATTGTCCTTGTAAACAGTTCCAAAACCCCCTTTACCTAATATATTATCCTCGCTAAACCAATTCAATCATTAAAGATTACTTTCGGAATTAGAGGAGGCACATATAAAAAGAGACAAAAGACCAAATAAAATAATAACTCCAACTACTGTACCTACAATCACCCATGTTTCTCGAACTTTATAGTGTGATTTTTGAGCTTGTGACATGAGTTTTGAGTTTTTTTTTTTTTTTTTTTTTATGTTTTAAAAAGGCCAGCTGTGTTGTGCATTGAGTGAAAGTGACTACTTCTAACACAACGCGTGGAAAAAACCAGCAGCAGCTATATAGGCGCTGGAATATTGGCGTTGGCTTATGCGCTCTCATGCGGTTGGTTGACTCTCGCTTTGCTATTTTTATCAGTAATAATATGCTTATATACAGAAATACTCCTCCAAAGATGCATGGATAGTAGTCCACGAGTCACAACATACCCGGATGTTGGTGATTTAACTTTTGGAAGGATGGGACGAGTTAGCATCTCGACCTTCATTTATAGTGAGATTTACCAAGTTGTGGTAGCGTTTATTATCATGGGAGAAGATAATTTACACCGATTCTTCCCAATTACATCTTTTCACAGAGTCGAAATAAATTTAAGCGGTGAATATAGATGTTTGTTATATTGTACACATTGGGTGATTATGCCAACTAGTTGGCCGAGAAACCTTGGTTTACTAGCCTATGTTTCATTCGGTGGGGTAGTGTCCGCTTTTGTTCTTATGGCTTGCGTGTGGGCTGGAGCAATAGATCGTGTTGGTTTCCATGGGAGTGGAACAACAATTTGGACATGGAGGGGATTGCCCACAACCGTTAGTTTATGCATGTTTTGTTATTCTGTATATCCCGTGTTTCTAACACTCTACAATTCAATGAGACACAAGAATTAATCAATTCCCTAAGGTTAGAAAAAAAAGGCAGCTATTCTTAATCAATTTTGCTTTTTTTTTTTATATATATATATTTGCTGATAAATTTACATTTGTTTTCCTTCCCCCCATATTTCCTAGGTTCTACAAGTATGTTTTGTTGTTGCCACCACCAACTATGCATCAATGGCCGTGTTCGGGCACCTGATGTTTGGAAAAAATTTGGCTTAAAAAATAACATTAATCTTCCTTCCGAAAAAATTAGTTCCAAGATTGTAATTTGGACCACCTTGGTAAGTCCGATAGCAAAATATATCTTAGTTATCACTCCTATTGCAAATGCAATTGAGGACAAGATTATCGGACAAAATACGGCAACTGGTGAGATTTCGAACGAGGAGTCTAACTTCAGAAGATTCATCATTAGCATCGTCATCAAAACAGTCTCGTTAATCAGTACTGTGGTAATATTGATAATCATCTAAATGGTCAACCTATTTGATTCTTAATTTTTTCAGAAAGAAAAATAATTTTTTTAAAAGAATTTTTGGAGGAATTCTTAGGTGCAATCTTTATGTGCTAGTTAAATATACATATCATCATGTACATGTGGGTAACCACTTTTTGATTCATTTTTTTTTTTTAAAATAAAAAGGGTTTTTGAATTTTATATGCAAAAATAAAAATTTCAAAAAATTTATCTTAAATTGCACCTTAAATTGCACTTAAGGTGCAATTCCAAAAAAATCTTTATGTCCTTACTTTTCCATTTAAAAGAAGTAATAAAATAACTATTTGATTCTTAACTTTTTCAGAAAGAAAAATAAATTTTTTAAAATAATTTTTGGAGGAATTCTTTGGTGCAATATTTATAAGCTAGTTAAATAGACATATTCTTATGTACAATTGCGTAACCACTTTTGATTCATTTTTTTTTTTCAAAAAATAAAGGTTTTTGAATTATATAGGCAAAAATAAAAATTTCAAAAAATCATCTGAAATTGCACCTTAAATTCAAAACAATACTATGAAAGGTACATCTGAGTATGTTGTCAATATGTCTACCATTTACCACACATTATACCTAGTTCAAATATATGATATTTTATATGGTCACTTGAAATTATAAGATTCTACTTTGATGACTTAAACTTAGTTTTGGTTTTTGAATTATGTAGTTACCTTCCCGTTACATTGCCGATGAGTGTGTACTTGGATTTCTCTCTGTCATAAGATCATCTCTGCTTCTTGTAGATAGAAGAGATCGACAAGCTGTGTTTTTTAGGTAAATTGTGAATTCTATTGCCTCCTTCATCAAAATTCACTTACTTACACTCGTTTACATAAGCAGTGTTTTCTGTACTAGTCACTGTTTTCGTTTGTAACTTTGTTTCAAAAAAGATTCTCGAGTCATGGTTTCTTTCTGTAAATTTGTATCACACATCGATGATTACATTTTGCATTACCGTCCAAGTTCTAAAAGTTTACCAATAGTCAAGCGGTCACTATTTAAACTGATCCTTTTACGCAACACGGCAAAATTTTCCATTTTTCCCTACTACGGCGGCATTATTTGGAACCCTTTACCAATGATATATTTCAAGTAACGAGTTCAAAATTCAAGCCACCGACGTCGCCGGTTTCGACTCCCGCCGTTACTTGGAACTTCATCGATCTTGCCCCAATTCAGTCTCAAATTGCAAGAAACCAAAACAAATCAGCTCTCATCTTATTTTGATCCAAAACCCAGAGTATTTGCTCCATGTTGGCCTAATATATAGTAATCATATCAACAAATGACGGCGAGGCGCGCAACCAAAAGGACAAAGGGATTTTAGTTTCTAGCTGAACATCGGGAGTAAAAGTAACTCACACCAAAGAAAAAATCGTAGCATACTCAAAAGTGATGTTTAAAAGGCATTGAAAATTTGGGATGATGAAATATGATATGGGCGGACCTTAATCAAAATGAGGTGAAAATTCAAGATTTAGAAGATACTATCGATAAAATAGAAAACTTGTGTGATATTATCTTATTATTAATGAAACAAAAATAGTACTCCCTCCGTCCCAAAATTATTGACCAGTTTAAGATTTCACTTTTAGTACAATTTGAACTAAAAATGAAAACTCAAACTGGACAATACTTATGGGAAGGAGAGAGTACTCTTTTTATTTCTATACTAGATCAAAATATTAAATTTAAACTATAAAAAATGTGATTTATTTCATGATTAATGCCAGACCGAGAAAAAAAATTAGAGAGAGCATAAGATAATTATTGCATTTTGTTGCGTTTTTATACTTCCATGAAAATTGGGCAATGGAGGGAAAACAGAAGAGTAAAAAGAGAGGGAAAATTAGTCCAAAAAGCGGCGCCTCCACGTCTCCGGAATCAATGGCCAAGATTGGCGGAAAGTTGTGCTGCTTGTGCAAAAAGATGCCACGTTTCCTCATCACCACCGTTAAAACCCCCCTAGTTAACGGACTTTCATATCAATCCACCGAAATTCTTCCCTACCTTTAACGCGGATACCATCTTTTTTCTTACTGTCAGCATTTTTTTTTTCCCTTTATATCGAGTCCATATATTTGGTTGATTTTTCTTTCTTTTATGGAATACACTAAAAAAAATTTATATTTTTATAAATAATGGACTAGAGTTCACAACAAAAAAGAAAAAGTAAAAAATCACTCGTTCCGTCTCAGAAAAATATTCTACACTGAATTTTTTAAATTTATAATTTAATGTGGACTAGAATTTTGAAACAGAGGGAATAATAGGTATGAGATACAAAATAGGAGTATCATTTTTGTTATTTTGGCAATTAATTATAGTTCCCCATTTCTCTAGCGACTTTATCACCCTACTCTCCCCTTTCAAGCCCTTTGAAAACCTTCTTCTCCTAAATAAAACCACCATTTTTGGAGCTTTTTTTAAAACAACAAGAAGCAAATATGGTTTGTACCTTATTTACCTTGAAGAAGAAATATCAAGTCAATTAGTATCATTTGTTTTCCCTTTACGTTATTGGCTTATTCTGCTTTGTGTGTGTGTGTGTGTGTTTTGAAGGTTGGTTGCAAGATAAGTTTGAAGAAAAGAAGACGACCCGAGTGGCTGAATTCGCTGTTGAGTATCAAATTCTTTGGTTCATGTGGAGATCATCTCAACCTGCGGAAGAATGAGAAGAACATCTTTTGTGTGGATTGTAACTTTGCGTTTTGCAAGCATTGCATGGAGGATTCAGAGTCTTGTTCATCCCCTCATCGCCTTCATGAATGGTTCCAGATTTGCAAATATGTCTATCATGATGTTATTCGCCTTCAAGACATCCAGAAGCATCTCGACTGTTCCAAAATTCAAGTTAGTTGTTTTTGTTTTTGTTTTTTTTTTTTTTTTTTTTTTTTGCAATTTGTGTTGATTATTAGTATTATGTGCTGGGATATGTTTTGGTATGTTTTTTATACTTATCATAGTTGTCAAAATTTGACGTTTAATAGGTGTGATCATGACGTTCTATATTTTTTGGTAATTGGATAATTAACATAATGGTTTTTGTTATTGATCCCTTGAGCCTTCTTGTTATCTCTCGAGCTTATCTTAGCTGTGCTACTTATCTTTATGGTAACAATTTTTTTTTTCCTTTTATCATTTTCGTTTATGGATTATAGTAAATTCGTTATCATTGATCTCATGAGAAGGGATAATTCAATCATGTTTCTATTTAGTTTTTGAAAAACAAGATTTTTTTATCAGGAAATCAAGAGACTGTTAAACTCGGCAATGTAAAAGTAATTAAATCTATACAAATTCATTGTAATTGCAAAACTATCATACTTGGTTGTATTCTGAGGATTAAATTGATTTGTGTTCTATGGCAAAAATTATACATGTTGGTCCAGACATACAAGATCAATGGAGAAAAAGCTATACATTTGCATCCAAGACCACCTTCTAAAGACATCAAAATTGCTAAATTGGTGAAGGCCGGTGCTTTATGTGAAGCTTGCGGAAGGCATCTTCAAGACTTGCCTAATTGCTTTTGTTCCATCCAATGCAAAGTAACGTTTTTTCGAACCCTCAAGTTTCATATTCTCGAGTTTAGAATAACTCTTGAAAGATACAATCATTTCTTCTTCTAGTTTTTTTTTTTTTTTTTTTGGTAAATAATGATACAATCATTTCTTGTTTACGAGAAATCTTATATTTTTTTCTGCAGGTTTCAATAATGGAGATATTTAAAGAGCAAGATAATAGTGAAAAGATTACGTTTCCTAACTCCAAATTCGATGACACATCTTTAAAGCACGATGCAGAAAACGAAGACCAGCCAATTATTTCTAAATCTCAGTCTTCTATATGGTGGAAATCTACACTAAAACCCAATAAGGAATTGCACTTGCACAAGAGGAAAGGTGTTCCTCATAGAGCTCCCTTACTCTAAAGTACTGGTGGCATTAAACTACTATTGATACACAAAATCTTTTGACTTCAAAAAGGAATATCGAAAGCAGAATATACATTTATATATATATATAGGAAATTGGTTTCGAATTGAATTACCTAGTCGTCCTTGTACATGTATAGACAATGTACTCAATAATGCTAATTTATTTATCATTTACTATCCTTTTTAACGAGATTGTTCTCACAGACTTTTTGTATCCATAAGACGGACACTTATGGATAATAGCATGTTGTGACACAAAAAGTGTACTATAATTGAAACAAAAGCCTTGGTGGTTACAAGTGCACATCCTCCTCAAATGACAATGCAACTTTTTTTATACATAGTTTTCTAACATCAACTCAATTAATTATGCTGGAAGTCCCAATTATTTAGTCCCAACCAACAAAAGGAATGAAACAAAAAGTACACAACTTAAAAGCCATCATTCTTATTAGTCACTTAATCATGTTGAGCACATGGTTGCATTGCATTAGCACAAAAGCTAAGAAGAAAACAAAAAATCATAGTCATGGTCTTTATCCAAATGGCCTCTTAATTTAATCCCAAACCCCCCTCTTATAAGTGATCCCCCCACTCTTATGAATCTTCTGAGGAACCAAATTGTAAGGAGGGGGAAAAAAGAAATGGATTACTCATACCTTAAATTAGGGCTACTCATCTCCACATTTCTGGTCTCATTTTTTCCTTCAACATTCTCTCAATTAGCCAGAAACAGTACTCTTCTTCTGGTAGATACAGATGGTCATCAGCTCCAAACAAACACAAAATATTACATATTTCCTGCCCAAAGTGGAAATGGAGGCGGGCTAGCCTTATCAGCCAAAGATTTCCCCTGCCAATATTATGTCATGCAAGAAAATCTTGAAGACTCAAATGGGCTTCCACTGAAGTTCTTTCCTGCTGATACCAAACAGCAGATCATCAGCTTGTCTAGTGATGTTAATATAGCTTTCAATGCAGCAACCATTTGTGTTCAGTCAACAGTTTGGAGAATTGGAGGCGGCGGCAATAATGGTGATAATAATGGGGGAAGAAGGTATGTGATCAGTACTGGTGTTGCAGGTCATCCTGGTGCTGATACTCTGAACAATTGGTTCAGATTTGAAAAAATTGGGATTGGGTACAAGATTGTTTTTTGTCCTAGTGTCTGTAACACTTGCAAGTTTGTATGTGGAGATGTTGGTGTGTTTAGTGAAAATGGGAAAAGGTGGCTTGGGTTGACTGATGATGGACCTTTTGTTTTTGTATTCAAGAAGGCCTAATAAATGAATGGTTGGAGCTATTAACTAGTACTTTTGTGCTTTCCATTTCATGTACTAGTATGCAAAAGAGAAAAAAAAAGGAGTAATTTTTCTATTGAACTGCGTTTTGGGGAATGAAGGGAGCTAGTATGTAGTAATTAGCATAGGCAGCAATCAGAATTCTGTTGGCAGTTCAATGTGGTTTCATTACATTACATAAAATCTGTTGATGAAAACTTCCAGGTACTTTTGTTCAAAGAGCAGCAAGTGGTATTGTATAATGAGAGCATCTCCAGTGTTGCATTTTTTTCTACACATCAAATAACCAGATTTGTTGTTTTGCTGCATGTTATAGTATTATCTTCTCCAATTCACAGCACCAATTTTACATCAAAATGGAATATTTCTTTGTATATTCTCTTTTCTTATCATTCTTTACTAATTTATAAAAGAACCCAATTAATTATCAGTAGTATTATACATTAACCAAAATATTTTTAATTATTTTGAAATTACATATCCTACTATATTAGAAATAAAAACCCCCTTTCAAACACCTCATATTATTGCTACGTGACACGAGAAAAGTACTAAATTACCCTTTTGTCTAACCATAACTAAATTACTATATCCCCCTTTGCACTTTACGTGACACGTTTTTTTTTTCCTTTATATTTCATTCAATTAGAGTGATTTTCTTTTCTTAATTATGGAGTCTAAATTAAATTGATCAATTAGGTTTTTGTTACAAAGTGTCAATTTTGTTTTAAGCGTATACCTTTCGGATGAAACTTATTACAAATCTATTAAAAATCTCCAAAATTAAGTATAGATTGGGCCAATGCGCGACCAGACATCACTAGTCTATTCAATATGAAAATAATTATTTAAATGTCAATTGAGAAATAAAATATAATATTTGTGTTAGTCGATTAATAACTAAAAATAAAACTCATATATTCTCGCAAATTAATAAAATACATTATTAAATTAAAACAAACGCAAAATAAATATTACATTTAAAATAATAAGCTAACAACATCAATAGGATTATCCATATAATACGTCACTAATCTTCCTCTAAACCACCAGTTTGTTCCCATAAATGATCTATCAAGACGTCTCTTAATTTAAAATGAGCATCTCCGTCTCTAAATTTTCGCTACCGAACAATGAATTGTTGGAACTGTTCATGCTCATTTGGTACCCTTTCTACTATCGATTGTGGTGTTTCTCGTTCAACTGTCATTGGTCCATTGAGATCATTTTCATCCACCACAATCATGTAGTGCATAATAATGCAAGCTATCATAATATCATGCAACACTTCCTTGTCCCATAACGAGCCGATCCTTTTATAATTTTAAACCTTGATCGCAAAACTCCAAAGGCATGTTCTATATCTTTCTAGAAGCCTCATTCTTGGTTTTAAAATACTTATGTTTTCGGAGTTTAGGATTTTGGATTGACTGCACTATCGTTGCCCATTTCGAGTAAATACCATCAACTAAATAATATCTCATATTATATTCTTCTCCTTTAAGAACATAATTAGCCGGAGGTGCAATACCTTGAGTAAGATTATAAAACAAATGTGATGCTTCCAAAACATTAATATAATTATTTGTACCTGACATACCAAAATAAGCGTGTCATATCCATAGGTTATAGTTAGCTATAGCCTCAAGAATGATTGTTGGTTTACCAGAACGCCCTGTATATTGTCCGGCTCAACCGTTGGGGCAATTTTTTCACTCCCAATGCATGCAATCTAGACTTCCCAACATGCCGGGAAAATCACGTTGTTCACCAATATATAGTAGTCTAGCAATGTCATCTACAGTTAGTGTTCTAAGGTACCGTTCTGCAAAAATCTATCCATGACAAAATTTCTTACAGCAATCAATAGCAGTTGACTCACCCATTTGAAGATACTCATCTAAACCATCTACAGAATTGTCATATGCTATCATTCGGATGGCAGCAATTGCTTTCTATAGAGGTGAAAACCCCAATCTACCAAAAGCATCCCTTCGATGCTCAAATAAATGATCGTGATTTTGAAGAGCATCAACAGTGAGGAGGAATAAATTTCGAGACATACGAAAACGTCATCAAAATTGTTGATCAGTGGATTTTCAGAGAAATAATCGCCAACCAAACTCAAAAGTGCACCCTCACAGTCACGGTTGATCACGATTCGTCCCGGAATTGACCCGTCTCGAGTAACCTGGTTCTGTTGACGATTGAACTGCAAATTCATTGCTATTTTATTTCTCTGCATAACATGACGTATGATAGATTGTCGTTGTTGTTGTAGTTAAACTAAAACTTCATCATCACTCGATGATGATGATGATGTTGACGATTGATGGTCTTCAATATTTGAAGAACCTTCCTCGTAATAACTCATTGTTTTGTCTTAGAAAAAGAGAGAAAGAAATTATCAATGGATTGAGGAAAAGAAACTTTTGATGCTTGATACGTTTTATTGACATGTTATTTATAGAGATTTTTTAAGCGATTGGGATAAAGAAAAATCCATTTAACGGTTCAAATAAAATTAAAATATAATCCAACGGCGTATATAATGATATGGAAATCATATACTATCTTTATGCATTTTGGGTTCTTCCGTTGTAATATAGCTAGCCGGTTTCAGGGATATAGCAAGCTTGTTGCTGCTATAACTATTCTTTCTGTGATCGAGCTAGCTGGTTTTTGAGATATAGCTAGCTTGTTATTGCTATAAGCATTCTATTTGTAAACCGGCTAGCCGGATTGTGGGATATACCTAGCTTGTTGTTGCTATAACCATTCTGTCTGTGATTCAGCTTGCTAGTTTTTGAGATATAGCTAGCTTGTTATTGCTATAAGCATTATGTTTGTAAACCAGCTAGCTGGATTGTGGGATATAGCTAGTTTTTTGCTGCTATAACCATTTTGTCTGTGATTCAGCTAGTTGTTTTTTGAGATATAGCTAGCTTGTTATTGCTATAAGAATTCTGTTTGTAAACCAGCTAGCTGGATTGTGGGATATAGCTAGCTTGTTGCTGCTATAACCATTCTGTACATTCTGTATGTGATTCAGCTAGCTGGTTTTTGAGATATAGCTAGCTGCTTCCAGTTTGAGCTAGCCGGTTTCTCTAATATGGCTAGTAACTTTCACTTTCAGCAAGCCGGTTAGTGAAAAAGAGCTAGCATGTTTCAGAAAACTTAGAGCAAAGAGACAAAGCATCATTGTCAATGCATGATTTTAAAAAAAAAAAAAGAAAGAAAAAGACAAAGGTAACGGAACTTTTTTCAATGTAGAAGATTAGGTTATCCAATTGTGGATAAAAAAAAATTTCAAATAGACGGTTTAGATGGTAAAGAAATATAATGAACGGTGGAGATAATAATAATAAATAGTACATTATCTAATTTTGTGATCAACTTTTTCCATGACTTTTTCTATAAATAGTTACATAGCAAACCTTAATTGAACTACATAAGCTTTTCTTTTTCTGAATCAATATTTCTCTTTTGGCCAAAAAAAAAAAAAACTTTCAATGTCTAAATTTGTCTCCCGAACAAGTGGATACACTATCAATGAGGATATAGCCCTCGTTGAGGTTTACATTCATGTTACACAAAATCCAACTATTAGGAGGTATCAATCACTTGATGATTTTTGGAAGAGAGTTTTAGAGGAATACAATAAAGAAACAAATCCCAAAAACTGGGATCAACGCAATGAAAGATCTTTGATGCGAAGATGAAAAAAAATAGAGAAAGCAGTTAAGAAATTACGTGGATTGTATAAACAAGTGGAGGGTATGCATCCTAATGGTGCAAATGTAGAAGATTATGTAAGTAACTAAATTTTTAATTTTTATATATCTTTTACTAATGGATTTACAATTGTATAAATATTATTTCAGCAAGATCGTGCCAAAAAGTTATTTGTACTTGAGAAAAGATTTGAAAAAGGGTTCAAATACAACCACGTCTAGAATTTGCTCAAAGATTTTACAAAATATAGCAAAGGAGTCACACAAGCGCGATACATGTTCAACCAAACCTCCAGCTTTGTATCATCTACTGATAATCTAACACCTGAAACCCAGGTACCTGAGTATCCTATCCTATCTAACTTTCATTCTCAAATGGTGATTGAAAGCGATACTAGCGGATCTTTTTCCAAAAGGCCTATTGGTTAAAAAAAGCCAAAACTAAGAGAAAAATGGATGAACAATCTACTCGTGAGATGAAAATGTTTAGAGAAGATAATCAGCAACTTCTTGATGTTTTAAAAAAGACAAGTGAAGACCAAAAAGAGTTAGGGCTTGTTTGATAACAAAACTTAATGCTTAAAATTATTCTATTAAGCACTTTTTCATTTCAGCATGTTTGATAACAAAAAATAAATCTCTTAATCAATTAAGTGGTGCTAAAACTACAGTACAAAATTTTAACAATAAAAGTTAGCTTATTGCTTATTCCGTAACTGCTTCATGAATTCAGAATTTCTAATTCAGTATTAAACATTCAGAATTAAGCAATAATTTTTATCAAACAGGCCCTTAATAGCACTATATAAGCAAAAGTTGGCTTTGAAGCAATGAAAAGAAGAAAACAGAATTATGGCACAAGATATGACCAAAATTACCGATCCTGTTTATCGTACTTTTATTATTGGAAATAGAGAACGAATTATTCAACAATGATTGGCGCAAATGCAACCACCACCAAATACTATTTTAAGCGATCTATTCAACAATGACGGAGATGCAACTAATCTCGAGGATGATTTTCCGTAGTTTATTCGTGTTTATCAGTTAAGCATTTTATTTAATTTCTTAATAAGTGTTCTTATGTATGTTTTGGTTAGTTGAATGTTGTTTTACTTTTTGATAATTTGGTTGTTCTAATATTGATGTATTTGTGTTATATTTACTTTAATGTTAATTTAGTTTGTACTAATATTGATGTATTTGTGTTTTATTTACCTTAATGTTATTTAATTACAAAAATATTTATTTGTATTCCAATATCACATCATTTATTATTTAATCATAATAATTGAATAATAATATGGAGCTCTTGAATAATACAAATAAATGAAACTAGATTATTCATTAAGTTTCTACAACTTTAAAATGTATCAATAATGACAAAATATATAATTATAGGGGCTTAAATTCAATTTAAAAGTAACAACAACAAAAAAAAATAAAAAAAGAGGCGGGGGAGAAATAGCATTTGCTGCTGCTACAGCAGCTGCAACATTTTTTTTTTTTTTACATACGGTGGGAGCTATTGCTCATAAACAAAAGTCCGTGCCTCTAGTAAGAGGTGGACAGTCAGCAGCTAGGATGGAGCTCGGGGAGTTTGCTAAAATATGTAACTCCGGCTGTAATGATAGACCTAATTTAGTTAGAGAATCCGCAACTTTATTTTCGTTGCATTTCACAAAAGAGATATCTATTTCCCATTGATTATCTAGCAAAGCTTTAATTCAAAGTAGAACATTGCTAGAAACATAAAGTGGTTCCCTCAAGATTATGTTATTTACCGCATTTGAACTGTCGAGCTGCAGCTGAATTTTTCGAACATTGCAGCTACATTGCAGCTGCAGCATTTTGCTGCTCAAAATTGCTGTTTTGCTGCGCCTTGGAGGCCCAATACACAGCAAAAACGTGCAGCAAAGATGCAGAGTTTCATACAAACTCCTTTGGCCCCACTTTTTACTACAGAAAATGATATAAACACCATAAATCGGCATCTACGCCGACGCAAACAAACAGGAAAACAAGCTGTAATCGTTTGAAGTAAATATACTTCTGATAATCCATAGCTAATAGCTATTATGTAATTAATTGATAATCATCTTTTCTTTGTTTCTAAATTAACACCTCAAGGAAATATTTATTAATTAACCCAATTAATTAATGATTTTTTTATTTTTTTTATATACCCAAGCCGAAACATACAACCTCGGCAGAACCCATTTAATTAATCATTGAACTGTAGTTTGGTGGGGTGCGCCAGGCCCGAGCTGTAGTGCAACGCAAGGGCGACGCTTGAAATACCAGGCAGCAAGCTACCTTTATGGGCCCTCCCCCTAAAAAAATTCATTTAATATCATGTAGGCCGATGGCCCACGTATCAGATATTAAACTGATAAGAACAGATACTACACTTGATCTTAGCCAAAAGGCCGAGAAAGGTATGAGGATAACCAAGCAGGAGCTGCGATTTAATACCCATTTTTGCCGCCTTTCCCCTCACTGACTGGCGATGTGGGACTACAACCACAAGCCGCCCCGAACTTGCTTACTTCTTTCCTTCAACAATAATTGAGCATGTTGTTTTGTTATCTTACTTTTTTTAACCAGAGTCCCGGTTTATATTTCCCAATTCATTGATTGTAACCTAGCTTATGAGGTTGCAGAAGATTATAGACAAGTCACAAGCGATTTAACCCTTGTGAATGGCTCCTTTTAAGCCCATCCTTGACAATTCGCCCGCTCCCATCCTTTTCATACATTTATCACTTACATTACCAGCGTTAAGATTTGTACAAAAGTGTGGAAATGAGAACTTGGATTCACGACTGGAAGCATAATTATTCAAAAATGAATGTTGGAAGGAACAAACTAATGCAGTCAAAGAGAGAGAGAACACCAACAAACTGAATAGAAATCTCTTTTATACTCCAAACAGAGACAACTGATGGAGTAGCTGACATCAGTTGTCAACACCTACCAAACAAAAAATCAGGGAAAAGAATGGAAAAAGGATTTATATGGTTATAAAACAAACCATTGGTGAAAGGATTTAGGGCTTGGAGGGGAGAAAGACGTGGTGGATTTAGGGTTTTAGTCAGGAACTTGTTTGTTCAAATAGCCGCAAGTGCATCATGGAATCAGAGAGAGGATGGAATAGTAGAAGTGGAAGATAGTAAACCACGAGATTGGTCCAAAAGACAACAATCTAAAAGAGGTGTATCATGGGTTTCATGTAAATTGTTCGCTCATTCTTGTACTTTTATGCAATTCTTATCCAAAACATATTGCATTTAAAAATTAAAAATTATTAAAAAAAAAAAAAAAAAAGGAATAAGCAGACATAGCTGATCCCACTACCTAGTTACAACAAAAGATCCATACAATTGAGCTGGACCAGAACTGCATTTGATCACTCGTACATATAGTAAGGAGTAAGGACAACATCCATCTTCTTCAGCAACCTTACTTATAGGCAGCCCAAATAACTCGCAATGGAGGCAATGCTTACTTGGTCGCCTGAGCAATCATATTACTGATAGAACTTGCCTGCTCTTTTGCAGCCTCCACCAAAGAATCCTGCATGTCAATTATAGTTGGAATTTTAATTCACAATACTCATGAAATAAATGGTTGAAAGAATCAACACGTGCGGAATGCCGCAATACCTGGGCAGCTATTAGGCGTGCAACAGTTTTCTTGCTAGATTCTTGGAGTTCACCAGCAATTAATAATTCATCCAATATGTAATAAGCCTGCCCAATTAGCTCCATCAGTAACTTTGTGACAGGCAAGAGATAAGAACTCAAGAGCAGCAACAAATGACAAATGTTGCTAAAGGTAATGGATTCAGTGGCATCCGATGATGTAGAATATATACTTCTTTTCTAAAGTACGTAGTAAAATTATACCTTGTGGAAATTGAAGATCAAATCCAGCTCACAAACCTACGCCAACCAAAGATACCAAAAACACGAAATATTTAGAAAGAGATCAAGAAATACATATCTTTATTTTTAGTAGATGCAACAAGCCAGTATACTGAACGAATTACACACTCAAGAGGTCCTGTTTGAAGGAGATGCCAACAATGAAAAGAAAACATAATGGAAAGAAAATGAATATAAGGGAAAAGGGAAAAGATAGAAGAACAGAAAAATCAGAAAAGAATGAACAAGCAAGAAAACACACTTTCTCCTTTTACCCATCTTCTCCCCTCTCCCTCTCCCTCTTCCTCTTCCAATCTCTCCCTTCCTCTCACACTTTTCCTCACATACCCACACTTACACACACTTACACATACTCAAATGCATGCCTTTTCCGAGATAAGAGGCATATGCAAAGAATCATTTGTAGAAATGCTTATGAATGATACTTTCAAGCATTAAATCTCCCAATATAATTTGGCCACATCTTAGATGAATATAGTGTAAATGGTTTCATAGATAAAAAGGAGCAAAAAAAGGAAATAAATAAACCGTGAAAACACTTACACTTCCAAAATAGCGATCTAGAATCTCAACGAAATGATGAATAATTTCAAGAATCTCCAACTCATTGTCATCCTGATCGATGCACATGCAGAAATACAGGCTGGCATATCTGCAGGACTCAACAAACATCGATCAAAAGTTGTTTATTCAAACACAACTAGAAGTGAAAGAAAGTGATCAACTCTAGAGAATCACAAACGCCACTGCAAAATCTGGTACACTACCTTTTGTATACAACTTTATAACCTCTCCACTCTACAAAGTTGCAAAGCTTGGGGCCACGAGTGAGAATCGAACCACTAAGTTCTCGGATTACCTAGAATAGTGAAAAGAAACTGAACTTAGATTGATGAATTCACAGCGCAAAGTATTTGCATATGAATATGTATATTTTCATTCTAAAAAGGATGGTAGTAGATTAAAAGCCCCAGCTTCCAACTCACAGAGCCGAAGGTTAATACTAGCATAAACAGAAGTTTACAAAAAGATTAGTTTATTTCTCATACATTGAAAAAGATACAAAAAGGACAACCTTAGTTCTTTCCTTCTGAGAGTAGGGTGAATACCATTTGGTCAATCTCACTTTTCCTTGCCGGCTTATCAGAAGAACAAAGTGAATCTAAAGAAAAAAGAAGCCGAAGTAAGTAGATGTCTGATTCCCAACAGGTAGATAAAATAAACCACAAAAATACACATGTAACAGTCCTCAAATTTCAAATTAAGAAAGTAGCCTTTGTATATATGATGATGACCAATGGCCAGAGGAAATTACTTGGAACTAAGTGATGAAAAGAACTCAAATGTAATAAATAAACGGTACAACCATTTAATTCTTCACAGATGTCAAAAACCAAAGAAAAATAAGAGTAACCTATCCACACAGCTCACAAATAAAGAAATAGGAAAATATAAAAGGCAGCAACACCTACTTCTTCAGACTCTGGCATTCTACAAACATCATAAACACAAAAAAAAAAAAAAAGAAAGAAAGGAAACAAACTTCCAAGATGAACCTATGCAATATGTTAGTTCCTAACAATTATACATCAAATCCACAAAAATGACTCTACTTCCCCATGGCGAGAATTTTCAAAATAACTCGTGCGTTCCATGGAGGAGACTGATAGCAAGATAATTACAATTTTGTAAACATGGAATGATAGCATATCCTAGTGAATGGGAAATATTTCAATCGATTAAAAGGTGGCATCAAATAACAAGCAAAAAATCTTCATTTAGTCACTTCTCATATTTGGGACAAAGTGTATGCTTGGCGACCCACATCCTAGACAAAGTTCCACTGCATTCAAACTCAAATTCCTATAATATTAGCAATATAACCAGATATAACCAGTCACTCCTCATGTACCCAACACTGCCAACCCACCAAAGATCAGGAGATCTACTAAAAAAGCACGATCAACAGTCCTAATCACTGTCTCTAATTGTATCTTTTCAAAATTCTAAAGAAACCTAGACATTTTTCAGCTCCCTTCACGAAATCTAATGAATGAATTGAAGTTCAAGGCTCCCACCTCAACGTGTCTTATGCTACAAACGACAAGGTCAATCAGTACACAAAATTTCATATCCACCAGGTCTTCCAAACAAAAACATTCACAAATTTCAAAAAAATCAGTTTGCACATAAACAAATAAGCCTCCAACGTGTATACAGATCATTTGGATCACAATTTACTATTTTGAGACGACTAGAACAAAACAGTGGTAATTAAACAAGAACGAAGGAATGCATAGTACAGATCCACATTGAGTAACAATTGTCAGCTCAGTTTCTCTAACATTATTGCTTCATGAATTATTACGTCATAAAAGACAACAACACAAAGATCGTGACAGAATTGAATCCAAAATCAGATCTTCATGAAATGCTAACGAAGGAGAAGCCTGAATTCGTAAGATATGATCAACTATCGAAACAATAAAATGAAATCAATAAGCAAATACACCAAAATAATAACATATCAGAAAGTCTGCCCTAAGATTTAACTTTTGAGCGATTGAATTGCGGAAGTAACAATAGTTACCATGCTTGTTTCGCGATCACGGAGGAGGTAAGGATTTGATTTACGAAGTGAATATTCCAAATTGAGCTTGGTCTGCCAAGTCGGTGACCGTCGCAGACGCGGTGGCGGGATGGTGACGGTGGTGGTGGTCTAAACGTGAACGGTGAAACGGGGAAACTCACAGAGATGAAAAAAGTAGCTCCCAAATCCAAACCTTTTTTACACGGAGTCTTGGCCTTGAATAAAACTTTTGGGCAAATATGAAATATCAAAAACTGTTAGCCAATTTCTTAGATTACATTCCTTCTCCCCCAATAATTTCGTTAAAGTTATTTTCGATGCATTTTCTTTTCCTTTTCATTTTCTTATTTTTCCAATGTTATTCTTTTGTGTGTTTTTGAAATCGGAAAATTGTATTTGGAAATTCGTTAATTGAGATATTCCCTCTGATCCTTATAATAGGACATTTTGATTTATCATGGATTTCACCTAATATATTTTTTCAATAGAAACAAAACTTTAAAAATATTTACTAATAATTATGAGAACACAATGAATATAAAAATATAGTTTTAAGGTTTTTTTCAATCAACATAACATGTTAAGATAAATCAAAATATCTTCTAATAAAAATCGGAGGGAGTATTTTCAATAGTCAACATTTTTAGGAAAAATTCTTATTAAAGGCGTAATATCTTTCATTATTCTTGATGAGGGGGTGAAACTTTTAAAATTCCGATTAAGGGCATAATCAATGTTTAAAACACTAAATGTACTTTTGATGACATTTTTAACCTTTCATTAATGGCTTACATTATATGACTATTGACTACATCCTTTTGGAATGAAAGATATATATTAATTTCATTGATTATTTTTTGAAATTGACACCCACATAAACTATCCTTAAAATTTTTTGACTTTTTGAATTTTAAAAATTCCATGATATGAGAAAAATTAAATTTATGACATCTCTTCGTTATCGAACTAAATCTTTACATTTCTACGCATAAAGCACTAAAGAAAATTGATTTTTTCCAAAAAAAAAAAAAAGATAAGTGTAAGATTTTGCGTGGAACGCATAATCAACAATTGCTGGGGAAATTTAGATTAAATTTTTAATTGAAGCATAAAACTTAAGAAGGCACATACTGACCTCTTTTTTTTCGCAGGGGTGTTTATGAAGGCACATATGCTGAGATTTCTGCTTCTTCTTCATTTTTTTTTTCTGAAATTACTGATTTTAAAATTACGGTGATTCATGTAACTCAAAAGTAATATGGTTTGTGTTTTTGAGTTCGGAAAATTATTTTAATAAAAAATTAGAAAAAGAATCCAACATAATAGGTACAATATTTTTGTCAAGAAAATGAATAAAAAATATCTCATTACTAATTACATCAAAAGGGCAGAGATGTCAAGAAACCATATTTACAGTAGTTTGACATTTATTACGTCCTAGGAATTTTGAAAATTTTACATCCTCATTTGAAATTATTAAAGTTACAACGCCCTTAATAAGAATTTTCTCATATTTTTATTTGTTTGGACATGCTCACTCTGTCCCAAAAAATAGTCCATATAAAAAGTTGAATGAGTTTATGAATATTGAATTTATCACAAAATGATAAATCCACAAATTGGAAAGGAAATGTAAAAATTCCCTTTCTTCATCAATTACATATCCTACTCCAAATAAATAAAAACAAATTAAAGAAGCTTTTTAACACTTCCAGATTTTGCAGTATTTTTTTATATTCAACTTTAATGCTTTAAAGAAATCCAAATTTCTCTTTTCTCTTTCTAAATGTACATAGTTTCAATGGTAAATTATAATATCACAAACTTTTTTGGTTGAAATATTCATACTTCAAACAGTTGTTTTCGTTATACTACTCCATATTTCTAATATTGACCGTTAAATTTTATCTTATTATTATTTTTTTTTACCAAGATCTCATATTGTTCACAAAACATCATTTTCTGAATCATATTGTAAAAATATTGTACGATAACTCAATGGTGGGAAAAGAACAGGATTATGCATCCTCATCAGAAAGTAAAAGTCAAATCTCCTCAAGTTTACCGTGATGCCCGAAGTTCCCGCTTACGGTTTCCTCTGGCATAACCGAATAATTAACAAAACTATTCCCTTTCACTCCAAAGAAATTTAGAGAATGAAAAATAGAAACACTTGATTGATCCTTCCCCCTTTGTTCTTCATTTAGCACCTCAAAAGGGACCTCCTTACCTAATCCCGATTTCTTCTGTTCGTCTTGTGTGTTTTTTTTCCTGTCAATTTTGATGTAAGCATCGTTTGTCAATGTCATTTTTCCTTCAATTATGTAATTTCTTGATGGTAGTCTGGCGTTTGGGGAGAGATTCTTGGGGCTTTGCAGCTTCTTCTTTTTAATTATCATAATTGAATTTCGGGATGAAATGTTGTTGTCCAAAAAATTTGGCATATTATGGGATAAGATGCATTAAAATGTATAAGATCTGATTCAGCAATAAGATGTTCTTTTGGACGTCCATTTCGCCACCATTTGTTATGCTTACACAGTTTCTCCTTAGGGATTCTGGCTTTGTTGCACTATTTTCAATGAACAAATCAATGCATTGAAGAAGAATTAGTCAGATTTGCTACGTTATGAAATACAAGCCTATTTACTGCTAAGTGTTAACAAGATTCGTTTGTTGAAATGGAGGCAATCCTTTTCTTTCTGCTGTCTGATTATGACTGCATTGTGTAGGTTCTGATGGATCATACTAACGTCAATCCTGGAGAAACTAACGAGTCGATTAGCAATCCTCAGTTGGCCATCAATGTTCGAGATGTAAATTAATCTCATTCATATAGTATCAAATCGAGAAATTATGAGTTTAGTATGACAAATCATTTTCTTGAGCTGAAGTTAGACTTATGCTACTCACTCAACCTCGTTTTCTTTACAGGTCAGGACAGTTAAAGTGAGCAATGTCTCACTCTCTGCAACTGAAAAAGATGTTCAGGAGTTCTTCTCTTTCTCAGGCGATGTCCAATATGTTGAGATGCAAAGGTATCTGATCTGTGATTTCCCTGTAGATGGCTAACTAGCAACTAATTACTTAGTATTTATTTTGGAGTGTTTTGGTTGATATGGCACTTAAATTTCAGAGAAACCGACACTACTCAGCTTGCTTATGTAACCTTCAAGGAATTACACGGTGCAGATACTGCAATGCTTCTGACAGTAAGTATCTCCAGTTGGATTTGATAGATTCAACCGAAATGGAGTACATGTTGATTTTATTATGGTCTATACGTTCAGGGAGCTACCATCGGAGATCTTGTCATTTCTATTGTGCCGGTTGAAAATTATGTACTTCCTTCCAATGCAGTGCTGCTAAACTCGGTAAAGATTCTGTTATCTAAATACATGTTGTCACTTTCTTTTAGACTGTTTGTAAAAGTACTTCAGAGGTTGAGAATGACAGAACTGAATGATTATCAGCCTACATGAATTCATATCATATATAGTCTGGCTGAGGTACTAGATTTTTGCCAATGAGAATCAGCCATTATGTTGAAACCCAACTTTTGAATGGAATCCTTTCAACAGGAAGAAAAACCAGCTTCCATGGCTGAATCTGCTGTGAAGAAGGCAGAAGATGTTGTGAGTACCATGCTCTCCAAGGGATTTAGCTTGGGGAAGGATGCTTTGGACAAAGCAAAAGCTTTTGACGAGAAGCATAATTTGACAACAAGCGCCTCGGCTACTGTCGCTCTGGTTGATAGTAAGTTGGGTATAAAAGAGAAGTTAAGCATGGGAACAGCTGTTGTCAATGAAAAGGTCAAGGAGATGGATCAACGTTTCCAAGTTTCTGAGAAGACAAAAAGCGCCTTTGCGGTCGCTGAACAGAAAGCAACTGTTGCAGGTAGCGCAATCATGAGTAACCGTTACGTGTTGACAGGTGCCTCCTGGGTTACAAATGCATATAATAAAGTTGCCAAGGCGGCTGAGGATGTCAGCCAGATGACAAAGGAGAAGGTTGAAAAAGCTGAAGAGGAAAAACGGGAACATTCACCGAGGGAGAATAAGGCAATGGTGAACGAACATGCACAGATTCATCTTGATGAGACCCCAGTAGGAGAAGTTCCTGCACATCCTTCTAACATGGCTGATAACACTAAGAATGTATGAAGGAAAAACGTTTGGAGTTCCTACATCAATATAACTTCTAGTTCTATTGATGTTTGTCCTGTAGGCGCAGTTAGTTTTACCATTCACAGTTCATATAAGCAGGAGCATATTGGTAGTAACTAGTATGTGGTTTGTTGTTCCCTGTATTAACATTCACAGGATTTTGTGTAAATATAATGACTGGAAAGAAAGCTTTCAGAGCTTTCGGCTACTTAGTCATTCAGTATATGAAAGTAGCAAATAAAATACATTAGCATCTATGACAATGAATTCATGACCAATGTTAAGGATAAAATAAGTTGCTGCAGTCTGAGCTATCGTGCAATCTAGGTTATCAAATGTACATTATCTGTTACTACCACTGTTTTCCTCTGTATGTATGAACATGTATGCTTGAGAATCCTCTACCGTTCTAATGCTTCATGTAAATAGAATCATCCGGCGCTCTGTTGCTGCACTAAAAATTTGTAATCAATCACTTAATAAATTCAAAGAATCACCTTGATTTCTTTATTGTCCTCAGTTTGGGAGAAATTTCTTATGAATCTGTAGCTACGTAAATGGAAGTGCCACACAGCAGACTAGTTTATGTACTTCACCAACCACGAAAGTCTCTGTAAGACATTATAGAGGATTATTGTCCCAAAAACAACAATGTAAGAGGAGTTATAAAACTACTAGAGTAAGAAATATTGTTGAACTATAAGAAGGTTGTGGATATGTCCACTTCTATACCTTCATGCATTCTGGTAAATGATCCTCCTTCATTCTAGCATGAATCTGTAGATGCATAGAGAAAATTTCTTAGCAGACTATACCCATGCAAACGGTCAGTTAATTGACTGGTACTGTTTTAACTAACATGTTAGCAAACAGTAATCAGAAGGTATGTCAGTTATTTGGAAAAGACCCCTGCCACTTATTTGGAACAGTAATGCACCAAGAGGAAACCCAAAAGTAAGAACAATGTAGCACCCAAAGAATGGAAATGCAGCCCACTGTACCTGTCTGATATTATAGCAAGATGCTTCTTGCTTTGCTGCTATAGATGCAAGAATGACCAGTCCAGCTGCCACAGTAGACGGCCAAAAGCAGAGTTGTTCATGGCCTAATAGAGCTAGTACAGCTATGTAATTCACAGTCTTCTCAACCTTTTCAGAAGCCTTCGCAGCTCTCAGATAAAACCTGTCACAGATTCATCAATGCCATGAGCAACTCAGAGATCTTATCACACTTTTCATATCCTCTTTTTCACTTCTACAAAATATACAGATCCTCTATTAAGTTTAAGAGTATCCAAAAGTTACAGTGGAGACAGCTATTTACCATAAGAAGTTGTACAGAGAGGGCAGGAAGCACTGGAACTTCAGAACTTCCTGCACTAGCCACTCCATAGCCACCACTTCACATCTGCTGTACGCATTGCTTCCTATGTGAAAGATCTTTTGCTGTATGCTGAAAATAACAATGGTAACATTTTGGAGATGCAATCGAAGAGGAACTAAGGTCACTGGGAACAGGAGAAGATGAAAGACAATTTTGTAACCTGTTGTAAGGCTGGTTTTCTTCAATCCTGGTTGCCAGAGTAAGGCATGCAATGCCAGCAATTTGAAGATTTCTCTTTGTTCTGAAATAACCTTTGCTTAAAAATCGATCAAGCAGACTCACCCCTAGAAAGAGAGTCTCCCTCTGAAGATCTTTGTTTCCTGATTGCTATATATAAAAGAATGGCACGAAAATGAACATGTTAATGCCATACTTGCTCTTATAGTAAAGCCAAAGAAAAATTAGGGAGGATTATATATAAATACCAGATTGTATGACTACCAAAAACTCATGACTTGACAAGGAATAGGCTTTTTGAAAACAAAATAGGTCAGGCTTCCATTACTCTTATAAGACTACAGTTCAAGACTGCCTAAGCCAATTGTATAATTTGAGGATGGAAGAGTACTGTCAATGGTGCCTCCCATTATATTCATATCCTAACTTCCTAAAAGAACAACATGGGATGGTCAATGGACAGAACTGCCTCAATTATCCGACTGTCCGCAGTCGTAGGTTACTTGTGGCAGCCATCCAAGATGAAAAACCGCATCACGATTGCAATAAAATTATCCAACTCTGCTAAAAAAGACTTGCAGAAACAAAAAGTTCACTTATGCTTCTACTATTCCTAAAAAATTGGCACGATGGCCATAGATGCGGCAATGAATCAAGTAGTAAAAGTAGGATTGAGGAAAGAGGCGAGAATTAAACGGAAAACGTGATGGGAAGAGTACCTCAACTATCCAGTGGACCATCTGTAACCGCTGCTGAACTATAAGGTCCCCGTAATTGGTGGAGGAACAGTACTCTTCAGCATAGTCATGGAAATACACCTGCCTCCTCTCTCTAATTCGAATCATTCTGTAGCTCTCTTCATCGTCTTTCTCTTCCAATCCCAGTAACTTCAATTCCAAAAGTAACAGACTCAAATTGATTAAGTTATAACTTCTATTATCAAAAGTAGCAACTGGAGAGCATAAAGGAAAATCAGTTAAGGCACTAACCATTATAGAATAGATGAAACGCAAACAGCATGTCAATTGTCAAAGAATTTGTTACGCTAAATTGTAACTTTTATTGTATTGCTTTTAAACGTGAAGGCAAAATATAAGCAGAAAAATATAATCAAGTGCCAAATAGCTTTCTTCAATGACTATAATTACTCATGACGATGCAGACTTGAGGTAAATAACATGAAAAACTAATATTTATAAAATCCGATTAGTTAGAATAACTCACAGTGATTTCATGAGGATCAACATGATAAAAGGAGCCTTCAGAATCAGTATCCAAAGCGAAGGTTGATCTGCAGAACTCTTGAGAAAATTGAAGGAACAGTTGAAAAGTCGGCGAAGGACTCTCGCCGTTGGTAGATCCTTCGGAGAATTGGCTACCGGAGTCATTCCAAATCGATGGCGTATAATCTGAAAAATCAAGTTCTGAACTATCTCCGAATAGCTCCGACTGCAACTCAGAATAGGCCGACGAGTGACTGTAATTGTCGCAACCGATTTCACTCGTCAAATTTTCCGAACAAGTAAAATCAAAGTCGAATTGAACATTCTCCTTCCTGCTCTCGACAACTGATTCTCGCTCTTCTTCGTCTCTGTTCTCGCTTTTGCGCATTAGTTTCTCAGATGTTCGCAGAAGCTCTGACTCAGCAGCCGGTTGCAAAACAGAGTGAACAGAATCGACATCGATTGAGTTAATTTCATGTGAATCCTCAACTCCTTCCGACTGATCTCCTAAGAGCCTCGAAATTTGACCGGCAAATGACGTAACCGCTGAAATCTCCGACCTAATCGTCGTTTCTGACGTCGCAGCTGCTTCAACAACTTTCTTATTCTCCGAAACGGCTTCGTATTGCTGAACTCTGAGAGAATTCACATTTCTCTGTCCGGAAACAGCTCCAGAGCACGAGTCGACACACGAACTCTCTGACACTTCACCGGTGTTGATGAATTCTCGTTTTACACCTTTACTCCAATCAGAACAAGCTCTAGTAACTCTCCGAAACTCATCACCGTCGTCATCTTTAAAATGTCGCTTAATCGCTGAGCCTCTGCCGGAATTGCATTCAGAAGATAAATTCTCCTCCCCCAAGAGCGAACAATTGTCACCGCCGGCCGTCAAATATGAACGAAGAACCGGAGATACACCAAAACGACGGCGTCGCTGAGGAAGCTTCGATCGGAGCCTTTTCTTGATGGAGACGAAGAGCCGCAGCTGCTTTTCCTCTTCTGCTTTACGCTTCATTTTCACTCACAGCTTAAAAGAACTAACGTTTAATTTTTAAATTTATTTCGAAAGAGGAAGTGATTCGTTTCGGATATGGCGATCGGAGAAGTAGAAGAAGAAGAAGCACTCTGAGGTTCGCTGCGTGCTCTGAAAACGTGTGGGGGAACTGTGTGACTGTGTGTGTGTGAGGAAAATCAGAAAAGTGAAGAAGGGTCAAAATGAATGAAGCAGTTGGGGACGTTGAATCGAAGTCGGCCGTTTTATATACTGGTGGTAGGTTGTGGGGCCCATTATTGGATTTCCGGTGTAGTGCTTCACGTTCATGGCGAGATACTGGGGAAAGTGGGAAGTGGACAAACAAATGCGATCTTTTTGTCAGATTGCGCAAAAAGCAAAATGATTGTACTTTAAAAGCTTCTCTGTTTTGTAGAGTACTACTACGTCTCTTCACAATCCAATTGTAGTTTTTGCTCTATTTTTCATTTTCCTTCATTTTTATTTTATAATTTTTTGAATGGATTTGATCATTTGAAAATTTACTGTATTAGTATACCCTTTGGAGATATTAAAAATAGCAATGGAGATATTAAAAAATTTCCAATTGTTTTTTTAGGCCTTGTACTCATATTGTTAGTTGTATATATGATAATCTTGTTCTCGTTTTCTAAATAATCAGTGCTGATGTTAATATTAAAGCTTGATGCTTTTGTTTATCTTGTCAAGAAAATCCTTTATGATCTTTTGGAGTACTACATAAGTGACCGACACTTCACATGGCCTTACAAGTTACTTCATTCGGTCCTTATTATAAGTCATTTTGATTTCGTCCTAAATTAACCTTAGATTTTTTTTAATTAAAAAAAAATTTTTAAAAATATATTTTCACATTCGTTATGTTCTCCTAATTATTATGAAATATTTTTAAGATTTTTATTTCAATTAAAAAGGCATCTTAGGTGAAATCTAAAATGAAATCAAAACTTATAATAAGGATAGGAAGGAGTACAATTGAAGAAATAGCACTACTAGGTAAAGCATAATTTACTATTGTTGTGATCATGAATATTGATTTATGCAAAGTTAAAGATAAGAATAGAGGTTTGAAGAATAATGGACTTCGAGTAACATGTAACGCCATCTAAAAGTTGTTGAATTAGCCCTATAGTTATTTTGGACTTAAGACTCATTTAAAAGTATTTGATCAACCTTAATTTTTGGAATATTATAGAACGTGTTAAATTGTTAAGATTGTTATGGAACTTGTATGAAATTGTGTGGTTATCAATGTTTACTAGGTTCTCTCCCGTGCATTGCACGGAATATATTAAAATGTATTATTAAGTCGATTATTAGTTGTCAAAAAAATATCACGCACTCGATTAATTGTTGATTGTGAAATATAACTAAAGAAAAATGGGGTGACAAAAAATAATTCAACAGTAAAAAATGAGTTAAAAAAAGACAGGATGAAAACTAAGCGGTATTAATACTATTATAATTTAAAATTACCTTAAGTTTGAATATAAGAATAATGTTTTACCTAAATTTTTTCATAATATTACCTGCGAAATTTCAATATTTTCTAATTAAATTGGCATTAGAATGATTAAGTTTGAATGGAAGAAGAATGACTTGATTTTTTTTCTCGTAATTTTACCATTGAAATTTTAATATTTTATAATGAGATTGCCATCAGGGTGATTTAGTTTGAATGTAGAAAAAAAAAAAAAAAAACTTCATGTGGATTTTTTGTGTAACTACCCTGTGAAATATCAATAATCCTTTTTACCATCAATGACATCGTTTTTCTTTTGGCAAAAATATGTTGAATAAGAGCGCAATACATAATTAAAATTTATCTTTCACAATAGAATGAGTTAATTTTATTATGCATTTGCAATATAAATATGGTTTTAGGTAAATAGTTAAAGTTTTCTTTAATCAAAACGACGTCGTCTTGGTTTAAGATGTTTTGGAGGGAAAACTTTTAATCAGAACGCAACACCTCATAATTTTTGTTCTCTTGGACTTCTCTTTTAATAGGATATATATTGATGAATGATTGATTTTTTTTACCATCAATGACATCGTTTTTCTTTTGGCAAAAATATGTTGAATAAGAGCACAATACATAATTAAAATTTATCTTTCACAATAGAATGAGTTAATTTTATTATGCATTTACAATATAAATATGTTTTTAGGTATATAGTTAAAGTTTTCTTTAATCAAAACGACGTCGTTTTGGTTTAAAATGTTTTGGAGGAAAAATTTTTAATCAAAACATGACACCTCAGTATTTTTGTTTTCTTAGACTTCTCTTTTAATAGGTTATATATTGATAAAACTTTCGAATGACACTAAAGCCATGTTTTAGAGTGTGGTCACATGGCGAGCTCACGCATGTAATATTACAAATTTTCAATTCACTAGTTCTATAGATTTCTTTTATAGTTTATAAATATATGGTATTGAAAGAAGTAGCCTTCAAGGCTTAGCCTTACGAAACATTTTTATGGGAGTGGGATGAAGAGATGACCTTATGGAATATAACCTGTTGGCTTGTTTGCTTGGTTTACGTAAAGGCCAAAGAGTTGGGTCTTCATAATTGTGTGGTACAAACTAATAATGTTACAGTTGCAGGCCTTTCGAATGGTTCTACAAAGTTGCCACATCCATTGCAGCATTTGGGAGAAGATGTCAGTATTAATTGTGTAAGTGTCTGTAATTGTAGAATTGAAAAAGTTGCTAAAGTTATTGTAGAGCACGTACACAAGCTAGCAAAAACTAGTCTCCTATAGATTGTAATGTTAGGGTTGTCATCAATAATATCAGTATTTCTTTTATATATATATATATATATATATATATATATATATATATATATATATATATATATAAGACCTATTGGAAGAAATTTGGAAGAGAGTAAAATGTGAGACACGGAGTACTATTTTTTTTCTTTTTTTTTTTTGGTGACTGAATATTGGAGAGAAGTGATAAAACTAAAACTAAAATAATCCAACTCTTCGGCCGCCGTTTCTCAGCAACAACGACAATATTTGTCCAGGTGCTATTTTTTGCAGTTCAGAAATTACTCACTTACAGTTCGTTTTGGATAATTTTTCTCCCGAACTCTTTCTTCTTCCCCTTTCTTCTTCTTCTTTCTCATTTTCCGACCATGCATGTTCTGTGTACCCGACCCAAGTAATAATGAAAAATCAGGTACATCTGGTCTTTTCTTTTTTCTCCCTTGAACTTACAGTAATGAATATATATAACTACTCTATTACAATAACCAAAATAGAAATTAAAATAATTCAATTAAATAAATTATACCAAATCAATTTGTCCTTTTAACCTACATTAAATATTATATATAAATATTCTATTAAAATAAATATTCGAATAGACATTGTAATAAATTCAATTAAATAAATTATATTTTATTCATTTGTCCATTTAACCTACATTAAATATTATATATAACTATTCTATTAAAATACAAATTCAAATATAAATTAAAATAAATTCAATTAAATTAATTATACCTTATTAATTTGTCCATTTAACCTACATTAAATATCATATATAACTATTTCATTAAATAAAGATTTAAATATAAATTTAAATAAATTAATTATACATATTAAATTTCTCCATTTTAATGGAATTTAATTAAATTAAATACAAATATAATTAAATTTTTCCCTTTCTATAATGATTCAAATATAAATTAATACAAATCTAATTAAATTAATTAAAACTAATAACACAAAATTTAACAACTAATTACATTAGTTATAAACAAATTTCACTAAAGTAATTATAACAAAAAATATTACAACAAAAAATTTAAAAAAAAAACAAAAAAATGAAAAAAAAATTGTCGGTCACTGTTCACAGATTGGCCGGTCTCTGACCAGGCCAATCCTTTACCCTTGGCCGGTGAGAAATCCGGCCAAGGGTCTCGGGCTGGCCGCCAGTCGGGTCGACCAGCCTGGGGGCAGTTTTCTTTTTCTTTTTAAAAAATAGATTTGGTAAAAAAATCTTACCCGTATCGATGGTGAGCTTTCTCGATGTTGTTTGCCGCGTTCTGCCATTTTTAGAGTTCAATTTTTACTAGATCTAGATTTCAAGTTTGAAAAAAAAAAAAAGGAAGAAGAAGAAGAAAAAGAATGAAAGAGGAGGAAGAAGAAATAAGAAAGGAGAAGAAGAAAGGGGGAATAGAAAGGGTTTAAGGGCAAAATTGTCTAAAATAAACTATAAATGAGTAATTTTATAACTACAAAAATCAATTCAGTATTTGTCCCACCAAATTTGTATGCTCAACATACTTACACTAAATTATAATTTAGTCCCTACTAATTTTTATATTACACTAACACCTTCCAATTCATGACATCGAACCTATGGAACTTTATGTCAGTCATGCTTTTAAAGGATAAAGTATAATTATGTTAAAACTGAAGGTTCAATGTGTAATTTTTATTTTAATTGTTCTTTTTTTTTGAGATAAAAGAAACTCTCATTAACTTTGTTGGAATACGTCCAACCACTATTGATAGAGAATTACAATCACTAACATATTACAATCGATTAAAATTCTAAAACTTAGAATCAACCGATCTTCACTGCGGATGACTAAGTCACAAACTCTTCCATAGCATCCGCAAAATACTTGCTGAAAGTATCACGTACCAAAGAATAACTCCGATCTTGAATACTTCATTTATCATCAGATGAAAGCCCACAAAAGTAGATATAAAACATTGGTCTACTTTGACTGTAAATCCTCGAACATAAACCATGACTATGAACCGTGACAATAAAATCATAGACAAATGATAGACTAAAGATCACACACTACTAAATTAAAATCAATAGAACGAGATCTATTGAGAAACTACTAATACATCAAGATACTAATAATACAAGGCCAACAAAATCAAAGATATACCGATGGCTAAATTTATTCAATTAAAAAACTAAAAAAAAAAGAGAGACAATTATCTCCCACATCCTCCCACGGAAGGGAAGATGGGGAAGAAAATTAAACGGGAGATAAAAAGAGACAAGAAAAAGAGAGAATAATTACCCAATTTGTCAATTAATGAAGGGAATGAGATGGAGATAGCGTCAAAGGAATTAAGAAACAATAAAATAAATCTCCTAGTTTTGAAGGCCCTTTAATTTAATTGTTCTTAGGTTAAGTAGCTTATGAATTCACTGTTAACGGATCAATAGAAGATATATGGAAAATTTTCTTTCCGAGTTTCTTTGCTCTGAATTTCCCTTGATTATTTTTCGGACAATAATCATATTATATTAAAAAACAAATAAAACATATACAATATTGTACAAGAGTTGTATAAAGATAGTTAAATTTAGCCATGAGAGAAAAGCAAGAGTCTCTATGAATAATGCTAGATCTAACTAATTTTACCAATTAAATTGAAAAATAATTTACCATTTAAAAGTATAAGATTAACCTTTTAATACAGAGATTTTGAAGATCTAGCTTACACTCAATTCATGCTAGATCTAACTAATTTTACCAATTAAATTGAAAAATAATTTACCATTTAAAAGTACAAGATGAACCTTTTAATACAGAGATTTTGAAGATCTAACTTACACTCAATTCTTAAACTCTTAACGCCTACAAAACTAGATCAATAGCAAAACTGTCTATTATCCTCTTCTTCATCTTCTGCAAATCCGCCTAAAATTCATCAAAAAATTCGTCGAAAAATGTTCCGTATTCAATCGAATCCGTAGACGAGAATTTACACCTAATATATCTAAAATATACCCCCCCCCCCCCAAAAAAAAAAAATTATAATCATAATCATACCTATAAATTCTGAAATATTTTTCTTTTACACTTTATCAAGGGCCCATTTGGTCAGATTACATGCTTCTATTTCTCGAAAAGAACTTTCGAAATTTCTCGGCCCAACTAGAGCCCAATAATCTCTCTAGGGCTTTACTTTAAACCTCGCTATATTTTCCTGAAAAACCTCTATAAATTAACCTGCATACTCAAACCCAAGCCTTCTCCACCAGAAGCTGAACTTCGGCGGAACTTCTCAGGTACTTTCAGCTCTTATTCCCTTGCTATAGGTTGCTATAGTCTTTTCGATGATTATGTTGCTAGTTTATTCAAGTCCTGTTCTGCTTCCTTTGTTCCTCCAGTGCTTAATCGTTGTTCCATTGTGTCCTTGCTGATTACTTTTTGATAGTTAGGTTTTGATTTTTGAGGGTTTGGGAATGAGTTTTGTTTCGAGGTTAAATCCTTTGTAGAAGAATAATTAGATCCGCTTTCCAATGCCTCTAATGACGATTAAAACAAAAACTTTCGTTCTTCTGAGAATTACTCGTGCGGAAGAATTTTGGAGACCTGAACTGAAGAGGCTAGTCTTAATAATTTCTATTGTTTAAAAGTTTGCTGCTCGTAAAGATTTTTTCTAGCTTTTTGTGTATTCAGGCTGAATAAATATGGATTATAGAGTTCAACTCTCTTTGAATCTTGTAGAATGTTTTAACTGCAAAACCCTTCCCTCATAATCTGAAGCTTTTTATTGGGCCATAGCTTAATAGGATTGAATCTAGGATATCTACTTTCATAAGTGTTCCCCTAGTGATGTAAAATAGGATTAGAAAGTTAGTTTACTAGTGTTTTCTTGCTTTTGTTCTCTGATGATGATCAGTTTGAAAACTTTCGTTCTTCCGAGAGCATACATGCGGAAAGTTTTTGGAGACCTGAACTGAAGTACATCTCTGTATTTGATGTGCTGAACAAAATATACATGTCTGTTCTGATTTTGGTTTATTTTATTTTGTATTAGGCTTTTTATCCTTTTATGTGTGCACTTAGCTCTAGATTTTCATTCCTCTGGTTCATTCTTCTGGTCATGTTCCTCTGTGATGCACAAACAAGATGACGAGTCTGAAATCCATTCTTATGCATGAGGACAATCGAGGCATTTGTCTGAGAGGAGCTACTGGCCGTAATTACTTGAAAACGGCTGCATGTTATGGTTACTTTATATGCATTTAGTGTTGCTGTTTACCTGTCGAATCTTTTTGTATCTGAAATTTGATTTTGTTTCTTGGGCTTACCCTTTCTAGTAGTCTAACTCAAGTTATTGGGTAATTAGGGTTGATGGACATGTCTAGGAGTCGTTTCTTCTATTGCCACGTGTTTTGGAGATCCCGTGCATTGACACTGTGAGTTTTCATAAATGACCCTTTATCTTACTTTGTCCCCTTCCTTAAAGGACAATCATGGTTATTGTCCTTAGGCTGTGAGGATATGGGCCATTTTTCCAGTATTAAAGATTTTCATTGTCTCTGATGATGTTTCCATAAACTTTCGCTCTTCCCAGACTTGTTACAATGATGAAAATATATGGATATCTAAGCTGAAGAAAACCATTGAAAATCTTTCAATCAGGGACTAATGATTGAAAATTCTTATAGGATGGTAGAGGGTTCAAACTTTCCCATGGTTGTATATTTGAAAAGAAACTTTGAATTTGTTTTGATCTTGTTCCAAGGGTGGCTGGTTATCACTGTCAACTGAGAAAATAATGTTTATCTTAAGATAAAATTTGGGTCTAATGCTTACAAATGTACTTGCATTGTAGTTTAAAATTGCAACTTTTATGTTATGTACTTGCTGCTGTTTTTATTGATTTAGCTTTTTGTTTGCTTTACAATAAGAGTTTAATTGATCATAGAATATCTCCTTTTTCATGTCGACTGAACTAACATCTTATTTTGGCAGTTGCGCGCTTTTTTGGAATCTGTCAGAAAAAGACTAAAGTGAGATCCTCTGTCGAAAATGAGGTAATTAATAATTTATCTCCATTTGTTATTCACACCCATTCAATCCTTTTATAGCCATTTATATTTCATAATTAAATTGTACTCTGATACTAATAATTTTCTTCATCTTTTCTATTTCAGCCGACCAATGGAAGAGGATGTAAGTTGTGCCTCCTAACTTTTTGATTGCATTTAAGTCTCCTTTTTGACTGCATGCTCTGCAGAAGCTTTGTTGAAATTTTAAATTTTTTCTTATTTTCTGCATAGGAAATGCATTTAAATTTTGGCAGGGCCATATTCTATGTGTGAAATTAATTCATTCTCAAAGCAGAATTACTTCCTGAAAAAGCTTAGTACTATCTGGGTATTCTGAGTAACTTGTGGTCTACTTTGACGTGTATATGGTTAAACCAATGGATATTTGGATAGCATGAGCTCTTAATTGTTAAAACCATTGGCTGTGCTAATTATCCGCAACCGTATATTCCTGTGAATTTGTCATGTCAAAGTAAATACTCAAAACTGTTTCTACATGTGCAGGCAGTGAAGACTGAAGAGGAAGAATTCAGTACTGGGCCTCTTAATATTTTGATGATGAGCGTGAAGAACAACACGCAGGTATTGTTGCTGTTTTCATACTTTTTCATTCTCCTTTTGCTATTTGTTGTGTGCTCTCCTTGAATGATATCTGTTTAGCATATTGTGCAGCATTAAAATAAGTTAAGTTGCTAATTCCTTCTTTCTTCAGGTGCTGATTAACTGCCGGAACAACAGAAAGCTTCTTGGCCGTGTGAGGGCATTTGACAGGCATTGCAATATGGTACTTGAGAATGTGAGGGAGCTCTGGACTGAGGTGGGTTTCATTCCATTCTATATTTCATGGATGCTAGTTTCATTTTGTGGTTTTCTTATGGAGTGTGGTGTTCACTTAGCCCTCAATTAAAAAATGTGAAATTCGTTGCCTTGCAGGTGCCTAAGACAGGGAAAGGGAAGAAGAAAGCAATGGAAGTGAACAAGGACAGGTTCATCAGCAAGATGTTCCTCCGTGGGGATTCTGTTATCATTGTTCTGCGCAATCCCAAGTGAAATGAGTGTTATATCTGGCAGCTTGATATCACTTTTTGTTTGTAAGATGCAATCCTATGCACAGATGACCTTGCCATATTTGCAGTTTTATGAGTGTCGGGATTTAACTTTTGGATGTAATTCGCTCTTTTAACTTGTTGCTGGTTGTAATTGAGGTAGTTTTGTTGACAGCATAATCATAGATATTCCAGATTGTAAATTGAATGATCTCCTATCTATCAGTTTAGTGAACCCGTTTGGGTAAGTTTCTATACGCTAAACGTCATTAAAATTTGTGCATCATAATTCATAAGTGCTCCCGAATCGTTTTCAACAGCCTATTTGTAAGTTCACAGTCGTTCAAGTTTTTGTGCAGTAGACTATGGTTCACCGTGAACATTTTGGTTTTAAATTTTTTTTCCCTTAAAAAAAGCTTCCTAGAGAAATTAACGTGTATGGTAAAGATGGACCGTAACGAAATTTGAATTGTATGAATGAACTACATACAACCCTTATAATTATTTTTTTTTCCGGCTCATGGAGTCACCAATAAACACAGAATGTGAGTACCCGGTCTCAAAATCAAACATCAAAGTCCATCTTGTAACCTTTTATTATAGATCAAGGAAAACGTAGCAAATGAAATTGATTTCTGTCTTACGCACTTTTGTAATTACGAAGTATTTTTAACTTTGTGAACGAGTGCACACCCTAGCATCCTTGTATACTTTCCCAGGTCTACAAAAGTAACCCTTCTGAGGAGCACAATGAGCATCTTGAGAGCAAATGCACAAACCTTCCAAAGCACAACCAGGTTTCATTGTAGTAATCCCATCTTTCAGTCCAAGAATTTGGTCACTCCATTCACTTGAAAACAGACCTAATGGATCATACAATTGCTTGACCTTCAAAAACTCGTTGACCTTCTTATACTTGTTGATTGCACCCACAAAAGCCAAATTCCTATTTTTGCCCCAATGTGGTAGCCCGTCATACTTGAAAAATGCCATTTGCTCAATCTCTTCAATAAAATCTTCATACAGTCTTGGTGCCATCGGATCTTTGCTTCTATAATATGTGATGTCAAAGTCCAAACCATCTTCTTCTTTGCCTAAGTAAGCACTAGAAGATGTGACATATCTCATGAGGAAACCGTTATAAAGGTCCACTCCACACAATGCCATAGGGTTTAGGGACACAAGCTTTTGAACATCTTGAATGAAGTCCTTGACTTTGGATAAGCTAATGCTTACAGCAGTTTGGAAATAGTATAAGCCCTTGATTCTTGGATCCCATGGGCATGCAGTGATTAATCCATCTTGTGGGCTATCAAGGCAGGTACCAGAAGATTGTAGTCTATTGTTGTATCCCACCACAGGGTATTTATTAAAGATTGAACCTGTTAAATCAAGAATATGAAGATTTAATTTGGCTTATAAAATTAGAGTTGAGGACAAATATGGAAGCTGAAAATCGAATTTGGTTTGACCAAGAAGAAATACCATCATTTGTCAACCCAAATCTTGAAGTTTCCAGCAGAGATGTGGTTATAGCTCCATTGGCACATCTGCCAACAGCATCACGAAGGGATTCCTCCGTCTCCTCTACCAACAAAATTGGGGGGAAACAAAAGACCGAATTAATCAGCTCAATGTTACGACACGCCAGTAAGAGAATAAAATTTCTCTGAATGAATTCACACGTCTCTAATAAGAATGTAACACGAAACTAACCTGTGCTCCTTAGCAATGCCACGACGAGTGAAGGCGTAGAGCGAAATCCCATGGCGTCATAGAAACCATCACCTTTGGTATCGGTGGGAACTCTATCATCTAGTCGATATTGGACCTTACGTTGGCTAGGATACCATTGGAAGTCGGCAAATTCATGTTGTCTCCCAAAAGTTGTGACTTGTTCCCCTAAATCTGAATCATTCCTCGCTACATAAGTTAATGATCTCTTGAACATCGGCTCAAGTTGTAGAGTAACCTGTATGAAAATGGACAATCACCCAAACTAAAAGTGAAAATTCAATCTGAACAATAATTTTGAGATAGAGATAGTATAATTTAGTGTTCAATTTGATCCCCCGAAAATTTTCATTTAAACGAATCATCAAATGGGGGAACAATCAATCACAAGCAATTGAAGTCAAAATTCCTTTCAGTCATAGTCACACACATCACATTTTATTTTATTTTTTTGAGGATAATGGTCTCAACCGTTATAAGTTATGCTCAAATGAATGAACATTGAGTGATAATCAGTTTGAAGGTGCCGTACTCCACATAAAAACAAACTAAAGCATGTTGAAATCAATAATTATTGAGGGATAATCACTTCAGAAGTGACGTACGTAAAGCTTAGCAAGATCAGCAATTTTATGCACTGCTGCATAAAATGCCGAACAATCAATATCACTTCCTTGCCTGAGTTGCCTCTGAAGTTAGAGGCTGATTTTTCATTTTTAGAGCATAAAATGCTTTGGAAAATTTCAAAGTATATAAATTGATAACCATCAAGCTATTGGAGTATAGGTTTAATTTCTTTGAATAATTAATTTGTTTTCTTCTTCTTCTTCTTTTTTTTTTTTTTGGTACTCCTAAAGTGAACCTCTAAAACTAATTACAAAATAAACAGTCTTTATAATATCACGATAAAATCAAAGTTCAAACCTAGCAACCATATCAAAATAAATAAATATACCTGTGAAATAACACCAAGAACTCCAAGTGAAACTCGAGCAGCATCAAGCTCAAGATCAGTTCCATTTCTTAGTGTCCGAACTTTTGCATAACCTTCATTGGAACTAGCCGGAGTTACAATCCTCAATTGAACCACATAATCATGAACCGCACTTCCAACACCCCAAAGAGTGCTTCCATGAGAACCCGTTCCCAAAATTCCACCCACGGTTAAACCCCACCAATACGGGCTATAAGGCAGAGTTAGCCCTGATTTTGCACACACATTGATCAGCTGCCTCAACGTCATTCCCGGTTCAACCGTTATCGTCATGGCCGATTCGTCCAGACTCACAGTCCGGTTCAGGAACTTGGTGCTTATAACCAACCCGTTTTCGCCGTCCGGGCACATGAGTTTTGGGATACTGTGTGATGTTGTGGTTGCCACCTTCATTTTCCTCTTCAGGAAAGTTGCATTTGCTACGATTGATACGAGTTCTTCTTCTGTTTTTGGGTACATTGCTTGAGATGCACGGCATACGGCTCGATCGGGAAATGACCCGTAAGTATTTGTGACTGTACAATTTGTGTTGGAAGATGATGATGAACATTTTATGTGTTCTTCCGGAGGAGTGCAACGTACCAAAGAGATTATTGTTAGGGAAATCCAAAATGCTAACAATTTGAAGCAATGAAATCCCTTTTGAGAATTCATCTCAATCATAATAGTAGTAATAATACGGATTAATGTTTGAGTAGGTAATTTCTTGATTGAAGGGCATGAACATAGAGTAGTAGATTTGAATGCACTCCATTATATATATAAAGTACAGTCTATCATGCAATGTTATTATATACTATGAGTTGGAAGGACACATAAGAATACCATCACTTAAGCCTTGTAATAGTCCAGACGTAAAGGTTGCATGTAGTTAGTCTATGTCGGATTAATGAATTTAATCAAACAAATTAAAGAATGACGTGCAATAAGCTTATTTTCCAAACCTGCATTTTTTCCTACACATCAACATCTCCTTTTACTTTGATTTTAAGAAATTGTTGTTGAATCTATATATGTAGCTAGTGTAACATTAGAATTACTAAATCACGTATAAAATTGCCATTTTACGTACTTGTGCTTAGTTGTGACACCTGCCGATTGTATAATTAATTTGCTGGTTTATACATTTTAAAAGCTTCCTCCGATTGCCATACATTTAGCTTAATTAGGTAGTATACTATTTGCTGGTTTAAAAAGGTTCCTTTCGATGATTTTGCACGGCTCAGGAGTCCAAAACTCATATCCATGTGGTGACGGTTGTTAAGAAAAACTAACGATTTTGGACCGGGAAAAAAAAACGGAGAAAGAAGAAGCTTAAGATAGAGTCTACTGGATTAAAATGTCAGTTTTTTTTTTTGTTTTTTTTTTTTTTGTTTCTCTTTTTCTCTTTTCCTTACTTTCTGCAGCAGCCAATTAAAAAGGATTTTGCTGTCAAATATAATAAACTAATGAATAATATTATGTTTATAAGGTGTTATTCAAACTATATGTTGTAAATAAAATTATTGAATGTGTCAAATCAATGAGAATGCGATATCGAGATATCAGAGAAGATCGATCCTTTCCGAAAGCAAGCCTATCTCAAGATTAGATTATTCTCACTCGACTGCAAAGGTCGTAGTGCTACAATCACAACTCATTTTTGTAGATTATATGTTATATATCGATCCTTATATAATAAATGTAATAATTGTTACGAAATTGGAAAAACTCACTGTGAAAGAATCAATCCGAGTTGTTTTCTGTGAATTACTAATAACACGTGTGTTATTTAAATTAGGACTTAAACCAATTATTTTTGTTATCCCAAATTTTGGGTCAAATCCCGTCCTATAATTTTATAACAAAATAAAAACAGTGTCATACTGTCATGAAATATTTTTATAATTTTTTTGTCAATTAAAAATGCCTACTATGTGAAACTTATGATAAAATCAAAATGTTTTATATTAAGAATCAGAATGAGTAATTTTTGTAAAGTACTGGAAGGACTGTTTTAGCTTGCATGGTCTCCATGTGGGCATTAATAGCTTTTCAGACAAACTTAAGGCTGAAGTAGTATTAATTAGCAGAACCTATAGGATTCTGGAAGGTGGCTAGTTATACAGTAAGCAGTTAACCATATTAATATTTGTTGATTTCGCATTTTTTGAACTTAATGATGAATAATGCAATTTCTGTTCCTCTCCTAAAATTCTCTCTTCCCTTCTAGAAACTGGAATTTCCTCCCCTTCCTAACAAACAGCCCAACGCGTTATCTTTGTTAAAAGCCCAATCAGATTCAACAACAACGAAAGGTTAAGAAATTTTAAGGCCAAGAACGTTGCAAATTGTATCCTTTTTGGGTACAAAAAAGGCAAAAGCCTAAAACTAAATAAGTATTTTTTGGAGATAAACAACCCCTATAATATCATGCACATTGTATAATTAGCCTGTTCTATTTTCAGTTTACTACTGGTTTAAATCTTTTCTCAACGGGGTAAAAATAAGAGGATCCAAACACATGCGCACGCACTTTGATCTCCTCCTCGCATGTATCATGATGTCAACCTCCATCATCATTCTCTCATAAAATCTGAAATTTAAACAAAGGAAGTCGTGAGAAAGAGGAAGGCCGAAGAAAAGAAAGTAGGGAAGAAGAAAAGGTAGAAGAAATCAAAGTAAACTGGGATGTTATTGATAGAATTCATAAATAAAAGGGAACAGTTACAGTTGTTTCCAGTTGAACTAGGCTATAAATTACTCAACGGGAATATTATAAGTTATTGAGGGAGCATTTTATTTATTTATTAAAAACAACAAGTTGATATAGTATCATGAGACAAGATTTGGTTCCCTCTTAATTTGTTTAATTGCCAACACCAAATCAGAATTTTGTCTGGCGGATACGATCCTCTTCTATAATCTATACCACCAAGCTCTTCCTCTTCTTGTATTATACACATTCAATACATAGATGTAATCAAACATCTTCATCCTCTCTTTTTTTTTTTTTTTAAAAAAAAAAAACACCTCAAAATTTCTATCAAACACCTTGGAATGACAAATCATCAAACGAAATCCCACAAGGGATTTTCGAAAATTGTGGTAATAACAACAAGTTATAACTTGATTTGTTTTGCAGCGTTGTTGTTGGTGGTGGAAGTGAAGAGTAGCCCTCCAGGAGATCCCATCAAATGTTATTCATCTGGAAACACAGATTGCACGATCACAAACGCTTATGCCACTTTCCCGGATCGATCCATTTGCCGTGCACCCCAAGTTTTCTATCCTTCAACGGAAGAAGAGCTGATTTCCGTAATAGCAAATGCAACTTCCCAGAAGAAGAAGATGAAAATCGCAACCTCAACCTCACACAGCGTCCCTAAACTGTCCTGCCCAGATGGTGAAGACGATGTTCTCATAAGCACAAAGTACTTAAACAAGACAGCGAGAATCGACCCCGTGGCGATGACTATAACGGTGGAGTCCGGGATGATTTTGAGGGATTTGATTAATGTGAGCGCAACGGCCGGGCTGGCCATACCTCACGTTCCGTATTGGTGGGGTTTGACCGTGGGTGGAATTTTGGGTACCGGAAGCCATGGAAGTTCTTTGTGGGGTCTAGGGAGTTGTGTTCATGATTATGTGATCGGATTGAGGATTGTTTCGCCGGCCGGAGCCGATGAAGGTTATGCAAAAGTGAGGACATTGGAGAAAGGTGACCCGGAGCTTGATGCGGTTAAAGTCTCTCTTGGTGTTCTTGGGGTCATTTCTCAGGTACGTACGTAGGAACTTACATTTTATTGAAGTTTGGCCAACTCCAGAGTTAGTAATCCTAATTGACGTGACAATATCATAGAAAAAAGCCGATTAATAGAACTAATACATTTAGCTGATTGTAAAGAAAGAACTGAGTATGCATTTGTATCAGTACTTGCGAGATGCGTACTATATTTTTAGAGAGGCTATTTTCTCTGTTTTAAAACGATTGTCTTGTTTATTGCACTGTAAAAAATTTGATAATCGTTTTTAAATGAAAAGAGTAAAAACGAACATAAACTTTTTAAATGGATGTAAGTTGCAACTTAAAAAAACTTACATCCATTTAGATTTCTTAAAAAAAATCTGAATGTGAAGTATTTTTCTTTTATAATGTAGTTGGCAGGTGACATTTTTTTTATAATGATTTCAATTTAATAATGTATTTGGCAGGTGACATTACGATTGGAGCCATTATTCAAGAGGTCTATAAGTTATGTAGGGAAGAACGATTCGGACATAGAAGATCAGGTGTCCACGTTCGGAAAGGAACATGAATTTGGGGACATAATGTGGCTTCCAAGTCAAAATAAGGTTGTTTACCGGATTGATGACCGGGTTTCACCCGACACTCCTGGAAATGGTCTCTTTGATTTTTTGGGGTTTCGTTCCATCCCTTTACACCATATACTGTATCCACGAACTCAAGGTTTGACCTTCCCATAATCATACCATATTCTCTGCTCAATTACTAGTAGCCCTTTTCTGCCTTCATTAGTTGATTAATTAAATAATGTTCTTTTTACTGTTTCACTTTGTTACAAAAATAAAATGGTTGGATCAGAGGAAAGCGAAGAATCCGCAGGACTTTCTGCAGGGAAATGCGCTGCATATGGTGGTGGTTTGACCCAAAACGGTAAATCTTCTTTTTAACCTTCATTAATTCCCAAGTGGAGGTAAAAAAATTTCTTAAGATTAAACAACATTTTTGGTAGATTAAAAAACATTGATAACGTGTTTTTGCAAACTCCCCCTTAAAATCGAGAAATTATTGAGTGTAACTGCTATACCACTTAAGATTGTGTAACCAGACACAATAAATAAAGTAAAGTAGTAATTTTAGGAGAAAATAGATAATTTATACATAAGTTATAGCATCAAAAACAAGAATATAACAGTTATACTCAATAATTTTTTCTCAAAATCTCGTTTAAGCTGTATCCATCATAGTTAGCGACTAGTATCAAATGTTAAGAGGGTTTAGAGCAAAATCAATCCGAGCAATACATTTCGTAGTGGCCAAAGAAAAAATAAAAAGTAAAAAAAAGTCCGAATTCTCTATTAGGATACTTCTAGCCAATATAACTCCAAATCCCGAAAAGTTTCATCAATTCCCTAGAGGCACATGCACATTAATTTGATTTCAACGTAATTAACCACTTCATTAATTAAATTCATTTGTTATAGTAGCATTAACTTCTGCCGGAACAAAAATGTTGAAGATCTATATTTGGTTTTCAAGGTTATGCAAGCCGTGATTCAGGAAAATGCGAAATTGCCCAAAGCAGGTACCACATGGCAATGGAATTGGCATACGGGTTAACGAACGATGGTATTTTTATCTACAATTTAATAATTACATTATATATACGTAATAATTAATTGAGTTTCTCCAACTTGTAATTTGTTTACCTTTTCTTTCTTTCTTTTTTTGTCCCATCCTTATAGGCACCTCATTCACTGGCTATCCTGTAGTAGGGTATAATAATCGCCTCCAATCATCCGGGTTATGTTTTGATAGCCCGGAGGATGATTTACAAACTGCATGCAACTGGGATCCCAGAATTAAGGGTTTCTTCTTCTTTGAGATTGGAATTAGCATTAGTTTATCCAACGCCAAAAACTTCATTCAAGATGTGAAAAAGCTTGTGGCTTTGCAACCTGAGGCATTTTGTGGTATAGACATTTATACTGGTATCTTAATGAGATATGTTAAAGGATCAAGTGCTTACTTGGGAAAAGATGAAGATTCTTTGGAGTTTGATATTATTTATTACAGAAGCAAAGACCCAATGACCCCAAGATTACATCAAGATTTCTATGAAGAGCTTGTGCAAATTGCATTATTCCAATATGGAGGAGTACCACATTGGGGTAAGAATAACAACATGGCTTTTGCGGGAGCAATCAACAAGTACAAGAATTCAAGTGCTTTTTTGAAGGTGAAACAATTGTTTGATCCTTTGGGGCTGTTTTCCAATGAGTGGACTGACCAAATTCTTGGATTGAAAGATGGAATAAACAGTATGAAGGAAGGTTGTGCTTTGGAAGGATTGTGCATTTGCGAAGAAGACATTCATTGTGCTCCAAAGAAGGGTTACTTTTGTCGACCAGGAAAAATTTACAAAAATGCAAGGGTTTGTGCGCCTTCACTGTCAAATGAAATTGCATATGTTTAGTAATCAATTACAGCCAATTGCCTAATTATGGTTGAATCAATATGGTAAAAAGAAAATAGCTGAGGTACTGCGACTATTATGATGTAGATTTATTATGGAACTTATAAAGGAGAATGGGATGGCTTTTCTGCTGAAGCAAGTTGGGGGAGATGATGTTTGCAGATTAATGATTTGTAAATGTGTTGTTCTTTCTCTATTGTTGTCTTGCAATATATATTTGTATCATTAACTCTTGATAGATATGTTTTTACGAGATAAAAGATTTACAACTAAAATTTATAAATATCACTAATTTGTGTTTATAAAGATAGATAAAAAGAAACATATTACCAATCACATTGAAAATTTATTGGTTTAAAAATTCGAAGGAATCATATTGACAATTGATAAGTGATATTTGTATGTACAGATGCAATTTATTTAAAGATAAATCTAGGATGAAGAAAATCTGCAGACTCTAGCTTCCTTGTAAATTCTTCCAGGCCTACAAAAGTAGCCTGATTCAGGGGCACAATGGATATCTTGGGAACATATACAAAGGCCTTCTAAAGCACACCCATTCCTAACTATACTAATTCCATCTTTCAGTCCAAGAATTTGGTCTGTCCACTCACTTGAAAACAGCCCATCAGGATCATATTCATTTTTAACCTTCAAGAATTCATCAGCTTTGGTATATTTCTCAATGGCCCCTATGAAAGCAACATTCCTATTCTTCCCCCAATGTGGCAATGCTCCATATTTAAACATAGCCATTTGCTCAATCTCTTCTAAAACATCTTCATAAAGCCTAGGCTTAGTTGGATCCTTGCTTCTGTAATAAGTGATATCAAAGTCCAATCCATCTTCTTGTTTCCCCAAGTAAGCACTTGAAGTTGTAACGTATCTCATTAGGATGCCGTTGTAGATGTTTATTCCACACAGTGCCTTTGGTTCCAGCTCCACAAGACTTTTAATGTCTTCAATAAAGCCCTTGACTTTTGAAAGGCTTATGCTGAATGATGTTTGGAAAAAAAATACACCTTCAACTCTAGGATCCCATGGGCATGCGGTGAACAATGCATCTTCAATGCCATTTAGGCAACTTCCCGATGCTTGGAGATGATTATGATACCCAACTATAGGATAGCCAGTGAATAGTATACCTACCAAGAAAAGAGGTGGATACAGTAAAAAATATATTTGCTATCAAAAGTGGTAGCTAGTATTCTTACTGGGAATATAATGTAGCAATTCTCGATGATGATGAAATCACTTTTTAACATTTACAAGATACAAATTTGAATAGATGAATATTAGTCATTTTATATCATTTTGTTACTTTGTAGACAAACATATATACGTACCATCATTGGTATAACCATAGGCAAGTGTTTTCAAAGCCAATGTATTTGCAGCTCCACTTATACATTTCCCATTGGCAGAACTGATAAGTTCTTGACCAACCTCTGAGTTTGCAAAGAAAAAATGAAATGAAAAAGAATAAATAAGTAAATCGATGAGAACTCAAAAAAAGAATACTTGTGTGCTAACAAATTTAAACCTGTGGTTCTAATTGCTGCAAGAAGAAGAGAAGGAGTAGATCGAAAACCAAAGAAATCATCAAGGCCCGTTCCTGATATATTGGTGGGAACTCGATCATCTAATCTATAAACCACCTTTTTCTGGCTGGGAAACCAACTAAAATCTGCAAATTCATGATCCTTCCCAAAGGTTAACGCTTCATCTCCCAAACCCGAATCGTTTTTTTCCATCAATGTTAGTGATCTTTTGAAGTTTGGTTGCAGCTTCAATGTAACCTACAAATTGCGAAACTTATCAAGAATATGAATTCAAATCCAATCAGGATCAATGCATGGTTGATCAAGCAAGCTAGCTAGTCAAATACTCCCCGTCCTGAAATTATTGGTGAATTTGTGATTTCAATTTTAACACAAATTGTACTAAAAATAAAATATGAAACTCGACGATCATTTTAAGACAGAGGGAGTAGTATTTGATATGCAAACCTGAGAAATAACACCAAGAACACCAAGCGAGACTTTGGCCGCATCAAGCTGAGGATCACCACTCTCGAGTGTCCTAACCTTAGCATAGCCTTCATCCGGCCCGGCCGGCGAAACTATTCGAAGCTGGACGACGGAATCATGTACGGCGCTGCCGGAACCCCACAAGGAGCTTCCATGAGCACCGGTTCCCAACATTCCACCCACAGTGACACCCAACCAGTAGGGTGCATAAGGCAAGGCCATCCCGGCCGCGGCCGCCTTACTAATCAAATCCCGGAGCATCATTCCACTCTGAACCGTCATTATCAACTCTGATTGATCCACACTAACCGTCTGATCCAGTAATTTGGTGCTAATTATGAGTCCGTTTTCGCCGCCGGGACACATTAACTTGGGAATACTGTGGGATGTTTTTGTTGCCACCTTCATTTTCATCTTCAGCATTGTTGCATTTGCTACAATTGAGATTAGCTCTTCCTCTGTGGTTGGATACGCAACTTCTGCTGCATGGCAAATGCTTCGATCCGGGAACGATCCGTATGCGTTTTCTATTGTGCAATCAAGGTTTCTATTTGAACATTTTACGGGATCAGGCGGAGGGCTACCATTAACTATGACATAAAAAATTGATAATATCATAAGGTATGATATTAGAGTTTTCATCACGACTATGAGTCACTTTATTTATTATTATTATTTTCTTTTGACCTCTTGTTCGTATAGCCACATTCCCCAACGGCGAATGTACTTTTTTATAGGTTGAAGAATGGATTCACATTCTGAGATTTGCTCGGCTCTGTTTCTTGTTGCTCCAGTACTCATCTTCATCACGATCACGATTTTCATTATTTTCATTTATTTATAATGCATGTTTTTGGGGTATACTGTGTGGGTGATGAAGGATTTTTTATATTTTAAGAAATTTTTGTTTTCTTTGATAACTGATACTCCCTCTGTCTTAAAATGATTGTATAGTTTGGATTTTCATTTTCAATTAGTAGAGTTTGAACTAAAACTGAAAATTTAATCTGAACAACATAGGAGAAATATTAATTCGTCCTTGCGTTCACACTTCCTGTACGTAACTACTCTTACACGTGAGAACTGAGATGAATTCTCCGGTTCCCCAAGCTTAATAACAAATTATAAAATTCTCTCTTCAAAAAAAAAAAAAAAGAAAGGAAACAAAAAAGTTAGCTAATCAAAATATATGAGACCTTTTTTCAGGTTAGGAGCATGTTATTAGAGTGTGTGTAAAGAAGTTACAAGGAGCAAAAACTCATATACGAAAATATACTCGATCATAGGATCAAAGTTCGGACCAAAAAATGCAAAACTTCCTGCGACTCAAATATGGTTTAATTATCGGATTTGGGATAACGTATGTATGATGATGGCAATTAATCCAAGTCTTCATTCTTTTTCATTACTAGTTGCGAGTTGTAAGTTGTGTAACGATTGCTGATTCTTTTTATGAATCTCAAGTTAGTAAACATGTTAGATTATAGTCTAACCGATAAGAAGAATTTCGAAGAGAAGAAAGTAAAACACGTACGAAATTAGGAAATGAGATATGGATCTCTTTTACTTCTTTTCATTCCTCATTTTCCTTGTAACATTAAGGTACTATTTATAATAGTGTTATATTTTTAAAAGGTCACTACTACTCTTGAGCTAATGCTAAAAATAAGGACATCAACGGCAGTGTGTCAAGTTGTAAACCGCCAACTAGTTTATCGATGTTATACACTACGTAACAATTAATATTGGACAAAAAGTTCAAATGAAATTGATGTATAGTTTTAATTTCTATCCAAACTTGATGAATTTGTTGATCCATTCATCATCATATATCCAAGGTGATCGGTTGACGTAAACATTGTACAGTCAAATCGATTAAATTTTTGGTGCTCATTAGTTTTTTTTCCTCTTTATTCTTTTTTGGGTTAAAATAAGGGTGAGTTAGGTTAGATTAGTCTCATTATGCATGCCTTCAAGTTGGAGGTGGCAAATTTTGACCCTTGGATATATTTTTTCCCCTTTCATTTCTATAGTATAATAATTCAAGTGCATTTTTTAAGGTGAAATGATTATTTGGGGTGGTTTTCTTTTCCAATGAGTGGGCTGACCAATTCGTGGATTGAAAGATGGAATTACCCCAAAGACGGAAGGTTGTCCCTTGGAAGGATTATTTATTTGCTAAGAAGACCCCATTGTTAAGGATTAATTACTTTTGTCGACCAGGAAAAATATACAAAAATGCAAGGGTGCAAACGTTAGTAATTAATTCCAATTACCAAGTTATGGTGGAATTAACATGGTAAAAACATTGTTCGGTTATTAATGTGACTATTATGATGGGGGATTTATCATGTACTATGTGTACTACTAAATAATTAAAAGAAAGCAAGGAATTTATAGAGGAGGATCATGGAGTGGCTTTTCTGATGAAGCAAAGTTGAGACACGAAAGATGAAGTTTGCGATTAATAACTCTGATGTCTGATGTTTTAATTCTCCATTGTTGTTTTGCAAATATATATGTGTATTATTACTCTTGATAAAGCTATTTTTACGAGATAAAAAACATTACAACTCGAGTATAGTAATATTTATTTATATTGAATATCTTTGATTTGCATTTGTTATTACAATAAAATTGACAATTATTTGTTTGAACTTTGAAATTCGAAAAATAATTGTTACAATCATTTGGCATCTAGATGCAATTCAGGAGTAAAAATCTAGGATGAAGAAAGTCGACAAACGTTTGCCTCCTTGTAAATTCTTCCAGGGCTACAAACGTAGCCTCCGCCACAATGGATATCTTGGGAACAAATACACAGGCCTTCTAAAGCACAACCATCCCTAATTATACTAATCCCATCTTTCAATCCAAGAATTTGGTCAGTCCATTCACTAGAAAACAGTCCATCTGGATCATATTCATTTTTAACGTTCAAGAATTCGTCAGCTTTGGCATATTTCTCTATGGCCCCTATAAAAGCAACATTCCTATTCTTCCCCCAATGTGGCAATGCTCCATATTTAAACATTGCCATTTGCTCAATCTCTTCTATAACATCTTCATAAAGCCTAGGCTTAGTTGGATCTTTGCTTCTATAATAGGTGAGATCAAAGTCCAATCCATCTTCTTGTTTGCCCAGATAAGCACTTGAATTCGTAACGTATCTCATTAGGATGCCGTTGTAGATGTCTAGTCCACATAAAGCTTTAGGCACCAAATTGACAAGACTTTGAACATCTTCGATGAAGCCCTTGACTTTTGAGAGGCCTATGCTAAATGTTGTTTGGAAAAAGAATAAGCCTTTAACTCTAGGATCCCATGGACATGCTGTCAGCAATCCATCTTGAATGCCATTTAGGCAACTTCCTGATGCTTGGAGACGATTATGATATCCAACTATGGGATAACCCTTAAATAGTATACCTACCCAAGAAAAAATGAGGGAGAATTATTGGTGAACAAACATTTTTTTTCCCTTCTATTTTTAATTACGGTTCAACCTAGTTGATATATATTGCTAGAATTAAACATTTAACGGGGACTTTGCAATCTGTTCCAATTTATTTAATTATTTTTTTAATTGGTTTATACCGTCATGAGATAAGAACTTTTTTACTTTGAATTAGTTATTTAATACAATTCTCAAAATGCAAAGAAAGATGTGCGTACCATCATTCGTGTAACCATAGGCAAGTGTTGTCAAAGCCAATGTATTTGCACCTCCACTTATACATTTTCCATTGGCATCTCTGGTCAGTTCTTGAGCAACCTCTGAATTAAAAAAAAAATGAAAAAAATAATTAAAAGAAAATATAGTTGAGTTTTATGGTATTCACCACTATTTACAGGATCATGCATGTGATAACCCCAAAAAAGGAGTAATAATAAAAATATAAAATAAATAAAACAAATTAAAAATTGTGGCTAACATATTAATTAACCTGTTGTTCTAAGTGCTGCAAGAACAAGAGAAGAAGTAGATCGAAAACCAATGAAATCGTCAAGGCCCTTTCCGGATGTGTTGGTGGGAACTCGATCATCTATTCTATAAACCACCTTTTTCTGGCTTGGAAACCAATTGAAATCTGCAAATTCATGCGCTTTTCCAAAGGTCAACGCTTGATCTCCTAAATCCGAATCGTTCTTCTCCAAGAATGTAAGTGATCTCTTGAAGTTTGGTTGTAGCTTCAAAGTAATCTACAAATTGCCATTTGGAAAAATCAACATACATAATGTTATTCGCCATATATTTTATATACTCTATCTGTCTTAATATAATTGTCATGTTTAGATCTTCTGATCTAGTGCAATTTATATTGAAAAAAAGAATCGATATTTTGAGACAGAGAGAGAGTAGTACATCATAGACTTAAAAAAAGAAAAATTCAAACCAACCATGCATGGTGATGAAGCAAGCTAGTGAAATAATGAGAGAGATATAAATTTCGTTACCTGAGAAATAACACCAAGAACACCAAGGGAGACTTTGGCCGCATCAAGATCAGGATCACCAATCTCGAGCGTCCTAACCTTAACATAACCTTCATCCGCCCCGGCCGGCGAAATGATCCGAAGCCGGACAACGTAATCATGTACGGCGCTGCCGGAACCCCACAAAGAGCTTCCATGAGCACCGGTTCCCAACATTCCACCCACCGTAACACCCCACCAGTAGGGTGCATAAGGCAAGGCCATTCCGGCATCCGCTGCCTTACTAATCAAGTCCCGGAGCTCCATTCCGGGCTGAACCGTCATTGTCAAGCTCGATTGATTCACATTAAGGGTTTGGTTGAGGAACTTGGTGCTAATTATGAGTCCATTTTCGCCGTCGGGACACATTAGCTTTGGAATGCTGTGGGATGTCTTAGTTGCCGCCTTCATTTTTCTCTTCAACATTGTTGCATTTGCTACAATTGAGATCAGCTCTTCCTCTGTTGTTGGATAGGCTACTTCGGCTGCATGGCAAATGCTTCGATCCGGGAAGGTTCCGTAAGTGTTTTGTATTGTGCAATCCAGGTTTCTGTTTGAACATTTTATGGGATCAGCTGGAGGGCTACCATTTGCTATTGCAAACAATATTGATAATATCACAAGGTATGATATTAGGGTTTTCATCTTCTTGACTAGTAGTCTTTTTTTTTTTTTCTTTCTCTCTTTTTTTCTTTTAAACTCTCAAGGTTCTGATTAATGAAGGATTCCATATAGCAAATATTTATAGGTGGAAGTATATGCCTTCTACGCGCTGCTGCGATCAGCCGGCCCTTAATTTCCTTGTGGCTTGAGTACTCAACACTCATCATCGTCATCATCAAGATTTCTCAACTATGATTATTTTTATTTACTCATATATGTACATGTTTTTCAGGGCAATATTGTATGGGTTGTTGATATTTTTGTAATGTATTTTCTTTGATTATCATTTTTAATTCTTCCCTGCATTCACACTTATAAGGTCGTACGAACTTATTCCCGTGCGTAATTAAGTTCCTTTGAATTGAGAGAATTGAGATCATTTTTACTAAGTAAGCTTGATAAACTACATATATACGCTAGTCTGTCCCCAGAAAGAAGAGTTATGCTACCTAATAAATTGAAATGATCCTTATTTTTCCCGCACGAAAAGTATATACTAAAGCTTGTATCGAGTTACAAGGAGTAATAAAACCATTAATTTATTGGTAATATATAAATGTACTTGATGATAAGATTATATTTCGAGGCGAAAAATACAAATCTTCCTACGACTCAAATATGGGGAAATTTCTTTGATCTGATTTGGGATACTGTATATATTATAATCATATAGCAGTTTAAGCCTCCATTTTTAAAAATTACGAGTTGCGAGTTGTAAGTTGTGTAACGATTCTTAATTCTTTTTGGTGAATTTTCGAAAGTTATGTTTTCTGACTAAGACTTTTCATTTGCCAATAAATATGTGGATAACTGAATTTCAAATGAAAAATTCATGTTATTTTAGTTATTAGTTAAAAGAAAAATATTACTAGTTTTGACTTGTGAGTTGGCATTTCTATCTAAACTTGATAAATTTGTTGATCCATTCATAATCCAACGTGATTAGTTGACGTGGTCATTCTCAGTCAAATTCGATTATATTTTTCGTGTTTGTTAGGGTTTCTTTTGTTCTTGAAGAGAGGTGTTCGTTAAGTTTGATTACTCTCATATATGCCTTCAAGTTGTAGATATTCACATAGACCATGACTGGATGGGACGTTCGTTTTTTTCCCTTTCATTTTTTTAAGTACATACGTACTAGAATTCGAAAGAAAATGACCGTAAATGTAAAATTGTTAAATTTATCCATAAGATAGTAATAGTTGTCACATTCATTCTTCCATACCTAATGCAAAATTTTTAAGCTACTTAATACTTTATTGAAAATTCATGCACGTACGTAAACTAACAGCCGCCTCTTTCCCCTGCTAAGTCCAAAACTCAATGAAGGAAGAAAACACAAGCCGGCGGTTTGGATATTATTATTATTATTATTTAGCGAATTGCTCCTAAAGAACTATGAGTCTCAGACTCATATGATTCAGTTTATATATGCTCCAAGTCTTTGTTAAAAAGTATGGGCTTTCTTCGATAATGGAGAGAAAAGTCAGCTGAAAAGCTTCACCATAAGTGGAAGTAAATTAACCATGAAATCTAGACCAGGAGTTGTTCAATTCTTCCATTTTGCTTGACGAGGAATGTGAATTTTCAAATGTTTTATAAAAATAGTTACAAATTAAAATGGACACAGGATCTTCTGTGGCACTTTCTTGTACTAGTCACTGTGATACAATCTAATTATTTTTTATAAATTATATAATTGTGATAATACATATACTATTCACAATCTCTTTCGAATTTATATATTTTAGAACTAATGGTTAACTTTTTTGTGTTTAACAAAAGTGATCTATTAACATGATTGTGTTCTTTCTTCCTTTTTTTTTTTTTTTCATTTTTGGGTAAAAAGATTATGCTCTCTAGATTGGGGTATACTCCCTCCGTCCCATAATTATTGTCCACTTTGCCTAAAAAATTTTGTCCTAAAATTATTGTCCAATTTGACTTTTTATGTATCAAGTTACACATTTGTCCTTAGTAAAAAAAATTATTCATAAAATCTTAGTAGTTAAACAATTACTTATGTAGGGGTATATCCGGTTGTTTAAGGTAAAATATAGTTAAGTTTGACCAAAAATAAAATCTTTCATTTTAGTAAAATTGGACAATAATTATGGGACGGAGTGAGTATATGATATATATCTCACTAAGAGGATGTTACAAGAAGTCTATATTGTATGACGCAGATTGCCTCAATTCTATAGCCACATGCTTTAATTTGCACATCTTCAACTTCAATGAAATTCTTAGGATTTGATGAACTAATGCTGATTCCAATTTCAAAGGAGAGGCCCTTAATTAATTAACTTGGCGGGATCCCAACTGCAAGCATGCAGTTTGTAGATTAGGCAATTCATAATATGAACTCTGTTTTTATATATTTGGTCCAATGTAATTCGTAGTATTATATTGATAATTAAATACTTTCTGTCCGGAAATAATAGTTTAATTTTAAATTTTTATTTTTAATTCAATAAAAATTACAAAAGTGAATTATTTTGGCACGCTACGGGTGTAAGAAATGAAGATGAAGTTCGTATATGTAATAAATTTATTTAGTTCTTTTTTTATTCAAATACTTTTTACTTTAAATATAAATAAACTTAAGGCACATACTAGTTTGTCATGATCTTTTAAAAAATAAACTTTTAAACTTTTATGGAAAAATAAACTTTAGACTGTAGTAAATATGGAAAAATAAACTTTCAAAAATCATTACCACTTACCATTTGACTTTAGACTGTAGTAATATAGCGGACGATGCTATTGCAAAAATAAGTTTGTTCATGTAATTTGAAATTTCGATTTCTGCCTCGCGAAATATTAATTCTCCTTTTCAGTTATCACTATAATCACCTTCTCGCAATTATCTTATCGATTATTCTTTGAAATTTCTTTTTCAGGATGTCGGTCAAAAATTCATGCCACTGGCCCAGACTTGCTTTTATTTCAAAAGAGTGTGTATCTAGTACATGTACGACTAATTAAAGTATCCGCATCATAATTTTATTGACGAGTACTATTTTTGTTCTTACAAAATAGTTCACATTTTAATAATACAAGATCTTTTGTAATACGTCTTGTACCACTTATCGTAACACAATCAATTATATCTTATAAATTATATAATCATATACTTTCTTGTACTACTTACCGTAACACAATTCAATTATATAATTTTTGTGTTTAACAAAAGTGATCTATTAATACAGACAAGTTTAGCAAGTTGAAAAAATACTTTTAACCCCCGGTACTAATGTTTTAGAAAAGGGAATAATTTTTTTGAGTTTGTTCACTCATTAGCCTGTCACTTGCCCTTCCTCTTAACAGGCATGTCATTCACTGTTTATCCAGTAGTAGGGTATAACAATCACCTCCAATCATCTGGATCATGTCTTGATAGTCCATAGGATGATCTACAAACTTCATGCAGTTGGGATCCAAGAATAAATGGTGTCTTCTTCTTTGACATTGGAATCAGCGTTAGTTTGTCAAATGCTAAGAGTTTCATTGAAGATGTGAAAAACCTTGTGGCTTTGCAACCTGAGGCATTCTGCGGTATCGACGTTTATGGCGGTATGTTACTGAGATATGTTAAAGCTTCAAGTGCTTATTTAGGAAAAGATGAAGATGCTCTCGAGTTGGATGTTCTTTACTACAGAAGCAAGGATCCAATGGCCCCAAGATTACACCAAGATTTCTACGATGAGATTGAGCAGATTGCATTGTTCAAATATGGAGGGATACCACATTGGGGTAAAAATAAGAACATGGCTTTTGTGGGAGCAATCCACAAGTATGGAATTCAAGTTAATTCTTGAAGGTGAAGCAATTGTATGATCCTTTGGGTTTGTTTTCTAGTGAGTGGACTGACCAAATTCTTGGATTGAAAGATGGGATTGACAATATGAAGGAAGGTTGTGCTTTGGAAGGATTATGCATTTACGAAGAAGATGTCCATTGTGCTCCGAAGAAGGGTTATTTTTGTCGACCAGGAAAAATTTACAAAAACGCTAGGGTTTGTGCGCTCCTCCACCACCAAATAAAAATGCATTTGCTTGGTAATTAATTTATCTACAACCAATTGTCAAAATTATTGTTGATCAGTTATTGTAATAAAATATATGTGGTAATGTCAAAATTCAGTGATTGCTAGTCAACAATCAACTCGGATTATCAAAATTCCATTGGAAATCTTTTGATTGGAAGCACATTTTCAACGAATAAATTCCAAGAAGTCAGAATTATTAAAACTTCAAAATGTATCATCAAAGCGATTAGCTCTGCAAGCCTTAGACTATGAAACTAATAAAATCCACACATATGGTCAAAAGACTCAAAACCCAAAAAATACCTTACAACGTTTTAGTTGACAAACTGAGCATAAAACCACAAGGGACACAAATAAAGCTATTGCATCACGACCCCTTTCCAATAATTTCATACTTCCGACTTTAGATATCTGTCGCGGATTTTTACCTCACCTTCAAGGAGTTTGTTGCACCCCCCGCCACTTCCAAGGTGGTAAACTTAAAAACAGTGAAGACAAGTACTCATCAGAATACATAAATAAAGAACTCATATATAAATGAAGCACACCATATACAAATGGAAAGATCTTCAGCTACAATCTAATTAACGTGCAAGAAAGAATGCAGGAAAGAGATCAGAAACATACCCCTATAAGCATCCCTCTTCGATTTATAACCAGAAAGGATTATAGCTATCTGGGCACGGTTTCTAGCTACATCTAAAGAGACATAGCGTTTGTGACTGCAAAAAAGAAAAATAATAATAATGATAAATAAAAAAACACCAGAAACTAGTTTCAAAAACTGGATTGGAAAAATAGCGTCCAGCATAATATTTTAACGAATTACATAGGAGTGGGTATAGGAGAATGGCGCATACCCAAGCCGCAGGAAATTACAAACCCATGAACCAGATCCAATGCCAAGTATTTCATCTTCAACTACTTCCCCTTTCCCGTTTATGCAATAAATACAGGCCCACGCTCCTACACAAAGACCAAATAAATCACCACTTATATATTTTGACGAAAAATGAAAGAACAGGCAATGAGACAGTTCTACTTTAGAATATACACAGAATTTGAAATTTATAAAGCAAATTAAACGAACTACCGATCCATTCCACACAGCGATTAATATTCCATTCGACAATTTCTTATTGGAAGCCGACAAAGTCTCAGCCAGCCACTTCAACACCTCTGAAACCGAAGCTTTCCTCCCCTCCGTCTCTTCTTGTTGGTGGCACTGCAACACATTCCAAAATCATTTCTTAGTTGCCTTTCTTAGTTTTCACCCCAAACAATACAAGGGATAAAACTAGCAAGTACCTTCTTCTGCAGGTCTTGAAGAATAAATTCGCTTCCTCCAGATATGATGGCAAGCACGTGCGAATTGAGTTCAACAACGTTCTTCTTCGCAGACTTTGATGCTATAAATTTGATGACGGAAGTTAATAATGGAGTACAGTACATACACATTATGAACAAGTAATATATAGATTAACCTGGTTAACGAACAAACATTTGCTTAAATGATCAGTAGCTACAATCTCTCCCCCTAATTCCAGCGCGGACAGAGAATTTGAAGGGACAAATATATTTATTACCTTGGTGGAGGATTCGCGCACATCCATTTCCTTCTTCTTTTTTCTTTTCCCCTTAAATCCAAGCAAAACAAAACAAAACAAATTCTTTTTAATTCGCGGACATTACTTTTTGGCAAAGGAAAAAAAAAAAAAAAGTTTAGATGGCATCAACCCTACGAAATTCGAAGAAAAAAATGAGAATCGAAAGCAACGGAGATATTACCTTTTAGGATTGTTCAGGTCGACCGAAATCGTTCGTTCTCACTTCAAATCTGAAGCAAAACACACAAAATCAGACCAAGATAAACGAAGATGATTCAATTGATATAAACGAAAATCGAACCCCGAAACAAAAAGCAACAGAGAGTAAGCCCTAATTCGATGAACAGAAGAGGAGGGCGGTCGGAGGTTTCTTTTAACCCTCCAAGATTTGGCCATATAACGATCCGGTCCTTAACATTTAATAAATTTGGACACACTAATTAACCGATGATCCCTTCACCGGACAAACATGTAAGCCAACCGGCTCAGGGCCCTATTTTTGTGATTGCGATGGACTAAATATAACCCACTTAATCATTAACGGAGCTCACTTTATGACTATTTTGTCCTTTTCATTATTGTTTAAACCCTGCTCAAGGGATATATGATATTACCAGAATTCGGGGTTTATGATAAAACAAGTCAAAATTTGGGGTTTAAAATGTACTACGCCCTAGTATGTTGTTGCAGATGAATCAATAAAATTTGAAAAGTTTCATTATGAATTTATTTTTCTTGAAGGCCCATATAAGCCCACATGTGGTTCCACCTCAAAACCAATTGGCAATGAGGGGAGTAGCACATGAGATATATATGTTGAGTTCAAGAGTCTTCTTCCATCCATGTGGGACAATGAAACATGAGGTCATTTCTTTCTTTCATTCATTTAACACGCCCCTCTCAAGCCCAATAGGCTTGGACGGGTGATTTTATGTTTTTTTTACGCCCCTCTCAAGCCCAATAGGCTTGGACGGGTAATTTTATGAACATGAGGTCATTTCTTTCTTTCATTCATTTAACACACCCCTCTCAAGCCCAATAGGCTTGGACGGGTAATTTTATGTTTTTTTTTACGCCCCTCTCAAGCCCAATAGGCTTGGACGGGTAATTTTATGTTTTTTTTTTTTTTCAGTCCTGCGATCGGTTATTTTCCCGGATAAACCGTCGCCTGCCGGGTCAGTCAAAATTTAAAGTCAAACCCTGGATTTCTTCCGTAGGTTGGTCAAAGTTTCAAGACCCAATCTGGGTCAATCTACCTCGCCCCACATGTCCCACAGGTCCGCGGATTAAAACCCGCTCTGATATCATCTTGAAGGCCCATATAAGCCCACATGTGGTTCCACCTCAAAACCAATTGGCAATGAGGGGAGTAGCACATGAGATATATATGTTGAGTTCAAGAGTCTTCATCCATTCATGTGGGACAATGAAACATGAGGTCATTTCTTTCTTTCATTCATTTAACAATTTTACTATTAGTGATATCCGTGTTGCACGTTGTGCAACCAATACTTTTTCGAATTAATTTACTTCATTGTTGTCCCAGAAATCTATAAGGATGAATTTATAATTGAAATTATATGTTCAGATAATCCCTGAAATTATATAATGCCGAATATTTATCTCATTATAATCATAAAACAAATAAAGTGTGGCAGTCTTTTTTTTTTTATCGTCCTCTTTTTCTTTTTCCTTTTTAACTTTAAAATTGCTTTGTTGGTTGGGTTATTAATATGAGAAAAAAAAAATTAAGGAAACATTCACTGAAAAGTTTTTAAAAAATTTTGTAAATGAAATATGAACTATGGCACTCTGTCATCGTCATTATCAAATTAATATAAATTATAGAAAAATTAAGAGTTTTTAGAAAATTTTGTAACTGAATCCAACACCTTAACGATCACATTATTACTATTGAAAGGAAGAAGAAGAGTATGAAATAATATCAAGTGCCCATAGTTTATTATACAATATATAATAGTGTGCATTAATATGGCATCGGTTATTTTTTAGAAATGTGTCATGTCACAAAATTAATAAAATGAAGCATTGCACGAAGAAAGGCTTGCCCACCAAATAGCATTCTAGTTCTAAAGACAATAAATCAAAACTGTAATTAGTTCATATCTCAGCCTTCTATTTTTTATGTCCTGAGTAGAACGAGAAAGTCCTTAGAGCATAAAAAAATTACATAAATCGAGTATGAAACCCTCAGTAACTGCCGTGCCAACCACGGCCTAATGACTCAATTTTATTTTTTTTTTTCATTTTTTGACAGTTATTTACTCATTCATTATATCATTATAATTAGAATACTTCCCCAAGTGTTTGTTACTACTGGTAGTATACATACGTGTACGTAATAATTGATCCCACATATAGTTGACTAACAACACAAGCATGACATTTTGATATGGTCCATCGTTCTATAGTTGCATAGCCTTTGAAAGCATGAGCATTTTGGGAAATGGTAGCGTTTCTCTAACAAAGAAAAGTTCCCTTCAAATCTTTTAACATTTAGCATTATGTCAATTGCGTCCAAAATTTAAACAAACTAATAGTCCAAGACTTTCTCAAGGGGTTAAACTCTGCCAATAGGATCCTTCGACATACATTCTGTGTTTCTTGCCCTTCAACAATTTTATTAAGATTATTCAGTTTTTTTTTTCAAAACAATCATTTTAGAATAAAAAATATATAATAAATAATTTTTTCCCGTATTTCAAAGTTCAATCGGACTCAGAACCACATCTAAAATATACTAGTGATGTCTGGTCGCGCAATGCGCGACCCTGGCCCAGTCTATCTGTAGATCTTAGAAATATTTATATTTGAAAAAAAATAAAATTTTGTATTTGTAGCGATATATTTTAGAAATGTTTGAAGGATTTAGAAATGTTTTACAAGTGTGATCATAGAAATATTTGTATTTCACACAAAAAAAAAAGAAATTGTATTTCGCCATGTATGTTTTAGAAATGTTTTATAAGTGTTACTTATTAAATATAAATAGCCTTAATCGAATAAATGTGTTGAAGTAAATGTTAGATAAAATATAAAAGCATCCTAATAAATTTAAATATTAGTAAGATGATTTATTGATGTTTTCCATTGGTCGTGCCAAATCAATACTTAGTTTTGGTAATTTTTAATAGTTTTGTAATAAGCTTCATCCGAAGGGTATACGCTTAAAACAAAGTTGGCACTTTGTAACAAAAACCTAATTGATCAATTCAATTTAAAAAACCACTCTAGTTGAATGAAACATAAAGAAAAAATAAAAAATAAAAAAAACGTGTCATGTAAAGTGCAAAGGAAAATTTAGTAATTTAGTTATGGTTAGACAAAAGGGCAATTTAGTACTTTCTACATGCCACGTGGCAATCATATGAGGTGTTTGAAAGGGAGGTTTTTATTTCTAATATAGTAGGATGTGTACTATACATTATCTTTACCCCTTCTATATGAAATATCTGCAGACAAATTTGACGCCTTTAGATCAAGCATTGATGCATGGATCGTTCGTATGTCCTATTTATACCGGGGGTTGGTCCATGAAACTTAATCGGGGACATTATTTTGCCGCTTTTTGGTTAGGCGCACACATTATTATCTACTAATAGTACCCAGCACATAATTATGATATCTGACACCAAGTTTCCAAAGTCATTTGTCTACTCTAAATTCGAGTTGAATCAATGTTAGTTTGGTAACGCAATTTGATTCTAGTTATGGAAAGAAAATCTTGCCTCCATGATAAACCCTAAAAGTCAAAACTTGTTCGTTGTAGCTAATCTACACCGCGAAAATATATTATCCATTTAAAAGTGAACAATATCCATCGACGTTCATGCATTTGACTTGTAGAATTAATTAACCATGGTACATACCCTAGTAAGTAGCAACGCCAGCAAAAGCCCACATGGTATGCCCATTCAATCTTGTCAGTTGGGTCAGTCGATTAATCACAGCATTTGAAAGCCATAAATCTTCTTACTTCCACACCTATAAATTTTTGCCACTGGGAAGGCCATTTATTGTCAACCATTTTTCCCAAGTACTACTACTAATAATTCAAAAAAAAGAAAGAGAAAAAAAAAATCATAGTGATCATGAAGATTTTGATATCATGTCTAATTACCATGTCAATGTTTTATGGCATAGCAAATGGTAGCCCTCCAGCTGATCCCATAAAATGTTCAAATAAAAACCTGGATTGCACCATACAAAACACTTTCGGATCCTTCCCGGATCGAACCATTTGTCATGCAGCCGAAGTAGCCTATCCAACCACAGAGGAACAGCTGATCTCAATTGTGGCAAATGCAACAATGTTGAAGAGAAAAATGAAGGTGGCTACTAAGACATCCCACAGCATTCCGAAGGTAATGTGTCCCGAAGGCGAAAACGGACTCATAATTAGCACCAAATTACTGGATCAGACGGTTAGTGTGGATCAATCGGGCTTGACAATGACGGTACAGCCCGGAATGGAGCTCCGGGACTTGATTAGTAAGGCGGCCGCGGCGGGGATGGCCTTGCCTTATGCACCGTATTGGTGGGGTGTTACTGTGGGTGGAATGTTGGGAACCGGTGCTCATGGAAGCTCGTTATGGGGTTCCGGCAGCGCCGTACATGATTACGTTGTCCGGCTTCGGGTAGTTTCGCCGGCCGGGGCGGATGAAGGTTATGCTAAGGTTAGGACGCTTGAGAGTGGTGATCCTGACCTTGATGCGGCCAAAGTCTCCCTTGGCGTTCTTGGTGTTATTTCTCAGGTTGCATTTATATATATCTCTCTCTCAATGTTTCACTATCTCAGAAATATTGTTTGAGTTAGTGATGTACTTAAAAAATCAATCAAAAATATTATCCATGATGCTTAATTTGTTCCAAATGGCAATTTGTGTAGGTTACTTTGAAGCTGCAACCAAACTTCAAAAGATCAATCACATTTTTGGAGAAGAACGATTCCGATTTGGCATATCAAGTGCTAACCTTCGGAAAGGAGCATGAATTTGCGGATTTTAATTGGCTTCCAAGCCAAAGGAAAGTGGTTTATAGGATTGACGACCGAGTTCCCACCAACTCATCAGGAAATGGCCTCAATGATTTCATTGGTTTTCGCTCTACTTCTTCCCTTCTTCTCGCGGGGCTAAGAACGATAGGTTTGTAAAGCCACAAAAGGTTTTTTGGTGTTATCAATGAATTAGATATACATGAACTATACTGTCAATTTTTACTTGTTTTTAAAAAGTTTTTGTTGAATGAAACAGAGGCTGGTGAAGAAATGACCAAAAATGCTAATGGAAAATGTATAAGTGGAGCTTCAAATACATTAGCCTTGACAACAAGTGCCTATGGGTACACAAATGATGGTACGTGCCATTTTCCAAAACGACTATTTATGCATTTATTATTGAACTAAAAAAAACGTGTTCTTTGTGACTTTGTGGACCAATTCTCGCGGAAAAGAATTATTGTCTATGACTTGCAATAAATTTGCTACTCCTTCTTTGTTGTGAAAGTGAACTCTGAAAGTGAGATGGTCAATCGAGGGATTATTAACTTTCTTCAGATTGTTAGATTCCCATCACTGTTGTCCCTATATTTTCAATAGCCTCTCATGTGAGCAAAGTTTCTTATCATTTGTTCCTCTTCCTTTCATTAATGTATAATTTTCTTATTTGATCCACTTATTTCTTCATAGGTATACTATTTACGGGCTATCCTGTTGTTGGATATCATAATCGTCTCCAGGCATCAGGAAGTTGCCTAAATGGTATTCAAGATGCATTATTCACAGCATGTCCATGGGATCCTAGAGTTGAAGGATTGTTTTATTTCCAAACCGCATTCAGCATCGGCCTCTCAAAAGTCAAGGGTTTTATTGAAGATGTTCAAAGTCTTGTCAATTTGGTGCCTAAAGCTTTATGTGGACTAGACATCTACAACGGTATCTTAATGAGATACGTTACGAATTCAAGCGCTTATCTGGGCAAACAAGAAGATGGATTGGACTTTGATATCACCTATTACCGAAGCAAAGATCCAACTAAACCTAGGCTTTATGAAGATGTTTTAGAAGAGATTGAGCAAATGGCTATGTTTAAGTATAGAGCGTTGCCACATTGGGGGAAGAATAGGAATGTTGCTTTCATAGGGGCCATTGAGAAATATGCCAAATATAATGAATTCTTGAGGGTTAAAAATGCTTATGATCCAGATGGGCTTTTTTCAAGCGAGTGGAGCGACCAAATTCTTGGATTGAAGGAAGGGATTAGCATAGTTAAGAATGGATGTGCTTTAGAAGGGCTTTGTATATGTTCCCAAGATATCCATTGTGCTCCTGAATCAGGCTACTTTTGTAGGCCTGGAAGAATTTACAAGGAAGCTAGAGTCTGTAGATTTTCTTCATCCTAAATTGTTCCCGAGAAAAATAATTTAGGTCAAGATCAACTCGTAGGCATGTTCCCCCCTCCCCCAAAACCAATTGTAAAGTCTCAATGAATTATTTACGAGTATACGCCACAAACATAATAACACCGCCTGACACCAATTAATGAGTGGACTAACCAAATTCTTAGATTGAAAGATGGAATAAACATTATGAAGAAAGGTTGTGATTTGGAAGGATTGTGCATTTGCGAAGAAGACATTCATTTGTGCTCCAAATAAGGGTTTATTTTTGTCGACCAGGAAAAATTTACAAACACTCAAGGGTTTGTGCTCCTTCACCACCAAATGAGAATGCATATGCTTGGTAATTATTTACATCCAAACGTCTAAAATTATTGTCGGTCATTTAATGTAATGAAAGAGTTTGATGTGATAATTTCATTATTCTGATGGAGGCCGATGATGTATTCTGTAATGTTTACTACTAAATATTTGTCCCTTTCCTGGCTATCGCGTAATGATGCATCGTTAATTTAACTTTAACCGTAAACGTTACTCTATTTCACCGTCCTCAAGCCAGTTTCAGAAAAATGATAAACATGCAATTATTTTTAAATACAAGATGTATAGTTTACCATAAAAAAAAAAATTCATTTTTTCTTTTATTATTGCTCCTCTTTCTTTACTCTTCTTTTCTCTTTTCTTTTTTTTCTTTTTCTTAATTATTATCAATCCTTGAAGAAGTTTAAGTTTATACGTCGCTTATACTCCCTTCGTCCATAATTATTGTCCAGTTTGGTTTTTATTTCTAGTTTAAATTGTACTAAAAGTGAAATCTCAAACTAGATAATAATTTTGGAACAGAAAGAGTATGTATCTATGCTATAATTAATACAAACACTAATTAAATTACAAGAAGTAAAATTCTCAAATAACCAAAACGAATAGTCACTTATTTTAATTAAGAGTAGAAATGTAAAACGAAAAACCCATCAAAAGTTCAAAACTGGAGTAGATTTTTTGGGACACCTCCATACTTATTGATTACATAAACACATACCTCTCCTAATTTTAGAACTAGTGGGTACTATGAGTCGATATTTTTTTTTTTGGTGAACTAGTGACATGAGTCGATATTCGATAACATGTTCCACCCCTTTCAGTTGACTAAAGCATTGGTAGGGCCTGGTCAAACGTTCTCTGCTTTCCAGCTCTGAAGAATGGAAAACTTGTGAAAATTGGACATGATAATGGTAGCTATAACGTTTCATTAACCAACAAGGAAATTTTTTTTCCTTCAATTATTTTAACATTTAGCATTATGTCAATTGCTTCCAAAATCGAAACAAAGATTAGAGGCCAAAACTTAATCAAAAGGTTAAACTCTTGTCTGCCCAATAGAACATTTAGATTTTGTGTTTCTTGGCATTCTACAACTTCGGGACGGCTCCAAAATTGACATACACAGACCCCATTAAGAGCAAATACTCAATGTATAACAATTTAGTTATACTTTGGGAAAAAAGAAATCTTGTCCCAGTAATACTCCATGTATACCTAAAGTCAAAACTTGTTAATGGTAGCTGATATAATCCATAAAAATATGAATTTAATTAGAATGATCATCATCTTGCTGGATTAATTCATTTTGACTTGTAAACCATATTTTGGTACGTAAGACATACCTAATAAGTAGCATGCCAACAAAGCCCACATGCGTCCGCTCTCACCATCAATCTTGGCAGTTGTGTCCATCAAATTAATCACACCATTTGGAGCCATTCTTCCATACCTCTTAAGATTTTTGTCTCTAAAGCTACTTAGTAGTTTTCTATTTATTTCCAACAAAGGAGGCTAAGATTAACACGGGGGGGAGGGGAGGAGAAAAAAAAAAGAGTACTTTCAGTCATGAAAATTTTGATATCATACGTTACCATATCATTATTGTTCTATGTCATAATATATTGTAGTCCTCCTGAAGAACCCATAAAATGTTCAAGTTCGAATTCCGATTGCACCATACAAAACGCTTACGGATCCTTCCCGGACCCAAGCATTTGCCATGCAGCCGAAGCTGTGTACCCAACAACGGAGGAAGAGCTGATCTCAAAAGAAGTTTTAAAGAAGTTTTTGTTAAATGAAAATTAGAGGCTGGAGAAGAAATGACCAAAAATGCTGACGGAAAATGCATAAGTGGAGCTACAAGTACATTAACTTTGACAAGTGCCTATGGGTACACAAATGATGGTACTACCATTTTCCTAACAATTTCTGTATTTATTATTGAACAAAAACGTGTTCTTTGTGGACCAAATCCTTGCTACAAAAGAACGATTGCCTATAACATGTAATAAATTTGCATTCAATATGTATGCTACTCCTCCCTCTTACTTTCATAATCCATTTTCTGTGTTGTAGTGGTACTACAACAATGTCGTCCCTATATTTTCAAGAGCTTCCCTTATAGCAAAGTTTCTTATCAGTTGTTCCCCTACTTTTTTTTTCCATTAAGGTGTAATTTTCTTATTGTATCCCTTTTCTTCTTTTGATAGGTATACTATTCACGAGCTATCCTATAATTGGATATCATAATCGTCTCCAGGCATCAGGAAGTTGCCTGAATGGCATTCAGGATTCATTAATCACAGCATGTGCATGGGATCCTAGAGTTTGAAGGCTTGTTTTATTTCCAAACCACATTCAGCGTAGGCCTCTCAAAAGTCAAGGGCTTTATTAGAGATGTCCAGAGTCTTGCCTATTTAGCGCCAGAGACATTGTGTGGATTAGATATTTATAACGGCATCTTAGTGAGATACGTTACGGATTCAAGTGCTTATTTGGGCAAACAAGAAGATGGATTGGACTTTGATATCACCTATTACCGTAGCCAAGATCCAACTAAACCGAGGCTTTATGAAGATGTTTTAGAAGAGATTGAGCAAATGGCACTGTTTTACGTATGGAGCATTACCACATTGGGGGAAGAATAGGAATGTTGCTTTTATAGGGGCCATTGAGAAATATACCAAAGCTGATGAATTCTTGAAGGTTAAAAATGAATATGATCCTGATGGGCTGTTTTCTAGTGAGTGGACGGACCAAGTTCTTGGATTGAAAGAAGGGATTAGTATAGTTAGGAATGGATGTGCTTTAGAAGCAGGACTTTGTATATGTACCCAAGATATCTACTGTGCCCCTGAATCAGGTTACTTTTGTAGGCCTGGAAGAATTTACAAGGAAGCTAGGGTCTGTAGATTTTCTTCATCTTAAATTGTTCCCGAGAAGAGTAATTTGGATGAAGATCCACAGGTATGCATGTTTTTTCGGTTTTTTTTTTTTTTTGCTCAAAACAATTGTTGTAACTTCTCATTGAACTATTTACGATTTTACGCCACACATTTTGAGAATTACACCAATCAAAAAGTCGGACTAATAAATCTAATCAACAGTTCAACACCAAGTAAATTTCTTCCAAACTTTTTCCAGCACGATTATTTTGTTGGATGTCCGAATCCCTATTCTCTATCTTTCAAGTACTCCCTCCCTTCCGAAATTATAATCTAGTTTGGATTTTCAATTTTAGAATAAATGAAAATAAAAATCCAAACTGGACACTGATTCTGAAAAAGAAAGAGTGGAAATTAGTCTGGAGATGTTTGGGAGGCAACTCCTAAATGATTCCTTGTATTGTCATGGTAAAGATTGCATGGGTACGAAATGTTGCATTTGTATTCAAGCATCAAAACCAGAATCCAGAAGGCATATTATTCCTTTCTGAATGTTCACATTTGGTACTTCCTCATCCTAACCATAAGTTTTGATGGCCATCTTAATAGTGTGGTGGGATGGACAAGTTTGAAAGGAAGCATGGTGGAAGAATACAAAATTTTTAGAGTTGGATTTGTGAGCCTAAAAAGGATCCTCCCCTTTTTGTGCTACTTTTATTTTATTTTTTTTGTCTTTTGTAACCTGTCACACTTCACCTTATGCCAAAGTTCAATTTGATTCCTCCATATAGATACGTTTGACTGCTCCAGTGTAATTATATGATTTCTATCTTCAACAAAAGAAACTATACATATAAGTAGTACCACCCAGTTGAAAACATATCCTCATGAAAAGAAATATACTGAATCAAATCAGAATTAATGTGAGTGTGACCTTATGCATAGTATAACTTCCAGCTGAGAAAAGACATCATTGATTTATGCTAAATATGTGTGTAGAAAGAATACAAAAACTTGGGAACCACCCCCACCAAGTGTTAATTGCCGCATGATGTGGCCTATGACCGATCCATCATCTTATATTTTGTTTACAAAAAAAAATAATAATAATAATAAAGGATGCGTCTTCTTTTGTTCAGAGATATCTGCAATTGCATCAATATTACCAAAACTGCTGAGAAATGAGAGACGAAATAATGCACAAAGTGGAATCTTTGCTGGCAAAAGGACCGGTTAGGCGTGTGGCGGGCGTGTGCTCAGTAGGCGGTTCCTGAAACCCAACTTTGGATTTATCTATTTTGTAACCGCATCTCATCATCTTTATTGTTTATGTGATGACAATGTAGCATTCCATGGTTTTTATCAGCCATATTTTCTGGTACCATCTTCACTAATATAGGGAAGGCAAATTTCTCCCATAACAAATAGTACTCCCTCGTTCCCAAAATTATTATATACTTTAAGATTTCACTTTTAGTACAATTTGAATTAGAAATGAAAACTCAAACTGGATAATAATTATAGGACGGAGGAAATACTACTATAATATATACTCACTCTCGTTTTCATTATAACTGAATGCGAATTAGTCCAATTAATAATTTCGGACATCAGATGTGTAATACACAGTACTTTAATTTTCATTCAGGAAACAAATGGCAAAGATCCGGATTAAGAAGAATATAATAGAGAGACTCTTTATCACTTGAACCATGTTAATGTGATCCGGATTACTACTGTAAATATTTTTCCAAAAATGTTTTACCTCTAATCATCACATCGAACGGGTACTATATATAAACGAACCACAGGAATCCTGTCAAATCGGAAAAACTCAAAAAGGTTTAAAGCCCAAAGGTTTCAGAGTACAAAGGAATCTGTGCCTTTTTGGTTATCAAGATTTTACATAACTGAATTGCCAAGATTTCTATTCCTTTATATACCAATCTGTTTAAGGTATCCTTGCAAAGCGATTCCAAACAGAAAGCCCCTTTTTATTAATTTAAGCAAAATATAGAGAGTTGCAAAACAGAGTTTTTCCATCATGGCTGAAGAACAACAGAAGCTTTTGCTGGATGAACACACAGAGAAGCATTTCACTGCCGGAGAAATTGTTCGTGACATCATCATTGGCGTTTCTGATGGGCTCACCGTCCCTTTTGCCCTGGCCGCCGGACTTTCTGGGGCTAACGCGTCATCTTCAATTATACTCACCGCCGGTATTGCCGAGGTTGCCGCCGGTGCCATCTCTATGGGACTTGGAGGGTATTTTTTATTTTTTATTTTTTATTTTTTTTTCCCTTTCTTTCTTTGGTTTTTTTTTTTCAATTTGAACTTTTGCATTTGCGATGTTTAATTTAGAAATGATTTCTGTTATAAAGGGTAGAATTTATTTATTTTTTGGCAAGTGAATTTTGTTCAATTAGGACCGATTCTTCCATGCATGTTTGCTATCACTAAGGAGTAATTAGGAGATCAGGGTTCTAGAAATCCAGGACGCAATTCCTCATATATGCTAGTGTTAAGGCTTGTGTGGCACTGTAATTGATTTTGGATGTTTATACAGTTATCTAGCCGCAAAAAGTGAGGCTGATCACTACAATAATGAATTGAAGAGGGAAGAGGAAGAAATCGTAGCTGTACCCGATACAGGTTCGATCTCGATCTCATTCCCCCAATGATGCTCATGGCTACTGTAATTAAGTTTACAATGATGGGTAGTCCTCTAATTTGTGGTTTGGATTTTTTGAAATAATGGCGCCATGAAAATGTTGAACATGGGACCATCTGGAATTGGGGATGATTTTGTTTGAATGATGCAGAGGCCGCTGAGGTTGCAGAGATCCTGTCGCAATATGGGGTTGGACAGCATGAATATATGCCTGTGGTGAATGCTCTCAGGAAAAACCCAAAAGCCTGGGTTGATTTCATGATGAAGTAAGTGTATCTGCCCCAAAACTTCCATGTTTATTCGCCAATCCCATGAACTTTGTCTTTTATTCATTTCAAAATTCGATTCGCCCAAGATTTGGAACTATGTGGCTTGACAAGAGTACGACTATGGCATATACTAACTACTCTCTGCGTCCCAAACAAAACAAGGAATCATATTTTGCATTGTTTTGGTTTAATAAACATGATGTCGGAGGGAGGAATTTGTATAAATCATTATCAAACCTCACGATGACATATTAAGCTTAGTTATCGTTGTCCTTTCTGTTGCATCCTTTTCTTCTGCAGTTGAAATGTTCTATAATTTGTTCTTGTTGTTCCTGTCTCTCGTGCAGGTTTGAGCTAGGGCTGGAGAAGCCAGATCCAAAAAGGGCACTTCAAAGTGCATTTACCATAGCCATTTCCTATATCATTGGTGGATTGGTACCTCTTCTTCCCTATATGTTTATCCCGGAGGCAACCAAGGCTGTTGTGGCGTCGATCGCCGTCACTTTGATAGCACTATTTGTCTTTGGGTATGCCAAAGGCCACTTTACTGGAAATAAGCCATTCATGAGCGCTATACAAACTGCATTCATCGGAGCCCTCGCTTCCGCTGCTGCTTTTGGCATGGCCAAAGTTGTCCAAAGATAGAGACTCTCTGCTCCCAGATGCTCCCCAAATCTTCTTATCTGCGGTTGCTTGGCGTGCATTATCTCCCCAAATCTTCTTATCTGCGGTTGCTTGGCGTGCATTATGCTGTAATTGATGTCTTCCTCTTGGTGACCACATTGTCATATCTTGATGTTGTATTGCTTAAAAACTCTTCTAAAAAATTTAATAAATGCCCTGCTCATAATTTCTGCTGTGCCGAGTATTCAAGGAATACGGAAAGGAGATCTAACCCTTTATTCCAGTTATTATGTATCAGCTTTATTTCATTATTACCAAAACGATGTTATGGCAACGGTAATTTGATTGAATTAGTATTATTCATGTGAAATGATTGATATACGATTACTTAAACCGAGGATTTCACTAAAAAGAGGTCTAGGGTCTTCAAGCAGAGAGTCTAAAAGCAAAGCATATTTGCAGAAAATCACAGGGATGCATAGTCATAGAAAACACTTGCATCGATTTGGCAAAATTATCATTAGCTCATTAAGGACGGATGACATTAGGAAAATAAATGCCAAGAATCCGCCACAATCCCGCCTACGCGCGCGGAGAGCATTTACAATCAAGCTGGCTATCAAGAATTAAGAAAGCCCAAAATGTCCATGTTATCTGAGGTATCAACTTCTTTCATGACATCCTCGCTCTCAGCTCTCTTATTCTGATCAGATTCTTGGGCGTGGAAGGTCGACTCATAATCACCCTCTTTGGTTTCTTCAGGCTCTGGTCGAGGGCTAGGTAGAAGGAAGTGATCCATCATTAAGTCACCATCAGATAAAGAATCAGGAAGAGCAAGAGGTGTATGATTCCCAACAGAAAGCAACTTCTCATCCATAAGTCCTGAACTGAAGTCAATGTTCATAAGGAGATCTCTAATCTCATCTGAGAACTCAAAATCCACAATTTGTTGTAAATCAGAAACCGCGGAGTTACTGGAAGGCTCCGAAGCTTCATTCGCAGGAACCTGATAGGGTACTATCATTCCATCCTGCGGAACAGGCTCATCACTATCTTTCATCTCATCTGAGAACTCAAAATCCATAGGTTGTTCTAAATCAGAAACAGGAGGGTCACTGGGAGGCTCTGAAGTTTCATTTGAAGGAAGTTGATATGGTACTATCATTCCATCCGATGAAACAGGCTCATAACTCTTCACAACTCGTGTAAAGGATTTTTTACCAGGTTCGGCTGCACGCCAGTTGTTCTCTTTTGGCTGAAGCAACTGTAAGAAAATTCCAGGGTTTTGCATAGCCAGTACAATAAATGAAAGCATTTCTTGCTGATGCTTCTCCACACCTTTTAGCTGTTCTCTGAGGCGAATCAACTTACTTTGAGAAGTCTTCTGGCGGTGCCTCAATGTCATCAGCTCTTGCATGAGAACATTCCTATCGATAGTCAAGCTTTCAACTTCCTTGATGAGTGCAGCCATACTATCTTCTTTAGGTGCATGTTGATCCTTCTGCTGGGAGGGTCTCTTCTGCTCCTGGGCAGGAGTCTGTTTTCGTCTAATGATGTTCTTTAGAAGCTGTTTTTGACCTTTAACAAAATCATCATTTGAAAACTCCCAACGATCTGTATCAGATTTCCTGAATCCCTATATACAGCAGATACAAGTTAAAACGGGTCTGCTACATTCTCTTTTGTTGAAAAATATAACAAAAGGTCCAACATGTGTATAAAAAGTAATAACTTCACAATGTCAATTTCAAGGACACATTCTTCCCCTATGTTCCAAGTAATCAAATAGCTAGTTACTTGTAAATTAAGCACAAAACAGCAGTTATGCCCATCTCAAACAAGAAATACAACATTTTCAGATCCCTTGCCCGAGACGGTGTCTCATAGGTACTGCCACAGAAGGCTCTGAGTATAGGAATCCTATTAAACCCCCACCCGGAATCAAGAATTCTTCCACCATCTACACCAAAACATTAGAAACAGCAACCATAACTTCACTGGAAAGTGCCAAATTATAGTATTCGTCATTCAAAAGGAATGCCTTAACTTTGATAGGACACTCTCATCCAATTCTAAAAACTAACCACAGATAACTTCAAAAGAACGAAAACACAGCACATCAATAGAAAAAACGTTTTGAAACATGGCTGTCTGAAGCAACTATCACATTATAGCCTACAGGAAACAATTTTCTTTGCTCACGCCAGATACAAAAATCTCAACGAACTCCATTACATTCTATTTCAACCTTTACAGAGCAAAAACCCTTCAGCTCTCACAATTTTCAAGCAATGGAAATTGATTAACGTTCCAACCCACAAAAAGATTGCAAACCAAAACAAGAATTCCTCAGTCTTGGAAATAGATCACGAACGCTAAACAACCCGGCAACAGAAAACTCCAATCTATCCAAAACGAATAAAGCAGATATGGAACCCTAATACAAAGAATTAGAAATACATAGATAGATTATATAATTTGGGGGAAGGGGAGAAGTCTTACATAGATATTGAGTTGCCGAATAAAGCTGGATAAATTGCTGTGTTTGAAGTACTTGGGAAGCAATTCAGAAGAGAATCTAGAGACATCCCATATGATAAAGCTATTACTATGAGTTGGACTCCAAGAAATCAACGAGTCAGTAGATTCATCATCCACCATCTCATAGCACTTTACCAGAAAAGGAGCCACCGATGATCCATTCTCCAACGATCTCACCATAATCCAATCCAACAAAAGGGATTCCCACAAAAAACAATAGAAAGACTAAAATTCAATTTTCGAGTGTTATGAATGAATCAAGAACCTGGTTCAATTTTATCCCCCAAGATTCAATGGGCTTTTGAATTGACCGACGTTGGTGATGGAAGAAGGGGGAAGGAAAACAAAAAACATCCATCCAAGTGGGAACGTGGGGAGTTTTGCGAAATGACAATCGAGCCCTCGATGTCGATGGGGTCGGCAGATGTCTTTGGGGCAAAGGAAGGAAGAAAGTGATGAGTCTGGACGTCCACACAGCTTTCTGCTTCCTAGAAATTTCGAAATTGGGAAAAAGAGCAAAAGGTGGACAAACCTCTACCCGACCCCATTGGTTAACAATTTGGGCAAAAAAAATATCTAGATATTTTTGTCTTTTTTTGCAATAACATAAAAACTACAGTATTATTATTATTATTATTTTTCTTAAGAACAACAAAAACTTTAGAAATATAATTTTGCCTTTGTGAAGGGATTATTATCGATCCTTATTAACAGTCATTTTATTTTTTTATAATTTTTATTTATTGTATTTTAACAATTATTAATAATAAAATTTTAGATATTTTATAATAATTAGAAGAGCATAAGAAAATATGGTTTTAAATTTTTATTTTTAATTGAAAGTACACACTAAATGAAATTTATGAGAAATTAAAATATTTTATGATAAGAATCAGAGGGATTATATTACCTTTAATAAATATTCATTTTATTTCAAGAGTAAAAAAATACAATTTCATAGAGTGTATATTTGATATGCTTATATTTTACCTATTTATTATATCTCTAATTTGTGATTTTTGCAATATATTTTGAGTACAAATATGCTATTAATATGATTTTGTCTTTATTTGTAGATTTTGTACTCAAATGGAAGAATTGTTGAGATTTTGGACTAAATTGAAAAGAAAAAGTAACTCAAAGAGAGAATTGAAGATTTGTTAAATTGACGAGGAAGAAATTGAAGCACTTGAAGAGTTGGAGGAGTTTTAATTTAAATTGGCTTGAAAAAAAAAAATACTCCCTCCGTCCCATAATTATTGTACAGTTTGAGTTTTCAGTTTTAGTTCAAATTGTATTAAAAGTGAAATATCAAACTGGACAATAAAAAAGAGGACTAGGATTTTATTTTTAGAAACAAAAAAAAAAAAAAAAAAAAAAAAAAACCTACACCACCACCTTGAGCCTACGCCCAAAATTCCTCTTCTCCACTACCACGCACACCAGCCCGCACCATCATCATCACCACGCATCATCACCATCTCATCCCATCATGATCACCTTAATCATCATCATCAACTCCCCATCACCCCTCCACGCACCAAATAACCTCATCACCTCTCCACGCACCAAACCGAACCCGTACACCACCATAATTAACCCATTACACCTCAGCACCATCATCGTCAAGAGGAGCAGTATTGGATCAATTTTCGGACTCAATTTTGTGACTTCTCTCTTCCGAGTTTCATTTTTTTATTTATTTTTGAAATGATGTGTAGCTAAATTATTTAATCTAGGGTTTTGGATGTAACCGTTGTACTATTTAATTTAATTTAAGTTATGATTGTGACTTTTTCATTAATTAATATTTATTATTCTTGTTTTTCATCCATGTGAATACCTGATCAATATTGCATTCTTTAAGGTGTTAGCTAAAGTAGCGAGAGTGGAAGTCTAGTATTAGTTTGTAGGAATAATAAACTTAGGTAGTGAACCACGAGAGTAGGAACACCGCCTTTGCGACTAGTAATTCCAAAGTTCTTAATGTGCTTTTATTAATCTCTATAGTCACGAGAGTAGTCATAGGGTTAGTTTAAGTAAGAGGGTTATGACACGAGAGTGTATAATTCTTAAATTGGTAAATTATCGTGAGATTAATGAGAGTCAAAAGTCACATATCTATAGATTAAATTAAACTAAATAGTCGGTTGGTGAACCCTTTGCCCTAGGTTTTTCTTTTACTTATTTAAATCTTTAAATAATTACAATTGTTAGTTTTAGGTTTAGAATAGTTTAAAATTGATAAATTGTTAATCTAAATAATAATAGGAATAATTTATACCTGGTAATTAGTATTCCTTCTCTGTGGGTACGACCCTATTTTTCGCTATACTAGTATTAAGTAGGTGAATTTATTTGACTAGTTGTAACGACGGTTTGTCAATCTTCGGAGTTTGTTATTTTATTTATACCTTTAATTATTTCATGAATGCATCACATATGATCATGTTAACAAATACGCTAAACATAAATCTGAATAGAGATTACAATAACACTCCTTCTGTCCATATTATAAGTTATTTTAATTTGTACTAAGTCTCATTTATATTGTGTATAATTTTCTTAATGAAATGAAACTTAAAAATAATATTTATAATAATTAGAAAAACACAATAAATGTAACCAAATATTTTTAAGATTTTATTTTTTATTAAAAAATACATATAAAACTTTAGACAAATCAAAATATCGTATAATAAAGGTCGGGCCAGTTTTTATTTTTCTTCTTCTTCTTATTTTTCTCTTTTAAAAAGAAAACTGCGTTTCCCTCCATTGCAACATCTCGAAGAATGGAAAGATGGTGCAAACAAGTTTCTTGTTTTAATTTCAAAAGAACAAAAAAAGTTTCTTGTTTTGCTTGTTTTAGTCGTTTTTTCTTTTTTTGGAAGGTGTTTTCTAGCCACCAACTCTAGTTCTTTCAGCCACTAATTTCTAATTTTGGCTATTTTACCTATGTTATTTGACCCAACCAAATTGAAGGAGAGAGAGAATGAGCCACGCAAATGCATTTGGAGAAAATAAAAAAATCGGACCGAACCGAGCAAGTCATTCTGATTTACATGAGAACAGACAAATTATTAATTTTTATTTTAATATTAATTTATTTTCAGTATCGTTGCATGCTGAATATCTCGTACTTTAAATATTATTAACAATATTTATATTTTAGTGCTTAAACTCTCAACTTTATATTTATTTGAAAATAAACAAGTAATTAGTTTTTTCTTGAAAATAAATTTAAATTATTTGTTAAGTTAATTTATTTAAATTGATGTTAAAATATAAAATTTTGGTTGAATCATTATTTTTTTAAGATAATTTATAGTTAAAAATAATAATTACATATTTAACTAAGAATTAGTGATACTTAATATAACTCAAATAATAAATTATTCATAAATTTAACTAATAAAAATTTAATGGCATAAAAACTAGATTAACTAATTACAAAAAAATTAAAAATTAAAAAATAGGTCTAACCGGACCGGGCCAATTTGCATGACCGGACCGGGTTTAAGGCGGACGACTCAGAACGGGTAATTCACCCGTTCAGGCAAACAAGAGTACGTGCGGTCCACAAGTCCCGGACTAACTCGGGACGGGTTCCTTGCACGGCCGGCTGGTTTTTTAATTTTTTTTTTTTTAATTTTCAATTTTTTTTTTAGTTTTCTCTCTAATCAAATTACTCGGTTTGGAAAAATGACAGGACAAAATGATCAAAATCGAAAATTAGTAGCTGAAAGAACTAAAGTTGGTGGCTTGAAGAAGTAACGCCTCTTCTTTTTTTCCTCTTAATAGGTTTCTCATATTGGAAAATTTTAGTTCTCAAATTGGAGATTTAGTCTTCGAGATGAAATAGTCATTCATTGGCTATGGTCTGATTTTAAGAATGGAGATTTATAGTTTATAGTCTCCCATAGTGAAGGAGTCCTCTGCTTGTTGTGATTTTGAAGACTCCAGAGACTCTGTATCTTTTATGTGAAATGAAGATACACATTCGATATATATATATATATATATATAGGTGATAAAACATGATTTATCCGACATTCTAACAAGTTCGAAGTTGTGCAAATTTCATTAAATATGAATATATTTTGGGTTTCGTAGATTTCTGTATAATTGTGTGCTTCACAAAATGATACTACTAATTACTAATACGTGTTGATTGTGTAGTTTTTTTTTTTTCAATAGTGAAGTACCGAGTCGATCTGTGATTAAAAATTAGTTTTAAAAAAGAAAAAAGAAGTACTAAAAGTACTTTTCATCTATGTCACGTAATTTTTTCCCCAACCTTGTGAGCATACTTTAATTAATTTGGCGTGTGTTATATGGATATAAGGTTTATCCATCAAGTTTTATTTTTTTTTTCACAGAAAACAAAAAATGCAGCTGTTTTTGCAAAGCCCGGTGACATTTTGCCACTTAAATTAATTAATGTTCATGTTTTGCCAGATTAGCTGTCGCTTTTCATGTAAATATACACTAAACGTAAACTAAGCTGTCAAAATGATGACTGACTTTTAGCGTATGTTAAGGTCTGCATTGGAACAAGAAAAAAAGCGTAGTAGTGTTACACAGATTAGCAACAAAGCTGTAATTAATTAACATTGCATTAACAGCTGCATATGAACAGTGGAAGATCGTTAAAAACATTTTTGACTTCTATTCACATATTCTTCTCCTCCCTTTTTTACTAGTTTTCTACTTAATTATATTACTAAAATGTAGAGTATTTTTAAAAAAAGTAAACACTAGAAACTGACCAATTCGCAATGCTTACGAAACAGGCGTGGCCACTCACGTTTTGTAAATTCAGTAATTTGTACTGTTGGTAACTTTCAATATTTCAAAGACTAATAATATGATGGTCAACTCTTTATTTGTCAAGTTGTTGTTAGTAGTATTATTTTGTGAAGGTGCTGCCGTTGCAAGTTTGACCAAATTTAAAGAAATGAGTCAAGCACTTCAAGTTTTTCTCCGTATATAAAAAAAATAAAAATTAAATAACTTTTAAGATTTATGATAAATTATTAAATTTTTCATTAGCTTATTCTTTCTTCCGACCCCTAGGTTTTGTTTAGAGAACAATAACTATTTGATTTTGTGTGTGTGTGTGTGTGTGTTTTTTTTTTTTTCGGAATCAATAATTGAAATTACACCTCTATAATAGTAGTAGTATGGAATGTCAACTAAAGTCTTAAGACCTTGTGGATATGTTCACTTGAATATCTTTTGTGTCACTCATGTTACTATCTAAAAAAAGAAGTAGAATAAAGCCATAAATAAATGGAGTCAACCTCAATCCATTTGCTTATGCCTATTGAACAAAGAGGTGAAAGGGAAATGCTTCTTTTTATCCAATTCTTTTTAAATGTATATGCAACTCATTCACCAATGTTTTTTTTTTAATTTTTTTTTTTTGATAATTTGTTATAATACTCTAAAGTAGAATAAAAGTGAAGAATAGCGAAATTGCCAAGTAAAATCACTAGTAGAATATATATATACGAATAAAAGGATAAGCTTGTTGTTGCTGTAGTGCATATTTATGTTTGTTTGGTTGTTTAACCTAATTTTCTGAATTAGGTCAATGTATAAATTCACTGTAAATACTGTTCTTAATTGCTAAACCTACTCACCTAGTTATAGATAATTAGGAAAAATGCCATCTAATCAACCCTAGATTTAAAGCTTAAAGTTTAAAGTGGCAAAGTTCACATCATTGGCTGTGGAGTACAAATTAGCTTCCTCTAAGGCCAAAAAGCTAGTAATCCATACTCCATATAGATAGAGGTCAATGCACCATTGCACATTTATGAAAGTGCTTTCTTTTATTCCATTTCCCTTCTTTAATTGACTAAGGTATCAAACCCAATTTATTACATTATCCATGCATTTGGAAACCCATTTTTTTTTTTTTAACATTTCACATCATGGGGCCTATCCTCTGGCCTTCCTGAGCTTATCTACAAAGTTGCTAAAAAAAATGTGAATTATTATTAGGTACAAAGAAAGGTTCAATATAATAATGAATATAATATGTTTCACCAGTTACAGTGGACACTGGGCACAGTGGAGCAGTGTATATAACAAGCTTTTTAGGCAACTCCACCGATTAAAAGATAAGAGAAAAACATTTAGTTTGTTTTAGTTTAGCTGTCTTCTTCATTCGGAGTGTGGCTTTTTGCCCTTTTCTTCTCGAGGGTCTTCGGCTGATTTTGGGATTCAAGTTTCCAAAAAGCTGGTAAAAATTTGTACTTTCCACTGTTCTTTGATTTAATTCTTTCTGGACGGTTGTGGTTTAAGCTTGTAATTCTCCTGTCCTTTTTTCTGTGTGAGCTTATTGCTTTGTTTTGATCCTAGTCAATGTTGTTTCTTTCGGTATTTGTGGGGTTTTTGAGGGTCTTTCAGGTGGGAAAATAGTCTGTAGCTCGATTCACTTGTCAAAGATTGCGAATTTTTAATTGGTTTCTTGTACCCTTTTCGAAGCTCAAGTTTTTCCCTATTTTTCCTTGCTTGCATTCGGAAGAGGGAGAGGTAAAGTTCGTAATTTTATGAGTGTTTTTGTTTCTTGTGCTTTAGGAGGGTACTTAGTTCCTTGTAGATTTCCATTTATGTATAAATTTTGGGACAGAGAATTAAGGTATTGCTTTGATATTTGGCTTAGTTAGTCAGTGTGGTAGAAAAGTGAAAGAGGGTACATAAAAATGGTCTCGAGGTCATATTCAAACCTGTTGGAGCTGGCTTCCGGGGAAGCACCGGCACCATCTTTTGGTACCATGAGCCGGAGAATCCCTCGTATCATGACAGTTGCAGGCATTATGTCTGATCTGGATGACGATGCTTCCGATAGTGTATGTTCTGATCCATCATCATCCTCAGCTCAGAAAGATAGGATTATTATAGTGGCCAACCAGCTACCTATAAGGGCTCAAAGAAGAAATGATGGTAGTAAGGGGTGGACTTTCAATTGGGATGATAACTCGCTCCTCCTCCAATTGAAAGATGGACTTGGAGATGATGATCTTGAAGTTATATACGTGGGCTGTCTCAAGGAAGACATTCACCCAAATGAACAGGATGAGGTGTCACAGATTCTCCTTGAGACGTTCAAGTGTGTTCCCACTTTTATACCGCCTGATCTGTTTAGTAGATACTATCATGGATTCTGTAAGCAGCAGCTCTGGCCATTGTTCCACTATATGTTACCTTTATCCCCAGATCTTGGTGGCAGGTTCAATCGTTCATTATGGCAGGCTTATGTTTCAGTAAATAAGATTTTTGCTGATAGAATCATGGAGGTGATTAATCCTGAAGATGATTTTGTTTGGGTCCATGATTATCATCTCATGGTGTTGCCTTCCTTTCTGAGGAAGAGGTTCAACAGAGTTAAACTGGGGTTCTTTCTTCATAGCCCATTTCCGTCGTCTGAGATATATAAAACCTTGCCTATAAGGGAAGAGCTTTTACGAGCTCTTTTGAACTCTGATTTGATTGGGTTTCACACTTTTGATTATGCAAGGCATTTCCTCTCTTGTTGCAGTCGAATGCTAGGACTATCCTATGAGTCCAAAAGGGGCTACATTAGCCTCGAGTATTATGGGAGAACTGTAAGTATCAAAATCCTCCCGGTCGGTATTCATTTGGCACAGCTTGAGTCTGTCTTGAGCTTACCAGAGACGGAGGCTAAAGTTGCAGAGCTGATTAAACAGTTTCGAGCCAAAGGGAGGACAATGTTGCTTGGGGTTGATGACATGGATATATTTAAAGGCATCAGTTTGAAGTTGTTGGCAATGGAGCAGCTGTTGCTGCAACACCCTGAGAAGCAAGGCAAGGTTGTTCTGGTGCAAATAGCCAATCCAGCAAGGGGTATAGGGAAAGATGTGAAGGAAGTGCAGGAAGAAACATACTCCACTGTTAAAAGAATAAATGAAACATTTGGGCTGCCAGGGTATCAACCGGTGATCTTGATTGACCAACCTTTGAAGTTTTATGAAAGAGTTGCTTATTATGTTGTAGCCGAGTGTTGTCTGGTCACAGCAGTTAGAGATGGAATGAATCTCATACCATATGAGTACGTTATCAGTCGACAAGGGAATGAGAAACTCGATAAAGTATTGGGTTTCAGTCCTTCATCCTTGAAGAAAAGCATGCTAGTCGTTTCCGAGTTCATCGGTTGTTCCCCTTCCCTCAGTGGAGCAATCAGAGTTAATCCTTGGAATATTGATGCTGTGGCTGATGCAATGGACTCTGCCCTTGTGATGGCTGAGCCAGAAAAGCAAATGAGGCACGAGAAACATTATAAGTATGTCAGCACTCATCATGTAGGATACTGGGCACGCAGTTTTCTGCAGGATTTGGATAGAACATGCAAGGATCATGTAAGATGTAGATGCTGGGGTATTGGATTTGGCTTGAGTTTCAGGGTGGTGGCGCTAGATCCAAATTTCAGGAAATTGGCAGTGGAACACATTGTTTCAGCTTACAAAAGGACGAAAATTAGAGTTATCCTTCTGGATTATGATGGCACTTTGATGCCGCAGAATTCGATCGACAAGAAGCCTAGCACCAAAACCTTAGACATCTTAAATGCACTATGCAGAGACAAAAACAACACAGTATTTGTTGTCAGTGCTAGAAGTCGAAACAAGCTAGAAGAATGGTTTTCTTCTTGCGAGAAGCTTGGACTTGCTGCAGAGCACGGTCATTTTGTAAGGTATTCGATCAGTGTTTGTTTATGTATGCTTGTGATTTATTTCATGTAGCTTATGGATATGTAAGTGTTTTTACTTCATTAAGCTTCTGATCTTATAATTCCAGGTTGATGCGAGATGATGAATGGGAAACATGTGTACCACCAGTGGAATGTGGTTGGAAGCAGATTGCCGAACCTGTCATGCAACTTTACACCGAAACAACTGATGGATCTGTAATTGAAATGAAGGAAACTGCAATGGTGTGGTCTTATGAGGATGCAGATCCTGATTTTGGATCATGTCAAGCAAAAGAACTGCTGGACCATCTTGAAAGTGTTCTCGCCAATGAGCCTGTTACAGTCAAGAGTGGTCAGAACATTGTTGAAGTTAAGCCACAGGTAACTGAAATTTATGTTCTATAGTTGTGATAGGAAATTTTAATTTCTTATGTCATACAAACCCTGGCTGGCACTGGCTGTGAGATCTGTTATAGAAGTTTTACATATCTACAAGATGGCCGCTGGGTTTTCTTTTTCCCCTTCTAGTGGTCTGGAATTTGAACCCTATGTTTGCTTAATGTTTCTATCATTCCTGTTTGCAGGGTGTAAGTAAGGGACTTGTGGCGAAGAGGCTACTCTCTTCCTTGGAGGATAGAGGAATTTCTCCAGATTTCATCCTCTGTATTGGAGATGACAGATCTGATGAAGATATGTTTGAGGTCATTACAAACTCTATGGCCGGAACATCCATTGCTCCTACTGCAGAAGTTTTTGCATGTACTGTGGGCCGAAAACCCAGCAAGGCTAAATATTACCTTGATGATACGGCTGAAATCGTCAGATTAATGCAGGGTTTGGCCTCTGTTGCAGAACAGATGGTACCTCTGTAAGGTTCTTGGAGAGACAATTGAGGATGCAAAATGTAGTAGTAAAAACTCAATGATCTGAAACTCACTCATCCTTTTTTTTTTCTCTTAGCTGTGTAAATTTCTCTTAGAGAAGCCTTCAAAAAACGTACCTTTTCTGTGGTTTGTGTATTTTATATTTAGTTTTTCTACATCAGCCGGTGTTTGAGCACCATATCGGAATCTATGCAAATAGACGGGAAAAAAAATGCTTTTCAGTTACAATGTTATAGTTTTCAGTTACTTCTCGGCTGCCTAGATTTTTTTTTTTTAATTTTACAAATTGTAGGGTGTTCATCGCAGGCAACACCGCCTAGATTCTTTAAAAAATTACCACATCAGGCAACTCCAGCAAAGGGCTAGTTTCATCAGTAGTTGCGCGGGCCTGCTCCAAACTTACTACACCCAAGCAACCCATATGTTAGCTCACCGGATTCAGGTCTAAACGTATGGTTTACGGTTATAAATTGGCCTGCCTAAATTATTGTTTTCGAACTCGAAAGAAACTAGCTTCATCTGTGGCCCAAACAGTCTCATATTCACACTTAGTACAAGAAGACCAAAATCCAAGTAGAGATATAACTAAAGCTATATTTCTTTATCACTAGAATATGGTCGTCTAATCGTCAAGTTAAAAACACCAAAAAATCCACAGTACATAACAAAAAGTTGGACAAAAAAAACAAAACTATTAGTGTTTGAAAGTCATGTTCACATTATAACCTCGTTCATGCGTCAAACTCAGAAGCTGTGAATTTTTTTCCAAACAGATTATTTACCAATTAAGTCAAGAGTTATTATACTATTTCAGCTCCGTGTGTGTCTGGTGTGAAGCCAAGAATGCTAAATTGCCAGTAAAGAATCTCACACCGCGCAAAAAAAAAAAAAAAAAAAAAAGAGAGAGAGAGAGAGAAAGCAGTCAAAGTTTGGTGCTGGATCCCCATATATATTTTTATTTAAACCAAAAAAAAACCCAAGAAAGAGCATCAAAATTTCTAGAGAATTGAATTCCCCCCAATCTCAATGATCCCCTATTCCAACAAGTACAAAGTCTCTTCCCAAATCTCTTTTACCAAGTCTCTTGTGTCATCTTATTCTACTCATTCCATTTTCAAGCTTCCTTTTTTTTTTTTTTCTACTAAAAATCTCCATCCAAGTTTGAAGCTTTAGTAGTTTGAACCATATATATATGTATATATCCACACAAAGTAAGATGCTTGGTTTATATTGACCTAAAAAAACCTTCATGCCCAGAGATAGCCAAAAAAAAAAGAAAGAAAAGTTGTGGGAAGATCATAATGAGTGAAGGGATTGTGGAAAAGGCACTCAATAGCCTCGGGAAAGGATTCGACATAACAAACGATTTCAGACTGAAATATTGCAAAGGTAAAGACAGATTGATTTGGGTTAATGAAACAGAGACAAGAGAGCTTCATGTCCCTGGATTTGGATCTTTCCCCAATGTCTCTTCAGACATCAAGTGTGATAAAGGCGATCGAACCCGATATCAAACCGATATCCTCGATTTCACCCAGGTAATGATTAATGAGGACTACTCCATCCGTCCCGAAATGATTATCCAGTTTGGTGTTTCATTTTTAGTTGAAAATTGTATAAAATCTTGAACCGGACAATAATTTTAGGACAGAGGGAGTAATTCAGAACTCTGAGAAGTTAGTTAAAAAGCTGCTTGTTTTTCTTAAGAGTTTGATGATGAATTAACGTTTTTTGGGTTTGTTACAGATGTCAGAGTTTTTCAACCAGAAATCTTCAGTTCCTGGAAAGATACCATCAGGGATGTTCAATTCTATGTTTGGTTTCCAAAGTGGATCATGGGCTGAGGATGCATCCAACACCAAGTACTTAGGACTTGATGGATATTTCATCATTCTGTTTAATGTTCATATTGATCGGTATCCACTTGTTCTTTCCCATGAAGTTCGGAATGCCGTTCCTTCCACTTGGGATCCTGCTTCACTTGCAAGGTATGAACATCTCATAATCCAATCCAAAGTTCAACGTTATTGTATGAATGCATCAACCGGTTTTGGGCTACATTTTCAGTTTCATTTTTTGTTTTGTTTGATAAAAACATCCCAAAATTTCCACATCAAACTTTGTCTCATTCAATCTAAACTGCACCACAGATTATAGGATCAGCGACATTGCTAAAAAAAAAAAATTGAGAAACTTACGTAAAAGTGTCACGAAAAATTTCTTTATCAACTTGCTTCACGCTTTTCTTAGAGATAGAGATAGAGATAAACGTAATTTCACATCTTCTTAACCCAAATAAGTTTAGAACTTGATAAATTCGTTACACAAGTCACGTGGTAGCTACCGTTAATGAGTTGATGTTGACCACTAAATTTAGTGTTAGTGCCATTACAGGCCACCAGCTACAGTTCATGACCAAGTCAATAAACCAGTAGTAACCAAATAATTAATCATTTCAGTTCATCATTTCTCCTTCACAAAATCTTACTAGAGCTTTTTTTTAATTATTTTTTATTCTTCCAGTGAAAAGTAGTACGAAATTGTTAATAAAACTATTAAAAGAATGAGGTCTACATTGGCCGAAATAATGTAGAGTAATCTCGATCGAGTTGAAAAGGTCAGCAATGTAATACCCCCTCTGCTTTCTGCTAACTAACATTTTGAGTTTGATCCTAATTAGTAATTACGCTGGTTGATGATATATTTCCGTTCCAAAATAAAAATCTTGTTGACATGAAATTTTCTGTCACAACTTTTACAAAGAAAATACATATATACTTCTCTTGGAATTTAATTTTATCTTTTAATGTATTCGTTGGATATGTGTATGATCTATGTATATCATAATTGTTGTGTTGAGTGGGAGTGGCAGAACCAAAAGTAACATGGCTTTAATATCGTAGATAACGAATATTTATTATTGAAAATGATGTAAAGTGACTCACAAATTATGAAATAGTAATAATTTATCATTTTATTTCTTCTCTTCTTCAAAAACATATAGTATTTCCTCCGGTTCCTAATATAAGGCATTTTAATTTGTACTATGTTTCACCTAATATGTATTTTTAATTGACTAAAAAACTTCAAAAATATTTCATAACAATTAAGAGAGCTGAACGAATGTGAAAAATTTATTTTTAAAATTTTTTATCAATAAAAAATATGTATTAAGTGAGATTTAGGACAAACCAAAATGCGTTAAAGACCGGAGGAGGGAGTATAACCAAGATTCACAATTATCTGATTCTTTTATAAGTTTTGTGCACCAATTAGTTAGCTAGCTGTGAGCTGACTGCAGTACCTTTACGATGATAACCAATCTGGACAATTGTTAGCGTTTCGTGACAATTTCAACATGTTTGACATTTAATAAGCTCTTGGTTGAATTCGTGAAAAGAAATAGTAATAGTCCACACAACAAGGACTAGATGATAATAATAATTTAAACTAAAAAAAATAAAATAAATCTAATTTGGTGTCAATTTTGACTAAGCCCTTAAGAATGGGGTGTAACGTGATGTGATTCAACATAAGTAGTAATTAAGTAGAATTTTTGTGTTGATGTCAATATGATCGAAGACATATGTACTGATTGAATAATTAAAAATTTGTTTGAATTTTGGACAGATTCATTGAGAGATATGGGACTCACGTCATCGTAGGACTAGGCATTGGAGGCCAAGACGTGGTGCTCCTTAGACAAAACAAATCTTCAAATATGCAACCTTCCCAGCTCAAGAACCACCTTGATGAACTTGGCGATCAATTATTCACTGGCTCCTGCACCTTCACTCCTCATCAGTTGAAAAGCAAAGATTCCAAGCAAAAGGTTTTAAATATTCCTTATCGATCCTATGTATAACGCGCTATTATTATATAAATAAATATATATGATCGGAAAATATATTTGTTTACACTTGATCTTATGTCATAAAATAATTGTCTTTTTAAAATTCTAATTAAAAATGAAATCTGAACTGTACAATCGTTCTAGAAATGACAAGAGTATACACTTTGTGTGGCTAATTACAACCATGACGATATGAAACCTGAATTATTTGTCCATTAAATGCTGAACTTGGGTTGGGTACACGTTTGCAGGTACCACAAGCTTTCAATGTTTTTGATCCACAATGTAATGCCTTCAACAGCTTCTCATCTGTCACAACCAAGGATGTAAGTTTTCTATTATTCCCGCACCAAGTTTACACTCAATTACAAGTTTTTGTTTCAGTACCCACCAAGTCTCAAAATAATTAATTATTGTCTGTTTTTTAAACTATTTTAGTACAACCAACTACGACAATGATTTGAAAACGGAATAACAATTTTTCACCTCATTAGTCTAAAACTTCCCCTCTTTGTAGAGATTAAATCATTACGATAAAATTTAAGAAAACATATAGGCTCTGTTTGTTTCTTTTTTCTCATGGTTTTTTCAGAATAATATAATAATATATGTCATATTTCAATATAATATTTTACATTTTTAATACATCTTTTTATATTCCTAATACAAAAAATACCTAAAAACACACACTAAAAAAACGAAACAAACATACACATGCATTCTTATAGTGTCCACATCATTCTCTTCTTCATCACTTCAATAATTTCTTTATATTATTGAGAATTCAGAATGTCGCTCTGATCTAATAATGGTCAACTCAGTGTGGTTGTGACGATCTTTCTAGGAATTAGGGGGCAGAGGATGCCGAAGAATTTCTTTGTTCGCGATGTGAAAATTTGACCTTAAAATAAAATTTTTTAATTCTTGAAATTTCATAACTTCTCACGGTAAACAGGTCTTTAGAGTTTAGAAAAATTCTGAAAGTTATTACACCAGCCGACATTACTGCGTACGGTCTTTGGAACTCCTTTTCTTCTTCTTCTTCCTTTTTTTTTTTTAATAACAAAGAACCATTAAATCAACACTTTACGTGGGTAGAAAATTCTGACTTCATCTCATTTTCTCTCTGAATCGGTGTATCCGGTGGGATCATTAGCCACACTCTATAAAAGAATAAAATAAATTTGTATTGGCGTTTAAAAAAATAAAAAATCTAAATCGAGTTCTGATATTAGTAATAAAACTAGTACAGATCTTAAAATTTAATTTGAACTTTTTTTTTTTGGGATAGAGATAATATAGGGGTAAAGGGAATGAAAATTACCCATTTTATCTAATTTTTTTTAGTGGTGTTTATTTATATAAAAATTGTGCAGGGAATAACAGTGATATGTTCAAAAAGAGGAGGTGATACTACAACAAGCACACACTGCGAGTGGCTTCTAACAGTGCCATCAACGCCTGATGCAGTTCATTTCAACTTCATTCCGATTACCTCTCTTCTTAATGGTGTTCCTGGCAAGGGCTTCTTGTCTCATGCCATCAACCTCTACCTTCGCTGTGAGTTCATCATTTTCAACCCTTCCACTAATTAATACATATGATTATCGCCGGATTTAAACCCTAATTAAAAAAATCATATTAAGAAAGATTCATTTCAAGTATTGTATCGTATCAAATGTGACTATTATTATGAGACTGGAAGGTAAAAAAAATAAAAAAATCATCATCATATTGATCATAGTATGACTTTCGCTCATTCTTGGATTTGCAGATAAACCTCCTATAAGTGATTTGCAGTATTTTTTAGACTTTCAAACCCATAAGGTTTGGGCTCCAGTACATAATGATCTCCCACTTGGCCCACACACAAATAAGGCCTTGCGGAATCCTGCTCTACAGTTCAACTTAATGGGCCCTAGGCTCTATGTCAACACTACTCAGGTATATAATCCTATCTCTCTTTTCATGTATAGCGTTGCAAAGAGATTCCTATTAATTTTTAGAGATTCCAATAAAATTGTTAAGATTTTTTTTTAAAAAAATAATTTTTTGGTCATTTCATTTATCATTTTTGGTGATTTTTGATTTCGGATTTTGCCTCGCAGGTTGTGATTGGAAAACGACCAGTAACAGGAATGCGATTGTATCTAGAGGGGATGAAATGCAACAGGTAAATGTTAGCATAATAATGCATGAGCATGAAGTGGAAGGTTAAGATTGGATCACGACAATAATCGAAAATAAGAAGAAAAAAAAATTGAAAATAGGGTTGTCAGTACTAATTGTGTAAGTGTAACAACATAAACAATGAGTTCACATTTAAATTATTTAAAAACAATCTACTGGTGTAACACGTATAAAAATACAAAATAATCAATTCTGTCTTTTCACATTTATTATATATACATTGTGTCATTATACCCTCTTTTGCTCCATGGTTCACTAAGGATAAAACCTATTGAATGATGTATAGGTTGGCCGTACATCTCCAGCACTTGTCGAACTCGCCGGTATTACTCCAAGACAAGATCAGTGACCCTTTACATTGGAGAGGAACCGAAGAAATTGGTGATGATCGATATTTGGAACCAATTCAAGGCAAGAAATTTTCACACATTTCCACAGTTCCAGTTAAATTCGATCCAAAATGGTCTACAAAAACGGGAGAAGCCTTTATTGTCACGGGGGCACAAATTCACGTCAAAAAAGACGCGACAACTTCAAGAACCGTGCTACATTTGAGGTTACTATACTCTAAGGTTACGGATTTTTACGTCGTCCAATCGAATTGGATGCAATGTCCGTCGGATAGTTACACCATTAAATCGAGTATTTTCTCGGCGATTAGTATGTCGATCTCCGGAACTTTGGACAAAGAGAAAATGCCGGCGGTCGTGGTGGATTCCGGGATTTATCCGACCGGGCCGCCGGTGCCGGTACAAACTCAGAAGTTGCTGAAGTTTGTGGATACATCGGAATTGTGTAAAGGGCCACAAGATAATCCGGGACATTGGTTAGTTACGGGAGCTAAATTGGACTTGGAAAAAGGGAAAATATGCTTGAATGTCAAGTTTTCCTTGTTGAATATTTATTCTTGATAAATACCGTAGGGAATATATTAGCAATAACGCACAAATCTCTGTGCCATTCATAGACTTATGTAATTTCATGTATATATCAAGTGTTCATAATTTAAAACCTTTCAGAATACTAGTCTTTCTTCCCCCAACTTCTAGCACTAACACATTAATTAACACTGAAGTTCGTGTTTATAACTTCTTTTTTTCTTTTTATAAGATATAAACCAGCTGGATATGTTGAATATTGGGTTTTTTTTTTTTTTAATTAAAGGAAACATATATTAATAGTAAAAATTAAGAAAAAGTTACATTGAGAATGGTAATAGCAAGCGTATCTAACTGACTTCTAGCGATTTTAATAATACTGCATTTATAATAAGAACCGAATTATTTCGCTAATCAAAATGTGAGTTTCAACCAGAAAATCTAATTCACGAAGTGTACCTTGGAGCTTCTAAAGCACTATAATCCGTATAAGCCGTGATATTTGTAAGCCCCAACTTATGAGGGATTTCAGTTGAGATATCTTCAAGAACTCATATTGTAATTCCTTCTCACCAGAATAATGATTAATAATCCATATAAATATTTTATGATTTTGGATTTGGTGTAATCATATAGGATAGATAAATCAGTACTAGACCATAAATCTTAACAGTAATGAGAATCATTATCATAATCGTTGAATCATTAATTAGGATGTTCAGTCGACCAGACTACATAATCATCATCACAACTTAATATACCATAATGCATACACTAATTTCTATAGTAATCATCAACACCTTACGGTGTCGGCATCTCGATAGATGGAAAAGCTGACCAAGAATTTAAGGTTGTTTCATGTTCAAGGCGAGATTTGAACTCTCGACCTATAATTAAAGATGGAGGAGTACTTACCACTCCACCACAACCCCTAGTTATTGTGTCAGTTGCATACACTAATTTCGAAGTGTGGTAGTTTGAATTAAGTATTAACCAGTTCAATTATGCACAGGACACCAATTATTTGTGGCTAGTACCAATAAATGGAAAAAAAAAAAAAAAAAAACCTTTGCTAGTTGCAAATTTTTGTACCCAGAAAAATGTACTTGAAACCAATTTTAAAAGTGAATTCATAAGGAATCCGCAAACTGCAAACCCTTTACCAAGAAATAGTTTTGTTTAGCGACCAAATGGCCAATAGTACGCGTACCATGTCAAACAGTACAATTATTAGTAGAGCAACAATCAACCCTTTTTTTTTTTTTGACACTAGCAACAATCAATCAGATCTCAGATCCAGCCACCCTTGACGATTTAGCTTAGGAATATGCATCTTAGAATTAACACACTGTCATTGCTTATTCAATTATTTTAAGGCCAATAAAAATGACTAAATTTCTTGATGAATTGTATCTGTAGACATTATGGGTGCATATTTCCATAAGGTTTCATCAGCCAATAGCACGATTGGAGTAGTGCTATTGGGTACTGGAAATGTTTAATAAATGAGAACTTGCTTCTAATAAACAAATTTTTTTGTTCAAGTTGCTTCTAGTTGCATGATTGCATCATCAAGCATGTAACCGTATGTGCCATAAAACCCATTTCATTAATTTACTAGAAAAGTACAGAATATTTATTTATTTTCCTTCACAAAGTAGGAGTCACTGAGCTTACACTCCTTACATTTTTGTAATGAACTACACCTAAAAAGCTAAAACATCATGGTGCTCGTACTATCAAGATTTGAGCTGTCAAGAGGAGTATCTGGTTTATTTTAAATTCTAACGAAAATATTATTTCTAACGAGATCAACTAATCCGTCACAAAATTAGGCTCATCATCATTATTCTACAACAAACTCAACACTTGTATCCTACTACCCCTTAGAGTAGATAGTTTGGAGAGAATACAGTGTGTAAGCTCTCTTTCGCTTTAGCCTAGTAGGAACATTCTTCATTCTGCTTTCAAAAAAAAAAAAAAAAAGAACTTCTTCATTCCCACACAATTTTCCAGGAAGAAGAAAGGAGATGGCAATGGATAGTAACGGCACAGCTTCACTGCCGAAATGTTTTCCTATGAATGGGGGAAATGGCACTTATAGCTACTCAAACAACTCCAGTGTTCAGGTACTGATATGATGTAGTAGTATTTAATTTGCTTTTCCCTGCAATTAATCTTGTTATAGAATGATGAACTTTCACTTCATGGTGATCTCAGAGAGAAGCATCGATGACGGCGAAAGAAATGATTGAAGAGACAATTGCTCACAATCTTGACATTGAAGAACTAGTTTCATCTTCTTCAAACACATTGCGGATTGCAGATTTAGGATGTTCAGTTGGTCCAAACACTTACATTTCCATGCAACAGATAATAGATGCCGTGGAAAGGCGCCTCGAAATAAAAGGCTTCAGCAGTAGTAGTAGTACTGCTCATTTGCTAGAATTTCAAATCTTTTTCAATGATCACATCACAAATGACTTTAACACTTTGTTCGCTTCGTTCTCTCCAGAGAAAAAGTACTTTGTTGCAGGTGTTCCGGGGTCTTTTCATGGTCGGTTATTCCCCGAGTCCTCAATTCACATTGTGCACTCTGCATTTTCATTGCACTGGCTTTCTGAGGTGCCTAAGGAGGTGCTGATTAAAGACTCTCCTTCATGGAACAAGGGGAAAATTCTTTATGTTACTGCATCAGATGAGGTGGTTGAAGCATATGCGGCACAGTTTGCTAAAGACATGGATTCCATCTTGAATGCCAGAGCAAAAGAGATTGTTGTTGGAGGCATAATGCTTGCTCTCATGCCAGCTTTCCCTGATGAACCTCATTGTTCAAAAGATGTTTTTGGTTTCTTTTACGATGCCCTCGCTTCCAGTCTCCTGGATATGGCGCATGAGGTGAGTTCACTAATCAAAAGTGACAAATGAGACAAGAGTTTGAAGGCAAGATTAAGTAATACTTTGATCCCACATCAAAAAGTTGAGGCACTGGAGAGTTTGGCAAGATTGATTTTCATTATTGAGCCTTTGATGCTAATTCCACTTTCTGTGTAGGGATTAATTCCACTTTCTGTGTAGGGATTTATAGAGGAAGCTCTGGTGGATTCTTTCAACATACCTTTTTATTTCACCTGTCCCAAAGAGATGGAAGCTCTTGTTGAACGGGGGAAATGGCACTTATAGCTACTCAAACAACTCCAGTGTTCAGGTACTGATATGATGTAGTAGTATTTAATTTGCTTTTCCCTGCAATTAATCTTGTTATAGAATGATGAACTTTCACTTCATGGTGATCTCAGAGAGAAGCATCGATGACGGCGAAAGAAATGATTGAAGAGACAATTGCTCACAATCTTGACATTGAAGAACTAGTTTCATCTTCTTCAAACACATTGCGGATTGCAGATTTAGGATGTTCAGTTGGTCCAAACACTTACATTTCCATGCAACAGATAATAGATGCCGTGGAAAGGCGCCTCGAAATAAAAGGCTTCAGCAGTAGTAGTAGTACTGCTCATTTGCTAGAATTTCAAATCTTTTCAATGATCACATCACAAATGACTTTAACACTTTGTTCGCTTCGTTCTCTCCAGAGAAAAAGTACTTTGTTGCAGGTGTTCCGGGGTCTTTTCATGGTCGGTTATTCCCCGAGTCCTCAATTCACATTGTGCACTCTGCATTTTCATTGCACTGGCTTTCTGAGGTGCCTAAGGAGGTGCTGATTAAAGACTCTCCTTCATGGAACAAGGGGAAAATTCTTTATGTTACTGCATCAGATGAGGTGGTTGAAGCATATGCGGCACAGTTTGCTAAAGACATGGATTCCATCTTGAATGCCAGAGCAAAAGAGATTGTTGTTGGAGGCATAATGCTTGCTCTCATGCCAGCTTTCCCTGATGAACCTCATTGTTCAAAAGATGTTTTTGGTTTCTTTTACGATGCCCTCGCTTCCAGTCTCCTGGATATGGCGCATGAGGTGAGTTCACTAATCAAAAGTGACAAATGAGACAAGAGTTTGAAGGCAAGATTAAGTAATACTTTGATCCCACATCAAAAAGTTGAGGCACTGGAGAGTTTGGCAAGATTGATTTTCATTATTGAGCCTTTGATGCTAATTCCACTTTCTGTGTAGGGATTAATTCCACTTTCTGTGTAGGGATTTATAGAGGAAGCTCTGGTGGATTCTTTCAACATACCTTTTTATTTCACCTGTCCCAAAGAGATGGAAGCTCTTGTTGAAAAGAATGGCTGCTTTACCACTCTGAGAATGGAGTTGCTAGAGTATGACACAGAAGTGAACGAACCACTTGATACGAGTAAGCACGTCACGCACATCAGAGCAGCCATGGAGTGTCGAATAACAGCACACTTTGGAGCTGGCCTGATAGACGAACTGTTTGATCGATTTGATAAAAAAGCTGCCATCTGCAGAGATGTTGATGCAGAGCACAAGAAAGGATTTCTGTTGTTCCTCGCTTTGCAGCGCAAATAGAAGTCAGTGAACTTGTTGAGCGCCTTGATTATGATCATGTTTTAGTCATATTTTTGTCCAAGGAACTGATGTCTGTGTGTTAAATGCAGAGATTAAAACTAAACCTGTTGAAAATAATCTGATCTTTTTTTTTCCCCCTTCAACAAAAAAAAACTCTGTATAAAGCAATCTGCTGATGGTGCTATGAAAACTGAAGGAACCAGACTTCCTTGGAAAATCCTTTACACCTTAAACAAAAAAGCTGCCATATGCTTGTAGCACTGTGATCAATGAGATTTAAGAGAAGAAAACAGTTGTGAAGCCAGAGTCTGTGTGTGTGGCTTAACTATCAACAATTTCACACTGCATTAAGGCATTTGCAGAGGCAAGAACTTTCTCATAAATTTCAACGAAAAATACATGTAAATATCTTCTCTTAAACTGCAAAAGAGTTCAAGATTATTCATGCAAATCAAACCAAATATTAACTTCATCTCTAGCAGTATTATTTAATTCAAACCAACTATAGCAGTTCATATTTATACATAAAAGCCCACAAAAGTCACAAGCTTGGGATGAGAGATAGGGGCAAGCCCCTCGGTTCAACATCTTGCACAACCTTACTAGTTACTCTGTCAATACATAAAATTTAAGTTCATTCATCACCGCCACGCCATATATACACAGCTGTCTCAAATAGTTTAGTTCAGATGTCATAATGATTCTATGGTACAAATAAGGTGCACCTAGGCATTACTTGGCAGCCTATTCAATGGAGATTGGTCGAGACCTCTCTGAGCTTGAGTGTTAGCATTTCTTAAATTAAACTCAAACCATTTGCTAACTGCTGTTCCAATGAATACATTTCCGGAGTCATCCTTATCCACGATTTTTTGATCTCGACAAGCTTATCATAGACACACCATGGGAAACTGATGAAGTGAGCCCGGTTCAGTCCCTCGTTGTAGCAACCCCAGTACGTAGGATGATAAGTGACATGATACCACGCAGAAGCTTTCGCATATAGATCATCCGAGTTACTTCCTTTCCTAAAGCGAGCTCTAGCTTCCTTCCTCAACGACCTCACAGCCATACTAACAGCCTCTGCATCTTTTCTTCTGTCAAATGATCTAGACATTTTCATGATACCACCGCTGAGGATCTCACCTTCAGTTTTTATGCCATAATAATCCATCAAGTTACCCAGCTTATAATCGTACTCATTTTTGCAATCAAAAGCTTCATCAACATAATCTTCATATCCATCTACTTCCATGTCATGATCATAAGATTTCATAGCTATCTCCCTCGTAAACGATGTAATCAAGCATGTGTCTGGAGCAATGTCTTTTACCTCTCTAAAAAGCTTACCAATCACATGCTTTGACTCATACATTGGTTTGTCAAGCTTTTCCATAAAATCTGGATACTCTTTAACACGTAGTTCAGATGGTATTACGGCGGGAACACCTGTCTTTGGAAAATCAACTGCAACTGAAAACAGCCTTGCTAGTTCCAAACAAGGTGTACTCATTGCTTTCGATGGTTCTCGGTCAGCATAGACAGTGTGGGCGTTTGCAATGACACCTAAACTATCATTCACTATATAGTTGGTGAAATATTCTTCAACTTCCTGTGGTGTAACATAGAACATACTAGTAATTAACATGAAAGCAATTTGAACTACGAGAATGGCAAGACAAACTAAACACGAATGAGAACACAAAGAAATATCTTCTTTCTTTTCCATTATGAATTTGCAATCTGGTGATGACATACAAAGAAAAAGCACTACAGTGCCCACCATAAGGAGAGAATAATATTAATGCATATATCTTAACCACATGTTAAAGTTAACATCATTGGACATCACTACTAACATCTAGTAAATGCAAACTACTATGCCAGAGATATAATGTATAATAAAACACACATACTGAATACACACATACAACTTTATTATGGACAGGGAATTACTACCTCCATTGTAACTTCATGATCCAACTCCACAGTTGGAGCTGGAGTGTAATCCATAGGTGGCTCTTCCCGAGGGGGAATCAAGTCACGATCCCAACAAACAAAGTAAATGTCTCCATCTAAATCACTACCCGAACATTCATTCGGATGAGGCCTGTTGTTCAGCAGCAATAAATTATAGGCAATAATATAATTATGATTACAAAAATCGTAAACAAAACAATGTCTGCTCATAAAAGTAATGTCCCTGCCATACTGCCAATTTGGTGAATGAACAGAGGAAGCCAATAATCTTTCGTGGACATTATCAGTTTTAGTGTTAGACATTCTCATGAATAGATTGTTCATTTCAGGAGTTGAAGCATTGACTCCAAAATGTCATTTTCTTGCCCACGGGAAAAGGACAATTCATGCTTACATCAAAAACTACCTAATACTGACACTTAGCCTCCACAGAAACTACCTATTATCCCTCATTACCAGACCCCAAATATATTTCATCAAACACGGAAAATGTTTAGGCACTCAAGACTCTGTAAAGGAACATAACAATTAACAAGTATGAATCTGTAGAGAGGTATTACTTAGAATTATTTGAAACTTGGAAAAAGGTAGAATGAGGTCCACAATTGAGTGGAAGGAAAACCCAAGTGGATTTACCAAAAGAAAACAAAGCTTAATCCATAGCTGACCAATCCACACTAGAACCTAGAAATGATGCCAAGACAACTATGAAGAACCCTCACCTGCAAGATGATATTTCAAAAAGCAGTCGCTGTGTTTGTCCAAATCACACATTAAAACCATGACAAAATATTTAAAAATAATTACCTATCTCCTTGCTGCGGGAAAACAACGCAGTCTACCATATGATGTAAATTGGGTAAATCAACAGCGGTAAGAACGCGGACATCACCAGGATGTAAGCAAGGATTTTTAGCAACAATGACTTTCCCCTGAAGGATGAAACTGTTTTCAGAGATTTTGCTAGAGTACAAATGGGAATGCTTATAAGACTGTCTAAGACCAGCTCTTGAGCACTGAACAAACACTTGCCCATATTTCAAGATTCTTGTTTCATCAAGACATCCCATCATCGACCGTCCAAATGGAACAAATATTCTTGTCTTAGTCCGCAAATCAAGCAACTTTGATGCCCTGAAAGTATGCAACATCATTGAAAGAAATGGCTCAGAATTAGGCTTATACCCACACTTCAGTAATTCTTTGAGAATATTTGTGTTTTCTCCAGGAGCCATCAATTCTAAAGCCTCATGCGCTCTCAATGGATCAATTAGAATATCGTCCAATTGGGAAATTGCTTCTCTTTGCTTCGCCTCAAAGACATTGTCCCTGATCCCAAGAGTGGACAGAAGAGATATCAATTGGCGATTCAAAAAACAAGGTTGGTATTTAGTCCATGCTAGAACATCCAACTTGATGTTGTCAGAATCATATTTCTTCATGCTGGGTCTGAGAGACAACTTCTTTGATGAATTCGGATCAATAGCAACAACACCTTTGAATCCACCATATCGAATTTGGAATGCAGATGGAGTAAAACTATTAAGGCCACATTTTGCAGCAACTCGTTGAGCAAACTGAAGAGATATTTTACCAATTCCATCGGAAAAGACATAATTCGATGCCTTTAAATCAGGAATAATTTCAATTTCATCCCTACCGACAGCCAATGTTTCGGTAGAGGAACTAAAAGATTGACCAAGTCTAGCAGCATATTTGGCTATATTCCTTATATCTCTAAAATCACCCATCCATGCTCTTATATCAGCAGCAGAAAGCCCAGGCCTTGAAGCAAACATCCACACTGAATTGTCCCTTAATTGACTTGATGAGAATGCAAGAAAATCAAACTTCTTATCCCCAATAGTTATACCTTTCTTCAAAGTTGACAATACTCTATCATAAATTTCTGTTGTTGTCCTTTCATTTGAGGCATTACGAGACAATAAGTCCGTAGAAAACATTTTATTCCACTCCTCATCAATAAAGGAAACACGAAGAAAATTTTCAATGTCTCCAAGAAAATTTCGCAACACCCGATTAGATACATTGACCTCTGGACCACAGAAATACACTTTGCATGGAGTAATTTGTACCCGGCGAATGTACACCAACCCAACATCCAGATCAATGGTTGGTGACTTTGGAGGCCTTTTGTTGTACTTGGCATACTGTTCCGTAAGCCACTGCACAGGATTATAACAACACTCTTTTAAAGTGTACATATCTTCCAAGGCATGATTAATGAATGCAATATTTACCCTACGTGGATTGACCAACCGAAAGAAGTTTTCATCCAGTGACGGCCCTGGAAGACATCCATTCTGTACCAAACAACAGGCCTTGAACAAAATTTCATACGGCAACTCTAGCCCTTTGGGAGGACTCAAAATGGGAACCAAACCCAAGTCATAAGAATATGGGCAACACGTTTCCAGAATGAATTGGCTTTCAGTTTCTTTGTACCAAGGAAAATAGTCACGAAAGTGTGGGAGTTGTACACCACGAGGAAGCTCCAAACATATGCTAGATGACTGCCCAATGCAGGACCGGGTGAAGTCTGTTGTCCTTACCCACTGCTCTTCGGGAGTTTCCTTGAAGTAGTAGCTACAGCTGGATCCTTCAATTTTTTTGAAAATTCGAGGAGCACCAAATAACTATGTTTCCAGAGAAAGAGATAATTGTCAAACATCATCACAATTGAAATGAAAAATAATGATTTACCAAACAGCCTAAAAACTAAGAGTGCAGGCCATTACTACAGACGAGCACATGCTTTGGAAACATTTCCAACAAAACAAACTACTGTAGAAGGTAATGCAACACTGGAGAAAAAAAACTTATATGCAATGTACAGCAGGACAGTATCAAAATCAGGGTAGATTTCTACGGATTGGTTCATTAGTACGAGTAAACTGTATTCCACATCTAATGTTGTACAGACAAAAGCTTATATTGGCATATTGATAAACAGAAAAGAGGAAAGTGATAGATGCTAGTACACAAGTGTGTTCTATTAGTACCACACAACATATATAGTCCTAACTTCTAGCGGCGAATGCAGACTCATTAAGCTATTGAATTGTCTCCCGCAGGATATACTAATTCAAAATGTATTCTTTTGCCATGTCACAGTTGAAGGACAAACAAACCATGCAACTACGTACACAATCAAGGATTTAATAACAGACAAAGAGGGGAAGGCAGGCCACCCAAAACATGGCAACAAGAGAATTTACCCATGTCATTTTTTGAAACCAAGGCAAACTGACAAAGAAACAGTAAAATCCTTTAGAGTATGGAAATTTTCTTCTGATTAATTTATACCTGAATCAGGAGAAATTTTGAAGCTTGACCATAGGGATGATGCAATACAATCTGCCAGAAGTTTTCGTAGGAAAGTTCAAGCTTATAGCACATGGAATGATCTTGCAACACGAACAAAATTTTCTTCATTCCAAATCCAAACTTGACAGAAACATTTTCTTTATTCCATAGCACTGAAAACTTATTTTTCGACACCTGGCATCCAAAATTTAAAACTACATGTTCCATCTGGTGCTCATAGTGTCTAGGCCTCGGCACCATATCAACATCCGCCTCATAAGCCTTCAAATACGAACAACCATAATAAAGTGTATGTGACAATGAGATAATTTTTTCAGCACTTTTGCTATTGATAAATTGGACTCTTGCAAATGCTCTTCGACCCGATTTGCATGGCTTCACTTGCAGGGCATACACAGTTCCTACACCAGTGAACTGTTCAAGAAATCTAGTGACTGTGTCTGCAGGTAGAACATAAGGGAAACCGGACACGTGAATTGTCTTTCTCATTCTGCTGAATGCCACCACCAGTTTAGGGTGAGAATCTGGGGACAAAGTACACTTGTATATACTCCTATTCACAACAAAGATAAAAAGAGTTAAACCACTATAAAGCCATTAATAATTTGTAAAACTCCGAAACCTATTACATGCATGTATAAGAAGATGCGCCCAGAAACATAGACCCAGACGGACCCAACCGAAATAAATCCAGCAGCCATCTCAAATGATTTTGACAACCAAATAAAGGGAAAAATTCCAACTTTTCCATCCTTATCAGTCATCACCATCCATCATCAAGTAGAATTCCCATTAACCACCAAAAGAAGTATCTTTGTACTAATTGACTGCGCATTTCCAAAACAGTATCTTGAACATCAATGAACACTCATGACAAGTGATGACGCAAGCATATTAAAAAACGTACAAACATAAAGGGTTACCAGTACTGTGCTTCAGAACTTAAAAAAAAAAAAAAACGCATAATTAACAACATCAACTGAGGTTCTTCAGGAGATACTAAAAGTAAGGGCTTTGATCAAAGTAAAAACTAAAAAGAAGAGGATCTGCCCCTATAGAGTTTGAATAAGTGAAATATGAAAAGGAGACTTACAAACAAACCAAAAGGTTCTTCAGCAATCCATCAAGCAAGCAGCAAAATCAGACATTAAAACACAGTGACTGTAGCAATTCAGTCGTTAGTTGATGGGAACCCTTGAGTATCACTATGTGACTGTGTGTGAGAGAAATGGTGATGGAAGATAAAAGAAGAGTGAGGGAGTCAACTTCAAGTCAATAACAGTACTACCAACTTTTGCTTTCCAAGGAAGGAACCAATGAATATCCATTCTTTCCATAGTCTTTCTCTGTCTATGACTCTATGATTTTTGGAGTTCCAATTATTACCCGACTCTGTTTTTCATTTCCGAGTTGCCATACTCCGGTCAAGCCGGATTTTGTACACAATTTTCTTAACTGGAACCCCAAACAAAAAAAAAAAAAAAAAAAGTCGACTACTTTTCAAAAACGTGGAGGCATTGAATGATGATGAATGTAATAAAAGAAAACGAAAATTGTTTGGATACGTCTTAATTAATATACAAGTACTTTTTCAAAAAAAAAAAAAAAATTCTTAAGTGGTGAATTAATTTTCATTCAATAAAGTAAAGAGGACAGATTCCAAATTTCCAACAGCAACAAAGAATCGCAAAAGTTCGATACTAGGTGGATTGGAGGGAGTATAACGGGTTCTACGCTTCAGCGCCTTGTCAAAAGAGCCGCATCGTGTTATTAAAAGTTACTTCTATGTCTCAAAATTATTGTCCAGTTTAAGATTTTATTTTTAGTACAATTTAAACTAGAAATGAAAACCCAAAATAAACAACAATTATGGGACGGAGGGAGTAATGTTTTTCATTCAATTGAGAGAAAGAATTACACTTTTTATCCCAAAATGATTCTTATTAAGACTGAAAGGAGTACGAGAATTCACAATAAACTTAAATACATTCATCAATAAGCCCAATTACATAAATTTGGAATCCTGGAAATGATAAAAAGAATATTTAAACTGGAACATTTCTTCATCTTCCTTTCGTGTTTCTGGAAGGAAAAAAAAAAAGAAAAAGAAAAGGAAAAAAAAATCAACATGCAGAACTGTTATTCCTACAATTTCCCAAGGTTGACTCTCAATTTGATCTCCTATTCGAGCAAATGTAACTAAATTCATCCGCCGTAATTAGCCACTGTTGTTGCCTGACATAACCCTCAACAATGAAACCACTTATATTTTACTTGAGCAACAATTCTGCAATTTGGACAGCATTCAGAGCAGCTCCCTTGCGTATTTGATCACCACAAATAAATATATCCAACCTGTCACAGTATTTGGGGTTTTAGTTTCTTGAGTACCTCTAAACTTCAAAAAGTAATGATTTGCAACATTGAATTTTTACCCGTAATCTCCATCTTGAGAGACATCACGGCGAATTCTCCCAACCGCAACATCATCTTTGTTGGAGACTTCAAGCGGAGTAGGGAAGTGGTTCTGTGCACGGTCGTCGATAACCACTACCCCAGGTGCACTCTTCAGAATTTCTCTGGCTTTGTCCTGCCAACAGAATACCATGACTTCATTTTCAGAGCAACAGACGTCAACAATCTTTGCTCAATCCAAACTTACTCAGCTTTCCTAAGGTTTTATCAAACTTTTTTGCTCATTACTTTGTTCTCAGAATCTCAACACAAAAAGGTGCATCTTTCCATTGGAAACTCATTAAAACTGATTCAAGCACATTCCATAAACGGCAAAAAGTAAAATTTGAACAAACTAGCTTCCAAGCAGTACAGAAACGACAAAAATCATAGCGGCAAAAACAATACCTCATGAAGGGGCTTCTCAAATTGAAAATTAACACTCTCAGCATGGGCACGCATAACAGGAACTCGTATACATGTTGCGGTCACTTTTACGTCCGGGTCACTCTACAAAACAAGTAACAAAAAAAGAGAACTCAATTCAGGAAGCTAACTACTTTCCAGCAGCCCTTATTCAGAGGATACCGTAGATGAATCCCACTTCCACAGGGCCAAATGAGCACTATAATAAAGGAGGAGGTAAACACTAACCCATATTTTTCTTGTCTCTTTGACTAATTTCATTTCCTCCTCATTGTAGCCATTTGAAAGAACGGGTGCATTGTGCGAGAAAAGATTAAATGCATACTGCATAAGGATAATGAAGAGTTAAGCATTCGGAAACCAGATATGATCCATAATAATTGCTCTTTCAAGCATGTCCGTAGGACAGTCAACAAACCTGTTGCCTGAAGATTTTACAGGTTGGCTCTTTTCCTTCTAGAACCTGTGGAAGGGGTAGAAAAGTATGTAAATATAATGTGATATATGCCACAAGTATTAAGTGAATCTAGATGAGTTCAAAACCTCACGAGTTTGCAGTTCAAGCTCTTCCATTGCTGCAGCACCAGCACCACTAGCTGCCTGGTATGTACTAACAACCATGCGCTTTACCTGTAATAAGAAAAGCAAAATTCAATCATATCTAGTAGCAGCAAGATGAAAAAGAATACAAGTACCAAAATCAAACAAACCTATGAAATTGAGTCCACTTAAAAGGCTTATGATGAGTATTACTAAAACCTAGCTAGAAAAAATGTATTTATGACTTTTTTTTCTTCATAGAACAGAGCTAGAAAAAATGAATTCACTGAATTGATTTTAAAGGGAAAGATGTCTCCTCACAAGTAATCAATCATATCCGGTTACTTTTTCTTTATCCTGCAGAAAGCTACAAACTATCCACAGACCATGCTACTACCACAGCACATTGCAAATATGCCCGTACATCATTCCCAACCAACCAAAAACTGTCTGAGAAACAATTCAACAGTAAATTACTCATACATTACGAAGAAATTCGAACTGAGAAACAGTATCATTTCTATTTCATCAAGTAATAAGCTAGATATAAATAACATAAAAAAGCAATACATGCCCAGATATTCACCAGCAACTAGCTAAGTTTGAATCATAAGTTACCTTCCATCATATAAAGTTGTCTATCTACTATCATGTAGGGGTAAAAAGTCAAATTCAAACAACAAATAGGCTTCCCCAACCCACCCAGTCCCTATTATCCCGATAAAGGTCAGTTTCCTTTTTCCCCTCCATCTAAAACTGAAATCATACCGGGATGAAACTAAAAAATTGAACTCTAGCAATTGAACTGGGTTCATCTTCTACCTCTTTATAAGGGCATAAAAGCTAAAATTTAACCTCTTGAAGAACACACAAGTCAACATTGCACCCCTAGAACATTTGTATTCCAAGCTGGACAAAAATATACTTAAAAACATTTCCTCACCTTAGCAACGCGATGCAATGGTGTTGCAGCCATCAAACAAATAATTGTGGAGCAATTAGGGTTCGCAATCAATGCCCCTTTACCACTTCCGACCTTAATGTGAGCCATAGCCTCAGGATTAACCTCCGGAACAACGAGAGGCACGCCATCATCCATCCGAAAAGCAGAGCTATTATCAACAACAATAGTCCCATTCTCGACGGCAATAGGACCAAATTTCTTACTTATAGAACCTCCAGCGCTAAACAGGGCAATATCCACATCTTTAAAGCTATCTTCAGTCAATTCTTCAACAGTATACGTTTTCCCCTCAAATGGGATTTCTTTCCCGGCCGAGCGCTTGCTGGCGAGGAACTTAATCGAGCTGTACGGATAATTCCGATCAGATATAACAGAAAGGAATTCTTGGCCGACAGCCCCTGTAACGCCGACAATGGCGACGGAAGGAGCGTTTTCCGAGAGGGTCATTTTAATTGGGGAGAATGAGACGCGGGTTCTGATCGGAACTGGGGTTTTCAGGGTGGGGAGGCGGGTGGAGATGGGGCAATAGTGGTGGCGGAGGGAGATGGACGACGGGTTCATTGTTTTCAGGCGGTGGCTTTGGGCGGACGGCGACTTTATAGAAGGGGGGTTTAGGGTTTTAAACTGATGAAGAGATATTTTAAGGTTTAAAGAAGGAAAATTTGGAATTTCCTTCTCCTACCTTTTTTTTTGTATTGCGGGAAACTATGTTCGTTAATATATTGTCAACATGTCGCTTTTACCCCCTGTTTCTGGCGGGAAAGCAAAACCGGAAAAAGGTTTCTTTGTTTTGCAATACAATTAACTCTCCGTTCCAAAATAATTTCAGAACAGAGAAAATATAATATAATATTAAATAACCGCCGGTCGAATAATGAGTCAATATGATTTAGTATTGGATTTTTATTACTAAATCATATTGAGATTTAGAAAGAATTAATCAATAGTATTGTTACTAAATAATTTTGGTTTGTGAATGTCAGAATAAATAGAACCAGAATTGATGGTATTGTCATTTTTTAATTGTGTCATATGGCAAATTTTAACCTAAATTTCATTAGAATCTGTGTGTTAGAACTTAGAACTAGAACCACAATGAGTAATTTAGAAATACTTTCAAAACTGTGACCGAGTTCTGGAGATAAAAGTAATACTCCCTTTGTCTCAAAATTATTATTCAGTTTGAATTTTTATTTTTAGTTTAACCCGTACTAAAAGTGAAAATCCATAGTAAACAATAATTTCGAAAGTGAGGTAGTATTTTTAAGGGTATGTTTATTTCGTTTTTTTAGTGTGTGTTTTTAGGTGTTTTTTATTTGGGAACGTAAAAAGGTATATTGCAAATGTAAAAAAATATGATGGAATGGGACAGTTATTATTTTATTAATCTAAAAAAACCATAAAAAAAAAACTAAACAAACAAAGCATAAGTTTTTGGTGCAAAAGTAACATACAAATTGGGAGGTTTGAGTACATTGAAGATACTGTTTAGTTTAATGGCTAAAACCGGCTGACCCGCTGAAAAACATAAATCAGGCAAATCAGCAAGTTTTTTTTTTTTTTTGTGCACACGGAGTTACATTTGTTTTTCTTCCCCATCTCCTGGGCCAGATCGTCATTGGCATACATCATCAGAGACTTATAAACCTGTATTAATTATTTTATTTTAGTTCGCGCACCTTCTCTGTGATGTTTTTAGATCGGCAATGTTGTCGATCATTTGAGAGCAATTCGTTAATTCTGTTTTTTGTTGTACGATTTTTACTTAACCTAATCAAATTTAACAAAAAAAAAAATGAACTCCAATTACGTATACGATGAATTATTCTCTCCGTCCCAAAATTATTGTCCAGTTTGAAATTTCATTTTTAGTCAAATTTTAGGACGGAGAGAATAGACAAATTTAGTTCAAACTTTGGATTCACATCACATGCACATATATAGTTCTAGTTCTCAAATCTCAATCACCCAACTAAAGGGTTAACCCGATGTTATGGCCACTACGATCTATAGAAGTAGAACAAACAAAAAACATTAGGCTATCATTCTAGAACAAAATAACATAGAGTTGTTAGAATATCTAGTGAGGGAGGGTAACGTGTCTCACCCTAAATCGAAATCCACCTCTGCTAAGATCAAACTAGGCAAAATTTTCTTGTGGAAAATAAGGGAAAAAAGAAAGGTGATCCACAATCTCTTTTTTAGGCTTTCTTGAAGTCGTGCATTAAGCCTAACTCCTTGACTGAGAGCATGTTAAAGAAAACAAAACAAATGTATGGTCTTGATTTCTATTGCACACCTCACATTTTCTTGGAGGAAGAAGAACCTGATGCCGGTGAATTCGTCCCACTTAAAATAGTACTATCTATCTCCAGTCTGCTTAAGAAAATCAGAAGGTTAAGTTTGAAATGTTCTCTAACAATCTTTTATTCTTAAATCTTTGAAAATTCTTTGCATAAATTAATTAGAGAAGATTTAGAATTGCACGCAAGATATCACACCACCTATATAAACCATCCAGCTTTGTGCTGAATTGTTGTTTCAAAAGCCACAAAAACATGAATAAATTCACTCAAACTTGTGCTCTCTTTTTCACCTCTTTGTATCTCATCACCTTAACCAATGCTGCAACTTTTGACATAATAAACCAATGTACCTACACTGTGTGGGCTGCTGCCTCCCCCGGAGGCGGTAGGCGATTGGACCGAGGCCAATCCTGGACTCTAAATGTGGCTCCTGGAACAACCGGAGCTCGTATCTGGGGCCGCACTAACTGCAATTTCGATGCTAATGGTCAAGGCCAGTGTCAAACTGGCGATTGCGGACGTTTAGAATGTCAAGGTTATGGTAGCCCGAATTTGCCTTAAACCAGCCCAACAATCTGGATTTCATTGATATATCCAATGTCGACGGGTTTAACATCCCCATGGAGTTCAGCTCGGTGACTCCTTGCCGGGTGATCAGGTGTTCTGCGCCGATCGTGGATCAATGCCCGGCTCAGCTGAGAACCCCTGGCGGGTGCAACAACCCTTGTACTGTTTTTGGCACGAATCAGTATTGTTGTACTAATGGACCTGGCAGTTGTGGACCAACAGACTTTTCCAGGTTCTTCAAGGATAGATGCCCTGATGCTTATAGTTATCCTCAGGATGATCCAACTAGTTTGTTCACTTGCCCAAGTGGTACTAATTATAGGGTTGTTTTCTGCCCTTGAAGATCTTATTCAGTTGTGTAATCTATATGTTACAACTACAAGAAATAACTTCATGTATGATATGAGCCATGCATCTTTGTTGTGGCTCACCTGGATTATAGAATAACTGAGTTCCCACATATATCCGTTGTTGGGAATTTGGCTTTTATATGTTTGATTTGTTTTCAATATCAGATATTTTACAATCTGAAGCTAAAAGTTAAAAAAAAGTCAGATGTTAAAACTTGTTTTTCATAGGAGAAATGAATACAAAGGTTTTCTTTTACAGACCATCAAGGACACAATGTATGCAGTATATTCGGTTTCCCTTGTATAAGGCTATTGGCCAACAAACTACAGAATTTGATGATAATGAAACCTATGAGCTAATAAAATATTAGATGATTAGAACAATGGCGGTTGTCATTAATTTTCCTTTCTCGTATGAAGAGCAATCACTTCAGGACTCCGGGACAGCTTTCAGAGAAATGTGATCCATCGAATGCAATCAACATAGACAGGCTAATAGCTCCATAGAATGGTGGAAACATTTTGCATCGGAACAAGCTTTGCTCGTCCGCCATACTCTTCCGGCAAAGCTTCTTCACCAACTTCACTAATAAACTGCCTCTTTTCCTCTTCGTTTGTTACATTTATAACCTGTACATATCATCATAAACTTATACCATTCAGGAGGAAGAAGGATGGGGTTAGCATAAGGTCTCCACATGGAAACATACCTTTTCAAGTGTAGCTTTCTCGACAAAGTAAGAAACCATCCTCCAGATACTCACAAAGAATCCAGGCATATGTACAAAGTAAAGCTTTGCCAAGCGTTCTGGATAGTAAGCCTATACAAGCAACAAAGAATGTTAATGATGGAAAATATGCCATTTAAGTTAGATAACGCTGAAGCAGTAAAGACTTGGATAGGAAATTTATTGCACATGACTCATACTCTATTTACGCTTAATTTGAACTAGGGGCATACTGATTCACCTGTAGGAATTGGAAACCAGTGATTAGACCTCGAGCATCAACATTTTTGTACGTAATATTGCTTAGATCAAGAATGAAAACCAGCTTTTCATTTCCATTTTCTTCATCTTTGAAAGAGCTGAAATGAGCAACCCAAACAAATAAGAGCTTCAAGAAACAAGCAAGTTTACTCAATGCAAAAAAGGTAAATAAAAAAACAAGTTCTTCGTTTTGTTTCATATTTTATCACTACCTCTTGACTCCAGTTTGATACAAGTATACCATGTATATGATAGAGCAAGCGAGTAATTTTAGTTTAGTCTAAAAAATGGTCAGGCTCATTTTTTTTTTTTTGTGGCTCATTATCACTTCAAAATACAATCATACTCACTGAATTAGCTCCTGTCAACAAACCAAATACTCTGTTACTGTTTCATCACTTCAAAGTGCAGATTATAGTTTGCATTTATCATCGTGACTGCATACAACATCCCCCCAGCCAGTTGTAGTTCATGTTTTCCAGTTTTATGTGAATCACTCTAGAGAAAAAGCTTGCATCTTAAGGCCTCTGTACCTACTAAAATGAAACTTGAGAACCAATTTAACAAAAAAAACTACCTTGCAATTGCTTTGTCTAGCAGGTGAACCACAAATTCTGCACCAACAGGCAAAGGTTTTAATTAGAAAGATGAATACTTCTACTTAGTAAAAGGAGTAAATTTAAGGTGAAAACAAAATCAGCACATTATTTCTTTAAATGGTTTTAGTAGGTTGAGTCAGCATGCGGAAGATTATCTAGTAAGCATTCACAAACTTCAACAGTTCAGAGACAGTTTTTGATGGTCATATCACCTAAAGGAAGGCAATATTTTGCACTCGAAACTGACTCCCATCTTCAGCCAACACCAATTAAAAAAGAATAGTAAGTATTCAAGTGTTGCAGATTGATGCTCTTAGAAAAAACCAAAGACTCCTAATAATTGACCTCTATAATAAGATCAGCAGTTTGACAGAAACGAGACAAGGATCACATGCCAGCACAACAAATTAAGCTTCTTAAACCTCCAGCAATCCAGTATCCAATGCATAATTTAAAGTTCCTAAATCAGTTGTTGTTCACTTAATTAAAAGTGGTCAACTATGAAACTAGCAATGATTCCAATGAAACTACGATTAACAGAAACCTCATCACCACAAACGGGGAAAAGAAGGAAAGGAAAAGAATCATACTCAAGAAATAACAAATAACACTATTCTAATCAACTACAAAGATTGCAGTCAAAGCATAATCTTCAAGGTAGGATATTCCCATAACCCAAGAGATTCCAAAAGCCTAATATATTATAAAAACAGAAAAAAAAAATTCAAAAACAAGAATATATGAAAGCCAGCTAACCTAGACGAATAATTACACCAGCGCAACAATTGAAAGTCTAGTAATGATTAAGATATATCCCATGTTTCGTTTGACTAATATTTTAAGTGTGCCCATAATTCAACTTATTTACTTTACCAAAAGATGATGCAATGGCCGGTAAACATGACAAAAAAGATCACAATAGAATCATTACAGATATCAAACTGGAATATTGCGGTATCAAAGCAACCAGAGAAATCAACAGGAGAGAGAAAAACAAAACATAACGAGAACATTCCGAAAGCAGTGATTGATTACTCTTGAATTGAAGTTGATCCTTGGAGGGATAATGCTTATTAGCTTTCACAATCACAACAGGAAATCCTCCCTTTGATAAACCCTGCAGGTAAAGTTTTTCAGCTGCAAGTTCATCCTGAACTTCAGAGTCTGAAATGAACCCCAAAGGGACAAATGATGTTCTCCACTTGTGCCACTGCACCAACATTTTTGCAGCTTTACCAACGTCCATTGATCTTGCAATCAAGAACCTCATCATTGTAAGGTCTCCAAACTTCTGCAAGTGATAAAATGCAGTATATCATGTACGATGATCGAATAACATCTGAAGAAAAAGTTTCATTCACTGAAATCAAGCTTATCAACAATGGGAAGCTCTGAAAGTTACCTCAGTGGGGATTCCTAACTTTTCAATTGCTTTCCTCAATTGGGATACCATAAATTCTTGATCTTTCTCCATGTGAGGCTTTTGGGAAAGGAGTTGACAAGGTTGGAAAGGAGTGATCTTTGTTCCGTATTGGGTTCGAAGTGTTCTTCTGTACCTCTCTCTCTTTTTGTATAATATGATGATGAAAGCACCTAATTTTCTGTGGCTGGCTGATTTAATATGTTGTTTTCGTTTTTCTTCTTTTCCTTTGTCTTTGAATTTAATCCCACCCAAACGTCCCAATAAATATGCTAAAAACAAAGTAGCAAAAGAGAGAATGAGTTGGACTGTTGGAGGGAGTTGACCATTTTGAGAAAGAAAAAGTAATGAGTATTGAGTGACAAGAACAGGATGCTGATTTATTGGCTGGGGAGTTGGAACTTGGAAGTGTTTTAATAATGTTCTGTCAGGACCCTTTTGGCCTTTGGAAAATTGAAACTTGCATATTTGCTCTCCTCATCTTCTCCATGGGTCCATTGTGCTTCAATTTTTAAGTTCGGGTGAACTGATCTGTCATGATATTGATAACAAATGACCCATCCATTTTTGTTTTTTTTTTTTTAAATCCAGAATTGTCACCAAATTTGCGTTATTTCATAACATTTGAGTTTTGTATACCTTTATCACATTGAGTTTTGTATATTGATGTGTTTGCCATAGCAACTCCCTCCTAAAAAAGCAATAAAAGCATTGGTCTGTATAGAGTGGAGAGACCAAAAGCCAAAACATGGACTAGAACTTCCTCCAAGGCTCTAACAGTGACGAGATCGTCATACATTGAACCCAATAAACTCATCTCACACAAGGTATTTATGTAAAACCAGAAATCATCAAGGAGTTCCTCAATGTAGCAATGGAAACAAAACAAAGGAAAGATACAAACGATATCGGAATGAGTTGATTTCTAACAAGCCACAGAGAATCGATTTCCAATTCCACAGCAAGCAATTTTGGCTGACCGTGAAAAATCATAGAGTTATGCATTCGGTATTACAATCTGAGTCCCATGCGTGAGAATGCAACAATCACGTCCGAAAATTGTATAGTTTTGACTAAACTAGATACAATATATACACAACCAATAAGGAGGACTGAAATCTCCAATGCACTTTCCCATTAACTACAACGATTATGCCGGCTCAGTGCCGATGAATACTTTAGAAATAATTCATACCTTGACTGAACTTATTCTTAAACTAAAAAATAAAGCTCATAACTATTAGGCCATGGAGTGTGGAGATTGTGTCTAAAAACTGACCTAACATGACGATTCTGCGATGGGTCCAAAGAGCTAAATGGATTACCTGTTTTCTACACAAATCTTTTTACAAGCAATCTAATTCTGCTCCTGTGCTGAGTCAAGTGGTAATTTCTGGACATTTGCTCACATGAATGGTTTTAGTAAGCTAGCTTTATAATTGTCTGCCAGATGCAACCACACCTACTTTCCTTCAGCACAGAGCCGATCTGAAACATGTTAAACAACTCAGATTACTTTAAATTTAACATAAGCTTTTACACAGTGTAAGAAGCTACAATAAGCATATCATTGGAACCATTCAACTCAAATTAAACAAGCTCGAGGTTGAGCCAAAAAAGAAATGAAAAAGAAACTCTTAATGAATGGGCATGAAGACCCAAGTCAGAACATAACTCGTCTCCATATCCGACCTCCCTATTTATTTAGCAATTTAGAAAGAACCAATACAAATCTTAGCTAAAGCATATCCATATGGTATCCTACACATCATATCAGTGATTCATTGAAGCAGCCAAAGTCACAGGCAGAAAGTGTTTAGCAAGACATAAACAAAAACAAGCGAAAAAATTTGTGAGCACTTTTCAGGAATGGCCATAATCAGCACAGATGTGAAGCTTACCTATTCATGGAAAACACTCATAAGATCATTAGGAGAAATACGTTGTAACATCGGAATCCCCCCTCTAGCATTTTCAGAAAAGTTCATGCTTGGCTCCTGCTTTATTCTATTTCCTGTAATCTCTCCATACATCTTATCTTGATTCCCATTGGCTATTGCCGTCCCTGTTTCATCCACATATAGATGGCTGGGAATTGGCGTCGCTCTACCAAAAAATGCAGTGTTCTTGGGCATTCCCTGGCCTTGCAAATGCCCAGAAGTAGAACTATAAGAGTCCTGCAACAAGGTGACATTAGGAACTGGTGCTGGTAACTGTCCCACCGCAGTAAATCTTAAGGCTGGAACTTGCATACCACCCATGCCACTATTTGCATTCAAAGAACCAGAAGAGAAAGTTGTTGAAGATAGTGGACCTACACATGATAACCCCCCGATAACAGAAGCGTGCTTAAGTTCTGTGTCCTGAGATCTTCCAGTACCCAGTGGAGGATTATGTGATTGATGCAAAAGCAAGCTATAATCTATATCTGAACTTCCACTCAAACTGCGACTTTGATTTGCCGAAACAAGGCTATTTCCTGCTTGAAAATTAGCAGATGAGGGGGAAGGAACAACTAGGCAAGAAGGTTGTACATTTATTGTCCGACTAGTCTCTGGAATAGTTGATTGTTTCTGTTGCTGTTCATGCGGCCGCCTAATCTGCTGTGTTTGTTGGTGCATAACATTCATCATCCCACTTCCATTTTGGCCACCCAAACCATTAAGATTGTCAGAAGCAGATATTTTTACGGGACTTTTTGCTGACCAGGTTCCAAGTCCAGAATGAACACTATCAGCAGAAGTAAAATTCTGAGGAAAATGTTTTAGGACATTGGACGTGCATTTCATCAGTGGCTGGCCATAAGCAACATTCTGATCAATAGTTGTGCCCTTGGATACTGGCATGGATGCTTGTAGTAGAGCTGACTGATCCATTGCTGGAAAGACTACAGTACCCGTTGGTCGATTAAAAAGTTCAGCATGCAGTGCTGCCAAAGTTTGAGGTGGAACTTGGCCAGACGCTGCCAAAGCTTGAATATCAAACCTTCCCAAAGTACCCATTTTAGGATTTGGCTCAAGAGGTGCACAATATGAACCTGGAAGGCCACCATGCGTTTGGGATACTCCACTTAACCTTTTCAAATACAGTCTGAATTTCTGCAAAATAAAGAGAGAAAATATTAAGTATGCATCTTTGAAAGCTCAACGTAGTAGTCTCAAGCACTGCACACTAATAACAAGTATATAAACATTATTTTCTGAGTCAAGGATTAATGATCAGCAAACAGACAATTAACACATAAACCCATAATTGCTCGATGAAATGTCAGACACAGAAGTTCATATCCCAACTAATGAAAATTCATAACCTCATGCTTGTGTTTGATCAGGTATAGGATGACAGATGAGATGTTAACAAAGGGAGAAACAATATAGTAGAGGTCATGAAAACTTCTGGTATGTCCATAAATTCCTATTTGCGTTAAAAAAGAAAGCATGTCTTTATAGCAGGCAACATCTTGTGTTTGAAACAGGAAGAAAAGACCAATTATAGATCAGTTTAGAGATGCCATTTCTGTTCTCTTCATGGTTAAAAAGAGTATACTAATTCTTTATGCGCATGAACTTAAACTCACATGTCCTGTAGATGTCAACTATATTTTATATCTGACAAAGCAAACTAACTAAAAGTATATGGCGTAAATGAAAGACCAACAGATCACTTGTTACAACCTGCAAATGGCTTGCCACATTTTCTCTTGTTAGACCAGGCACATTCATTAGTTCAAGAATCCTTTTTGGCACAGCCTCTGCAATAGCAAACCCAGATGTCAGAAAAAGACATAAAAACTCATATACTAAGGAGCTAGAAAATAAAAGTATACAACCCAACTATTTGTATAATAACAATCATTTCATAGCTACAAAATAGAAACTGTAAGCATCAAGTTAGCCATTCATACTATCAATTCCGAGCTGGTTCACGGCAGTGACAAATTGTTGATGAAGCTCCACTGACCAGACTACACGTGGCTTCTTTGAGGTACTAGGGTCATCATTCTCTAGTTCAGTATCCTCTTCATCTTTGCTATCTTTCCTTTTCTTCAGCGTTCTTAACATACCATCAGATCCTTCGTTAACACAAGAAGCATATTCAGACTCATCATTTCCCTGCTTCTGTTGATCATTATCTTCCAGGCTACCAGACAGCTCATGTTCTTTGCTCACAGTACACCTTTTTCTCACTATATGCTGCCATATATTTTTTAACTCTTCTGTACGTATAGGCTTAATTAAATAATCACACGCACCATGCTTAATTCCTTTCAAGACAAGGCTGGTTCTGTCATCTCCAGACATCACTAATAAGAAGGAAATATAAATCATAAAAAAGTTGTTTATAGTACCTGACCAAAATAATTGCCAGAAGTAACATTACTTACTTATAACGGGAAGGTCCATTTCCAACCCAACAAGCTCAAGAAGTTTGAACCCATCCATATCAGGCATATGGACATCACTCAGTACGATATCAAAGAAGCCTTTCCTTTCTCTTAAGAGATTCAGGGCAACAGTAGCTTGAGAACAAGTTGTAACTGCAATAATTCCAAACGTCAACCAAACGAGAGGAGGCAGGAGCTTTCAATACATTCAATCCACACAAACACAAAAAAAGGGGAGGTTTAACGAAATAGCAAAGAAGAAAAAACTGAAACTTTACTACTTATTTCCTCTGCTAAAATTTACAGAGGAAAACAATCACAAACTCCATAAGGTTGAAGAACACCTAGTTGGGAAAATTGCAAATGCTGACAAAATAAGCGAGCTAATAGTGATGAAAGTTACTTTATTTGGAGCAAAGTGTTCAGAGACATTGACCTTTAATGTTTGATCTCTTATACAGTACACAGCAATCCAAATGTAAATCAAATGCTTAGCTATATATCCTATTCAATGCAACTCAAACTTCACATATACAAATACGGGTTCAACTATGCAATATTATTTCTTATTATTTTTTAAAGAAAAAGAACTACTTCCAAACAATGGTGTGCCGTTCAAGAGATCCAAACAATGCAAAGAAGGGAAAACAACAGAGCAAACAAGAGAGCAAACTGATGAAAAGCTGCCACTATAGGTCGCCAACCTTCAAATTCTCAAAATCTTCATCAGCAATTCAGAAAAAAACTACCAACAACCTACGGAGAAGCCAGCATACAATTAACCTGACAAAGATACATATTCTATGTGCAGTTCATAGCCAATAGATATAAAAGAGAACAAGTACGGAATCTGAGTCCCTCTGGGATTTCTCACGACATACACAAGTTACAACGATAGATGGCATCTGTAATTATATCTGCTACAATATGAAACAGAATATTACAAGCCTAATACTGCATACTCAATATCAGAAAAGATGACTAAATGAAGTAGCGGACTTAATCACTCGATCAACTATAATTTAAAAGCAGATTAACATTCTTGTCATTGATCTAGACACAGAATCTCATATGCTGATAATCCTAGAAACTGCCAGACGCGATTCCGGGATAACTTTGTGATTTCGAAGAAAAACAAAATAGCTACAGCCGGTTGCCTAAATATTGAGGAGTGATCACGCTTCAACAACAAAACAAATTCACCTTTTATTCAACTATGTAACTAATCATATCTTGCCATCGTGGTCTATCAATAAAAACATAGCTCCTCTAAGTTCAAATAGATAGTTTAAACTCAAGCGACAAAAAAAAAAAAAAAAAACTAACAAATCGGCTGGCGAGGGAAGGAAAAACCACTCACCGGAGTACATGCATTTCCGAAGCATTTGCTCAAGAATCCTCAAACAGAGGACATCGTCATCCACAACCAACACTTTCAACCCAACTGGAAACTGCTCCGGCACCGACGCAGCCTCTTTATAAGCACTCGCCATTCGCACCGATTAAATTATTTTCACAAACTTCAATTCCAGCAAAACCAAAAAAAAAAAAAAAAAAAAAAACCCTTACGAAATAAGTCAACGAATTGGGCTCAGAAGATGAAACAAACCCTCAAACGGCAGCGAGTTATGACAGCGAAGGTGGATATTAATAGTGTAAAACAACAACAACAGTAAGGCATAGCTGGTTTGGATGGGTGGGTGAGTACCAAAAGAGGACTGGTTTGACCTGGGTGGAAAATACTGGAAGTGAGCTGGACAGAGAAAATGCGGAGGAATCTGGAAGGAGAGTATTAAAGGGGAGGCAATTGAGGAGTGAAATTAGGGTTTATGGATCAGTGATTTGGGGGATTTTTGGAGAGATTGAATCAGGGAAATTAGGGAGGGAAGAAAAAAAAAGGGAAAGTGATGAAGAAGAAGAAGAAGAAACGGCAAAGAGAGACTTAGGAAAGTGCGTCGGGAGAGTTGTCTGTACTTGCCATCTATACACACACACACTGATGTAATCCGTTTGGTCCAAAAGAAGTGATTGATTGGAGGAAAGAGACTATACATATTTGTTGACATACTCCTCCTATTTAATTGCAAATTCAGATTCAGTATCTAATTATGATTGAAACCTATATTCTTAGTCTTAAAATTATTGACATCGTTCTTTTCTAAATCATTGTAATATGTTATTGATACAAGTTTTATTCGATTTTATTCCTAATTGTTCTCAAATCATTTTTACGATATAAAATATACTGCGAGTTCATGTCTTTGTGAATTTTATATGGGTTAATTTAAGGATTTGTTTTCCATTCAATTTGACCTTTTCTTGACAAATTATTTCTCCAAATGATGCACATAATTACAAAGATCTTTTAGTAGCTCCAAGACTCAAACTCTATGATGATTATTAGATTGCTGGGTCTAATTGGCACCTCTTTAACTTTTGAGTTCCAGTTGAAACTAATTTTCATCAAACTTATTGGTATAACTCTCGTTACATTGTTTTAAAAAAAAATAATTCAGCACAGAGACACAATTTAATTATAAAGTTATATACTTTTCTGTTTTGTTCAAATTTTACCTTCATTTTGTTTTACGTTTATAATAATTCAATACTTACGTTGAAATCCCAAATCAATAAAATATTATTACTTTCGTACCAGAAAAATAATCCCCATTCAATTTTGGTATTTACACCAAGGGACAATATTTTTGCTTGAAATATACTCTTTCTGTCGTGGAAACAGAGTCAACATTCAGTTTTGAAATTTGTATTAATTTCAAAATGCAATATAAATTAATACAAATTAATTTCATAGATTACTTTTATGGGACAGAGAGGGTAACATATTTCATGCAAAAGCCTTGTTCCCAAAAAAAAAATAAATAAATAAAATAAAAAATGATAAAAAAATAGAAAAATAAAAATAGAATTATAGTAAGGCGTTATCCTTTCCTAGCGACAGGGCTTATCTTGGATTATCCGTTATTGCATTGCTTTGCTCCCATTATGTTGACACGTTTTCTGGACTGCAGCACTTCGCTTTCATCCTCACCATGCTTCTTCCGGAATTATTCTCAGAAATACTACTCATTATATTCAGTCCCCAAATTGGTGAGCACATCTTTCTTCATCATTGAAACTCCAAAGCTTAAGAAGAGCTTTTACACATTATTGGGTTCAAACTGTAATGCAAGAAGGAGAATTAGATATGAAGATGAAGGAGATGAGGATGATGATGAATATGGATACAATGAAGAGCTAGCCATGCTGGAAACTTACACTCAATCTGCAAGAAATGAAGCCCTTATTGTCAAGGCGATGGTGGATGAGCAAGAACTCGAAGTCCTCATTTTCAAGGTAACTAAAGTAATTAATTTTTAATTTTCATGACTATTACAAGCCACACTATATATATAACTATATATATTTCCGTAATAAAGTTTATCTCATCATGTAAAAAGAGTCATGTGCGCTGAATTAAACAATATACACTATATTAAAGAAAAACATAATAGCCATGTTAATCTTTTACTCTCTGTTAATTTCTTGCAATGAAAATGTGACCATATATATATATATATATATATATGTTGAAATATTCGTTGCCATTTAATTTTGTGTTCACGTTAGGGATTCTCGTCGTGCTTAAATTCTGCCACATTTGCTGATCCTACAAAAAGTGTTCTTCCGGCAAGAGCTGTGATTAGATCCATAGACAGAGTTGAAGGGCCAATCAATCCATCCAATATTCAATACATTGAACAAGGTTTGACATTCGAAGTGTTTAAAACCCGCCTGTAATTAGTTAATTGCCGCCACACTGAAGTAATTGTATGGAAGTGCGGTTGTTTTTATTTTTGTTTTAAGTTTGTAGTTTGGCCATGTAAAAAATTGCGTCGAAAATGTCTAGAAATTGGCAAACAAAATAACAGAACAATTCACAATTGGTTTGCAATAAAGAGGTCAACAGAGAATATACGTAATTATTTTATGGTCTTTATGTTTGTTTCGTTTCTTCAGTGTGTGTTTTTAGTTATTTTTTCGATTAAAAATGTAAAAAAGTATATCGAAAATGTAAAAAAGTATACTGAGATAGGACACTTATTCATTAATAATTCTGGAAAAACCATCAGAAAAAGAAAACAAACAAAGCCTTAGTTTTAAGTGTGTGATGACAAGGTCTTTCATTAATAGCCGAGCAACGCAAATGTAACACGAGGGAAGGGATTGATTGACTTTTTCTTTTTGAGAAATAAGGACGACGGACTAACAGCCTATCTTTGCCCACTCTTAAAGGACTTCATCTAAAGGAAATTAAATATGCATTTCACGCAATCAACTAAATCGATTCGAGACGCCTAACAATGATCATTTTGCATTCAAAATCAAAAGAAGTAATATGATTGAGTAATATACACATGACTTAAGTTAAACTATTACAGTCAACCATAATCAATTGATTCATCTGACCGCAAAAGAGATGCATTTTCCTACCTACGTATGTGATATGAACTAGATAAAGCAATATTAGCGAAACTGTGATGTGTGAAGTATCTTATTGTTTCTTACTTCTTCCGTCCCAAAATAATTATTCAGTTTAATTTTTTATTTTTAGTTTAAATTATACTGAAAAATATAATCCCGAACTAGACGATCATTTTTTGAGATAGAAGAAGTAATAAACAAAAACTTCCATGGTTCAAAATAAGATTTTAACAAAGAGATGTCTTCGACTATAACTCAAGCTCCGTCCAAAATTTATGGTTTAGTTTGAATTTTTCATTTTTAGTTTAAATCTTAATCTAAACAATAATTTTGGAACAGAAAGAGTATGTAATCATTGTTACATGATTATTCTTGCTAACGGAGTTTTTACAATTTTCTATTTTTTTGAATTATCCTTCAATTTAATTTATATGACGGTTCAAATTCACGCCTTATATCAATTGGATTGTAGCGAGTATTATCATGTAAATTATTGCATTGTTGGGAGTCAAACATTGATGTCTATGGATGTAATTGAACCTCTAAAAAAAAGTAAAAAAGGATGAGAAGAAGAAGAGCACGTAGTTGATGAGAGATTGTACTCCACATTCCGGCGCCAAATATATAAATAAAAAAAAACATCGTATAACACAAACTAATGACGTGGACGATCTCCAGTTGCAGATTGGTTTCAGATATTTTCTCCACAAAATATCCCCCTTGACACGCCTTGTCAACTATACGCCTTTTTTTGGACGTTTTCGCGTCATCCTATTCCGCCCCCTGATTTTCGTATATTTACTTCACCGCCATTTAGTTCTTTTTTTTTTCCTTTTCTTTTTTCCTTTTTTATATACTTTCTAGTTTGGAATGGCCACTAAATGTTAATAATGATTATGGAAGAAACTTAGTAGTAATATAAACTATAAAAATTTAAACTCTCGTTACGTAAGAAGATACAAATTAATCATAATCATATACAAACTCCCATTAATTTAAACTTAACTAGAAAAGAATAAACACAAGTGTCTGATATTATTTATTTTTGAAAAGTGATAAACGATTTTTCATTTTAATAAACTATATTATCTTTTTGTTTTTTGGTGAAGAACTTAATGTTTTTTGGTGAAGAACTTAATTAAAAGCTAATGTCGACGATTACATTTTGATGAATCTTTGTAGTCATTCTCTAGTTGCATATTGACACATCAAAGAGGAGCATAAAAAGAATTCAGTTCCCTATCTATACTTAATGCGACCTTATCAAGAACATTGATGCGCATATTATTATCTCTATACATTTGTACAAAATATACATCTCAATTAGAGCGCAAAATTGTACAAATCCCTCTTAATTATGGATCTAGAGGGGTTTCATTCTGATCATTCATACTCTGGATCAGATCAATTGCTATTTGAGAATCGGATTCGCATATCAATTTAGCGATACCTACCTTCTTAACGACCTCTATTGCTAAAAAGATCACTCATAGTTCTGCTGTCTCCACATTAATAAACTCTATTTATCGTGAAAAATTCAACTTCTGTAATATTTTTGAAACTATTAATCTGTTAAAAAAAAAAATTCTCTTTCTACCATTACTCCCATGATAGAAAAACATGAAGGAAACAAAAATGATAAAACTACAAAAATCATTTTAAGTTGTTTATATGATTTAACTGTAAACTTTGTACACCTATCAATAAAATAAAATTTAATGGAAACTCTCTCCATTCTTAATCATATATCGCTATAGGATTTACAAATCTTTTTAAAATATATGTCGAAAATCAAGGATCCTATTTTTTCAATATTACTTTTGCAGTAAAAATGAAATGGTATTTGAAATGATATTTTATTGATTGGTGATGGGTAGTATAATTTATGAATAAGGGTAATTTGTGTTCATAGACGTCACTTAAATGAAATTTATAGAAAGACATATATTTTAAAATGGAGGAAGTGAAAAAAGATTATAACGACACAAAACAACCAATATATTTTTTTTCACAAAATTACCTTACCTTTTTCATAGTCACTATAATTTCTTAACCCCACTCTTAATTTCTATAGCCTTTAGGTTCGATAACCCCATGTTACCAATCCTAATCCTAATATCGTTGTATTTCTTGAAATGCATCTTTTTTGGCAGAAGGGTCTTGCTATTGAGCGTCCTAATTTTTCTTTTGAGCGCCTTAAAAAGATTATTTGCCCTTATTATTATTTTTTTTTAAAAAAAAAGGTAAGGCAACGCATTTTTGCATCAAGCTGACGCAGTAGGAACACGCCACCCTTTCATGGGTGGTGTGCACTTTTCTCGCCACCCCAAGTTTTTTGCTCCTTAAAAGGGGGTGGCGCGCAAACCATGTGCCCCCGGGGTTCTGCGAGCAAATCGCTCGACAAATCGATTGGGTGGCGGTCTAACCGGCCGCTACCCTTTTTTTAAAAAAATGATTTAATTAATTTTTTAATTTATTTCTTTTTAATAAAAAATTATTTATTAAATTAATTATTTAATTTATTTAATTATTTTATTTATTTAATTATATTTATTTATTTGTTTGACGGTTAAATAAATAATTTTAACTTAAATAAATAATTTTTTAACTTAAATATTTGGAGAATGTTGCTTAATTACGTAGTAAATTTATCATTTAATTATGTAAAATTTTTTAAACTTAAATTAAAAAATTATCATTTAATAACAACTAAAACTTGTGAATTTACTACCAAACAAATTATTTATAAATATACTAATTATTTATAAATTAATGAATTAATTTACTCCCAACTAAAAATATTATCATTCTATAAATATTTAAATTAAAAAGTTATTTATTTATCATCGGTGTATCTAGCCGTCCTGAGAATTTTTTTTGGGAAAAAATAATTTAAAATATAAAATATAATAAAATATGAAATATAAAATACTTTGAAATTTTATATTTTTTATTTCATATTTATTATAAAATAAATATAAACTACAGAGAAGAAGAAATATGAGAGAGAGAAAGGATTCAGGTGAATTTTATTTAATAGGGACTGTCCTCTATTTATAGACAAGTAGATACAGAGATAAGATCAACGAATATGATTCAAATTAAATATTATCTCTATACATGGAATCCTAATATAACTCTTCTATCTAATGGACATCCACATTATTAATATATTTATGACACTCTCCCTTTGATGTCTATTTCTTATGATATCCATTTCAACATTTAGTTTTATATATTAAACAATCGATGGTGCTTACTTTTAATTGGATAAATATCAAAGAAAAATTAATGCTTTAAAAAGAAAAAAAATATGAAAAGTTTTCTTTATCATATGTGTTTGGAAAAGTTTAGGATCTAATTATTTTTCCAGCAAATCAAAAAATTATTATTACTGTGTTTGTTTAATTGAAGAATCACTTCAAGACGTGAAAAATATTTTATTATTAAAAAAATATTATCAAAAAATAGAATTTATGAACCGATTTATCGTTATTAGGCTTAAACCCCATGTACCTTAAAAGCCGATATCAAATGTTCAAGAAATTTACATTAATGTTAATGTCATTTGTTTAAAAAGCTCGATTTATGTGAAATAAATATCCTCTCAAATAAAGGCAAAAAAACGTTATCGAATAATCTGTTAAATGAAGCGCCTTAGCAAGAGGAACGAGGTAGATTCGTTTCCAGGGTTATAATGTCGTAAATCTATATTCATAACAAAAAATCCCTTGAAATGATGAAGGTCTTAAAATTCTTAATTAACTTCATATATAGTTGTTTAGACACCGGTTAGAATGCGTAATTTTTTTTTCTAAATAAATCTGTCAATTTCTGGTTCTATAACAATTAGATTCCTTTGTATTAGGTCGGAACAAAATCCATTATAATTATCTTTTATTAATTAAATAAATAAATTTAAAAAACAAATAAATTAAAAAATTAATTAAATAATTTTTTTAAAAAATTAATTACTGTTTGGCGAGCGATTGCGAGTGGCGCCAGATTTGTGAGTCGCCCCTATTTTAGGGGAGGCAAATGTTTCGGAGGCGAGAAAATTGGACCTTTCACGACTGGTGCAAATATCCCTGGTCATTTGTTTTTTTTTTAAAAATAATAATAATAAATACAAAATAGTAAAAATATAATTTTTTAAAACGCTCAAAATAAAAAATAAGGCCGCTCAATAACCTTCCAGAAAAATTATTGCTTTGTCCATTCTGTCTATAAATTATCAACTGGGGGGCGGCAATAGAATATTCCCAAACTTTTGAGAAGAAGACCAAAAATGAGAAAACGGAGAAAAATCACAACTCCAGTGGCTTTCTAGTAATTTAACGGCTTCCATTGTCTGATTCTGGATTTTTATTTGATTCCCCAAAATATCTAAGAGCTAACACACCGAACACCCAAAAATCACAACCCAGCAAAAAGATCTTCTTCTTCTTCACACACAGAAGCAGAGAAAAAAGATGGGTGTGGAAGAAAGCGAGGGAGAGGAGGAGGAGGAATTGTTCGGAAGGGGAACCGGAAAACGGCTGAAATGCATTTCTCATGACCTGAATCGTAGACCGCCGGAAGAGGATGAGGACGATGACTATGATTTGGATGAGGAGACTGGCCGGAAAGATGCTTCTGGATATTATGTACCCGCCGCCGGTGAGAAATTATCGTATCCCATTATGACGCCGTCTTCGATCGTTGTTTCTGATGCTTTAGAAGCCGATTTCCCCATCATTTATGTCAATACTGTCTTCGAAATTTCAACTGGATTTCGGGCTGATGAAGTCCTTGGTCGAAATTGGTAAGGATAATAATTTGTTTTTTTTTCCCCAGTATGTTTGTATTCTTTGAGATTTTTACTTCGTAAGAAAGTGTTAATTGAGATTATGGATTTTTTTTTTCTTTTTCTGTGGAAGTCGAGGGAGAGAATTTCTCGTGAATGCTGGAGTCTTTTGTTTAGTGTTAATATATTGAAATTATTTATGACTATAATTTTTTTGTTGGTTGAGAAATGGTTGTTAAAAAAGATTGAATCTTTGTTAGAAAATATCTATAATTTGGCTGCTTTGAAGTTTTATTTAGGTACATCTGTTATGATTGTGTAGAGTTGAAAGTTACAGAGGTTAGGGTTATAATACCTGACTAATGATAGTTAGAGCGAATTCAATTGAAAAATTAAAAAAAAAAAACTTGAAATCATTTTATTTAGTTGTCGTTGGCGTAAGTGAGTAATGGAATGCACCTAAGGTAACAAATGACTTTGTAAGCTTGCCGTGTCGATGGCATTGCTGTACATGGCAGAGCAGGTAACTAGGGCAGGGCGCAAACGCTGCTTCAAGTGTGAGAGGGGTTCAAATTGGTGGAGCAAATGCCATTGCTGTTGGGAGCTACTCAGTGCTGCAGTTCTCATTTTGAGTTTCTTTAATTAACAGAGTGGTTGTTGTGAGTATCTGCTGCATGTGCTCGGAAATTGCCTGGTTAATGGATGGAGTCATTCTCCCCCTTCTCTTGTTATGATGCATTTCGTTAAACTACAGAGCATCATTTGCTACTGAGTTAAATGTTAAAAATGCTTGCTATGTGCACCTTAATTTGCTAATAATGTCCATTATTTTTCCCTAAAATTCTTTAGTTGGCCGTTATGCCGTACTGTGGTCTTTGATTTTTCACTATTGTTATAGTGGATGGTTTGTATCCAGCTTTTCCATTTGATAATTTTGAATCAATACTAGTTTGACTTCTTTGTTTGACTTATTTCTTTTCAATCCTTGGCTTTAGTCGATTTCTGCAGTTTAGAGACCCTCGTGCTCAAAGGAGGCATCCTTCAGTTGACCCTGTTGTTGTCTCGGAGATCAGAAGATGTCTGGAGGAAGGCATTGAATTCCAAGGAGAACTGCTCAATTTTAGGAAGGATGGCACTCCTCTTGTCAATAGGTTGAGACTTGCACCTATTCACAGTGATGATGGTACAGTTACACATGTCATAGGAATACAAACGTTTTCTGAAGCGAGAATAGATTTCAACTCTGTATCATATCCTGTTTTCAAAGAAACTTGTCCACGTCAGTATGATGAGACAGGTGATTCAGCACTGAACAGTGGGCAGTATCAATATGCTCAGCAGCAAGAGACATGCATGATTCTTCAGCTTTCTGATGAAGTGCTGGCTCAAAACATATTATCACGCTTGACACCCAGGGATGTCGCGTCAATCGGATCTGTCTGTAGAAGAATTCGACAATTAACTAAAAATGAGCACTTAAGGAAAATGGTTTGCCAAAATGCATGGGGAAGAGATGTCACTGGTGCACTGGAACTGATGACAAAGAAGCTAGGGTGGGGACGCCTTGCTAGGGAGCTGACTACTCTTGAAGCTGTTTGCTGGAAAAAGGTGACAGTTGGAGGTTCAGTTGAGCCTTCACGATGTAATTTCAGTGCATGTGCTGCAGGAAATCGACTAGTCCTCTTTGGTGGTGAAGGAGTCAATATGCAGCCAATGGATGACACCTTTGTTCTCAATCTTGATGCCGCCAACCCAGAATGGCGTCGAGTGAGCGTGAAGTCTTCTCCACCAGGACGATGGGGCCATACACTTTCATGCTTGAATGGTTCCTGGTTGGTAGTATTTGGTGGATGTGGGAGGCAAGGGCTGCTTAATGATGTTTTTGTCCTTGATTTAGATGCCAAACACCCAACATGGAAAGAAGTCTCTGGTGGAACTCCACCACTCCCTAGATCTTGGCACAGCTCCTGCACGTTAGAAGGCTCAAAGTTAGTTGTCTCTGGTGGATGCACTGATGCTGGTGTATTACTCAGTGATACCTACTTACTGGATCTTACTACAGACAAGCCCACATGGAGAGAGATTCCAACTTCATGGTCACCTCCATCGAGACTGGGGCACTCCTTGTCAGTGTATGGGAAGACTAAAATTCTTATGTTTGGAGGGCTTGCAAAGAGTGGGCACTTACGCCTGCGGTCAGGTGAGGCGTATACAATAGATTTGGATGATGAGAAACCATTGTGGAGGCAGCTTGAGTGTGGTGCATTCACTGGCGTAGCAAGTCAAAATGCGATCGTTCCTCCTCCTAGACTGGATCATGTTGCAGTAAGCATGCCTTGTGGGAGGATTATCATTTTTGGTGGTTCCATAGCCGGGTTGCATTCTCCATCACAGCTTTTCTTATTAGATCCTGCTGAAGAAAAACCCTCCTGGAGAATACTCAATGTACCTGGACAGCCACCAAAATTTGCTTGGGGCCACAGTACATGTGTGGTTGGAGGCACCCGAGTTTTGGTCCTTGGTGGGCACACCGGGGAAGAGTGGATACTGAATGAATTGTATGAGCTGTGCTTAGCCAGCAGACAAGATTCCGATCAATAACTCAAAAGTTGCAAGTGAATTCTGCAACAGGTTTTCTACTCCCCTGGTCTTATTTATATGACTCTAGATTATTCAGAAGCTCAATGGATGTAGGACTGACACGTGATCTCTGTATATATTCTTTCTTGATGCGCTGTTTGTAGTCCGAAGGTTTTGTCTTAAAACAACTTATTGTGCTTTATCTAGTATCTCTAAGATAATGTTGTGTTCATGTTATTTTGTTTTATTTGTAGTCCATGTTTCCTAGTCTCCTTTGATGAGAATGTGTGTGTTTTGATAGAATACAAGGAAGATAGTGTCGGTTGTTAGTATTCGTTCATCCCCTTTGATGGATAAATAGTTTTGGTATGACTTTGTAGTTTGTTTTTTGTTTGTCTCCTCCGACGAGAACTTCTGTTTTGGTAGTGTACACTTGCATTTTTGTCAATTTTTTTTCAAGAAAATGTTGATATACATCAGTTTGAATCTCATGGAGGTTTCACCCTCAAAGTCAAATGCAGCAGCTACTTTGATCCTCTTTTTCAAATGCTATGTTGGCATAATTGTTGCTGTTGGACATGGGCTCTGCAATTAGGAAATTAATAACTTAAATTTTACTCCCGGTTACAGTAAAACTCAGGCGACATAAATTTCTTATGACCTGTAAGTGACCGCTTAGGATCACCTTATTGTAACCCGACTCGATGGTTTTGAAAAAATATCGCCTAAACATTGGGATTTCATCCATGAATATGTATTACTTTTCAAATTCAATAAAAACATATTGTAATAGTTAGACGATGTACTTATTATAATAGTATATATCTTTGGCACTCATCATCAGACATCAATCATATATACTTTATTCCGTTCTAAAATTATTGTTCAATTTGATATTTTACTTTTAGTATAATTTAAACTAAAAATGAGAATCTAAACTGGATAGTAATTATAGGACGGAAAAATTATATCTTTCTCACTCATCATCAATCATATATTTTATCCCTTTGTCTTAAACATGTACAGTTAGACACAAACGCAAATCTAAAACTAATAATCTTTTGCTTTAAACCCCCTGTGCACATTTTATACACCTACTCTCTATCGATCTTCCTTCCTTGCATTGCCCATCTTATTGGAATACGTTATACTACTCCCTCTATTTTGAAATACATGTCGTTTTAGGATTTGGTGAATTTTTTTAAATATATGTTGTTTTCACAAATTGAAACATATTTGATAATTTTTTACCAATACTACACTTGCATTGGAAATGAAACAATATTTATCATGAATTTCTATTGGTTTGTAATGAATTGTATAGACAATAAATAAGAGTATTTTTGTATTTTAATTATATTAATTAATATTTTCTTGGGTTTGATGATTTCTCTATGAAAACATATAAAACAAATGGAGATAGTATTATTTAAGATTTTTTAAGACGGTTGTCTTTTTTTTTTTCCCTATAAAAAATGAAGGTAACCTAGTTGAAAATTGCATGTTATTATAAATACAAATCACGTGGAAAAATGTTTAGCTACCAATGAGAAAAATGTTGGTTTTTTTAAAAAGTTTCAGAACACTGCCAAACACAGAGCAGAAAAAGAGATCCATGAATTGCTCTAATTTCACATATTAAGAATAGATATATTTTTAGAAAAAAAAAAATAATTCATATCAAGTCATTTGCCGAACCTATTTATGCAACACAAAATTTTCATAACTATAAACGGTACTACTAACTACTATATGCTTGTGAGAAATGATCCACCTTTTCTTTTTCCCTTGAAATATAAATAAAAACGTTCCTATCAAAAAAGGTGCAGCACCACTCAGTACTTTTAAAATCAGAAAAATCTTTGTATATAAGAGCGGTTCTACCACCTGTTCCAATGATTAATTTCCACCATATAACTTGCTTTAATATTTCTTATTTTTCGTCACAACTCACAAGCTCGATCACCCGGGAATGTAATACGATTATGAGTTTTTGATATGTACAAGACTATTATTTTGCAATAAAGGGAGTATAAAATGTATTTTAATACAACACAAATCTATTTGTTTTTTTTTCCGTCATATTAATATTTAGCGGGGGAGCTAGATACTCATTAACAAATGCTTGTTTTATTATTTTGAAAAAAAAAAAAACCAACATTTACCACGAAGTTTATTAACAATAACGTACGTATGACATGTTTGAGAAGAGGGATGTGGGGGCTGGAACTTGGAGGAGAAGGTGACCAAAAATAAAAGAGGGTCTAAACTATGTTGGAAGACGGGTTTGGAAGTTTGACCCGGAGGCTGGAACTCCAGAAAACCGGGATCAAGTTGAAAGGCTCCGTGAACAATTTACGCGTAATAGATTCCATGTGAAGCATAACTCCGATCTTCTCATGAAAATGCAGGTTAATTATTTCGATTTTAATTTCAAGTAATGTTTTGATTTTAATTTCAATCATATGATACGGGTGTTATTTATTTATTTATTGGTTTTGGCTTGCCTGTTTCATGGATGCTTTAGTTTGCGGAAGAGAATTGTTGGGAAAATCCTGAAGCGGAACAAGTCGAACCAGTGAAAGACATAAACCATGAAGTTGTAACAAACAGTTTGAGAAGAGGTCTCCATTATTATATTCTCTCCTGTCCTTATTACAAGGCAATTTTGAGGCATTTTGATTTCGTTTTAGGTTTCACCTAAAATCTTTTTAATTAAAATAAAAACCTTAAAAATATTTTATAATAATTAGGAGAACACAACGAATGTGAAAATATATTTTTAAGATTTTTTTTCTAATTAAAAAGACATCCTAAGTTAAACCTAGAACGAAATCAAAATATCTTACGGCAAGGACCGGAGGGAATCCAAGCTGTTGATGGTCATTGGCCAAGTGGTTTGCATGGTCCCTTGTTCCTTGGTCCACAAATGGTGAGCGTAATTATTTCTTCTTCTTCTTCTTTTTAGTTTTTTTTTTTTAACAATAAATTGATAATCTTCTCCACAAATTCATTTTGATTTTGTTACGTGCAATTATGATACCATTACAAGATCGTGTTTTCTCAAATGAACAGGTAGTAGCATTATACACAACAGGAGACCTAAATACTGTTTTTTCATCTCAACACCAGAAAGAGATGAAACGTTACATTTACAATCACCAGGTTCGTATTGTATTGGTTAATTTATTCATATATTTCTTCGAGGGCTTTGCTTACCATCATAATTATTATTGGTTATGGTACTTGACAGATATATATTATCTAAAATTATTGATATTGAAATAAAACTATTAATGAATTAATGTTGAGTAAGCTTTATATATTTACAGAATGAAGATGGCGGGTGGGGAATACACATTGAAGGGCAGAGTACAATGTTCAGTACAGTTTTAAATATTATTTGGCTTTGCGACTGACGGGAGAAGACCTAGATGATCATATATATACAAGAGCTTTGGCTTTGGCTCAAAAATGGATTCTGGACCACGGCACAGCACTAGCAATCCCCTCTTGGGGAAAGTATTGGTTAGCGGTAAAATCAACCAAACATTCGTGCCAACTTAATTTACTGTTGATTAATTATTCTGATGATCTTGTATGTGGGGGTTTCTTTTAATTTCATAAATAAGTCATGCGAGTATTCAAACTTTTTTCTTTTCTTGTTTGTTTGGTACAAGCTCGGGTAAGTTTAGATCGAATCATTTTTAGTATGTGATATGATACTTATTATATATATGAAATTGAAGAGGATGCACTGCTTGAGATTTACTTAACTCGAAACATTAGAATTTTCAAATAATCACGAGGTTAGATTCAAGTTGTTTGTTTCACTTTAATTAATTAACGTAAATTGCACACCAAAAGTGTCATAGAAAATCTAAAAAACTATCCCATAAAATCTATATTATTATTAGTCTTATATCAATATAAAAGAATTTCAAATTTAAATAAACACGAAATATGACCGGATTTTAATTTGAAACTCGCATTCACGCTCTCCGTGGTCTTTAATTTTTTACTACACAGGTATTAGGAGTTTACAGGGGGTGCAACCCGGTGCCGCCTGAATTTTGGCTTCTCCCTTCTTTCTTCCCAATCAGTCCAGGTAAATTATTAATTACCTCATTTTATAACACAACATATATATGCATGGTCAAGCCTTTTTACTAAACCTAGCCCATTTTATTATGCATGCATGAATTTACGTACGTGCTGAATTATTTCACCCCTCAATATCCATTAGGAAAAAATTTTGTCCTTCCGTCGTTTGGTGTATTTGCCGATGTCGTATTTGTACGGAAAGAGATTTGTTGACAATTATAATCGAGTTGAAATATTTATAATAATGGGTAAAAATGGTTGTGTCGACGTACATTAATAAAAACTCAAATCTTAATTTTTTGTAGGAAGATCAATTTCATCCTTTGTCACCTCTTCTAAAATTTGGATGGGGATGTCTCGGGAAAATGGAGTTAATAATGACAAAGGTGGCCTGGTTCTGTTTTGAGGGAAAGAGCTCTAAAATTGGCAATGGAGCTTGTTCATTACGAGGACAACAACAGCCAATACCTTTGTATTGGAACTGTGGACAAGGTAATCCAGTCATTAACTACATGAGTTAGCAGTAGAATTACTACTTGTCTAGGTCAAATTTAATTTTCCATTAATTCTTCTGAAAATTATTTACAATAAAATAGAAATAATTATTTTGAGACAAATATAAAACAATATTCACATCATATTCTCAAAATGAAAATCAATACAGGCATTATCACTGTTAGCTTGCTGGGTAGAAGATCCAAATTCAGATGCTTATAGAAATCATCTTCTCCGAATCCACGATTATCTTTGATTTCCGAAGATGGCATGAATTTACAGGTATCATTTTGATTAGAACAAAGGGCGAAAAAAAAAAAAAACTTCTGGACTTTATTTAATTTGACGTTTTATTTTACTTTCACTTTTTTTTTTTTATAAAGAAAAACTGCAAAAATTTAGACTAGCAGTTAATATTCATCTAGTAATACTTCTCATATTTCTAGGATTTCTGAAGATGAAAAATTTATTAATACTTGTTCTATCCCAAAATGATCGGTGGCTGGAAAGAGCACTAACTAGCTAATTCTTTCGCATTCTTTTACCATTTAATTTCAGGGAAACACAAGTCAATTTTGGGATCTGGCTTTATCTGTTCAAGCCATTATCTCAAGTACTTTGGCTGAAGACTATGGGGTAACTCTTGCGAGAGCTCATGACTTTTTGAAACAAACTCAGGTGCCCTTTAATTTACTTGGCTGTCATGTTTAATGATTTCCTAAAAAAGATAACCTAACATTATTCTGGCCCTTTAATTAAATTTGTGTAATTCTAATCCCATTTTTTAAATATTTTATCTTCAAAAAAGAATTTCAACAATATATATACTTCCCTGATGAATGTAATAGGTTCAGGAAAATCCATCTGGAGACTTTGTGAAAATGTATCGGCATGCAAGCAAAGGATCATGGACACTTTCAACTGCCGTCCATAAATGGCAAGTTTCAGATTGCACTGCTGAAGGGCTTAAGGTAAAATCGTCAAGCGAAAAAATATCTCATTGTGTTTGTTAGGTACGTAAACATCCATTCTGTATTTTGCCCAAAAAATATACTCCTTTTGTCCCATAATTATTGTCTAGTTTGAATTTTCATTTCTAATTCAAATTATACTAGAAGTAAAATATCAAAGTGAATAATAATTTTGGGACACAGAGAGTATGTGTTTGTTATCATACTGCGAAAAATGTTGGATGCATTATTTGAGAACATTTTGATAATTAAGTAAAATATACGGAAAAGTTACTAGTTTATTAATTTATATATCTAGCTCAATGAATTTATTAATGGTAGTCTTCACACATTTTATTTTACAGGCAGCATTATTACTCTCACAAATTTCATCTACTATTAATGTTGGTAAAGAATTGGATGAAGCAAACTTAAATGATGATGTTAATGTCTTTATTTCACTTCATGCAAGTAAAATGACACGATACATCTATGTTGCGGTTTACTTTTCATTTTTTTTTAATAATTAGATTATTTACTCCTTTCTTCGCCATTTATTTTTTGTCAACTTTGATTTGTAGCAATATATCAATACTTGAAAATACCAGCCGATAAGTCAGAACTGCGGTTCACCTTTCATTTGAGTTAGTTGTAAATAATTAGTACAAGAAGCATCAAATGTTGAAATACAATTAAAAATTTATTGATTAGACTTTGATTAATGGTTCCTAAGCAGAGCTCAAATGGAGGCTTTCCTGCATGGGAGCCAGCAAGGCATCTCGTTGGCTAGAGGTATGCTTTGTACTTTGCCACTACCTCACTAATTACATAAAATTATTGATCTCAAAATAACTACTAGTTAATTGAGTTGCTACTCGATCCGTCCCATTTTGAATAGAGACCATTTTGTATCGAAATTTTGAAATTGTTATATACACATATTTTAATAGTATAATTGATAAGTGTACTTACATTTCATGATAGTCCTTATAAATATATGCTTCTTGAGTAAATAGGGCGGAGGAGCCGCATCACCACTTGTTTCACCGGTTGACATTGATCAAAGCCAGCGAAAAAAATATATATAATGGTTGATTGAGTAATAGATGAAACCAACAAAGAAGCAAACGGAAGCAAACAACAGCCCTTGATCAATATAATTAAGGTGCGAATCACTAGAAAAAAAAAATGATTACTTGTGGTACGAAACAAAAGCAAGCAGTAGTTCACCTTAAATAATTAAGGGGTGAACGAACCAAACAAGCAGGAGCCCAAACAAGCAGGGGCTCGACGAGTGTGATATCCCTTCAAGCTAGTAGGTGGAAGCTAACTTCTCAATGTCCCGCATCGGCGGTGGGATGTGGGGAGAGAGTTCAGTTTATAAGGCTCAAGCTGGTGGTTTACTAATAATTTGGGTTAACCATTTTGGGTGCAGTGAGGACGGATACTCAAATAGTTATTGGAACAGATCATCTAGTTAGGGCGTTACAATGGCCACCAAATTGTGAAACAGCAACTAGCAAAGGTTTAAATTTAAAGTCCGATCTTTTAGTGGAATTAGGGTGGTGGGATCGTCTTGCGTTTCTACTACTACATAGTATTGGGATGCTACATAGTATCAAATTTCAAAGATGACTGGGATTCAAAGAAGCATAAGTCAGAAGCTCCATATTTTTCTCAAAGATTGCCATCTCTTCTCCTTTTAAAGTCACCAAAGCTTCAATACCATCACCTGATCTTGTATCCATTAGGAGTGCCAGATTCTTCAGTCCATAAATATTTGTTCTTCTACTTCCAACGCTTGACCATATGGGTTTTCCCCATCCAAAATCAGCATCATATACACCAATTTTACACAGACTTGTGATTGCAAAAGATCCAACCTTGTTAATGGAGCAAAATTCTCTCAAATCTTTCAATGGACCCATCAGTTTGGCCACCTTATTTTCACCTTTTATGTCTTGTAAAAAACCACTGTCAATAGTTCCAATGGCCCTCTTTATCTCATTCACCAATGACTGCAATTCCAGTACATCTGAATTCTGGTACTTAGCAAATGCCATCCAGAATATATTGCCAAAAGAATGAACTGGTAATGGTGGCGAATTCCTTTGCCGTAAGTTCACCTGAACAGTCAGAATGAAGTTCTTTGGAATTGGACTTAGGCAGGCATATGAAGTTTCTATGTATGCTTTCCACAGAGCTCCCATAATTGCGGTAACAGAACTCGAATTGTTCGCCATCGCTTTGGATTTGAGCCTCGCGATGGCCTCGCTGCTGAACACGAGTCTCCTTGTGACATAGTCGTCCTCCTTTACTAATTTGGGTGCGACCAAGTACGAATCATTACGCAAATTGGGATCAGGTGGAAAAACAAAAGGCGAAACGAAGGTGGGATGGATTGCTTGGTCTGATCCTGATTCTGATGATGAAGAATTGGAGGAATGCTGGAAGGCTTTGGTCGCCCATTCTTTGATAAATGTCATTAGACTGAGTGCATCTCCAACCTTGTGTGATATGTAAACACCAACTGAAAATCCACCGCAGTTGAAGAAGCTCACTTGAATTAACATAAGACGAGTTTCGGACAACAGTTCTGATGAACTGGGATCATACGGAAACAACTGATTAATCAACTGATTCTCTGGGTTTTCAAGGAATTTATTCAGGGAAGTCTGAACTTGGGCTTCAACGTAGTATACTCCATCATCATTACATTGCACATGCAGATTATCCGTTATTTTTCCTGCGAGTGGATAGAACTGAATCAAAGCTTCTGAAAGCGATCGCCTCAGAAATTCCCTTCTTTCTGCAATAACATTGTCAACGTTTCTGCTGCTCTGTTTGTTGTTAGAGTAGAAAAAAATTAATGGATTTGCATACATATGAGGACTAAGCTGATCCAGGATGGATAGCTTGTGGATTCCCAAGTGATCAGGAGTCGCAGATGCTGGTTTTATAGCTTCCTTGGAGATGATTCTAATGTTGATTCCGCCACTCTCTTCAGTGCTACTGGAGCCATGGTTACTGCGCTCAGATTAAACAGATTAATACTAGTAGTATTAATAGTACTTAATACTCATTGAAACGTTTTGAATGGGGAAATCAAATAGTTCTAATTGAAGATTAGAGTACATCAAACTAGAACAGAAGCAGCATAAATACGGCAGTTTCTTACTTTGAATCTGGAAACGGAGGAATATTGTTCATGGCGCCAGGACTAATCTTCAAGTTGCTCATGATCAATGTAACTTTTGCATGAAGATTATCTTTTGCTAAAGAACATTTGCTCTAGCAAAAAAAAAAAAAAAAAAAAGTACCCCACGTCAATTCGGATTAATTAGTTACAACGGCAATGCCTGCCTAGTAGAAAGGATCACTAAAGAAAAAACAAATAAAACACAGATGATCATAAGGAAGATACAATGTTGACATCGAGATAGATAGATGGATGAGACATTTATTATAGCCGAGTAGAAGGCCGAGAGATCCCGTAGCATGATGAAGCACAATCATAAAGAACAAATGAAATATATATATATATATATATATATATATATATAGTCTTTTAGGCCAGTTGTTTTGATTGTCATTTGTGAAATGTCATCGGGCATTGCTCTGATTTATCTCCGAAATTACCGATATAAGTTTTGGGAAACAGTCAAAACCATTTGTTTAAATGGGAAGTGCATACAAATAAAGGTTGATCAAATTTGGTAACAGACTATTTGGCATCATTAACAGTGCAAATTCAGGTCGATTGCACTGGCCTAAAGTTTCATCCTCGGGAGTCTAATCGTAGCTTGAGTAGGAATAAATTATTCCTGTCATATTATAGTAATCTAGTTGCAATGCTAGATTAATAAAGATTGTATTTGTCACGGAAAATTTGGGTCTAATTGACTCGAAATGTAAAATATGAGGTCTAAAAATGCTAATTCCTCCATGAGACGGCATTGAACATACGAACACGTCGTATAACGGTTATTTTATTTTTCTCAAATTGTCAGAAGTTTCTCTCTCTCTCTCTCTCTCTGATTCTGAATCATATTCACATTGATTCTGCATTGTAATCATTCTCCATCTTCCGATTGATCCCATTCGTTTTTCCTAGTAATTACAATCAATTTCCCACGTTTCAATTATTCAAAACAGCCTCAAGAAATCAACAATCTGGTTTGCAATCAATCCCTACGACGTAGGATTGTTTTCGTTACTGGCATTGACGGACTTCTTGTAGTTGTCTCATCCAAGATGGCAACAATGGAGAGCTTGATTGGATTAGTAAACAGGATCCAAAGAGCCTGCACCGTATTGGGCGATCATGGCGGTGAAGGGATGTCCCTTTGGGAAGCTCTTCCTTCTGTTGCCGTCGTCGGCGGCCAGGTCCATATCCTTCTTGTTCTGTTCATTTCATATGACAATGTGTTTTTGTATTGGCTTTTTTACTTTTCGATTTTCTGATGGATTTTTCTGCTATGCTGAAAATTATAATCAGAGTTCTGGGAAATCTTCGGTGCTTGAGAGCGTGGTTGGCAGGGATTTTTTGCCTCGTGGATCTGGTATTTCATTCCAGAATTTTATGTGATATCTTGATATTCTAGAGATGCTCTGTTATTCTTTTTGAGTGATTGAAGTTTAAAAAAAGAGGATAGGAATCGTGACTAAGAAGTGGTACATCAGGACTCATAGGATTCTTGAAATAGTTGCAAAATCAATATCAGATTAATGGATCATTTTGGTTCTTTTTATTGATATACATCGTTTTCATGGATCATGGCTAAATGTTAGTTCAGCGGAAGCAGATTAATGTAGGAAAGACTAAAACAGTGATTAAGTGCTCAAAATTTGGTTGACACCAATGTGTTCTTTTCCGCAAAGCTTTTGTGATACTTTTTACCTAATTGTTTGTCTTTTTACATCAAAGGTATTGTTACCAGAAGGCCTTTGGTATTGCAACTTCACAAGATAGATGGAGGTGCAGAATATGCTGAGTTTCTCCATGCACCTAAGAAGAAATTTACTGACTTTGGTAAGTGGGATCATAGTGCTACCTCTTTAGTTTCCATCTTTTTTCCCTAATTTTTGTGGTGGCCACATCAGCATAATATGCTTTCTCTTGTCTTAATGTAGAATTAGTTTGGATCTTGGTAAATCTGCGGGTTTTTTTTTTTTTTAATCTTTGTTTTGTGTATGTTGATGAATGAATCGTTTAAGGCCATGATTATGAAGAATGAAATTGTTGTGCTGATGTATGCTGGTGATGGAATTAGGTTAGAAGGTTCTTTTGTTGCCCGTAAAGCCTTTTGAGTGTGTTGATTCTTGATATGGTGGAGAGAAATTAGTTTTAGTAGAGATCACAACTCCTTTATATGGCTCCATCTGTTACTGTTTTCCCTATAGTATGTCTCCAAGCGCGTCTTTGATCAAATTCACCCAGCAATTTAATGTATAAACCCATTTTATGATACTCGGGTATATTTTCTTGAAGCATCTCTATTGTTCACATTTAGAATATAAGCAATTTCCTTCTAAGCATAGATAAATAGTTTTATGTCTCGCATTACTGCACAGAAGCTGTAGCTGTTAAGAATCAGTTAATCTGAATTTCTTCGCCAATTAATTCTGTCAACTTATTCAATTATGAATGTTAAATATTCACAAACAGGCTGACAATTTCTTATCGCAGCTTCGGTCCGGAAAGAGATTGCTGATGAGACTGACCGTATAACAGGGAAGAGTAAACAAATCTCGAATGTTCCAATCCACCTCAGCATATATTCTCCCAATGGTTTGTCATCAATCCTTTCTACTTATTCATTAAATCCTTGACACGTAGTCCATTGCAGCTGCTTATAAACTATGTGGCGAAGTACTTTCTGCACTTCTTTCTTTTTCTTCCTTTTTTTTTGGTATTGTGTGCTGGTTTTGTATTTCTTCTCTTTAGTAATGTTGACATCCTGAGTTGTGTATGTCTTGCAGTTGTAAACCTAACCCTAATAGATCTTCCCGGGCTGACCAAGGTTGCTGTAGGTGAGCATAAAATACTCTTCCTCTTTTAGGTACTGATTCTTTTCACTTGTTAACATAATCTGGCTAAACTGGGGACATGAGTACTGACAGAATGTGAAACTTGCAGAGGGACAGCCAGAAAGTATTGTCCAAGATATCGAAATGATGGTCCGCTCTTATGTTGAGAAGGTATAAATGATTCAAATGCTTTCAACTAGTTCCACCCGCCACTTGATTTTCAAGACATGGCTTTCAAACTACCTGTGGTATCTGTAATTGACATCTTTCCTGCCTTCCTTTGGCAGCCGAACTGCATTATATTAGCTATTTCTCCAGCCAATCAAGATATCGCAACTTCTGATGCCATTAAGCTTGCAAGAGAAGTTGATCCAACGGGTATTGTAATTGTGGTTTAGGATGCACTACAGTTTCTGTCACCATTTTATTCGAATCTATCTTCTAGCTGAATATAAATTAATCTTACTAATTTTGGGACCTTCTGTTTTGTTCAGGGGAGAGAACATTTGGTGTTTTAACGAAACTTGATCTGATGGATCAAGGAACCAATGCTCTCGATGTAAGGATACCTTCACAGCTACTCTGATGCTAGGAAGAATATAAGTATATTGAATCTGGTTGCTTTAAAATCCCTCGCAAACATTAACCTTAAAAAGGAAAAAAAAAAAATCCCTCACAAACACACAGAAAAAGCATTGTTCCACTTCTAACTACAAGCTGTCTAATTGGCCTTTTGATTTCTTTTTCAAATGCTCAAGGTACTTGAGGGTAGATCATACAGGCTGCAGCATCCATGGGTGGGAATTGTGAACCGATCACAAGCCGATATAAACAAAAATGTGGACATGAGTAATGCTCGTCGAAAGGAACAGGAATATTTTGAGTCCAGCCCTGAGTATGGACATTTAGCTCATAAAATGGGTTCAGAGTATCTTGCAAAGCTTCTTTCTAAGGTCTGTCACCCTTTCAGATGCCAAATAAAATATAGTTATTTGCAGTAGAAAAGTTTTGAGTTGTTCTAAGAGATACTGATATATTTTTCTTCTTATTATTTATCAGCATTTGGAGACCGTCATTCGTCAGAGAATACCGAGCATCATTGCTCTGATTAATAAGACAATTGACGAGCTTAATGCTGAGTTGGATCGCATTGGCAGGCCTATAGGTGTAGATGGTGGGGTAATGAAAATGATGAACTCAAAGTTTCCTTACCATGATAGATAATAATGATCTGATATAATTATTCTAACAGTTGAATTTTCTGTTTTCACTAACAGGCACAGCTGTATACTATTTTGGAACTATGCCGCGCATTTGATCGAATATTTAAGGAACATCTAGATGGAGGGTAATTTTTTATGAATTTAATACATTTGTGAGTTCTGTAAGCATTTTTAAGGGCAGTTTTTTAATGGTTGTTCTTACAGCCAATGTGGATCATTAGAGACTAGTGGCAATACTTTGTTAATATGGCTTTTTGAAATTTACCGAAGTATTGTAATGCAAAAAGTTAGTTTGGGTCACTTTCAAATTGACATAGAAAATAGTCTAGCTGAGCCATGGCAGTGGCATGAGATCACCTTTAATGTTCAATTCTCCTTCTCCCTTCTTCAGTTTGTTTACTTTCAGTGTGATTTTCATTTGAGTTACACTGGCCCGGAAAAGTGCAATGTTGATTCAAATTTTTTTGTTGCATTCTGACAGGAGGCCTGGTGGAGATAGAATTTATGGTGTATTTGATCATCAACTACCAGCTGCAATGAAAAAGCTTCCCCTGGATCGTCATCTTTCTCTAAGTAATGTAAAAAAGGTCATTTCAGAAGCAGATGGTTATCAACCTCATTTGATAGCACCCGAGCAAGGATACCGAAGACTCATTGATGGATCCCTTGGATATTTCAAGGGGCCTGCCGAAGCTTCAGTCGATGCGGTAATAGTTTTACTTTTTGGTGATTTACTTATTATTCCTAATTCTGATTTATTAGTTGTAGCTTTCTGACATAGTTCCTTTAGTACCGAGAGGTTGGTATATCATAGTACTGATAGGTTGCTATTTCATAATCGATATGTTCCATCAATTGATGGCCTAAGCATCTGGATGATACCTGTGAAATAAATGTGGTCGGGAGTTGGATCACTGAAAATCTCAGAGATGAGTTCTTTTACAAAAGTTAGATTGGATATTCTGCATTTTAATTTACTTGTAATTTTTTGTGCAGGTCCACTTCGTCCTGAAGGAACTTGTAAGGAAGTCAATCGCAGAAACCCTGGTAATCTAATTTTACAAGCAGCCGTTTGTCTCTAGGGTTTCAGAATTACCAATTTTCTGATAACTTTTGTTTTGTTTTGCCAAAAAAAGAGGGGGGGGGGGGGTTGTTCTTCCATCCTCAGAGTGAATTTTCTTCTTCAGTTCTCCCTCTTTTATCCAATTGCAATAATCTATGTCCTTGATCTTGCTGTTAGGAAAATTTCATATGGATTTAGTGATTCACTCTACCTATCGATAAACATTATGAAATTATTCACTTCATTAACGTCAGTGAACTGATGTGTACAGGAGTTGAAACGGTTTCCTTCTCTTCAAGCTGATATTGCAAATGCTGCTAATGAAGCACTTGAAAGATTCCGCGATGAAGGTCGCAAGACAGTTACAAGACTGGTGGAAATGGAGTCCACTTACTTAACTGTGGAATTTTTTCGTAAACTGCAAGCTGAACCAGAGAAAACCCCGAACAATCCCAATGGCCCAAATCCAAATTCAAACCCGAATGTAGACCGATACAATGACTACCATTTCAGGAGAATTGGTATAATTTTTTCTACTTCCTTGTACAATGTTTACCAGATTATATTTCTTTTCCTTTTCTATACATGCAAGATTTGTCAGTCAAAATTTACTAAGAAGGTCATCAGTGCATGACTATATATGGAGTAGAAGCCTTCTTGGAACATAATTTCTGAAGCAAGAAATAAGACATGGATAATAGCTTCTTGGAACATAATTTCTGCAGCAAGAAATAAGACATGGATAATAAAAAGCTGGAAAGTTGTGATTTTGTTGCATAAAATAGTTATAACTAAAGCTACACATGCAAGAAACACATTGATGTAACTGGCATCAGGCTTTTCTGCCATCCATTACATACGTTTTTCAGAGTTCCGAATATGATTTATTATCTTTCTTGTTTTATGTTATAAATAAAGCAAGACTCGCAGGGTTTTGTTAAACATGAGATAACTTATCTTCTTAAAGAATTTGTTATTTTCTTGAATTACTTTCCCCTTGAATGTTTGCCAAAACATCCATTTGTAGGCAAATTTCCTTCTCATTTTGTGAAGCAAGATAGGATACTGTTTAAATCTATAACATAATCTCTTTCAGGATCAAATGTTACTGCTTACATAAATATGGTTGGTGAGACCTTGAAAACTACCATTCCCAAAGCTGTAGTTTATTGCCAAGTCTTACAGGCAAAGAAATCACTGCTAAACCTTTTCTATGCTCAAATCGGAAGGAGGGAGGTAACTATTTTAGATTTTCCAATGTTTTGTCCTTTTTTTATTTCTTTTTCTTCTGTTCATTAGCTTAATATAAAAAGGAAAAAGCTATGTATTAAGTTGAAATTTGTTAGTATTGACTGTCTAATTGTTGTGAAGAATAATAGATAGAAACTTCATGGGATTGAGGATCTCCTAATAAGATTCAAGTTAGAAGATTTAGGCTTGAACTATACATTCTTTGGCCATATGAGTGGAGGCACCTTGCTATGCAGTGCATAGCGCCAAACTGAAATTGCCGTGCTGGTCATTTTTGTCTTTTTCAAAAGTTGATCAGCATGATCGAGGTTGTGTTTCACCTTTGCTTTTGGTAGACATAGTGTCCTACATGTGTGAAGACAATGATGACCAGAACCTTTAAAGAGAAACAGAAATTGGGGTGCAAATCTCCAATATTGAGTAGGAAATATCTGGAATGATTTCGTTAATATAATAGGGAACTCCCTCCTCCCCTTACTCGTAGCCTGTTTTTAAATTTTTTATATTTTTTAAAAATTTTGGAAATAGGACTAGTAATATGGGATGAAGGGAGTGTTAAATTTCTAGTTTACTGTATAAATTCTATTTCTATATTGCTTCCAAAATGAGGTTACAACTTACAACTATAACTCTGTTATTCATATGTACAGAAAGAGCAATTGGGAAAAATGCTGGATGAAGACCCTTCACTTATGCAAAAGAGAGAAAGTATAGCTAAAAGGCTCGAGCTTTACAAGTCAGCTAGAGATGAAATTGACTCGGTGGCATGGAAATGAGAATCAACAAAGATTTTGCATTTGGTTGGCAAAGTGGAGGATAATCAAATTAATAGTCTGGAAGTGAAAACTGAAAAACATCTTTGTGATCAAGGTTGGAGTACAGAGGTTCAAGCCAGCACGATATGATGAAATTGGCTCAGTGGAATGGAGGTGATAATCTTAAAGCATTTTGAAGCTTATGTTACAGAACGTGGTTAGTTATACCAAAAAATGAAACAGCAAAACACACGATTCATTTTTTCTTTTCATTGTCTTGAGTAAATGAGCTCCAGGATTCGGTGGCGCTACTCTCCAGCGTCGATTAACCATTGTTTTTTCCCTTACATTCTTTGATTATTTTGTAACTGCCACGTGGGGGATTTTGTTGTGAAAGATTAATGATACAAGCTAGTTCATTTTATTTTCAGCATTACTCCTGGTGCATACTTCCTTCTGTGTAGTCTTCCAAAAAAAAAAAAAAAAAGAAAAAAAAAAGAAAAGAAAAGAAAAGGAAAAGAAAAGCTCAAATTATTATAGCCTTGTTACCCCCTCCTCAAATCCATAAATTACTTTTCCGATCCTCAATACCTTTGAATAAATAATAATTATCAGCAATGGTGAGTAGTGTGAAGGAGCTGGTGGAGAATCTGTTTGTGGAATCACTCCGAAAAACGTTGCCAGATGAGGTAGATGTTGTTCCAATGGTGGCTGCTTGTTTAAATCAAGCACGCGGCCCTTTTCAGTGCAACAACGCAATGAGCTTTTCTCAAAAGCTTAAGGAGGGCAAGATGCCAGGGTTTAGTAACACCCGGGCCGTTGGACAAGCCATCATGGAAAATCTGCCAGCATCAGACATGGTTGACAAGTGTTCTGTAGCTGGGCCTGGATTGTGAATGTTGTGTTATCAAGGCAATGGATGGATAAGAGAATTCAGAATATGCTTGCAAATGTGCCTATCTAAGCCACAGCCACAGGTACAGAATGCCAGCAGATCAGTACACATTCGGCTTCAACTTGGACGAGAAGGGTCACGCTGCTGTGTTTTGCCTGCACGCAAGGATCTGTTTGATTATCAGGAAATCTGGTAAGGACATTGAAAACCTGAACAAGGTTGGGACAATTGCTTTGGATCATCCTGCTGAACAGATTTTAGGATTTCATTTGCTGCAATTTTCGGAGGCGGTTCAAGGTGCGTGTATGAAGATGCTCCCAAAGATATTGCGCGAGTATCTCTACCATGTTCTACAAGAACTGTGATCCACTAGAGGATAAGAGACGGCTCTTGTTGTGCGAGGCTACTGGAGCAGTTATTTAGCGTGCCTTAGTGAAAAATCTAGTTTTGTTTTCTTTGTGTTATTGTCCTTGTATTTAATCTTCTGTACGTGTGATATCAAGTTTGCGCCTGATTTATTCTGAAATAATGAACATGTCCATGTCTCTCTGATTTCTGCACGTTTCTCTGTTCCTAGTCACTGTGTATGGGTTTAATGCTTCCATTATATACGTTTCTGGTGAAAACATAGCCTCAATCTGCACGCATTGTTGGGTTCCCTTTAGAGAGAGGTGATTTGGACGAGGAAAAAATGCATTGACCAGCTGATGAGAGCAGAAAATAATTAATAATGTACCAACAAAAAAAACTGGAGAAAATAAGTTTGTTTAAAGATTATGGATTTGAACAGCGGCAACTTGATAGTCAACTCCATTCTGCAACTTCATATAAATTGGAATTATTTCATGAGACCTCCTTTTCATCATATCATAGTCAACGATAATAGAAAACAGCGGCAATCTTCATTACAAATTAAATATTGAAAAAGAAAAAACAAACCTAACTATATAAATCGTCATCAGACCTTGCTAAAGGTTCAGATCCTGCTATAGCATCAGTATAAGCCTCGGGGAATCTGAATTCAGTACCAAATCCTCTGGACTGATGCAACCCTTGAGCAAATGCCTGATATTTGATTATATCCCTGTCACTGACGCTTCTACGAGCAAACTTCATCGATTCCTCGAAGTGAGAAGGCTTGATTGCAGAAACTCCATCATCCATCTCCGAAGCCTGAGGATGACTATCGCTACCCATCCTCTCCTTCTCGATATCTTTCTCGATGTCCTCCCTGATAGCGTACTTGCATGCGCGCTGGCATATCTCGGTGATGTCTGCTCCGCTGAAGCCTTCAGTAAACTTGGCTAGAGCTCTCAGGTCCACTTTAGAAGAAACAGGTGATTTCCTGAGACAAGACTTGAAGATCTGATAACGCGAACCCTCATCAGGGAGAGGGATGTAAATCAGTTGATCCAGCCGGCCAGGCCTCAACAGGGCTGGATCAATGATGTCAGGCCTGTTGGTAGCTCCGATGATGAAAACAGTTTTCTTGGCGTTCATTCCATCCATTTCCGTCAGGAGTTGATTCAACACTCTATCAGCAGCTCCTCCTGCGTCGCCTCCACTACTACTTCCTCTCTGAACCGCGATTGAATCCAATTCATCGAAGAAGAGGACACAAGGAGCCGATTGTCGCGCCTTGTCAAACAACTCGCGAACGTTGGCCTCGCTTTCTCCAAACCACATGGTAAGCAATTCGGGACCCTTGACGCTAATGAAGTTTGCCTGGCATTCGTTGGCGATTGCCTTGGCGAGTAAAGTTTTCCCACATCCAGGTGGACCGTAGAAAAGAACTCCCTTCGATGGGGACATTCCAAACTTCTCAAACATTTCAGGATGCTCCACTGGATATTGAACAGTCTCTTGAAGTTCCCGTTTCACATTCTCTAGGCCTCCAATATCCTTCCAGCTCACATTTGGAACTTCCACCTTAGTTTCGCGCAATGCTGATGGATTTGTCATCGCAATTGCAGCTTGAAAGTGCTCATTGGTGACAGCCATGGAATTAAGAACCTCCGCATCAATTTTTTCGTCTTCAACATCAATCACATCCATCTTTTCCCTGATACACTGGAGTGCAGCCTCAGTACACAAAGCTGCTAAATCAGCACCAACAAAACCGTGAGTTTCCTTGGGAATTCTCTCCAAATCCACATCCGGATCAAGCTTCATCTTCTTAGTATGAATCTGAAGTACCTCAAGCCTCCCAACTTCATCCGGAACACCAATATCAATCTCCTTGTCAAACCTCCCGAACCTTCTGAGCGCAGGATCAATACTGTTTGGGCGATTTGTAGCGCCCATAACGATAACATGGGCACGCGACTTAAGGCCATCCATAAGTGTCAAGAGTTGCGACACAATCCTCCTCTCAACTTCTCCATTGGTTTTCTCCCTCTTGGGTGCAATCGAATCAATCTCATCAATGAAGATGATCGAGGGGGCATTCTTTTCGGCTTCTTCAAACGCTTCCCTAAGATTCTTCTCGCTCTCTCCAGCCATCTTGGACATGATTTCAGGACCATTAATAACCAAGAAAAAAGCGCCAGTTTCATTAGCCACAGCTCTGGCTATCAGAGTCTTCCCTGTTCCAGGAGGACCATAGAGAAGAATCCCTTTCGGAGGCTTCACACCAATTGATTTAAAAAGCTGTGGATGCCTCAAAGGCAACTCCACCGACTCCCGAATCTGAGACAACTGTTTCCTAACTCCTCCGACATCTTCATAACCTACACCATCCAATCTCTCCTCGTCTTCCCTCCGAATCGCCTCGCCTTCGCAGAAAATCTCAGTCGCATCAGTAACAAAAGCAAATTCTTCAGGAGGGTCGATTTCAACAACCTTGAATTCAACATTCCTCCCCATTCCACCCCTGACCATAAACAGTTCTCCCTTTTTAACAGGCCGAGAAATCACTTCCCTGGAAAAAAAATAAGGCTTCAAATAAGCATCAAACAAATTCCCTGAAATCCCTTCAACAGTATCATCAATTGGGAGGATATGAACACGTTTCGCGTCCTTAACATCCGGCGAGGGAAACACGGAAACGATGTCTCCCGGACGGACTCTGAGATTCGCTCTTACAACCTTGTTCATTCTAATCTTTCCCAAATCATCACTTTGATTAATCTCATTAACAGACAGGGCAATGCAAACAGTTTCTCTTCTCTTCTTTCCTCGTATCAAGACCGTATCGCCTTGAAACAACTGAAGCTTTTCCATGGTGTCACGATGAAGAACAACAACTGAGTTGTCATCAACCGCACCGGTGGCTTCGTCCACCATAAGCCTGTTCGGGGCCCTGTTTTTCTTCTCCCCTGAAAATGCAGAATCGAAATCACGCTTTCGGTTCGTCGCCATTGGGTAAATTAATGAACTCTATAAGAGCTGATAGTAAACAGATGGGTTAATTTAATTCAACAAAGTTGAAAAGAAGAATTTCTGAGGTGTTTTTTGGTGGAAGATGTTGAAAGTAGTAGTCGGGGGAGAGTTCTTATTATATAGTAAGCTATTGGCCGGTTTTTCCTTTTCCTAGTTTTGAAAAGAGAACGCCTTTTTTCTTTTCTATTTTAGAATAGGAAAGCCTTTCTGTATTTTGTTACCTTCTAAAAATTTATTACGTAGTAACTTTATATTTTTTTGTTATGTACTAAAAGTTTTACTTACTCGACGATATGGCAAAATTTAGACCAAGAGATTTTGTATAAAGGAAGAAATATTTTACTTTTGTTGAATATAAGGAGTGTTCTTGACTACTTTTTGCTATGCCAACTAAGCAGTAAAACATTTTCATCCCAGAAAAGCCACAGTAACCAAATTGATACGTAGTTCTGCCTCCTCTATTCTCCTCCCCGCCGGCGCTTCGAATCACCACATTGTGGTTCCGGAAGTGTTAATTTAATTACGAGTTTCATTAATCAATTAGGTTATAACCTAAAATGAGTCAGATCCCTAGAAAGTTTCCTAAAACAACAGGATTTTAGTTCATGAATAAAATACTTTGGCTAGCTGTCTCACCCATCGAAGTGGCTATAATTCAACGAGAAGAATTAGTCACTGTTGTCAACGGTGGACACCATGCAAATATGCAACAAAAAAAAAAAAAAAAAACCAAAGGCGGTGGGGAGAGGAAACGGAAACGGGAAAGTGGCAGAACAAAACCGCATCCGAAATAGATAAGGAAACTCCTAACCGTCTTCTATATATTGCCCAACAACTATCCCGACTCAAAATATCATTGATACCCATATCTGAAATGCAAGTTAAAATCCTTCGTCGGCTAGTCCATCTGTAATAGGCTCTTCATGCTGTGAATTTATTAAAACCGATTTGTTACATAGATATCCATATATATTAACAACTATTTTTGTTGAACTATTTATCTGACATTAGTGTCTGGAGACACTTTGTATCAGTATATAAGCACCATGGACTATTCTCCTCATAGCCAATCGATTTTGAGGTGGAACTCCATGAGTTTCTATAATTTTAAAAATACAATCTCCTCGATAAGAATTAGAAAATTGAATGGTTAATTTTTTTCTAATATATTGTTGGATCACATCTAATTTCTAGTCCGTTAATGAAAACTCACGACGGGTGTTCTTGTGTTACGTCAAAAATGGGATTGATTCATTCATAAAACCATTATACCGTTGAAAGTTGTGAAAATATACAAACAATGGATTCGGATTTTGGTCAGCTGCTTTGTGGCCTTTCCTCGTAAGAGGAAAAAGTCGACGCCCACGATTTCCTCACACACACATATATCTTCCATAACTTTGTAGTTTGTACTATTTCGTATGTCTAAATTAAAAAATAAAAAATAAAAATTAAGTGCGATATAACAAGGTCGGTACACGACGTCTATCAAATCGGTAGTGGATGTGGACATTTTAATTCATTATACTAAGTATTACATTTAAACCCATCAATATTTTTCTCCTCTTTTAAATCAAATAAACACGTGGTCCTAAATGTATATTTCCATGAAATGTAAACATTTATAATTTGTATGCATAATATATAAATGTAGAGTAATAAATATCAATTATTGAATTTAGTACTTAATTATAATACCATCAAATAATGACTGTGAAATCAATACAACATAATGGATTTTGAGATTTATTGGCTTTCTCGTTAATGATAATTGAGAAAAATCAATTCACATAGTTTGTTATTTTAAACAACGGATAAAACTAGTTTTCTATACAGATTTATGTTTTATTTTTTCTGAAATTATTTAAGAAATAAAATTGATTGATAAATTTTTAAAAATAATAATTGAGAAAGTCACGAATGTAAATAAGAAATTTGGGTAAGAAGGAAAAACAACTTGAATAATGCGTCGCATTTTGAGTCGATATATATAATCCGACAAAAATGTCGACGAGATCGGAAATTTGACGTTTTAATTTGAAAGTGTGATTCCGAACAACGCTTTGATAAAAAAGAAAAAGAAAGAAAAAGCACACTTGAATACTGCGTCGACTTTAACGTCGACATATCTAAACCGACGCATATGTCGACTACATCAGAAATTTGACGCTTCAATTTGAAATCGCTTTCTGTACACCACGCCTTCAAGAAAACAAAAAGAAAATTGAACTCAAGCACTACGTCGACTTGGCGTTGATATATCTAAAACGACGAAGAGGTCGACGAATTTGTCGCGCGATGAATAATTTCGGAGGGAATTTCTGCGAGACTGCAACAGTGCAACTTCCCTAAAAGAGTAAAAGAGTGACAACATTAAAACTGTGGAAAGTTGTTCTCGATCGTTAAAGCTTGCAAACCAAGAATTTCTGAAGCTTTCAAAGGACAAACCAAAGATGAAGAAGAAAACTTTGGATATTTCCTTAGATTTTAATTGGTAGCAAGAAACGCTTTTCTTCAAATTCCTTCAGATGGTTATAAACTGTCATTTGCAGCCAGCGAGCGCAGAACGCGCTAATCTTTTGCCGTTTACTTGGTTGTTACCCCCCTCATTATATCTATTTTTCATCCAATGCCCAGATGGTACACAGATGAGAGCCAGATATGGAAGTAAATGGAGAAATTGGTACAGAAAACCGTTTCTGAAACTTAGTAACCGAATCCAGAACGAGTGACACTAACGATGGTTTGGTTTCCTAGGACTTGAATAGCAGTATTGCCCTTCCCCTTCAGTGTCATCTATCATAAGAAAACTTTACACATTTAAGCCATGATATCATACACGTCTTCCTACTAATTAGGATGGGCAGGAACAGAATTTTAAGCATTAAGACACACAGCTGAGAATAATCAATCACTAATAATGAAATTCTTGTACAAAGCCATACAATATAGATCAGATACCAGAATTCACTACAGAATCAAGAATTCTTGTCTTTCTCTCCTGTTGAAGAAGTAAACCACGGTATCCACACTGATGTCCGCTTCTGGTATAACCTGTAAGCTTCAGCTCTGTAGTCTTGCTTTAGCATCCGGTTCTCCACAAGGACAGTGACATAGGCTAAACAAAGGGTATTGGTGAGCGCACCTACAAACATCCAGCCATGGCCCAGGTTCCATGCGAGGATAACTAAGCCCCACCACCACAACTGCTCCCCGAAATAGTTGGGGTGTCGGGAGTATCGCCACAGACCTTTATCAAGGTTTGGCACTACTGGCTCATCCAGTTCTCTTAGCTTGCTATTTCTACTCACAAATTCATAAAGTTGAGTATCAGCATAGTACGCAATAACTATACCCGACAAGCAGATCGCAACCCCGATGAAGTCCCAGATATTCATTTGCTTGTTCTCCAAGTGAACAGCATACATTGGCATGCATATCCCCATCAGGAAGACCTGTCAAAAGAGAGAGAGGCCATAAATAAAAGAGACACATATTCATACACAAGCAAGACACGACAGCAAACAGTGCAGCAAGGAACTGCCAAGTAACGTAAGCTACACAGTACACCTTGCCAGTTTCAGCAATTGATGTTAACACCATTCTGCCCAAGCAGGACAAAAGCCTATCTACGCACTTTCTGAGTGAAATTTCAACAGTGAAAAAGTCATCAATGCCATTGAGATTGAATTGTAACAGCCAAGAGATCCGCACAAATCATTTCACTTTCTGAAAAATTTCCAAAAGCATTGACAAGTTTGTACATTGAAACAAATGCGATGGTCTACCACCAGCAGATATACAAGGAATTGTTGTGGGTCTAGAAAGTTTCACAAGACAGATAATGAGTGTATGTCATTACAGTTTCTAAAGAATACCAAATAAATCTTTCTCAAACTAAGGAGTATCATGTTAATGGTTAGCATTGGATTTGCCTATACACCCAAACTGTGAATTATTAAGTTTTTTACCCATGAAAGCACTGTCTGCTGAATGCATTGCCACAAAAAATCCATAGGGATACAGATTGTTGTCTTAAAGTTATACCAAAGGCCACTAGTTTGAGCAATGCACTGTAAAAATTGCTTTGTTACTCTGATCTGTAGTTAGGCTCAAATACAGCTCGTTACTTTGACCCTAGAAAGTGCACTTAAGTCATTTAGACATTTCATAGAACGCTTGAACGGCATAAAAATCACTTCATCTCCCTACTGAAATATAACCATTTCTGCTTAAAATTACAATCTTGCTAGAACGGGCTCTAAACAACTGGCAGAAAAAATGACAAAAGATTGGTCCAAGTCCAAAAATTGTACTACCTGTTGAGATAGATAAACCGCGAAAAAGGAAACCCACCACCAACATTTGCCATACTGCTGCTTCATATCAGTAAACCTCCAATCCTCCCTGGCACCCCATTGCCAATTTTCTCGACGGAAGTAGTTATGAGAGAGCCTAATACTCCAAACCCATGTCAACAGAATCAAGATCCTTGATCTCCAAACGTTGTACTCGTGTCCCAATGGATGACTTGCGTAGTAATGTACCAGTAGAACTGGTATCACTGTCCAATATGGATCAATCATCTGTAATCAATCATCAAAATTTGTCAACTCATACCAATCAACCAAAAGAAATTAAACATAGCATCACCCAATTTTGATCGATTAAGGATCGACCCGGATGAGATAAAAGATGGACTTACCCAATGGCTGGATTGAATGGTTCCAATTAGCCAGAACAGGACGTTGACATTGAAGAAAAACAAGACATGGGCTAAAAGAAGAGGGTGGTCAAAGCACCATTTCCACAAAGGGGAGAGGGAATCGATGTTGTCACGATGATCATTGAAGTGGCGGAGGAAAGTCAAATAGAAGAGTATGGATGGAAGGGGAACCAGAAATGCAATCACTGCATTCTTCAAGTTGTTATGAGTTGAAGTGGTAATGCTCCCCATGTTTTAGAAATTCTCTGTAAGGGCGGGCCTAATGCATCAAAGAAGGCACCTTTTATACACAGATTTAGTAGAGTACTGGAGAGAGTGAGTTCGCCTGCAGAAACTTTGGATGCCTGCGCCGCTGAATAGATAGAGTAGGCCGAACGGTCCCCCACCGTAAACGGCGGTTGCGTATCTTCCTTTTGGAAAAGCAAAATTGATTCGATTTTGATCGCCATTTTTTAACCTCTCTAAAGAGTAAAGACACTATTTTTTCGCCCCTCTTGTAGATTACTGATTAATTAGGTTACTGTAATTTGTTTTTGCTTATTAGTTCTCAAAAAGTTTTAAAATTTTGTGTATCTACATAATTTTGTGCATTTTAATTTATATTAAAACTAGTATAAATCTCAAGGCTATTTTTTTTTAGAATAAATCGAATATTATTTAAAGTAACCAACATTATATTTTTATTTTAGGTTGGAGAACAAAAGATCAATGGAAGATTCTACCAAAAGGTAAAGCCCCATGCTTGTTGAGGGAATCAATGCTAGAAATATAAAGCTATAATTAATGTCATGCGTCATTAGTGTGGTTGTAATGATTGTTTGGTGCTAATCATGGTGTGCCTAATCATATGATTTGGATCACTCTCACATGCATAACATAATCTTTCATCCATCCCACAGTATTAGAAAAAAATCAAACTAGATTAAGCCCCCTTTTAACCTGGTCCCCCCTCCACTTCCATACAAAGAAATTCACTATATATCCTTGTTTCCTTGGTCTTCTCCATTACACAATTGATGAATAATACTTCACGCGCAGCGGCAAATTAAAGAAAAGAGTAGTACATTGTGTGATTTGTGAAGTAGGCGAAGCTTATAAAAAAATAAAAGCGTGCATATTCTGCAGGTGACTGACGTTGGTTATGGACGCCAAAAAAGCTCCTTTAGTTCAAGCTTTACCGTACAAGGGTTATTGATTAACTATGATGTTTATGCAGTCATGCATGCTAGCTAGCTAAAGCCCTTTTGGCCGATGACTTTTTCGCTCCTCTTTTCTTTTTGGTTCTCTTTGGCATCCATAATCATTGATGTTTTGATTCCATTTCTCAATGCCACCATGTACAGTATAATTTGTACATGATCGTGCTTTTTGTTTGGGTTTTCAACACTGGGAATTGACTATGGGTAATTGGTTCCCCCATGGTCTATCGACAATGTGTCACATATGTCTAACACCCAAAAACTGGTATTTTTTTTTTATAAAAAATAAAAATATATATATATATATATTTCAAAGAAGTTTTATTCTCCCTCTGTCTCAAAATTATTGTTCATTTGAATTTTCATTTGTAGTTCAATTTGTATTAAAAATAAAAATCCAAACCGGACAATAATTATGGGACGAAAAGAGTATTATAACTATAAAGAGCAAAGTTTTCAAACAAAACAGTAATTTCCACAAAGTTTTATCCTCGATTCAACCCATCTTTTCAATCATGAAATCAACAAACTGGAATTCTGACACGGTTCATGGCTCTCTATGAACCTTTTAAGGCATTTATTGCACATCTCATTGATCTCGGCAGAGGTTGTGACTCCATCAGCTTCAGTGAATTTATAGGGCAAGATTGTCGCGGAGTAGGTATCATAATAATCAAAGGGAGGCACCTTCATGCCAAAACCGTGGGTGAGGTGCATCTCCTTGTAGTACCTCTGCCATAGAGGATGGTGGTAAATCTCAATCTGCCGCACCGCCGAGTCTACCCGCGGCGGCTCCAGCTCCCAGGGACCGACAGCTTCCGACAACTCTGCTGCTGCTTGATAGAAGCTGCCAAGATCAGTTAGGATCTCGACCACCCGCTCTCTCGGAGGGAGGTCTGGCCTCATCACAAAAGGCAAGTTCCCAAGATAGGCGATTTCTGGCCTCATGTTGATGCGAATTTGGGACGGAAGAGTTGATGATATTATCGAAAGAGTAAGATCAAAGGGGGTTGCGGTTTCTTGATGCAAACAAAGAGGAAGATCAGATCTTTAATTTTTCTCCCTAAGAACAATGTAATTAAGCTGATGAAATCAGCGCCTTACAATTAAAAATTACACTTTGACCTCTCTAATTTCTCTTAATTCAAAAGCTGCCCCTTGGGCATGACAGATTAACCTGTTGGGCTCATTTGCGACTTCATAAGGTTTAAATCCTGATCCAAACTGAAAGGGGGAGAATAAGGTATAAACCTTGTACAAAATTACCCAAACTGTGAAATAGTAGAATAAGGTCTAAATCTTGATCTAATCCAGGTCAGATACTCAGATGTATAAACGTGATTTGGAATAGTTTTCATGAACTAAGAGCTCAATTAAGACATCTGGAAACATGCTTACATTTTGTAGAGTTGTTGTCCACGTGCTATTTTGCCTGGTCAAGTCAAAATATCCCTTGAGAGCTTAATGTGGCTGTCTAGTTTGTGTATGTCAGATAATCTGGCTTTCCTCCCAGAACTTCACGTGCACTTGGATCATTTCCGAAGTATAGTATATACTCCCCAGCCCAATAAATATCAGTCATCAGTATAAGCTCCAGCCTAGAGCTGTCAAGTGTCAACCAACCAAATTAAATTCGGAGTTTCAAGCTCTTCTTCAACTCCGTTGCATAATTAGACTTTGATAAAGTTATTATTGTAATCTGATCTCCATACTCAACCGGCATAGCCCTTCGATTTCACTAAAAAATTTCAACAGTTGAGCTCAATCAATCCTTACAAAAAAATCGCTTTCTCCAAATAGGAGATCAGATATCTTCTATCAGGTAAATCAATACATTTCGTCCTTAGTAGACTAGAAACCTAACCACAGTTTCTTTCCCCGTGATACATACGATAGTAATACCCCAAACATTTTGTATATAGGGGCCTGAAAAGAGAAAAGGAGAATGCGAAATAAGGTAATATTTTCCTTATGATTTTTTTTTCACCTCCGTGATTGGAGCACAATTTTGTCGAGTTTTCCATCCATCACTTCCTTCATTATACGGGAAAAAGGGGGAGAAGAAAGAGAATGCAAAATCCCATCTTTAACTAATAATAATAACAAGAATATGGACAAACTTGAACCCATAAAAACCACACTAACTGCAGATTACAAAATATAGACTGCAAACAAGTTGGAAAGAAAAAAGTGGAGGCAAAAGTAAATGCCAATATTTCTACCTATACAACCACACAACCACTGTCACTCAAATTCCCTGCCAAAAGGTTAGCTCAACTTCAACGTCCTCAGCATCTTTAATGATCTAGCAGAGGGCTCATCATAGTCTACGTCAGAGCACATCAACTCATTCCTCCAGTGCTTATCATCCTCATGTATATTGTCGGTGATCTTCACATCAAAGCAAGAGAGGGTAATTGGCGTGCTTGTTACAATTTTACAAATAGCCATAATGGTAAAGATTTGATAAGCCAAAAAAAAGAAAAAAGGAAAGAAATGAGGAGGATCAAATAGATATTCTATGCAGAACCACTCTCTCCAGTGCCCAGCTTCAACTTGTGTTATTGAGTGTTGCGCATTGATCCACTTCGAGTTACAGTTCTGCACGTAAATACAGTGAATCAGTTTACACATCATGAATGAGACTTATCAGAGCCCCCCAAAAAAAAAAAACCAGTTTTGATTCTTTTGAAGGTAATGATTCATGGTACGTGTAATTGCAGAAAACTAAAGGATTTGTAAACTGGAGGCAATGATTCTTTCAAAGAAAACTACAGGAAGCTCTCCCATTAATACAGTTCCCCCCAAAAAAAAAAAAAAAGAGAGAGAGAGAGAGAGAGAGAGAGAGAGAATGATCAGGTCAGGTCAGATCATGATTCACGAAATGCTTGAAAAAAGACATCAAACTCAAACATTTTGCTTGACAAAAGAGAATGCCCAAAAAGAACTCCAACAGAAAAATGCGACCAAATGCATTTCCTATTTCTTGGAACCAATTATTATCTTTAACCTCACTTTACAAATGGCTACAGCTTCTCAGCAAAATCGTATCAGACATTAAAAAAGTAGGAAAATAGATAATGGAACCTATAGCATCCTCCAAAATATGACATGAGAATGATCTACTTACACAACGTACTATGGAATGAATGCATAACTATCCAAACTACGGAAATGAATCCGACCCACTCAGTTTCTTCTAATACACGATCAATAGCAATGAGTAAATCCAGAATGTCAAGATCATAATAAAAGCTACAGTCCAAATCCTAATCCTACAGCAATTATGCAATGAATTAATTTTAAATTAAAAGACTGCTTTCCAAAGAAAAAAACACTGGTGAACTAATTTTAAATTAACTTTGGGGTCATGCAGTTTGTTAAAAAGTCCACAGGCCCATCAATTGAGATGTTTATGCATAAGCATTCCACAATAACAATTCAATCAATCATGAGCGCAAAATCTTCCCATTCAGACTATCAATAACAATTGATTTAGTTCCCAAATCTTTCAGCACAAAAAATCAGTTGCCCTTCGGATGGCACCAAATGTACAACCATCTTAGGTATGCACAATACTAAAGCAAGAAACATGGTTAAACCATTTAAGGAGCTATGCTGCATACCTCCCAGGTCCCGATTGAGAACTGCTGACAGGTCCCCTGGAATTTGAAAATCGCTTTGCTCTGTTCTCATGCTCTTTCTCCACTCGCATAGCAGCCACCTCTTTCTCCATGGCAGCAACTTCCCTTCTCATTTTCTTTGCCTCGACCTCCATAGCTTTAGTTAAAGTTTCTACTTTCTTTGCTAACATCTGGAAAAAAAAAGATTATCCAACTCAGGCAAATGCACAATTTCCTGGAAAATATATGATCACAAGACAGCAAAACTAACCTCAATTGCATCATCTTTATCTTTCAGGCTTTGATCCTTTTCATTACCAGCTTTCCTCAAAGCAACCACCTCTTTTTGCAGCAAATCATATAGTACACCAGGAACTGTATCCTCCGTATCTCCTACTCGTGTATCACTTGGTTTTTCATCTTGACTTTCTTTCCAGGTACTTTTTTCAGGCTCACTCTCCTTGGTTACATCAAAGGAATGGCTTTGTTTAAAGTTGGGACCTGTTCCATTCAAGAGGATTTTCCCCCTGTCCAGTGATCGAGAACCACCATCAAAAGATTTTGATGTTCCTTTCGCGTGCTTCAACACGGAACTACTCCCCGAAGATCTAAGCTGAAACGATGGTGATCTCTTGGGTAAGAACCCATTGGATGCTATCTTAGATATATTCTCAGCTCCACCAAGGGATTGACGACGGGAGAGACCATTGCTTGAACTTCTTCCATCGGGTGTGCTGCGAATTGATCCTGGCGACCGTAGAGTTTCCTCCAAAACTTTCAGACGCAGTTGATATTTTTCCTGGAATAAGAAAGTCAGAAACTGATTAACTCTAGCCATATTCAGTCTTTGCTGCATATTAATTCAATAATCCAACTGATAACCTTCAACTGTGCTTCAGACTTCGCAGTTCTCTCAGTTACGGCAAGTTTGTCCCTCAGTTGCTGCATTTCACCCTAGAAAAGTAAAAGATAGTTATATCTCCAATATGATCGCCATAAAAAATGTGAAGTGTACCAGTTCAATAAGGGTTGAGGGAAGAGGACAGAAGGGAGGATTATGAGAGCAGAAGATGGATGCACAGGAAAAGGCTTCATAATTTTTTTTTTACCAATAAACAAATTAAAAGCTAATATACCTGCAAGAACCTTCTCTCCTCCAGCCACTGCTTGACAGGCATCACCTTGTCATTGGCGTCTTTCCACTCATTAGCAACCACAGTTGCGACCCTATTTGCGGTTACTTTTGCCCGTGCCAGCTCCCGATCAAGAGTTTTCCTTTCCTCCTGATAACAAGAAACAAATATACCTTGATTACTAAACAATGTTAAAAAAGGATCCATCCGATGATTTCTATAGGAACTAAAACTCTGGCATTACATTCATCTCTTGAACTTTCCGCTGATAATCCCTAACAGCATTAGCAGCTGCACCACCAGCAAGAACGGCCTCTTCAAGTTCACGCACAGTTTGAGTAAGCTTTTCCACCTCAGCAACCTTTTGACGGTGCAATTTATCCAATATCTTGTTCTCCTCCTGAAGCCAATGTTTATGAGACGTGTAAACTTTGACAAGTACAAAAGCAAGGGAACAATCAGTTTAGTTACGAGACAAGTAGCTATTATAATATTAGAACCTGGCAAATCTCTATCTGCTTCATCAATTCTTGGTTTTTGTTCTGTAGATCATCCACCATAGATGCCTTTGCCAATGCAACTTGAACAGTTCTCTCAGCCTCTAGTAAAGCTGCTTCTTTTGACTTAGTGAGGCGATCAAGCGCTTTGTTATCATCTTGAAGCTTTGCTATCTGAAAGGAACAATTAACAGATCAATGGATAAATCTTTTTCATGCCCGAAGCTCTTTCGTAAAGACATTGAAGAGAAGATATATACAACACCTCTTGCCGGGCGAGTTTAAGCTCAGCCTCCAAGGGTGCCAGGATGGCTTCAATGGGAGGCATGTCATCGTCTTTTTGAGCAGCGTGCACCCTGCGAAGGGTGGCTTCTGCTGCAAACTGGGCTGCCATTGAGGCCTTCTTTTCATCATTAATTTTCTTTATTTCAAGATTCTGCAGGCAAAATTTCACATGGTCATCAATAGTTCAAATGGTTAAGATCAAAGAAACTAAAGTTATGAGGATTAAGAATGAACCTTGCTCTCGAGGAGGTTTTCCGTTAACTTTAGCTTCTCCTCCACTCTTGACAATTCATCGGTAAGCTGTAAATACAACAAAAGGTTATGTCCAAAATAAAAACATAAAAGTGTCAAAATGTCGTTCAGGGAACAGGATAGACTTTGATAGTAGAAACATAATTGTAGGTGAGAACAGGAATCTAAAAGGAAGATGGAATTCATATAGGGATATGGGTGCTCAAGATTTTAAGTCAACACTCAATGCGAGACATTGCTTCGTATGTTTGCAATGTTGGCTAAAATGTCAGCAAGTTAGGAACAAATATGTATATAAATTAACCAAGAACTCTTTAATGTGCGTACAAACACCATCATAATATCAAAAGATTGCAGACCTGCTAAACATATCATATTCCAAAACTTAGGACGGACAGATTAAATAAAAGTTTAAGCCATTAACATGTTCACAATTTCCAAGACTCAAGAACTGTAACCTAAACAAGATGTACAAAAAAGATTGTAGCAGAATTTGGAATTTGACACAAATGAGGGAGCATGCCAAACAGAGTGTCGGAAATATTTTGGCAGAACAAGAATCTCTATACAACCAAACTTCTAGATCTTGCACTCCAATTATGTCCTTATAAAACAATTCATAAAACCAATATCTGTTCGAATTAAGTAATTTAGGCACACCCACTCATTATGAACTATGCAGGCTGAAGACAAGTCCCACGTATTAATTAGGGAACCACAACTTCCTTAATTCAACGATCCTAAATGTACATTGCCCGGAGGCCTTTCCATAATGGCAAACACATTCTCATCATCTACTTCTAATTGGAATAAATTGCATTTTCTATTGTCCATTTTCAACGTAACGGGTAACTAGATAGAACAGCAACATTGCTCTAATCCCCACCTGTTCACCGCACAATCACCACTGTTAAAAAATCCGGCATCGTGTAACAACTCTAACGAGTAAAAGCAGATGCACAACGCGTTATGTGAATGAAAATTCCATCTCCAGTATAAGGTTCGGGTGAACCTCATACGTGATCTCAAAACGTAACATAGAGACATACATCATGTGAATGGCATTCTTCGACCTCTTGGCTCACTTTAATAGAATATACCAGATTCAGCTATAAGGGTTATCTCATAAAGAGGAGTTTGAATCAAGACATCTTAGTAATCCAATTCTGCAGTCCGTCTAAACCATATAACTCACCTGCAGCAATGAGTAACTACATTTCGGGGTTGAATTTCTAAATATAGGGTACTATCCATCAGTGGGCAGAGCTTATAAATTCTATTTTAGGTAAATGACATCACAAATACATATATTGAATCGATTTGTGCTACCAAAACATATCACACAGACCAGATGAATGGAAACTTTAATTGACCAAAAAAGAAAAAGATATTAAAATTAGAACCTCTTCAACTGCTTTTTCTCTGAGTCTCTCAGACAGCCTCAGGGCTTTGATCTCGGCCTGCGCTTCGCCCAATTCCCTATCCTTATCTGTCCCGGAAAAAAAAAAAGGAAAATAACAAAAGCAACATTGATAAATATACATGTACACAAAAAAAAAAAAAAAAAACAATGAGACCCAAATTTAAAAATAGTATCAAATATCAATATTGAAAAAACAGCATTTGAGGGCAAATCAAGCAAGATCCAGCTGGCATTACGCACCTCTGACTTCATTCTCAAGTCGATTAAGCTCCAGCTTCACCGGATCCGAACCGTGAAGTAGATTTATGAACTCATCGGCATCAAGACTGGGCCTCACCGACGCCCTCCGCCTGGACGTAGAACCTTTCCCTTCCTTAAACGACGCCGACACAGACATCGGCGTTACATTCGCCTCACTGGTTATCCTCGCATTGCCGTAACTATTCTCAATGGAGCTAAACTCCCCCGCGGTGGCCATTCCTCCGTCTCCGGTCACCTCCGCCATCTCGGATCTACTTAGTCCTCCCCGCCTCTCTCCCTCTCTCACATCAAATTCTGGGAAAACCTAAGCATTAAAAGAGGATAAATTGGAGCAATGGAGCTGGGGAAATGCAGCTAGGTTTCGACCGCGGGAAGGTGTAGGGTTCTAATGGTGAAATCAAAAACTAGTGTGTGAGTGTGTGAGAGAGAATGTAAGCCGGAGAGAAGTGATTGAGCGAGTTCAAAATTGAAGTAAACAGTAGTAGTAGTAGACTACTAGGTTGTATTTGTGATTTGTTTCTTTCAGTTTTTTTTTTTTTTTTTTTTTAGTTATCGCTTTTTGTTTCCTCTATTATTATTAACAGTAGTATTATTAGTATTATTTCCTCTCTTTTTTAAGTAACTTTCTCTCATTTAGACACGGAGGAAAAGAAATGGGGACTTGTAATGTTGTTATTGTACATACCCTTTGAATGCTGGTTAAATCTTGGATTTATATAAGGCAAAAGACATAGACCACCTAAATAAGTTATATTTTATATTGTTTAGATAATATTATTACTCTTTTCATCTTAAAAAAATAACTCATTTTTTTAAACTTAAACAATACAATAAAATAGATTTTATTTTACGACATAATGAGTAATAAATAGTCCATTTCATTGAGCAATAACAAAAATGAACCATTAGTAGTATGAATTATGAGGATGATTTATGAGAAGGTTTTTGTATAATTGATATTCAATGTCGTGTAGTTGAACCCTGTCCATTAAGTAGGAATATTAGTTGTCCACTAATTAATATTATTTTTTTGTGAAATTTGAATGAGTTGTCAATTAACATAAACAAATACTTCAAGTGATATTCTCATATATATATATATATTGAGGAAATATATGTGAAACAAAATAATAATAAAAAAAATAGGGATGACTTCTTTTTTTTCAGTACAAAGAAAAGAGGCAAAATGCCTAAAAATCTAAATTAGAATATTCTGACGATAAGAAACGCCGATAACATCGTATTTTAACCATGGCTTTATTCCACTAGGTGGTATTCAAGAAGTGAGCATGTCATATGTAGAAATTCAATCAACCAGTCTAATTCTCAACAAATATAATCGAATTTCTTGTGGGATAGCTGGATGAAAAATAATATATAGTGTACATTAACGTACGTAAGATCACATAAAATTCACAATTGGAGTATCGTTTAACTTTTGCGCTATATATTCATACGTTTATTAGTAGTTTCAACTTCCAACTAAGCATTTAAGGTTGTCCATTTTATATTTTGAATCCCATATCCACATTAAACTAAGCAGCTAAAATGCAAATCAAGTCATGATGTGTATTGTATAGGCTTTGTTGGTGATGGAGGAATCATTTAAAGCACTTTAAGATTGAAGTGTACTTTAAGATGCAAGTGAGAAATAAATTTGTAAAAAATTTAACCTAGGATACTCTTAACGTGAGAACTAAGAAATGCATATTATGCAGAAAATAGGCACTACAAAACTACAAAGAACAAAAAGGGAAGAAAATGAGAGGTGCATATATAAGAAGAAGAAAAAAGGCTGCAAGCTTTGCCTTTAGGCAACCTTACTACTTACTATTCCTTAAAGAATGGACAAGAGATCAAAAAGAGAGATATACTGTCATACATACACTTTTTGCCCTAATCCAATATTAGCTTTTTGTATTATGTCAAAGTAACTACTAATTAACAGATTGAAGTGGACTGTGTGTTTTTTTTTTTTTTTTTGATTTTGATTAAGTTAATTTAACAGATTGATAATTAAGAATAGATAGTGATTAAACCGGGAACATGGGACCTTTGTTCCCTCAACCAACCGCAGATTAAACACTCTTTGAGGGATTTTTTTGCCTTTTAGTTTCCTTCCAACAATGAAAGGGATTTGATGTTTGAACTTTTAATATAACTGTGGCTTCCATTTCTCCCTATCATAACAAACATCAATACAAACAAACTTAGATGTAGACATTTGCTTCTTCTTCTTTTTTTTTTTTTTGGTTGCAATTCCAGTCCATGCTTGACACCATATACCTCCTTTCTTTTTTTCTTTTATAATCTCTTATCTCCTTATTTTTTTCTAACTTCAAAGGGAGTTTTCCTTTCCCAATTTATATGGTTCCCTTGTTTCTGACCTCAGTAAAGATTTATACAAATTTTTCAATCGAACGTGTTATAATAACATTATTATATATAACAAATTGTATTGTTAAAATTTTGTGACTATATATATTTTTGTGTGTATATATTATAATATAAATCCATCTATGAGTAATCCAGGCATCTTCCCGAATGAGATAAGATATAGATAAAAAATTTTGCATATTATAGGGTGTTCATCGTGGACAACAGTGATTAATCCTTTATTAATACTTATAGCGAGTATCGAATCCTCGACCTATGGTTAAAGATGAAGGAGATTTCTTATCACTTCATCACAACCCTTTTGGTCAACATATAAGTAAATTTGTTACAAAGTGAAACAGTTAAAAACACAAGGAAAAAAAAACTCCTATGTGCAAATCCCCTTTTAACCATGTACTTTAGATACAAGTTTCACAATTGTCAAAAACAAAATGTTGGAAGCAATCTTAAATTTTTTCTCTATGCAAAATTTATATGTATTTTTTTAGTGTAAATAACCCGAGTTACATAGACTCTGCACCCATATCAGGTACGGATCTAAGATTTAAGGATCAAATTTTCTAAATTTAAGGAGAAAAAAATGGGATTTTTGGTTTAAACAGGGAGGATCCAGATCATCTTGGACCAATGTTGGAATCAGTTTGTGTCGAGTACTAGGGAGTTGGGACAAAGTGAAGAGTCCATGTGATGACTCATATTGTAGTTGAATAATTTCAATATAACAGTGTAGTCATAAGAAATTTTAAAACTCAGTTATATTGATAATAAATAATAGAATGTGAAAACTTCATTGATTTATTATCAATTTAAGTTGCTTCAATACATTACTCAATAATAGGTTATTTACAGGACTAAATTGGACCCAACTTGAAAACTGAGGATGAGAGTTGCAATGAGAGAACATTTAGGACAAAATTTATCGAATCTATACTTTGAGGACCAGAATGGTATCTTCTCAATATCGAATCAGGCGCCTAACGGCAAAACCCCAGCCGACTTAACATACTCATATAAATCAGCGCGCGAAGAAATCTAAAACTGGGAGACGGAAATTGGCCGGAAAGGGTTATCGATTAGTATTCCTTAGTTGCATTTCAGTGTTTCTCATGGCGATTGAATGCCTTGTTTTAGGTACTTTTCGTCCTCCACTGATACACAGGAACGTTAGTCTAAGACTGTTTTGAAATAGGTTCTTTTGTACATTATCTGTTTGACAAAATTCCTATGGGAAAACCTATTCTTTGTGGGGTTTTTTTTTTTCCTTTTTTAAAATGTTTGCTGAGTTGGGAGTTTGGTGATGATCAGGGGCAGGGCAAGAAGTAGGAAAGAGCTGTGTCGTGGTGACCATAAACGGGAAGAGAATAATGTTTGACTGTGGGATGCACATGGGCTATACAGATGATCGTCGATTTCCAGACTTTTCCCGTATCCCTTGCGCTAGAGATGAAGACTTCACCAGCTCCCTTAGTTGCATCATCATCTCCCATTTGTATGACTTTGTTAGAATTATTTTGTGTGTGTGTGTGTGTGTTTTTTTTTAGGCATTGATGTCTAATGTTACGGAAGTTCTAATTTTGCAGCCACTTGGATCATATTGGAGCACTTCCTTATTTCACTGAAGTTTGTGGATACAATGGGCCCATTTACATGACGGTAAATGTTGCTTTTGTATACTTGATGTGTGACCTTTTCCCTCTTTTAATGGATACCTGTGACCAGTGCTACCCATTCAAATAATCACAATTTTTGGAACAATGGTAGAAAGGTTATGTGATTTATTTATTAATGTAACACACATTAAAAAATGGATATTTCAAATGTATTTTCCTTAGTCTGATAGTACCATGACTCTTGGCGTGTAATTTGATTCAGTATCCCACAAAAGCTTTGGCTCCACTTATGTTGGAGGATTACTATAGAGTGATGGTTGAGAGAAAGGGAGAGGAAGAAGTGTTTAGCACTCAGCATATTATGGACTGCCTGAAGAAAGGTTTGTGTCATGCGCTTCTGGAACTTGTAAAAAGTGCACCAATTGCTTTGAACTTCAATGTGCATCTAAATTAATTTTAATCATACAATTACATCCATCAATGTTATGCTTACGTGGTTTGTTTGCAGTTACCGCTATTGATTTGAAGCAGACCGTACAAGTTGATGGAGACCTCCAGATTCGGCCATACTATGCTGGACATGTAAGACTTGGAACAATATAACTGCATCTAAATGTTTAGGAATACGTAAACTGGCACTAATTTTGTGGCTAAATCTTATATGCTCTTTTTCTTTAAATATTTTGAAAATCTTTCCTGATCATTTAGATCATGCATAGCTCGTTTTCACTTTATGTGCTTATTGGATTTTATTTGAGTTTATATCATGCCTCCTCCCTTGCGTTTTATCAAAGTTTTGTGCTTTACTGTTATTTATAACTCGTGGAGAAAATGATTTCTTGGTATTTATGTATAACAATCAACATGCCAAGTGATGATATAATCTAAAAGTATTTTTAGTGTACATATCTTATTTTAATTTTATTTTTTTCATAATGTTTTCTGCCAGAAGATACTCAACTTGTTATTGTTACTCCGTTCTTTTTCTTCTATACTTTGTTAAGTTTACTTCTTTGATTATGCATATATATCTAAGACATCAATGATTCTCTAGGTTCTTGGAGCAGCAATGTTTTATGCAAAAGTTGGAGATGCCGCTATTGTATACACTGGAGACTATAATATGACAGCAGATCGACATCTTGGAGCTGCTCAAATTGATAAACTGCAATTGGACCTTGTTATAACAGAGTAAGTAGCCCATCCGTTTTTTGTTTAGATGCTAAGGTCTTTTTAGCACGATTACCTTTCTGAACTAAGTTGCGTAATGTAACAAGTGTACAAACACATTTAATCTCTTTTACCAAAGCAATCATGTTATCGCAGGTCAACTTATGCAACCACCCTTCGAGATTCGAAGTATGTTCGAGAGCGAGAATTTCTCAAAGTTGTAAGAACTTCTTTTTTGCAACTTCTTTTCTCATGGACATTTATTTCTTCTTGGTGCACAATCCTTTTTCAGTCTTTATAATTTTAGCATCTGATGATACCTTCCCTCTCACTCTCTCACAAGAAAAAAGAAAAAAAAAATCCGCCATCTGGCATCTTTCTTCACAGCTTATGATTACTTGTTATTCTATGAGGTTGTGTTACTAATTATGACAATTTGGAATTCATAAATCTGGTGTCATCAATCCAATTTTCTTAGGTAGTGGATTTCATAGTAGATGAGTTCAAAGAATGCTGACCTTGATATTGACACTTACTCTGCTTGGATATCATTCTGTATTTTCTTCTTCTACGAGATTTTAAGTAGAGTAGTAGTTGAGAATATAAAATAATAGTTGGCTTTTGGCAGTCCATGTCGGGTTTCGTGATGAATGAGTCATTGTTGACAATTCAATGATATCTGCTATAGAATACATATTATACGAATTAATTAAAGGGATTTTGCAAATGATTGATCTCTGCCATGATCATATTCTGTCTACTAATTGCAATGTTTTGAATAATTTGTTGTCGTATTTAGGACAAATAAACCTGCACATGATGCATGTCCTACTATAAATATAAAAGCCTGTTTCAAGGGAAAAAAAGCGAGTAAGAAAAGACAAGCCTGCCTTCATGCTGTAGTCTCTGTGAACTCTGTATACAGTGTACAATTTTCATATTATTATCTGTCAATATGTTAAAAAATGATCATGGACAACTTTATTCATTATCTTTCTTCTTGTGATGAGTTTCCTTTGTCTGCATTTCTTGCCCAGTAATAGACATTCTGGGAAAATCAACTTTAGCTATAAATATCCTGTCTCATTTTGTATTTGCAGGTCCATAATTGTGTTGCTGGTGGAGGAAAGGTGCTCATCCCTTCATTTGCTCTGGGAAGAGCTCAGGTTGTCTCCTTATATAATTTGATCAATCTTGTTTAATTTCTTATACGCTTATTATCTTGTTGCACTTGCCACAGTTAGCACCAGAAGTTACAGTAATTTTGTTTTAGAGTTTTCTCTTCTCCTTTCAAATATTTGGGTCTTCATTATATTGAAACATATCTTCTTCATTCTGACTAAGATCAACCTGTATTCTTGTGAATGTCAACATTATCAAATAGGAGCTCTGCATGCTTTTGGATGACTACTGGGAGCGAATGAATCTGAAAATTCCTATTTACTTCTCCTCAGGTTTGCTTTTACTATCCAATCTGAATGTTGATACTGGTTAATTTATCTGTTTGCATTCCTGATGGTTCTCATGAAGTGTTTCTCTGTCAGTATTATTATTCTAACGAACAGGAATGCCTCTTATTCTTTGTCAGCTTTGACCATTCAAGCCAACAAATATTACAAAACATTCATCAGTTGGACAAGCCAAAAGGTGAAAGATTCATATGCCACACGAAATCCTTTCGATTTTAAACATGGTACTGCCCAAATCACTGGTTGATTTAAATAGAGAGCTTGATTGTCTCCAACAGCTGTTGAGCACAGAAAATTTCTTCCGGAATTCACTTCTCTCTCGGCATCATTTCTTTGTTTTATGATATTGGGATTCTTCTACTCGAGAATAGTTTAAGCTTTTTTTTCTTTTTGAAAAGGAATAGTCTAAGCTTATGACATCTGATGTTAGTTTGGTTTTATATATATCTAATAAAGTATGTGTGGAAAGTGTATTTTACCGCATACTTATTATCACTTATCTGGAAACTGTTATAACCCATTTGCTGATAAGGGAAGGGAAGGGGAAAGGCCTATAAAGAGTTGGAAAAAAAATATTGAAAAAATGGCATGATTATTTAAACTTATGAAACATGAGTTTGAACAGAGCATGATGGCAACAGATGATCCATGTACCTTTTGAGTTGGTTTTTGTTGTTGTTGAATCATGCTTAGGTGCTCAAATACTTCAGACTGCTTTTACTTACTTGACATATTAAATGATGATGGCTTGCTGTTCTCATTATGCTTCATAGAGTTGCTTAATCAACTGCAATGCCAGAAATTTATTTTTCAGGAACCTTAAAGGAAGAATAGAAAAATTCATGATTGTCCTGTAGTTCTATGTCTCCTTTTCACATTCTGACTTGATCTGTGCAAGTTGTCTGTCTATTCTTGCCATGAGGTGTCCATCTGGATAGTAATTTCTCTTAAATTTTAATTTTACAGTCCACAAGTTTGAGCGTTCTCTGATAAATGCTCCTGGACCCTGTGTACTTTTTGCTACTCCGGGAATGATAAGTGGAGGATTTTCTTTGGAAGTTTTCAAACAATGGGCGCCAAATGAAGGAAATCTTATTACACTTCCAGGGTATGAGAAAGTTCCAGTTTGTTATTTTCTGTCTTTTTACTCTTTTGAGCAAGACTAAATAATCTTTTGTAATATAAAATTTGAATATGATGCATTCCTTATTATTTCCGTGTGTCATTAGTGTTTGCTTTAGCAGTTAGTGAAGAAAAACTCCAACAGTAACTTTCACAAATTTGAGTTAGTTCTAAGTTATGTTTGGGAGATCATAATTCTCATATGTATGTGGAACACACTTCATTAATAGTGCCAGCCAATCTTACTAGCTATGAAGTTCTAAGAAGGGATATTCTAATGACTTAGTGACGATATATAAGTAGAACAAAAGTTCCTTGCGTTCTATTAAACCCTGTAATTGTCCTGATCTTGTTTTGCTTTTTCTGGTTTTTGTAGGTATTGTGTAGCTGGGACAATTGGACATAGGTTGATGTCAGCTAAAACACCCACCCAAGTCTCTATAGATCAGAACACCCGAATTGATGTGCGATGTCAGGTTAGTGTGCTCTTCTATTAATTTCTTTCTTCATTCTTTCACTTTTATCAATCCTTGGCGGTATCTCTGTTATAATTTAACTCATTATTTCTTGGGATATCCAGATTCATCAGTTGTCTTTTAGTCCTCACACTGATGCCAAGGGAATTATGGATCTCATCAGGTTTCTCTGTCCAAAGCATGTGATGCTTGTACATGGGGAGAAACCTAAGATGGAATCACTCAAAGCAAGAATTGTTGATGAATATAAAATTCCTTGTTGTGCTCCTGCAAATAATGAGAGCGTGATTATCCCTTCTACTCATTACGTTAAAGCGGAGGCATCAGACACTTTCCTTTGCAGTACACTGAGTCCAAACTTCCGATTTCTCAGGAATAGTTCGAGAGGACATTCTGGTTCAAGTGATACAGAAACAGCTCAACCGTCGCTACGGATAAGTGATGACAGAGTGGCCGAAGGAGTTATAGTTGCCAGGAAAAACCAGAACCCAAGGATTATACATAAGCAAGAACTACCGGACGTGTTAGGAAAGGAAATTCATGAAGTCCAGGGTGCTCTCTGTGTTCCAACACGAACAGCCAATGCAATTGGGAAAGAAGACTTGCTACAAGAACAGTTGCCTTTGCTACACCAATTATATCTGAAACTTGCAGATGAAGTCGCTGAAGTAACTGTTCTGAAATCCGAACAGAGCCTTCACATCGAGTCAGTGGTTATTTCTGTGTGTCATATGGACAACTGCCTCTACCGATTATGCGACGAGTCTGGAAATATACCCGAGACTACGTATTTTTGCTGCAAGTGGTCTGCAGCGGATCAGAAGATAGCTTGGAGAGTCATTTCGGTGATCAAGAACATGGAGTTGATCAATTCCTAGAGGTGTTTCAGAGTTCCTTTCTTGCATTTGTTTAAACTCCACATTACGTTACTTAAAGCAATCTGGATTCTTCTGCACTCCTTCAATTTTGTTGTTGTTCATCTGGATTCTTTCTTCAGATTTCACCGAGAAGAAAGAAAATCAACTACAGGTCGGATTTTGCGGAGTAGAAAGGAAACATAAGACGCACGATCGACAGGGAGAGTTTTTGTGTTTGATACTTTGATTGTGGGGTGGAATGGTTTTGTTGACGGAAGAGCTTTGGATGGAGATTCTGAAAAACTTGCCCACTAAATCATTGATGATATGCAGTTGCCTGTGCAAAGGATGGCGTAATTTGATCTTGGGTAAAACAAGTTGTTATTTTGGTGGAAAACACTTGGAAAGTTTTATTATTATTCGGGCAGTAACCATAAAAACGAAGACGATAAATTATGTAGGGCTCAGCACCGGTACCATATATCACGGATGATGATTGGTCGGTGGCCGAGTGTGCGTACCGATGTAACCACCAAGACTATTTATTGTCAAAGAAGAAGAGAGAATCAGATGATTCCTCTACTACTACTATATACTTGCGACCGCGTGTGGTGTAGAATTACCTGGATGGCTTGTCCTAAACCGATCATCATGCAATGGAATTCTATGCTTTACGAATATGTTTGATAGTCCGTTTTGTGTCTATTTGTGCAATCCCGGGAACTCGGGATTACTTTAGACTTCCTACAACTACTGTACTATACCCGGAGGATGGAAATATTTACTATGCTGAAGCATTTGGTTTTGGTATTGGCAATGGTATTAATGACTACAAGGTTGTTATAGAATACTAAAGGGAAACCCAAACAGATTTGCTGCCGAGATTTACAAACTCACTACAAATTGTTAGAGCAAGGTCAAAATTGACGACAACATTGGCCTCATACAAGATAACTTCCATGACCTAACTTGGCCGCACGAGAGAGAGATGATATATCATGGCTTATAAAAGTGATGGAGAACTATTGAAGGGTTGTTTTCAGTGGCTAGCTCATACCTCCCGGGGGTTGGGAATCAGGCGGTCGAGAATCATTATCTTTGATTTTCAAGGTGAGAAGTTTGACCGGATGGAAATTCCGGCTCAATGTTGGGATCGTCGTCGTATGATAGTCAAGTTGACAGTTTTGCACGATTCCATTGCATTACTTATAAATCGAGATGATTCTGATGAAATAGTCAACACCGAGTTTGAAGTGTGGATGATGAGGGAATATGGGAATTCAGAGTCATGGACTAAAACCTGTACCGTGGTGTTGCCACTCCCTCCCGACGCAACTGTACCCAGCCATTACAGTCACAGATTGTGGCAAATGCCAACTTGTTGGGGTGAGGAGCTTTTGGCTGTAAGTAAGTATGGAGATATGTTCTCTTATAGTCTCCCACAAGATGAACAACAACAACAACCACAACAACCACTTGGTGTTGTAAAAAATTATCGATCCCTACCTTGCTCGGCATCCCTCATTTGTCATCTTTCAACCAACTTTGGTTGCTCTTAGCGGAAGGCAAACAAGTTAACTTTCTCTTTTTTCTTTTTCTTTTTTTTGTATATTTTATGGCTTTGTACAAGAATTTCAGTTGGGAATTGATGATTCAGCTTTTTTTTTTCTTTTTCGTATCTATGTGTATGTTGTTGTCATCCTCAAGTAGTAGGAAATTGTGTAAAATATTGCTTAAACGATTAGCTCGCTCTGTGGCTCACTAGCTACTGATAACATTCAATCACCATGTACTTCTACTAAATTCACAACATGAAGGGCCATTATAGATGAGGAACAGACATTCGGCCGTTACAGATGGAGTTTAATTTTCTATAGTGAATGTTCCTCTTGTTACTCCAACAAGCATGTAAGCATGCATGTTAGAGTTTAGCAAAACACAGCTTTAAGTAGATGATAGATGGACACACAAAAAAACTCCTAAATTCAAAAAGCACATGATCGAGGCTCGGAATTCGGAAATGCTAGAATTGAGAAATATAAATTGGTTTCAATAATAGATGAATTAGATGGTTGATTAGCATTGGTGTAGTAATTCCGAGATAGGGATGATGTTTTCCATAGTTTAACTTTGTCATGTTCATTCGGTTTTTTAAATATAATTTTGTATTGTAATTAAGGTCAATTTAATTTAATCCATGTGAATTTTATTCAAATTTGTGTCGTATAAGTGGAACTGAAGGAGTCAAACATCTAAGTTGAAAATCTGATGTTTACATTCATGTTAAATTTCTGATTTCGTCAATATTTTCGTTAATTAGTTTAGATTTTTCGACGCCAAAGTTGATGTAGTTTTCAACAATTTGGTTTTCCTACTTTTCCAAGATTCTTGTTCCGTCGACTTTATCATCAGGATTAATATCTTGATGACGGGTCGATGAAAGATTAACTTGCATTTCATCGAATTTGCCGTCACGCTAGAGCGCTTGACATTAAGCCGACGGGTGCTTTACTTACGGAAAACTTGCATTATAATTATATCAGATGTTACGGCGGTATCACTGAAATTACAGGCTTCTAATTTTGCGCTATCAGACCAAATGCTTGGGAGTCAATGGATGATGACGAATAGAAACAAGGGTGAGTTTTTTCTTCGAAGAAATAGTTAATTTGCAGTTGTAAGAATTTATCACAATCGAAAATACTTTCATTATTCCTTTAATTTTTTTTAAAAAAAATTCCGTTAAAGTGACTAAAATTATTGAAAAAAAATATTAGGAGAGTGATTTGTTGTTTGAAAATATATTGCGGGTCCCAGTTCAATAAAAAGTTAATAAAAAATTAAAAAAATTAACGGCAAAAAGAGTTGACCGTTAATTGACCATAAGTTTCATTAAATTGACTAAAATTGGTAAATAAACGAAAAGATGGTGACCAATTTCGTCAGTCAAAATTTAATAGTGACTAGAAGTTGTGACCCCCCAAAGTTTAGGGGCCAAAAGAATATATAATAAAAAACAAAATTTGCGATAATTATTTTTGTTTTTTTTTTTCGGTAGTAGCTACAGTCTAATAGTGCTCAAGTCTGATGAGGAGGACTGTTAAGATTTAAATAAAAATTTACCCTTTTTTTTAAAGCTCGAGCAGGACTGACTCTAAACCATGACATTTTTCTTTTTTGATTCGAAGTGTTGTAGTCAATCGAAACATATACCTCTTATTGTACGTATAGTACTGTTTTGTTTTGTATAAAAAGTGGTGTATTTTCATCTAGACTACACGTCGATGAGGTCATCTAGACTACAAATGTACCTTTCCGTACGAAGATAGAAGGAGTCTTCGGTGGCAAACCCACAAAATCTAACCTCATTAGACTTGTCCAAATTGTGTTTGGTAATAGTAAAGGTAGTTTCACTATAAAGCAAGTAAAACATTTGCTTTAGGCCATGGTATTGGGTAAGCCCAAAATTATCTGACATTAATTAGAAACTTTTATTTTCTCTTTTTTTGTAAAAGGTAAAAAAAAAAATAAAAATTCGACCAATCTAAAATGAAAAAAATGTTTATGTTGATAATATAATTTTAAAATCAATTAACATAAAATAGCTCCCTTAGTTATGCATGTTCCATTAACACGAAGATAATTGGAGATATTGATGCTTAAATTTATATTGAGATTACAAAATATTGATATAATTAATTATAAAACTCGATTTTTTTAGTATTATAATGTTAATTTTACCATGACAGTTGATTGTTCAGAGAAAAAAAATTATACAAATCAAACAAATTGAAACAATTTAATACATTGGGACTATCTCATTACTTGAAAAAAAAATCAAAATGAATTTATTTAACAAAATGATATTCACATAAATTACAACAATAATTAACTAAATTTCTCATAAATTTCAGATGAGGAATATTAATTTCAGACGAGGAATAATTACAAAATGATAGTGTCTTAAATTTTTAGAATCCAGTTCTATACTCGCTTTTAGGCCTCATTTAACGTTAAGCCGCCCTTGGGTAATAGCTCGGATTTATTTGAGTATGTCCTCTTTTTGGCTTATCGGAAACTGACGAACGGTCACCGGTTCTGTGAAATCTCCTCTTATCCGTAGTTCTCCATTGAATTCCCCATCTCCAAGGATTTGATCGGAGTCAATTGAAATTGAATATGGGTCTCCAATAACTTTAATGATGCCACATTTAGCTATCTTAATGTTACCTCTGAAACTTTCAAGAAACTAGAATCGATGATCAAGAACGACAAAGAAGAATAAAGAAAAAACTTCGCAAATAAACCTGAAGAATTACTAAGCTTTAATTAACGAATGACCCCGACTATAAAAATTCGAAACTTTCAAGAACGGAAATGGTAACTAGAATCGGTGATCGAGAACGACGAAGAAGAATAAAAGAAAAAAAAACCCACGATTAAACCTTCGAATATCAACTATAAAAACCCAAGTCCCTTTTCCGTTTCCTTGAGACAGCACTACACGGTGATATAACAAAGACGACGCACTAATAATACCTAAATTTAAGATCAATGATTGAATCTGTGTTTACTTGACGATGAATCAATATAGGCGTAGGATTATATATATACAGTTATAAAGTAACCGTTGCCTTATTTTTGAAATAGAGAGTAAATTTATTTATTTATTTTAAAAAATATCAAATATTATTTCTTTTAATATATTATTTACCGTATACTATCTCCAGGGGCAGAAGTAGCATAGTGGCTGAGGTTTTGTTGACCCCCCGACATCCGGAATACTGATCAGATTTGTCATGGCTAGAGCTCTAGCCGGTTATGCATCTTCCCTTCACCTTCCCCCCCCCCCTTCCCCCCAAAAAAAAATTCTGAAGAAAAAGACTTAAGGAGATGCATTGAAGGGAGATTAAGGAAGAGACTGATAAGGTAATTGGAAAAAATTTTATGGCTACCACCGGTAGAAGTTGCAGCGGCGGAAGTTGCAGTCAATTTTATTAAGGAGAAGTTGTGGAAAGTCAAAGTTTAATATCATTATTAATAATTACAAAATGGTGTATGTAGTTTTAGAGTGTTTCATTCGAACCCATTTCATATCAAACCTTTAAGATGTTTCTTTTATCAGCCCTTATTGTTCATATATTTTATTCTTCGTTCAATGTTTTAAATACATTCAAAATGTTATTTTTAATATAAAATGTTATTATCACGAATAGAAATATTTAAATATATGTAAAAGGAAAAAAATCATATGTCAGTTTGACCCCCCGAAGTGGAAGTCTGGTTCCGCCACTGACTATCTGTAGGCTATTTTCTCCAATTCTTGGCCCGTTTTTCTTCTTTTTCTTTTTTTAAGTAACTACTAAATCTATAACTCAATTATCAACACTCAAGATTTTAGTTTTTTTAAAGATGTAAATATTTTATTCGCAAGAATCAAAATAGAAGAGAGACAAAAAAAAAAAAAAAATTATCCATCCTGAGTTTAGATTTCAATTGAATATGGTGAAACTAATTACTATTGACTTTACGTCCATGTGCATGGTCTAGTTCGAGACATTTGTGAGTTGATGTATAGGGATTGGACTGTAGAAGTGGGATATGTTTTCACATAGTCGAATTTTGCAGCAGATTATATGGCCTCTTTGACTATTAGTTTTTGAAATTAATAAATGCCTCCAGTCACGGGTTAACCTTTCTCAAGTTAAAACCGTGGGCACTAGCACTAAAACTTTGAACGATTTAAGTGCTAGCTCAGCCTAGACCCTCAAAACATGCAAAAGTTATGAAGAAAGAACGACGATCGAAAGAAAGTTTGGAAAGCTAAGAACAAGAAGGCATAAAAGAGCTTTAGCAAAGCCTGAGAAACTTTTTCTCAAACATGAGATGATTACAAATGAAAGTGTTAGGGGTATTTATAGACTTAGAGCATCTCTAACCCAAAACTTAAAAAATGCAGTATAATAAACTCTAAAATATAGTAGGTACAATATTTAGAGTGATTTCTCTCCGATCCAATAACTTTATATTCTGTAAAAAATAAAATCTTGTAAAGAGAAAATAAAAACAATTCAAAAAATCAGAAATAAAAATAAAAAAGAGGAAAAGACACGAAGAGGCCCACAAATAGTAATTGAGTATGGTTTAGAGTTACTGCAACTCTCCGTATCAACACCTCCCACTGCAAAATCCAGTACCATTTTGTATATGGGTTGGAAGACCACAATACTGTAAAAAAGCGCAAAAGGAGGTTTTTACAGTATGGGTTATAGATGGCCTTACTCCCCAAGTATGAACACTAATAAAATATTATAAATTTAAAATTTAAAACTTTTTTTATAAATAAGTACAAGTTGGCATACAAGTTACTTGCTTAGAAAATTTTATAACTAGCTAACAAGTTTCTAAATTGTCGAGTTGGCTACTTGTATCTCAAGTTGGCAAGTTATCACCATCTTACCAACAAGTTATCTCCAAGTTGCCAAGCTACCCAAGTTGACAATTTGCGAGACTAGAAGGTTCTACGACAATCTAGAAGTCTGCACTCCCCACACACTCTAGGCTATTGGGCTTGATATCTCCTAGAGATTTTCAAATATTGGATTTGACCCAACACTTCCAATTGGGCCTAGATCCAATAAGAATATTGAGCTTGATCTTGGGTTTGGGTCATCTTAGGCCTAAGAAAACTTGGGCCATGACACTCCAACCAAGATTCTGTCTGGATGCATAATCATGACTTTTGTGTTTGTATTCCGATGATTGATTTTTTCTTTTTCAGTTATCAAACCAGATCGGGCCAGTCATATCACCTCCCTTGCCGGCAGTAGCTCTGCCTCAACCATCTGCTTGTA